ACCATCTTATCAAAGCTAAAGGAGCTCACATGTAGGAAAACGCAGCCTGGGTCATGACAGCCCACCAGCCGAGGAACTGGCCTTTGGAACCGCCGATTCCGCCATATTGGGCGAAGGGGCCCGGGTTCTTCCAGAACCGGAACCCAAGTCGGTCGTGGTCTGGGCCTCCACCGAGGTCGAGCACGATTCCCAAAATAATCAGTCCTGTGATCTGGAAAGAGAGAGAGGCTTGGCGCCGTCACAACGAAAACTGATCGAGGGGACGCACGGTGATAACCTTGATCGAGCTGCGTCAAGTTTAAGCGATCGCGCTCAGAAAAAAGGAGGGGGGAAGGACTGACGCGAAAATGAACTCGGCCTCGCCGTAGGCGCCGGCGCCGCACATGTTGATTCCCACAACGACGACGAGAACGATCGTGATCCATGCGGCGTTGTTGACAGATTTGTTCCAGTAGTTGATCAGCACGGCCGCAGCGGACAGCTCGGCGGGCAGGACTGAAAGGAGGCCGTATGTGAGTGACACGGTGTGGGACGTCGGACCGGGTCCACGCACCAACTGTTTCCTATCAGTCTCCACACAACGGGAAGAGCAACAGCTGTATGTGACTCACTGATCCAGTTGTACCAGTAGTTCCATCTGTGGAGCACGTCAGACGGGCTGCTGCGGAGAGTGTCACCAAGGGACTGACCCCATTGTGAACGAAAAAGCAGGGTCGACGAAACGTTCCGCGAGTTTGATATGTCCACCAGGGATGGGCAGGTAGGCAACCATCTCACCGAGCGAAATCCTGGGTCCGTGTCAGTTTCGAGCTCTGGAACGTACAGAAAAGGGCGTACATGACCGAGTAGGTGATACTCCCAACAGCGAGGTATCCGAGTAAAAGACCTAGAGCGCGATGAGCATCGACCTCGAACACAAGGCGTTCGTCGGCGAACCGATAGGTCCTCCATTATGCAGCGCTGTAGTGTCTTTGTGAGCTCTCAGCTGGGATATGCGATCCACACGACACACCAGTCGCAGTTCCCAAGAACAGACCCGTTCCAATAACACCCCCAATACTGTCAGAGCACGCCGCGTAAGCCCTATCGTTATACCCTGGCACGCGACACTACGCGAACGAACCTAATCATCGCGATATGGCCTTGGCGAAAGTATCAGCATCTTCCTCGTCCGCACACACGTACAGCGCAGCCAAAGCCAACATACGATTCTTGAGCTGCCGCACGAGCTTGTGGTCGCCCTGGTATACATCCCCCGGGGCGCTTCCCTCGTCACCAAAGGACTCCCGCTCGGAAGGGGTCTTCGGCACTTTCTTCTCGTCGATTTTTTCAGCCATGACGGTGTTGCGTCAGGATTGGGGTGGAAGAAGGACGGGAGAGAAGAGAGAAGATGAGGTCAGGTGCAGGGAAGCCTGGGAACCCGCGCATGGGTCTGCGGTGTTTATGGGGGCTCGGCCTCTCGGAGGGGTTTGACGGCGGGCTTGGCAGTTGTGGCTCGGCCGAAAGGGCTTCTTTCCACAAGTGTTGATTTGTATCCAAATTTTCAGATAAGACGTGATAGCAACCATTTCAATTCTCCGCTGGGAAAATATATGGACCGCGCGGTGAGGGACAAAATCAATTGTTTGTAGCATGGCTGGCGGCGAGATGGGCGATAGCTCTGGTCTCGGCAGCCTTGATTATCTCCAACGCGGCGGCCTCGAACGGGTAATGGCAAAAAGGATCAGCAGGAAGTCGTGGTAGTGGTCGCGGTAGTGTGGTTGGCTGTGGTGGCAGCGGGTGGCATCGCGCTTATGTACTGCGAACGTCGGGACGACATCAGTCGGTGACACTGATTGTTAAAATTAGATTACATCTATGTAATGTGTATGTATGTGCAGTAGTACACTGCCGAAGTTCAACTGAACAGACTACACAGAGGCGCGATACAGCGCCGCATAAGCGCCGTCCCTCTTTATCAACTCGTCGTGGCTGCCGAATTCAATAATCGTCTGAGAGAGAAAAAAAAAGTGAGCAGACTGCAACGGTGGACGTCAAAGCACCGATAGTTACCCCGTCCTGCATCATCGCAACCTTGTCGGCGCGTTTGGCGATGTACAACCGATGGGTGATGAATATCACACTCTTCCCGCGGCCGGAATGGGATATCCGGTGTATTGCATCGAAAATCTGATTCTGGGCATGCGCATCCAGAGACGACGTCGGTTCATCAAACAGCATCAGATCCACCTGTGGCTCGCTTGCTCGCATGAACGCCCGCGCGATAGACAATCGCTGCCACTGTAGTCTGCGTCAAGCCGCAGACACCACCTCAAACAAGGACAGCACAACTCACCTCCCCGCCCGAGAGACCGTGGAGTCGGGAAAAGCCCTGGCCGGGATATGACATTGACTCGAACCCTGGCGTGTCCAGATCCGTTCTGAGCCCATACGGAAGTGAGTTGACCAAATCGTCCGCTTGCGCTAGTCGGATGGACTTCTCGACCAGTGACTTGGATCTCAGCCGCTCGACACGTCCTAAGCCGACGTTCTCGCGCACGGTAGTGTTGAATTTGGAAAACCCTGGGCACACATCAGCCAAAAGAATCCAGAAGCAGCACCGCCATTCGTGCCTTGGAATACCCCGGTGATGTGCTGGTGGTAATCTGATGGTTCGTATCGGCGGATGTCGACATCGTTGACGTAGAGCTCCCCCGAATCAAAGTCGATGATTCGTAGCAAGATCTTTGCAAGCGTTGATTTCCCAGAACCGTTATAGCCTGATGATACATGCATGAGACACTTGAATGATCCGACGTAAACAAGGACCTACCAACTATAGCCAACGTCTCACCCGCGTTCAGCGTGAAACTGATGTTGTCCAAGGCTGGCTCGGACGCTCCCGGATAGGTGTACGACAGATTTCTGAACACAGTGTCAATCCCAGACACTGCATAGCACAAATGGAAACAACTGACCGAGCCTGGATGCTCGCTCCGTTGAGAGATGTGTTGTAACAAACCGAGTCCTCCTCGTCGGGTTGCAGCTGGGGTTTGATGTTCCGTCCGGCGCAGAATGCCGACATGAAGAATATCCCCTGGAAGGCCATCGTCGACGTCGCAAGTAGGTTCTTGGATGCATAGATAACAGCTTGGATTGAACTCCGATACAATGTCAAGGACCCAAGGCTAGCGGATGAGGTCTGTAACAACAGAACTAGCGGCACCTTATAAAGTCGTCCGATCAGATGCAGAATACAGAATGTGTCTGGAGGACTGACGTTCTGCAATGCAAAAAGCAGATCCGAAAAGTTCAATCTCGAAAGCGGCGAAAGATCTCGCAGATGATGGTTCTGCTCAGAGTCCAGAACGAGCTGCCGGGCCTTGGTCCATGTGTCCAGTATCCATCCGCCCAGGCCAAACAACTCGATCTCGGGCCGGTGAGCTTCATTGTACGCCCAATTGCGCATCCGCTCCTGCCGCTCGGCGGCCCGGGTCTCCTGGGTCGTGTACATCGTTTCGGAGTGCACCTCCGAACAGCGCAACCGGGCCAACAGTAACGGCAGCGTGGCCGAGACCACCGAGAGCAGCAGCACGCCCAGCTGGGCGGGCGCTCCACCCGTCAGCGACAAGATGAGCAAGACATGGGAGAATATCTCGGTTGTCAGGGAGATGATGTGAATAAAGTCTAAAGGGGACAACAAGCCAAATCCGCTCCCGCTGAATGATCGCGCAAACAAATCAGATTCCTGGAGCAGGGCCCGCACTTGTGGATCCGCGAGCGTCGGGATGTCGAGGCGCAGCCGCTGCTCAAGCTGCGCCCGTTCTACGAAAAAGCGCGCCGAGTCGATCACCTTCGTCTCATTGGCTGCACTGATAGGGATTATATTAACGTGATGGTGGCAAAAAAGCACCCTTACGCAAATGAATCCAACAGGCTTTCGAACAACCTCCGGGTGAGCTCTGACCCCACAAGATACAGCAGCCTTGCCCATGTGAAGTTGCCCGATGTCACCAGAGACTGCAGCTGGAACACAGAGATCAGAACGGGCAATTAGGTTCGAGTCAGCGTGATCGGTGCTTCTAACCTCGTCTATGATGAGGGCCTGACACCACAGTCAAGCGGCAGCGGTCAGGGTCGCGAGCAGACGCACCTGGGAGTACCCTCGGAACGCAGGAACTATGCTTCGGATAATGTTGAGGGACATCATGACAATTGTGCGCATTCTGTGCAGTTCCAGGATGTCGAGAAACTGCGCCTGGTTAGTGCGGGGTCGACTCAGACCATGAGCGCACGCACGAGGTCTAATGCGCACGTCCGCACGATGGTGTAAGCCAGCTTCACGTTCCGGATAGAGAAGCTGCGATGGACGCCCGGCGAGAGCATCTCCTCTCCGTCGCGCATCCGCGACGAGAGCCACGCGTCGTACGCGGAATCCAGCCTCGGCGGCGCCGTGTGTTTCATCGCCTTCGTGCGCGCGGCGGGGCCAGGATAGATTTCGTCGGGTAGGAGCAGCGCGCGGCCAGACTTCAGCAGGTCTTGTATCAGCTTGAAACTAGACGACGGCACAGTGAAGTGCATTGGGGGAGTGTTGTTCTAGGAGGGCGGAAGAAGAGGCAGAGTGTAGACCGAGCCAAAGCGAGATCCGGTGCTCATATTCGCCGGCTCTGCACTGCTTGGTGCTACGACGGTGCGGCCGAAGAAAGAAAGACGCGACCCAAGAAACGGTTGGCGGGACTGATGGGCGATCAGTTGTGATGGTGTGCCCCGACACGTTAGGCAGGACCGCTCTTCGAGTTTGGTTCTTTGGGCTTTCCATTCCTGGCCATGGAAACGGGGGGAGAGAGACATACTTGGCTGAGCAGCAGGAGCTTCCTGCCCCCCCCACTGCATGCGCGCCTCTTTCGAGAGAGACACTGCCCATTGGGGAAAGCACATTACGTATGCCTACCACGTGCCTGTCGATCACCAAAAAGTTTTCCGTGTCGGCGCCCCTAGATCAGCTACTACCCTGCACACCACCTCTCTCTTAGCGGTCTCCCAATAGATGGCGACGTCGTCTCCAGCCGAAGAAAGCGCCACAGTCTTGTCCCCTTCTGGCCCGGCCGTGGCAAGCGAGCAATCACTCACCACGAGCGGCGGCGGCGGCGGCGGCCTGTTCCGTTCCGGGGAAAGCTCCCCTCTACCCCCCAGCGAGCACGAACTCGGCTGGCCCGGTGAGCTGCATCCGGCCGTCCTACACGGCTGCGCGTCTCACGCACACGCACCCCAAGCGAAATCCACCCTGTCGCGCCTCAACGCCACGCCCGAGGAGATGGCCGCCCGGGAGCGCAAGATGGCCGAGGCCGTGCGCACGATCCTCGAGTGCATTGGCGAGGACCCGGACCGCGAGGGGCTGCTCAGGACGCCCGAGCGCTATGCGCAGGCGCTGATGTGGATGACGAAGGGGTACGAGGAACGGTTGTCGGGTTCGTGCTGCCATCCGCTTGTGCCCGTCCCTGCCTTCACGACGCACTCTTCATCCCCAGACGTGATCAACAATGCTGTGTTTGCCGAGGACCACGATGAGATGGTGCTCGTGCGGGATATTGATATTTCGAGTCTATGCGAGCACCATCTCGTGCCTATCACCGGCAAGGTGCGCGCTTTCCTTTTCGCCCTTCACGTCGGGCATCGGCTCATACTCCCCCCGCCCTAGATCGCGATCGCGTACATTCCGGGGCACAAGCAGCTCGTCCTCGGCCTCTCCAAGCTAGCGCGCATCGCAGAGACGTTCAGCCGACGACTGCAGATCCAGGAACGCCTGACGAAGCAAATTGCCATCGCAGTGCAGGAGGCCATCGAGCCGCGGGGTGTCGCAGTCGTTATGGAGGCTACGTGCGTGTCTCATCCAGATTCTCTACATCCGTGCCGAGCCATTGCAGACACCTGTGCATGACGATGCGGGGAGTGCAGAAGCCAGGCTCGATCACAGTAACGTCGTGCATGCTGGGGTGCTTCCGCACGCAGCAGAAAACGCGTGAGGAGTTTTTAACTCTCGTCAAAGGAAGGTAAAGAGAGCCCGATTTCATTTTGTATCACCGATTCAACTCGTAGCACCAAGTTATACATAATTTCGATGTATAAGTCTCATGTATAATACCGCCACCTCATTCTATTGCTTACATTGCACGGAATTGGGAATAGAATCTCAATCGTATCATTCTGCTCGCCGGATTGAATCTCAGCGCCTGTTCTGTCGCTTAACTAGCTTGGTTCTTGCTTTCGCTGCGGTATGTAGAGAAAAGGCAGTGAGTGTTGAGGGAGAGAAGCAGAAGAGACAGCGTATGACTCCACTATTCTGCACAGCCATCCTTGCATCGTGTACATACACCTGGTTGGATATATGCCTACAAACAACTACTCCTTGGGCCGACGGTCAATCGGCAGCGTCTTCCTCGCGACACCGCTGTACTGATTCGGATTCGGCGAATTCGGGCCTGACGATGGCGGCCCGACATACCGATTGCGATGCAGCACACGCGGTCGCTTCTGCTCCGAGCCAGGCCCGCCGTTATCCAGATCCCGGTCTGCACACGCACACCAAACATGTCAGTCACAGCCATAGCCCGAGAAGAGCGATATTCACGCACCGGATGCCGTCCGCTTACGGCTGTCCCGATCCCGGTCCCGGTCCCTGTCGTCCTCCCTCGGTCGGAACGGCGCAGCATGAGGATCGAGTGACATGATCCCGCCCATCCGCGAGCGCAGACTGCCGCCGCCGCTACTGGCACTAGAGCTAAATGGCGGCGACTGTGGTCGGTGGCCGGCACCATTCCCCATCGACAGCGTTGGCGTACTCGAGCTCATCGGAATCGGCGGTAGTCCACGAGCAAGCCCATGGGGTGCCGAGATCGGTGAAGGCGCTGGCGGTGTCGGTCGTCCGGCACGTGGGCCAGACGGGACCGACACCGCTGGGGTCTGAGGAAGAGCAGGCACAGGCGCAGGAGCAGGAGCGGGAGTGGGAGTGGAGGGTGGTGCTGATTTTGAGGAAGCTTCGTCCAAGGTCCTGTTATCCCCCTCCTCCTCCTTCCGCCGTCGATCGCTCTCGGGCCGACGACTGCGCTCGTCTCGGTGTGCACGGGAGCTGCGCTTCGATCCCCGGTCCGGCTAGTTACACATATCAGTGCTCATCATTCAGGCAACGAAGGAAGAACGCACATCATCATCCGTCGATGACCTCCGCCGCTTGCCCAGTCCATCATCCGGCGCCCCGTTGCGATGCCTCAAATTCGGTTCCGTCACCGAGGTCGGCATCGCCGTCCCGGGTCCCCCTGGGGTCCTAGATGGTGCGTCTTTCTCTCGACGATGCCGGTCCCGGTCCCGATCTCCATGCCTGTCCCGGTCTCCGCCTCTGTCCCGGTCCCGTTCTCGATCGCGGTCGCGTTCCCGGTCACCATGCCTATCTCGTCGGTCCTTGTCCCGAGATTCGCCGCCCCGGGACTCGCGGCCACTCTCGCGTCGCGCCTGACCGTGCACGTGATCGCGTTCGCGGTCGCGGTCAGATGATCGCTTGCCCTCGTCGCGCTCACGATCCCGGCCTCCGCTGTTGCGACTCTCGGCGCTGTGATTCCTCGTTCCCGGTCGAGATGGGGACGTTGATCTGCGCCGGGGAGACGATCCGCGAGAATTGCCGTTCGACGGAGCGGCACTCTCCTTCTTGACGATAGACTGTTTCGCAGTCTCCCTCAGCTCTTGGGCGTCCCTTGTCTGGCTCGGTGCAGCGGGCGGCGGCATGGCTGGTGTCGGGGTCGAGGGCGCCACGACCGGACGCGGCGAGTTGTGCACTGAGCTCGGGCTGTTGAACCTCGAGCCCCCGGCCGAGCCTTCAGCATCATTGGACGCCAGAAGTGGCGGCGCACCATCTCGCACGCGCTTCATGAATGGAGGCTTCTGGATGTTTGCGAACATGGACGACGTAGATGGTGTTGGTGCAGGTCCGACCGGCTTCTCCGGCACTGATGCTGGAATGGCAGCGAGCTGCGCTCGTGGCGCTGACGGTGCTCGAGCTTGAGTCGCAACAGCAGTCGGTACTGGTGCGGGAGTCGATATGGGAGCAGCATCCCTCGCCGAAGCCGGTGGTTTCTCCACACCTTTGACCGGTTTCTCAGCAGCTTTCGTACTAGCCGTCGTCGTAGTCTTGGCATCCACACGTTTATCCAAGCTGGCAAAGTACCTGGCACATTCTAATCAATAACGTTGCCAAACGAAGCAAACCAGGCAAAAAAACTCACGCTCGGCCCAGGATCTTCAGATTGTCCCTGGTCTCGACCTCCAAAAACTTGACCATCGCCTGGTGCAGTGCCGTACACGCCTCAGGCGACACCTCGGACAGCGGAAACACCGGGAACATCTCCTTGAGCATGATGATCGCGTTGTAGATGTGCATGTACTCCCCCGTCCGGATGCATTCGGCGAAGCATTTGCTCATCCGGAGGTGCCACTTGCGCACCATGCGCCGGAACATCGTCCCCCATTCCAGCAGATCATTTAGCTCAACCGGTCCCGCCGTCCATTTCGGCACAAATCCGGTGTGGTAGACGACATTCCCGCGGACCACAGATTGGTTGTCGGCATGGTACTGATCCTGGTTCTGATACCACTTCAGTGTGTCGGCCAGCAGCCCGCGGAGGAAGCGGCCGTAGTTGCGGGCTTCATATTCGCTACAAGAGAAGAGCACAGCGCGGACCGTGTCTTCTCCGAGGATCCGGTTGTAGCACTTGACCGTGTGAAAGTAGGGCGTGTTCAGTGTGTGCAGGAGCTTGATGAACTGCGCGCAATAATCCGCATCCATGGGCGACAGCAGACACCGTGGCTGGATGCAATGGTCGACAAAGGCACCGATGATCACAGACGACAGGCTCGATGCTGCCGATCATCAGTCCAAGCACTCGAAATGGCAACCGGTAGCACCTACTTTTGGCAAACCAATGATGTTTCTCTCGCGCCAATCTTTTAATGGTAAAAGCCCGTGCAACGGTCTGTTGCTTGTATTCCTCCGTCAAATGGGTAATGAAGGTCGTGTAACGGTGGCTTTTCGCGCGGTGCGACGGCACAGTAGCCCGGACACTGCGATCCGGAGATCTGTCAGCGGACTGAGCTCTGCGGTTTTCCTCGTTCGCCAGGTTCTTGAGTGTCGAGCACATCTCATCGTATTTGGCGCTCGGAGGCGACAAATCGTAGGTCGAAAGCTGCCAGAACGAAAGATAGAATGCTGGGCCCAAGACTTCCATGGCAGTCGCCGGCGCGATCTTCTTGATGTCGTCGAACAGAGGAACAAGTTCAGGTAGCCAGGGACTCTTTGGTTGCACCACTGGAACAGGTGTAGGCGAATCGACTCCTTCCATGCTCACATCTTCTTTGCCGGCTTCAGCCTTAGCCTCCGCTTCAGCCTTGACTTCCGCCTCAGCCTTAGCTTCTGCTTCAGGCTTCACATCCACCCCAGGGGAAGCGACTCGCGGAGTCGAAGTCGATGATTGCAGCTTCGCAGTGAGAGCTGCTTTCAGCCGTTTCTCTTGCTCTTCCGCAGCGATGCGCTCGGTCTCCTGCATCGCTTGGGCGGCAATCTTGCATCATGGAATCAGATTGCTTCACTGGCCAAACGTTTCCACCACGCACCATCAACTTGGCATTCAAGACGGGCCGGATGATGTGCATGCACATCGGGGCAGAAATCCCATACAGATCGCCCAGTTCAGCGAGCGACGGCAGAACCTTGGTTGCATAATCCTCGCCAGACACGATCGACGGGGAAGTGAGCAGCTCCAGATATTGGAAGAGAACGCCGTGCGTGGAGTCGAACAGACTGGACAGGGACTTGAGGTGAGGTGTGGGGGCTTTGTATACACAAGCCTCTCGCTGCTGGGCTATCTGGATCAGCAGCGGCAGCGCGAGCGACGAGTCCACGAGCGCCTTTCCAAGCCTTTGGGGTCCTCTGAGCACCTCGTTTGGATCCAGCGCAGCTCCTCGGGTGCTGGACGCGATCGCTTCGATCCGCAGTACAGGTCCTCCGGCCATCGCCGCGATCTGCGAGTCAGACAGACTCGGCAAAGGTTCTATTCCAGCCATCTTCCAAATGAGCTCGCGTAGGACAATGAGCTCGCCGGTTTGCTCATTGTGAAGCTGGTTGACAACATATTTGAGAACAGGCGTCAGATCTCCGGCATAGCGCTTGAAGAGCATGCCGATAAACGACGCGAGACCTGCGTCACATCAGTTGAGGAGTATACAGGGCCAGAACGGGACCCACTTTGCAGCCAATCACTCGTGTTCACCCCATCCTCTTTGACCCGGTCCTTGTTTGGATTGGAGAGTGCATCCAGAATGATGAACACCAGCACATCCAGCGCCATCGTTGTCAGATTGCGGAACGCGTTCACCACGACCTGCGCCAGATTGTCGTACGCCATCACTTGATTTACCGCGTTGGCGAAAAAGATGCACGGATGGCAGTTGACCAGCTTCGACACCGAACCCGAGAGAGAATCTGCAGTCTGGCTCGACAGCCGGCGCATGATGCCTTTCGATTCCCTGTCAACCTGCACGAATCGCACCCGCAACTCAGCATGCGACTGATACATAGTCGTCTTCCACTCTCCATACAATTGCCAGCGCTTCTCCGCTTCGTATTGCCGAATAGTGTTCCAGACGTCCACGATCAGCGTCGCATTCGATTTGCCTAGGCTCAGAGACGGCAGCAGATACTTGCGCAACATCATGAACCAGAAGCTCCGAATAGGATCTTCACCATCGTCGCTGGGTTTGGACGCCTGGAGATGCACCCTGGCGAGTCTCGACAGCTTCGTCAGGAACACTGGATCACGTGAGGCATGGATGCCGACGAATGCCATGAGCGGCTCCACTACGTGAATCAGCTCGTCCAGCGTCGAACAGACGGGTATCCGCTCTGTCCACCGCGGGAAAAAGAACACGAAGTCGTGGGTGGCGGTACATGGCGGAGTTGGTGCGACGAGCGTGAGCAGACCCTTCCGTGGAGGTGGCCGTATGAGGCCCGTCGTTCCAAAGCGGGGTCGAGGTGTCCCGAAATTCGCAGCTCGAGGCTTGTTGGCCACTTGTGTCTCGTACAACGTCGAAACCGAGTGCTTGAGCGTCCTCAACACCAAATCCGCGGTCTCCGGGTGCGCATCAACAAGATATGGGAATTTGGACATGGTCGCCACGGCGGGTCGGAGCGAGCCCATTGCCAGCAGGGCTTTCAGAAGCTCCAACTTTTGGTTTTCCTGTTTCTTCGCTTCTGCCGGCTTCGGATTCGCCGAGGTCACTTTGCTGCTACTTTTTGCAGCGGGAGGTCCTTCTTGTGTCAGAGGAGCCGCCATGGCCAATGCACTGACTCGAGCAGCACTCATTCGGGCCTTGACCGAGTTCGCGTACTCGGTCCGCACTTTCTCCATCTCAACGTCGTCGGGGGCCAACTGGACGTAGCATCAATGTCAACGCCGCACTCTCGGACTCTGCGGAACGCACATGAGGATGTAGATCTTCGAGAGTAACGTAGCCTTGTCGAATCAATAGGGCAGCAGTGAGATACAAATTCTTCGGTGTTGCTTCAGTAACATCGGCAGACTGAGCTCTTGTTCAGAGAAAGTATCGGAATGCAAAAAGCGGGAACGCACTTGATAGTATGTGAACTTGAAGCCAAGCACTTGTGCCAACACACGCGGATCGCTGACTTCAACTGATGCAGGCTGCTCCCCTCCATGATCGGCCATAGCCAGCACGTCATCTAGAATCTTTCCCTCATAACAGTGTATCGGCTCATCGATACCATCCCTCTCATTCAACGGCCTTCTCGTCGGGGGCGCCCATGGCGAGAACGAAAGCAAGGCAAGGAAAAAGCTATAGTGGGCAGACAGATGCACAATGAGCACGTCCAGAATGATGTCCAAAGCTCTGTTGGGATCCAAATCGAAGTACCCAATGAGACTCATGAGTTTCTCCCATACAGGTCGTGCTCGTTCTTCTATGGCAGAGTATGGCTCTATCGGTTCGCCAGTGATGGATGAATGTGCAGGTCCAAGGTTACTGGTAAGTTCCACCGCGAGCTTGCTGTAGCCTTCAGATTGTTCACGTAGAAGGTTGAACTTGTTCTGCTTGTAGCTGTGGTCTGTCAGACAAAGCTGTCGGAGAGAGTGCGATTACACACAAGAGTCCCGTTCGCACACGAATCTCCTTCTTGTCAAATGCAACTTTGTTCACAAGACCTGCATCCTCAGCTATCTTCGTATCCAACCGCTCCAATATCGTGGTGGGCGCTACGAGACGAAGTTCCTACCCGCAGTCAGAACCATTCCGAGTCCAAGTCGTTTGTGTCACATACCAATAGCTGCTTGACAATTCCAGTGAGGACCTGTTTATCCTGCTCTGCCGTCTCCGCCGCCTTTTTAGCTTGTGTCTGCGCGGTCGCGAGACTGCCCTCCGGCGTGTCCCCGCAATTCGTCACTGTCGTTTTCGCAGTGGAAGCCAGCTCGTCCAGCTGCGCATACAAAGCCCAGATCATATCCAAGAGATTGTCCGAGAATGCGGGAGGGCCGGACGAGGAAGACGGGAGACCGTCCTGAGCCTTCTTCACGAACGACACGAACGCTGCGGGGGAGAGCGCGTGTTTCGGGACCCATGTAGCCAGCGTCGATGACAAGAGCGTTTGATACGTCGTCGTGAGCGTGTCCAAGACTTGAGGGTCCGAAGCGCGTTTGTGGGCGGCTCTGAGCGTGTCGCAACTGCGTGGAGAACGGTAAGCTCTTATCGTATAGAATGAAGGGCGACTGGATGCACCATTCTATTTCCCCTCCAGCGCCCCACCGCTCTATTTGTCGCTGAACGGCGGCGATGACCTCCATTACACCCAGAAGCCTGCGATGAGGTTGCCCACCAAGGACGTTTGTTGGTCTGTTTGGGCACCTTCCTTTTCCGGGTGATGATCATCAAGCTTTGGCATCTTGTCACTTCTCAAGTCCTCTGCAACATAACTCCAGTGCTCGAGACTGACGAATCCAATAATTTCTTTCACTGCAAGTGATACCTCCGCTGTCCCTAAGCTTTATGGACAGTAGTGCGAATGACTTATACCTGGGGGATTCGCTTCCAGTGTGACTCGAGTTCCGTGAGCTTCATGTTTAGAATGTACTCGTATCTCGTTACGGACGCTCTTTTGAATCACGGGCCGGCTCAGACGCAGATGGCTTGGCGGTAGTGTACTTGGCTGGGGGAGTTAAAATATTGTTGATCCCAAAGGAGAACCACAAAATTCCGTTCCGAGTCTTTCCTGAAACCAAGAATGCATGATCTGTGTCGATGCCAATGTCTCTCATTACGCTTTTTTACTGTATTCCTTCTGTCTGTTGCAGAGTTGTCGAGCCTTGGATGGCAACCTCGTGTGGCACCACGCGCCGTGGTGACAGGCTACAGGCTAAAAAAGTCTCGGAGTCTCCATGGCCGAGTCCTGCCCGTTCCGGAATGAACATTCGACTTACATAATAATTGAAACACGGCGGCCTTACGGAAGGTCCCCTGGTGACTGCACGACGTGTTTGTTTTTGCGCAACAAAGTGACATGGTGCAACACAAAGCAGGGGACAATAAGCGAAAGAGGACAATTGCGGCAAACGGCTTTTGTGCTTGAATGGGGATGAGCGTAATAGCTTCCTATTGTCTGCTCTTGTTCTCTTTTGGAACAAGGCGCGGCAAGAAGCTTCCATTTCCACGCCAGTGAGAATATAAGCGCAGGAGCTCGCCGTGCCACCCATCCGGCCCCTCTCCCGTCTACTTCCGCTGTGTCTCATCTAGGTGAGCTTGACACAGGAGATCATCCGTCAATTTGTTATATTGAAGGGCAATCTTTCCTCTTCAGACCACATCTACGACCCCCGTTTCTGATCCACGCATTACACGCACAACTCGTCTCACTCCTTCTCATAAGCTTATTTGCTTCGCATTTCCACGCTCTTGCATCTCGCATCCTCTAATATATATCTCACGTCTCTCCTCGTCTTTCGCGCGCACTCGATACCGCACAAATCCATCGCCGGACGATCTCACACCTTCGTATTCTCATCAAGAACCATGTCTAGCCTTACCAACACCGTCGCCCATGCCGTGTCCCTTTTGACCCAGCCCTTAGCCAAGGCCTACTCCCCTCAGACCATCGTCAAGCTCCAGCTTGTCCTGGAGGCCAACCTCACCGCGCTGTACGCCGAGTCCTGGGATGTCCACCAGCCGATGCGTGGCTCTGCCCGTCGCTGCCTCGTGCTCTCCCCCGACTGTCTTCCTCCTCGAGCCATCTACGCTGCCTGCATCGCCGCTGGCGTCCAGTGGTTCGACTGGATTGCCCTGCTTGGTGGCAAGGACGTCGAATTCTTCGTCGACCCTGGTTGTATCTCGATGCGTCTGGAGCGTACTGGCCCGGACAGCGAGCTCATCCCTCTGTGGGTCGCTCAAACGCCTGCTCCCAGGCCCATCGTTGCCACCTGCGTCCCAATCCACATCCCGCGCACGAAGACTATGGCGCAACAGCTGCTCGAAGACGACGTTGAGTCGGACGAGCAGATCTTCACCATGCTGTCCGATGAAGCCTGCGCCCCGACTTGGTTCACACCCGTCGTCGCAGAGTTCCCCAAGTCCCGGTCCATTTCTCCGATCTCGGCTCCTTCTCGGTGCAGCTCGCGGTCCTCCAATTCGAGCAGCTCGGGTAGCACGTTCTCTTCGGTGGAGTCGTCGCCTTCGATGTCGGAAGGCCCGCGGATGTCTCGCAGGGATCGTGCTCGCCAAGCTCGTGTTTTCATTGACACGTCTAAGAACGAGGTAACCCCTTACGATGGTGGCAAGACCACTGTCCTGACGGGTGGTGTGATGCTCGGTGGCGCACCGAAACCTGCCCGCTCTCGTCACAACAACTCGAACGACGCCTACGGCTGGCGCGTGCGCATTTGAACGCTTTCCCTCACGTTCCTTTCACGACTGTTTTCCACGTCCTCACGAAAACGCTGACAACAACAAACAAGACTGACTTGCTGGACTTTCAACACTACACATCCACACCAACTCGTACATTATCACTCTAATTATCAACAGCGTGCTCATCGTCGTTCACTTTCACTTCTTGTTTTTTTAGCAGATGTAGCACCACGATCGTCACCGTGCGGCTTGTCAGCGCCCTCGGTTAGCCTATACTTCGCTTTAATCTGCTTCTTCCTAATCTTTTGTCTACTTCATCCTGCTTCTTGGTCTTGTATTATATGGTCCATAATCTGCTGCATTTTGCGGCCTGGTGTACTTATAACAATGCTATCGGTGCGCTGTATTTGATGTGTCAGACAATCTGGCCGCCGCCAAGCAACGAAAGCAACCGTGAATTGGCGCGATCAAAGAAGCGGCTTTTCAGAAGACATGAAATGTGGAATGAGCGATAGACGTCGGGCATAGAGGCTCTCAGAAGCCTCTCGGAAGCAGCCAAGTGACAAGTGGCTTGTGAATGAGAATGGTTCTAGAGATTCCAAGTGCTTGGGCGGTGATAACTCGGCGTGATGATACCCCGGGCCGGCTGCACCGCCACACGATTATCTTCCACCAATGACAGCACGTGAAAACCCAAGCCGTCCCCAAACTTTTGCCTACTTACTTTCGGTTTACTCACCTCTGCCGCACGTCTGCTGCCCCACGAACGTCGCGAGCCATGTTCAGATCCTCAGTGCTTTTTAACAAGCCTCTCTCGCGCGCGCTCGCAACGCATGCCAGCCCAGCATCCGCCGTATCTCGGAGATCGTGGACCAGGCAGGAGATCCAAGACGTCTACGACTCTCCACTGCTTGACCTCGTCTTTCGATCCGCTGCCGTCCACCGCCAGAGCCATGATCCGACGAAGATCCAGCTCTGTACTCTCATGAATATCAAGAGTGGGTAGCCCTCTACCGATCGTCGCTACTTAACGCTGAACCCCCTCTCAACAGCTGGTGGATGCTCTGAAGACTGTATGTTTATTCTCTGCGGTAACTTGGATTATTCTGGATCTTCGCAGGCTCGTACTGCTCTCAATCGTCGCGCTATTCGACCCCGACAAAGGCTTCGAAGCTGGTAGATATTGAGCCCGTGTTGGAGGCAGCGCGCAAGGCGAAGGAGAATGGCAGCACACGTTTCTGTATGGGTGCTGCATGGAGGGACCTCGCTGGCCGCAAGCGCGGATTCGAACGCATACTGGATATGGTTCGCGAGGTGCGAGGGATGGGGATGGAGGTCTGCACCACGCTTGGCATGCTCTCTCCGGAGCAAGCGAAGCAGCTGAAAGAAGCGTGCGTCCCATTTTTTCCTCTGGAAGCATCTCCTCATGTCCGTATAGCGGCCTCACTGCGTACAACCACAACCTTGATACGTCGCGAGAATTCTATCCCGAGGTATGTTCCCCCCCTGAGCTGCAGTGCATCAACACATATGTCCGCAGGTCATTACGACTCGCAGCTACGATGAGCGATTGGACACTATCTCCGCTGTTCGGGACGCGGGCATAAGTGTTTGTTCCGGAGGCATTCTTGGATTGGGAGAATCGGACAAAGACCGAGTGGGATTAATCTGGGAAGTCTCCAAGTGAGTATTTTTTCACTTGAGTCATCTGGCATCAGAGCTGATCTTCCTGCAGCATGCCGGAGCACCCGGAGTCATTCCCTGTCAACGCGTTGGTCCCTATCGCCGGAACTCCTCTGGAGAATAACGAGGTCAGTGTGGTTCATCAACAACCCGTGATGAGACTGATCCCGGAGGTAGCCTGTCAAATATCACGTCCTTCTCCGGACCATTGCCACAGCACGAATTGTGCTTCCTACCACGATCATCCGCCTTGCTGCTGGCAGGAACACCCTGGCTGAATCCGAGCAGGCGATGTGCTTCATGGCAGGAGCAAATGCGGTGTTCACCGGAGAGCAGATGCTGACGACACCTTGTGAGTTGGGCTTGCCTGCATCAGATCTCCGCTCCCCTTCTGATGCATGTCCAGGCTCGCCTTGGGATGAAGACAAGGCGATGATGTCTCGCTGGGGTCTCGACGGCATGCGCAGCTTCGAGCAGGCCAGTGTTGCCCGCAAAGAAGTGATCAAGCCGGTTCAGGCCAGCAGCGCCAGCGCCGACGCCGTAGCCTCGCTCTAGATTATCGATAAGATGGATTATGTATTTGTACCTGTGGCTGTACAGTAGAGTGGGCCACAACACTTCACTTTGAACCCAAGATCCATGAGTGCAATTCGGCCCCCCAGTCCCGGGTCCGCGAAACGACGCGTCAATGATACCCAGTAGGCCGTCTCACTGGCTCTTTCCTTCCAACGGCTTACGTGACTGTCCAGGGACCTCATTTTGCCCATGAGCGATCGGAACGCCTGGTTTTACCCATCGTATGGCTGCGACTCAAGCGACGACGACAACGTTCATTACTCTAACTGGGGAGCCAAGGCCAAAAAGAGAGGTCGTTGGGTGCGCCCGGGGAAGTTGTCGGCTTGGGGTCCCGATTTCGGTGAATGGGAGGTGCGTGTCTCCCGACCATGCGGTCCAATAGACTAGAAATCCATGCTTCATTCCAGGAAGAAGACCGCGCCAGAAAGCGCCTGAGGATGCTCGTTCCTCAGGAGCGACGGTCCCCATCTCCCCCAGCTCTCCCTCACCTTTCCAACCCCTCATCCGCGCCCATACGTTCTCCGTATCCGCCAGCCATGACACACCACCTCACATACACGTCGTTCGTCATGGACAAAGCCGTGACGCATACCTTCCGCTCCAAGCTGGTGGATGAACTCGAGAATGCCACGAACGGACTGATCGAGGGCGAAGCCGCCATGCGCCAGGCTCTCGGCCGGCTGTGGCAGGCCATGAACGACGAGGCGAGCAATCCTCCGGTGTCTACTAAACAGGAGGATGACGAGGACGTTGATGTTGATGATATGGACGATGTCGCGAAACGAGTGGCGCGCGCGCCTGACCTCACCCTTCCGGCGCAGAAGCTGTTCAAGGACACATGGGCGCCCAGTAACGACGGCTCTCCGCCGGTACGTGAGTACTCTCAGTTCGCATCGCCTGCGACACAACTAGAGGGCTTTGAGAAAGCCATCGCGACGCTGCGAGAGCTGCACGACGATGGACGGGAGTATACCGAGAGACTGGAAGATATCAGGGAAAGTCTAGGAGATGTGCGTGCTCAGAGAGATGTCGTTTGGACTTTTGTTCGAGAAAAAGCCGTGGAAGAACTCAGAGAGGTCGCTTCTTCCGCTTATGTTGCTTAGCTAGTTTCCAATGTAATAGTCTATGTAATGAACAGATGCAGTACCTCTAATTTTGACAGCGTACTCTTCCCGCAGAGATCAGTCTGTATGTACCGCATCGTCTTGAACGGATCGAAAACTATCGAAAAGCTTGTGCGTTCTTCAATGATGGGGCACCATAACAGTCTCCGTCGCGAAGCGAGACCTGGACCAGAAATCGAGACCGTGTAGTATGCAACAGGTCATCGGGGCTGACGAAGATCATTGCGAGGTTTTTATCTGTGTCACATGAGCATAGGCGGCAGATAAGTGTGGCTCTGTGCCTTACTTGGAGTCCATGAATGTCAGCTATCTCCTCCTTGATGGTCCGTGTTACTAGCTGGTGTTGCTTGACCGTGGGCATCCCCCGGAACGAGTCACTGGCAATCACAATGGCAAAGAATGTCCCGCATCCTCCAGAGACGTCTTCAATCTGTAGTTGAGACGGAGAAAACCTGGGTCCATTCAGCCGCGAGACATACAAATCAGAGAGGACTGCGCTTGTTCACTTTTCAGTCAGCTTGGCGCGGATGACATCTTCTGTAGAGACTGGAGAAGCGGGCGTCGAGAAGACCCGGACACGGCATAATGAGGTCGCGAATAATCGACGCGTCGAAAGCGCAAGCATTATGACCGCAAAAGCAGAGCTGAAGTGGGTAGTCGGGAATTGGTCATCGGCCGCCGAACTACTGAGAAAGGCAGCTGTAAGGCCGAGCAACCGGCCGCCAAGAAAGCGCGTAATTATAGATGACTACACGAGACTAGAATTGTCGTGACTGAGCACTCGATCCTACCCGACTTTTTCCAGTCTCTCGTCTCTCCCGACATGCTGCTGGGTGCCCTCAAGAGAGCCACTCAATCCAGGAGCCTCTCAGCGTGCTCTCGTGCCCCACAAACTGCGTTCTGCTCTCCATTTCGGTCTGCCTCCTTCACTGCGGCGTCGCGCCCATGCATCTCTGCGCGCTTCGCACCAACTAAAACGGGGATCTCTCGTCTCCCCGTGCGTCGATGGGTGACTCTCGATGCGTCCAAGCACACATCAAAACTCACTGCCGACGACGGTATTCCACGGACCGTTCCAGGGCAGAAAACATCTACCGTAACAGACGCGACAATCGACGCGGCGACCCCGGGCACTGCACCCCCACCACCTGTCTCCGTGGGCATATGGCTCATGGTCTCGTCCGTACTCGTGTTGGCCGTCGTCGTCGTTGGAGGTGTCACTCGTTTGACTGAATCTGGGTTGAGTATCACGGAATGGAAACCCATCACAGGTGTTGTTCCTCCCATGACGCAGGAAGCGTGGGAGGAGGAATTCACCAAGTACAAGGCCACACCGGAGTTCAAGATGTGCGCTTGCCCTGCCCTCCTTTCAGAATGCGATGTTCTAACCGCTGCTTTAGGTTGAACCACTCCATCTCTCTCGAAGACTTCAAGCGCATCTTCTACATGGAATGGGGACATCGTGTTCTCGGGCGCCTTATAGGCCTCGTTTTTGTGGGACCGCTTATCTATTTCAAGGCCACGAAGAAGATCTCTACTCCGCTAGCCCTCAAACTCGGTGGCCTCGGCCTGCTCATCGGCGCTCAAGGCGCTCTCGGATGGTACATGGTCCAGTCTGGGCTCGAAGACTCCATCATCGAAAACGGTGCTGTTCCTCGTGTCTCCCATTACCGACTCGCTGCGCACCTCTCGATGGCTTTCGCACTGTACATCGGCATGTTTTCGACTGGCATGGCCATCATCAAAGACACCAAGTTCGTCAAAAATGGGATGGCCGGGGGCCTTTCTCTGACCTCGTTTACCGAGGCAATGAAGCATCCCATCACGAAGCGTTTCAAGACGCTTTCGTGGGCTATGACAGGACTGGTACTGTTGACTGTGCTCTCAGGTCAGTGGACTGGAGATGTTTGCAATTCTTTTCTGATTGAACCGCTCAGGGGTCTTTGTGGCGGGATTGGATGCCGGTCTGGTTTATAACGAATGGCCTCTGATGGGAGGCCGACTGGTCCCACCAACGGATGAGCTCTTCTCGCCGCATTATGCCAAGAACGCCGACAAGTCTGACTTATGGTGGAACGTGCTCGAAAACCCCACCACAGTTCAATTCAACCACCGAATGCTCGTGAGTACCCTCACGTGAAGGTCGTCACGTCAGACTCACAGTCCAGGCAAGGCTACGACCACCTACACCGGGATCGCCCTGCTTTTTGCTCAAACCTTCCGCCCAGCCTGGAAACAGATCGTGCCGCCTCTCGCTATTACCGGAGTCAGAGCCGCCTTCGCAATGGCAAACATCCAGGTTTTGCTCGGTATCACCACTCTCATTCATCTGGTGCCGGTGCCGCTCGCTGCAGCACATCAAGCCGGGAGCCTGTTGCTCCTGACGGCCATGCTGCAGCTGCTCATTGCCCTCCGACGCCCCGGTGCTGCAGCCCAAGCCTGGAGGAATCTTAAAACGGCCCAGAAAGCACAACGGCCATAATGTGTACACAAAATAATTTGTATTCCCCGCGTATAATCAAACTATCCCTCCATCTGGACATCCTCGTCGGCAGATGCAGTCGCGGCAGGCGCAGGCGCAGCATCGGTTGGCGTCTCCTTCGGTACCATGCTCTGCAAGTAAACTTCCACATCGTCACCTTCAACGATCCGGAAAGGCCCTGCTGGTGTCACGCTTTTCTCGTGAGCGCCTCCAGGACCAACGATTCCGATGGAAGTGTTGTTGACATTCAGTTCTTTATCTTGCTGCAGCGTTTCGCGTAGAGCGTGCAGGCCGTGTCGGATCAGTTGCTCCAATGTGCCTGGCGCACGATGAGACTACGAGCGAATGCCAAATACGATGCAGGGGCACGTACAATCTTCGAACTCTTTGAAGTGCTTTTCGAGATATGTCTTGGCACTCTGGCTTCGCGCACCGATGGACATGGCGTAGTACTCGTAGGAGTTTCCCGATGGCGAGAACTCATAGAGGTGCGGCCCGGACTGGTCCTGGCCAATGACCAAGAAACCCACACCGTACGGTCGTCTTCCGTATTCCTGCGTGTTGACCTGCGCCTCTGCACCCCATTTGAGCAGTCAGTTACATTCGATTGGAGGGGAGACGCACTATCGGCAATGGAGGCAACGAGTCTGTTTACAGGCACCGGTCGGTTGAAGACCATTTTCGAGGACATAGCTTGCTGCCGCATGAAGTTGCTATCAGCCGGTTAGAGGGCATTATATATACCAGAATCGGATAGCAGCGTACCTCAACACACGCGCATCCGAGGTAAGTCCAGCAATCGCAATCCCGACATGATCATCTATCCGGAACATCTTCTGTTGGTAGGACGCGAGCTCCCCAGACGAACGCTACACACACGCGTCAATCGAGCACTTTCATGGAAGAGGTAAGCTTGGTTACCTTGAGTGCCAGCAAGATCGAGTGCGTCTTGGATCGCAGACCAACAGCGGCGGAACCCTGCTTCACGGCTTCCAGTGCATATTCCACTTGATGCAATCGGCCTTGGGGGGAGAACACGGTATTGTCGGAGTCGTAGGTATTCCTGAACTGTACGAGACGTTAGAAAACGCGCTCCTAAGCAATCAAAGGATAGAGCCTTGCCATGGTGGATCGAAGTAAAGGAAGATCGTGTTATTGGGCTGACGCGTCGAGTAGCGTGACTGTCACACTTGTGTTACTTACGCGGCTGATGTCCAAGGACTGGCGTGTAATTTCATGCTATTGCCAGGCGCGTGTCTAGCATTACTTGACTATGTGCGTACAGTAAGTGCGTCAGATATCATCGGCTTCTCTTGTCGGACTTCCACTCCTTGAAGATAGCGTCCAAACTTTTGTGCATCTGGTTCGGAGGCAGACAGCGGATGATCTCGCCAACCCGTTCTTCGACATCTGCCTTGCCTTTGTCTCCGTCTGCCTTGATTGCATATTCCATCGAGATGCGGAAGATCGCCAGAACCGCCAGTGAAATCGGTATCTGATGAGAGCCATGGACCGATTCCGGCGAGATAGCGGCCAGCAGCGGAGCAGCGAACGGCGCATGCTGAGAATAGGGACCTTGATTGTTGCGGATAAGGCGAAGCAAGATCTCGACAACATTGTCGATTTTGGAAAGATGTGTCTTCAAGAAGCGTTGACGTTCAGTCAATGAGCCGGCGCCAGATGCGTTGGACCATGCTTCGAGGACTGTTGCGAGAGTGGGGGGCTTGGACGGATGTCAGCGTTATGGAAGCGCGCAAGGAATGAGCAGAACGCACTGGGTCAGGATCGGAGACGATGATTTTCTTCTCCCAGCTCTCAGTCGAATCACCCGCAAACCAGAACATTCGGCCGAAGAGACTCTTCAGCCATTCAGGTATATCACCCGTCCTGGCCCATTTGGGCTCTGACAAGGGACGGTTGGTGTCAAGATAAACGAATAATGTGATAGTTTGAGGTCTGGTTATTTGCAAGAACGGCGGAAAGTGAGCAGAGCCAGCGGTCGGATCAGTCGGGTTGTACGACTTGGTGGCCTCAGAAAGACTTTCCATCTTGAAACGGTTAGCGGAAGCCGGTTGAGTTTTAATGATACTCACCAAGACGCCCTTGAGGCCGGACTCCTCGTCAGTCAAATTGATATGGACTTCGGCTCGAGCTTCTCGACGATACAAAGTCATGGACTCAATGATAGCAGCATCGAAAACGAGGCGATAGTTCCCGCCCTCGTAAGAGATGGACAAACGATTAGCAGCAGGAACTTTGTTGTCCTTGACTTCTGGCTTCACTGCCTCTGCAAACGATGTCGTCGAATCAGCCACTGAAGGCGGAGGCTCATCAACATGTGTGCCATCGTAATCCTGGAACTCGTCCTCCAGTGTAGGATCACCCATCAGAATTGTGGCCTCTCCACGAATATCCTGCCCATCAGATAGCTGATCATCAATATTGAGCAAAGTTGCAGAGGCAGAGAGAAGCTCGTCAGGTGGCTTTTCTGGGGAAATGGGAGGAGTAGCCGAGCGCAGTTCTTTCGTATGCTCAAGCGCCTTGGGCGACGACATGACATGGTCTTGGACAGAGGAAGGAGCAGAGTCAAACAGAATATCCACAGCAGACGGCGGCTCAGAGACAGGAGCAGAAAAGCCGGTGGCAGGTGAAGCAGGCACATGATCCACAGGAACATCGCTGCTTTCAAGTTGCGATTCGGTGGCCAAAGAGCCTTGCAAAATCGGAGTCAGCGATGCGCAAATGTGGACGCCTCGCAAGAGGGATTCACAAAACGCAATGATGATCTCCTAGGACAAGGGAGCGCGCTCACCATCGATCTGCTTCTCGGCCGTGTTCTCCGTCCTTGACTCATGGGGATTCTCCTGCCGGACATTGCCCTGAGAGGAAACATCGTCATGAGGATCATCGCCAGGCTGAACATCGGGAGGCTGAACATCATCATGATGCTCTGACATAACCTGATGCTCAGCGTCTGCATTGTCTTCGTGCTCTTCGTCCTGCACATGCGATTCACTTTCACCATCGACGATAGCAGCCATCAGCCAGTCGCCCTCGCTCGATGTCTCTGCAACACTGGGCGCTACACTGCCCCGATCATCATTCAAACCAGGAGGGGGAGGAGGGGCTCGGCCCTCTTCAAAGTCTCCATCGTCAGACTCTATCTTCTTTCTCTTCCCCTTCCGGGAGTCTGAGGGAGAAGTGCCCATAGAAAAAGACCCCCCGTCCCGAATGGGATGTGAATCCACTGCAGTGACCGGAGTGTGAAAGTAAATGCGCATTCGCGAGGGCGGTGGACCCAGGTCCGATGCCGACGCTTTCGCGGTCAGAGCATCTGAAGAAAGAGGTTTCGAGTCTGTCCCATCTGCCATTGGCACGGCCTCGACGACATCGTCTCCAGGCTCAGACTCTGTTTTGACAACAGGAGGAACAGAAGCATCCTCAGCCGCCGCAGTCTTCTCTGGGGGATCTGCTGGTGGGACCACACCCCAGGACCAGTCCAGCTCACGTATTTCGAGTCCGACGATCTTAAAGTCCGTGAGCGTGCGACGGTTCTCGTCCTTCTTACCAGAGTTAAAACTCGTATTCGATCCGTCCCGCGTTCCAAAGGAGGTGCCATTGTTCCGTCCCCGATTTAGGTTGCCGTGGCCGCGACCCCGGAAGGAACCCAAGTTGCTTTGGAACGAGCCGCCACCCGACGCGAAGGAACCACCTCTGCGGTTATGGAAGTCTTTGTTGCCGCCAAAATCACCCCGAGAGCCGCCATGTCCCCTGAGCGGCCCGCCGGAATTGACGCCGCCTCGACCTTGATTGTTCCCACCGAAGCTTCCACCACCTCGATTTCCACCCCTGCCAGGCATGCCTCCCCGATTCCCACCACTCATCACCCCATTGCCTCTTCCGCGACCCATCGGCCCTGTGCCTCCACCACCTCCTCGAACGATTCCGGGTCCTCCACCTCGCATACCCATCGGGACGTGATTCCCAATGGCGCCGCCACCTCGACCAGCAAATTGACCGGGCTGCATTGCTCCCACCACTGGAGCCGCTTGAAACTGTGGCTGGACGGGTGGCGGCCGGTTGTGCATCGGGCCATCGAATCGCTGCCGCTTCGCCGGCGGCATGTGCTGGGGCGGCGTATGGTGAAGATGCCGCTGTTGCTGTTGCTGTTGCTGTTGCTGTTGCTGCTGCTGCTGCTGCTGCTGCTGCTGCTGCTGCTGCTGCTGTTGCTGCTGCTGCTGCTGGAGCATCATGTTTTGCATCTGGCCCATATGCGGCGCGGGGTGCGGGAAGAACTGCTGGAGTTGCTGGGGCGTCTGCGGCGGCGGCTGTACGTATGGGACGGGTACTTGAGGCACATAAGGCTGGGCGTAGCCGGCGGTAGGCTGATATGGATTGTATCCTGGTTGCGGCGGGGGCGGTTGAGCTGGAACATAATGCTGCTGCTGCGGCGGTGGTTGCTGGCGCCAGTGATTTCCCTGGTTCCCGTAACCGTAGTTGGCGTACAGAGCGCTCTGCTCAGCTGGAGGTCGCGCTGGCTGGGCAGCAGTCCATTGCTGATTGAAGGTACCGATGGATGGCGCGGGCGCTTGTTGCTGCTGAGACGCGTTCCAGTATGAGTTGTAGTCCGGTTGACCTTGGACAGGCTGAGGCGGAGGCGGTCCTGGAGGCAGCGGTGGAGGGTACGCAGGTTGTTGAACGAACGAATTTTTATGCATTGATTTTGCCGCGGCTGTGCACAAACTTCCAGCAACCCAAGATCCGATTCCAGCACTGTGCTGATAACGGGATGTGCGAGGGCAGACCAAAAAGAGGCCAAGAAATCTGCCTGTAGCCGGAGCGAAGGGTGGGCGAACGCGCTGGCAGGTCCCAAAGAAGGCAAGATTTTGGAGTGATTATTTGATGGAGGACTAGCCTCGCGTTATCTCAATGTAGGGTCTGCGCATCTTGAACGTTCTCATTCCAATGTTTCCGGTCACAAACTGCTACTCAATTTGCGAATAGTCATACAACCAGTAATATATGAGATCGTCTGTGAACCCCATTTACAAATCCCCTCTCGGCGCACCTTAGAATCCGGAGACATTCAGTCGAGACTCGAAGAGATGAATCGTTCGGCTTACCTGGTAAGCGGGGGGCAAGATCCTTGGCCTGAGCGGTCTGCCTTCGTTTGCGGTGCTCTCCAGTCCTGACTGTCTGCAATTGAGATAGGTCGCCGGGGTGGCGCATCGGCAACTCAACTGGAAAATATGTCTCTGTGCAACACAAACTTCTCGTGCGTGGGCCCTTGCGTTGCGGGCTTCGGGGTGAATGAACCAGGGAGCGTGGGGGTCGGAGATTTAGAATCGTCGCCTTTAGCTTTGCCTTTGTCCTTCTCGTTGCTATCGCCCTCCTTCCCCTTGTCCTTGTCCTTCTCCTGGTTCTTCTCTTTCTCCTCCTTCTCCTTGGCTGCTTTCCGTTTCTGTCGATCTTCCCAGTTCGCTATAGCCTTCCCGACATCCTCTTGGCTGACTTCTGGCTTCGGTGTAGCATCGGGGCTCTTCAACGGGCTCGCAAACCCGGGATCCGAGAGATGGACCTGCACAAAGAGACCTCATCGTAAACACGGACCAGGTCAGGGTAACATCTCGGACCGGACAGATGTAGAAAAAATCGACGGTGTTGATCGTGGCAAGAACAGTTGGGGTCGGTTTGTAGCAGACGAAGCAAGGTTTGGGAGTGCCTGCAGTCTAGATATCTAGCTGACTTGGCAGCAGGTGCAGAGCGCTGGTCTTACTCGTTTGTAGTATGAGTTGGCGAACGTCGCCATCTTGAGACAGAGAGACTTGAGAGTGAAATAACACCGAGATGTCCGGACCGTCCGTGCCGAGCGGTCTGCCCCGAATCAACCCGGATCACCCAAGGTTACCTCCAAGGGGAGGAGCGCGGGGTTACATGAGTATTTGTAGGATTCGACCCTCCCCGGATACAGATACTGATTTAGCACGCGAAGATCCAGGCTTTGTAGAGGTCAATGAGGTGCTCGCTGTGGTTGGTCGGGAAATAACGGGTCGGCAGCTGCACTCGGATCAAGGACAGTCCGATCGTGGGCTGGGCGACCAGCGTGGGATCTATTTTCGCGGCTTGATCCGTCACCTCTGACGTTTCTTCAGGTTCATCGGATTATCTCTCGATCGGTGTTCCGGCCAGACGTGGATCATACATAAAACTCAGCGACCAAATGCGATTTAGTTACTCTATCATCGACTCTCCCACTCATCACTCCAACCCTCTCAAACCGAAAACATGAGTACCATTACCTGCAAAGCTGCTGTGTGCTGGGCCGCAGGCGAAGAACTCAAGATCGAGGACGTCCAGGTCGCTCCTCCTCAAGCGCACGAAGTCAGAATTAAGATACTGTACACTGGCATCTGCCACACTGGTTCGTCGCATCGTGTCCTAAAGAAACCTTCCGCGTGTAATAAAAACACATCTCTAGACGAGTATACGCGCTCTGGACGCGATCCCGAGGTGGCTCATCTTCGAACTTCTCGTCATCATCGGGCATAGCTAATTTACGCGAACAGGGTCTATTCCCTGTAATTCTGGGCCACGAAGGTCGCTCTTGCTTTCGCTCTTCATGGCTTACACTGACTGCTTTCTAGGAGGAGGCATTGCGAGTCTTTGACTGTCGTCTATCTGATGAAACTGACCTCGCTCTTTGCGCAGGTCGAGTCCGTGGGCGAGGGTGTGACCAACGTCGAAGTTGGGGATCACGTCATTCCTCTGTACACCGCAGGTAAGCCACAAATAGCTCCATGCGCGTGAGCGTCAGCAGATCTGACCCATGACCAGAGTGCCGCGAATGCAAATTCTGCAAGAGTGGGAAAACGAACCTGTGCGGGAAAGGTGGGGGTGATATCGCCTTCCACCTGTTCGATGCTCACGCCACCTGCCAGTCCGTGCGACCCAGGGAAAGGGTCTCATGCCCGACAACACCAGCCGTTTCTCGATTAACGGGAAGCCGATTCACCACTTCGTCAGTGATGTCATCGATACTCTCTGTTCTTATCTAATCTGCGTCCAGATGGGGACGAGCACTTTCAGCCAGTACACCGTGGTGGCCGACGTGTCGGTCGTCGCTGTGGACAAGAAGGCACCTCTCGAGAAGGTTTGCCTTCTGGGATGCGGCATCACGACCGCATGGGGTGCCGTTATGAAGCAGCCTGGAATTAGTGCGTTCGCCGGCCAATAATCCAGGCGTCCGCGCTCATCACTTCTGGTAGAGGACTCGACGGTCGCTGTCTTTGGCTGCGGTGCTATCGGTGTCAGTGCTGCCATTACTTCATCCAGCGGCCCATTATTGACGAGAGCAGCTCGGTGTCATTAACACGGCCGCCATGGTCGGTGCCAGCCGTGTGATCGCTATCGACACCAACCCCCGCAAAGAGTCATGGGCCAAGCGATTCGGCGCCACAGACTTCGTCAACCCCAGCGAGCTCAAGGAGGGCGTTAAGATCCAGGACCATCTCATCGAGATGACTGACGGTGGTCTGGACTTCACCTTTGACTGCACCGGAAACGTGCGTACTTTCAGGTCGTCGTCCCTTTTTTTGTAATCTTAAGGATCTCAGGTCCATGTGATGAGATCTGCTCTCGAGGCTTGCCACAAAGGATGGGGTGTTTCGACTGTGATCGGTGTTGCGGCTGCTGGCCAGGAAATTTCGACGAGGCCGTGAGTTGATGTCCATAAGTCTACCCTGTTGTTACTCACTCGATCCAGATTCCAACTTGTCACCGGCCGTACTTGGCGAGGATCGGCTTTTGGTGGTGTGAAGGGTCGGACTGAGATTCCGGGCCTGGTCGAGGGTTCGTCTCTGTTTCAAAGCACGGACCGTACGATGAAGGACTGATCGGCTGCAGATTACCTCAAGGGCACATTCAAGATCGACGAATATGTCACCCACACCCGCACTCTTCCAGAGATCACGGGCGGATTCCACGACATGCACGTGAGTTTTTACGAACAGCCTCCTATCCAGTCCGTTATTCTGACGATTTGGAAACAGCAGGGAGAATGCATCCGTTGTGTAGTCAACATGCAGACCTAAGATACTTTGTACAAAGAACCACGGTGCCAACCGATAAACATGTAGTATTCTTCATATACAAAGCTAGACGGCGCGGTCGACCATCGTCCTGGGAGGCTGCGAGCCTATCACCGCTCGCCAGAGAACAATCAAGGCAGCCCGCACTTCTCGTCGCCTAACGCCGCTCTTCCTCCACAGCGAACGGAAAATCCACAGCACGCAAAACAAGAACGAGACGTCCAGAGTCAACCGCCGCACGATAGCCATCCCCGGCGTCCGGTTCTCGTCCCGGGCAAAGAACTGAGTCAAGGCACGCCCGACTTCCAGTCCACGCGACACGGGGCTGACCAGCAGGGACCACATCCCCAGGTCGTCCAGATCCAGCTCCGGGTCATTGCGCCTCCCTCTCGGCGAGCCTTGGTCCGAGTGGCTTGCGCGTGGGCTTGCGCTGAGACGGGACTGGGACAGCCGTCCCGACGTCGATTCAAGCAGCTCCAGTCGCTCGGATATGGCCGCAAGATGGGCTTGCACATTTTCGACACTGTGTTCCAGGGAAGACCGCGAGGCAGGGCGCGGGAGCGTCTGCGTCGTGCGATATTGGGTCGATTGAGGGTGTACGTTCGGAGGGGACGTCAGCCCAATACGCGAGTCAGGATATGGCCCGGAGTACGGGCTAGATTGAGGATAGAAAGATGAAGACGCAGATGGATCAGCAAAGGCGGAGGGTGTTTCGAAACCAGGCAGGGGTTGCGTCTCGGGCACGCGCGACAGCGCGGTCGGTGGGGGCAACGTGGCCATCGAGCTTGCCATTGGCGTTCGATAGCGATTGGAAGAGACGGACGAGGGAGGACGGGAAATCTGTGATTGCCGCTCATATGCACTGGGTGGACGTTCTTGATGCTCGAGGATCTGGGAATGTCCTTCGCTCTCCATCAGGTGAGAGCGTGCTTCGACGTAGCCGACAGGAATAGCATCTTCATCCGAGTCCTCGGAGTCGGAAGAATCGGAGTCGCGGGATAGACTCCCTATCAGCACCGCGTCAGATGAGCCAGCAAAGACAACGAGAAACGCACTGCTCATGACCAGGTTCGCGGGGTCCCCTCCAGACTCCTCCAATTCCCGAATAAGATCAGCTGCCGCGGTTCGGTCAGAGTATCTTCGCAAAACCTATACAGATGAAACATCTCTTCGAGGGGATTGTGTCACTGGAGATACTTACCTTGAGCAGTGCCCCGACATACATCCACTTGGCCTCGTACGAGTTGAGATCTTTATGTTTCGCCCAAGCATCCCTGCGGTATCGTCAGGCAGGGCCCTCTTTGCTTCCAGCATTCAAGTACCATTTTGCGCGCCCAAGCATATCCCACAACCCGGGGCGTGGAGAGTTCACATTCCCGGCAGTTGCTGGACGGCAACAGTCAGACTAAGACAGCAAATACTTCAAATTATCTCGTTAACCTTGCTTGTAAAGACTGAAGACGAGAAATGAGCATCTTTATCTAGAACGGAGGCGGACATGCTTGCTTTACCTGTACATCAAGAGCTTGTCCTCATACCTTCGTTGCGGCCGCACAGATAAGCGAATTGGCTACCATAGAAGCAGCAAATCTTCTTACCCGGTCTGGATAGGGCCCGCAGGGGGAAGCGCCTGGACGATGGAAACAGCTTTATCGAATTGGGCGTCAATTAGTTCATGAGAGGTCGTCATTGTGGGGCTAGATGCCACCAAAGGAGAGCCCTGTCGGGGCGGCTGGAGTCGACGGGAGAGATAGAGATGAGGGGAGGTCGACTAGGGAAGCACCTTTCGGTGACGGGAAGCAGGTGAAAGTGAGCGTGCGAGCAAAGCAGTAAATCTGAGCTCAGCAACTGATCGGTGTGTCTGAACACGTGGAATTTTCACGTGTTATTGTGGCTTCCCCTCAGCTTGGACTGAAACGGGCGAATAGTTGACGCTCTGGCCTTCCTAATAAGATCAATAACGAACGCTTCACCAAGTAAACTAAGTTTGCACGCTTTCTATGGAATTTCTTCAGCAGTTGATGCTGTGCAGTCAACATCTTCCATCAGCAACACTTTTCTTACCAGTGCCGACGGCTCAATCAGCAGCTCTGGGAAGTAAGCGACAGTATCTGCCAGGAAGTAACAGAAAGAGGTGGAACGGAACGGTCGTAGTGCTAGCCCCATGTATGATTCCAGCCCGGACATCATCTTATAGCAGAACAAATGGAAGGAACGGATCACAATGTAGAAAGAACAGAGTTTCGATTGTTTTTGTATTCGATAGTTACCCGTAGTAACTAGTCGTGTAGCGGGGGGCTGCGTCGATGGATCCAAAGCGATGGGTGACGAGGCTCGGTTCGAGATAACTAACGACCCGTAGGGAGCACCTCTCTGACAGTTCCAGCGGCACAGAGAAAGGAACAGAAGGGGTAACGTATTCTTGATTACTGTACCTTGGAAGGATTAGCTTCAGGTGAAATACATACGGTTGGAGGGCTGACCTCCTTGGCTTTTGAACGACCATCGATCCATTTATACTTCAGAGACCCTCGTATCCTCTCGTCTACTCCCTTGGTCACAAGTTTGCCTGACCGTACACTCCGTCAGCGAACACCTTCATACACGCGTCACAACAAACCTTTCCAGTACAATTGCCCCCAGAGTTTACCGTGGTCTCCGTTGCACTTGAAGCGGCCTCTTGTGACGCGCCAATAGCAGTCCGAGATTTGTTTGTCCGACCATCGAATTTGGTGGACCTCTTTCCCCACGACGTTTGGTGTCCGCGCCAAGACCTTGAACAAATTGGCGGGGTGGGTTTTGAGGGCTGGCGGTAGAGGCCGGGTCGCCGGAAGGAGCTGCTGCAGCGAGCGCGAGATGCTGGGCGCCGCGGCCATGAGTGATGGAGAGACGCAAGAAGATTTCGAACTCCGCTGATGCGACTTCTCTTCTCGCAGCCATGTCGCGTCGTGCGGCGCGCACTCTCAAATATCCCTCCACCGCAATCGCGGAGTCTGTCTGACACTGATGAATGTGGATTTCCTCTGACGCCGACATGGTCTGTGAACGAGCTGCTTTCGTCCTACCCCCGTCCGACACTATCAGCTTCCGCCATCCAGCGCCTACACGATCTTTCGGCTCTCAGCGCACCCACGGAGGGCACTCCAGAATACGAACGTCTGAAGAATGGGCTGGAGGGACTGGTCCGCTTAGTTGAGGCTGTGAAATTGGTGGATACAGATGGGGTGGTCGTAGCCTCGCGAGTGATTGCTGAAACCTCAGCTGAAGATGGCGGAGACGCGCTTCAGGGAGGTAGGACGCTCCTTCGACACTCTAAGAGAACTTCTGGTGGATTCTATGTTGTAGACGCCAACAAGCCGCAATGGTGCGTCTAGTGTCTTCAACTTGTACTTTCCAATTTATGACTCTTCTTCAGATAATTGTGCCGATGGCACTCCATAGCATTGCCTAACGTCCTTGCAATACCCAAGCGGCAAGCTCGCGAAGCCTAGCTATCTCATCATCGAGACCATATCAGCCTAGCATAAGTGTAACCCTATAGCAGTCACGGATACGGAAATCGCTGGAGCCATTAGTGTTGAAGAGTCGTGGCATGAACTCAAGTTACAGATCAAAAAATATGCAAGAACTGAGGGAGATGATACGAGTTCACAGTGAACCGTGGCCACCGGTGGAACCGAACCCGCCAGCACCGCGAATGGTCTCCTCGAGGTCCTAAAGCAGAGTTGGAATATGACCTTCCCAGGATGCGAAGAGCAGACCTGGACCTCAAGCACATCGGGAGTGTAGATTTTCTCAATGATCAGCTGCGCGATACGGTCCCCTTCCTCCACTGCAAGAGAACAGATGGATATATCCGAGGCAACAGGTGACTTGGAAGCACTCACCCTGGAAGTCCTTGTCGGAGAGGTTGAATAGCAACACAAAGACCACACCGCGGTAATCGGCGTCAATGACACCCGCCCCCGTGTCGATCATGAACTTGGAAGCTAGAGATGGGTCGAGCAGGGTTAAAGGTGAGGCAGGTGGCAGACGAATGGTAATCACGGACCGAGGCCACTGCGAGGCGCGACGCGTCCATAGGTGCCAGGTGGGACTGCAATGGAGATTTGGGTGTCTACGAGAGCTTTTCCATGCGCAGGGATGACTTTCTGTTCGGCACTAACAGTTTTCGCATGAGAAAACGCGTCGAAACGAGGACAAAACGCGTCACCTGTATAGATCGTAGCCAGCCGAGAGAGCAGAGCCTCTGGTGGGCAGTTTGGACTTGTCCGACAATCGTTTGATGAGCAGTTGAGTAACTGGTGAAGAAAGCTCGGATTCTGGGGACATTTTTCTTTTCTTGAGCTGAGGGGAGTCTGTGGACATGGAAGAGCTGACGAGAGAAGGACGTATCGAAAAGACAGATCAATGCAAACCATCATCAACACCCACTTGTCAATGATTGCCCTCCAACTTGAAGGGTCGGCACTTGCAGTCTCAGTTGTATCCAAGAGTGGGTGACTTTCCATAACATATTTACATAGACATAGATAATAAACGGGGTGCCAAATGATCTCGCTTACATTTATGGGATATGTCTATGTAAGGTGCCCTTTCCACATCGCATTTCCGCATAACAGCACAAATTGTGTGATGCCATGATGCGCTGATGCACTGTCACATTCCGCGGTCATCGATCTTCGACACTCCGATCTATCTTATCACTCGACTATGGAGGAAGGCGAGGACGTGCACCTTTGGCAACAGATTCAGCAAATCTCAGAGGAGATCTACGAGGAGGAGGAGGAGGCGAGGAGACGGGGAGCACTGGCGCTCATTGGCGCAGCTCATGTGGAAGGACGCAGATTGCAAGCAGAAAGCCGTGCTCCAAAACGGCTATATCTTTGTCGTTCGCAGCTACCGTCCAATCCAAGAGTTGGTACCCCGTGGCAGATCTTGTATGCAAGCCAAAGTGATCGTGCATTCATCACCACCATGGGTTTTGACGTTCTCACGTTCCAGCTCATCCTGGACGCCGGATTCAGTCATCTGTGGTACACCACGTCTATCCCCCGGACCGACAGTGATCCCTCTGCACCTCCACGACCAGGAGCTCGATCTCTCGACGCTTCTGGAGCACTTGGGCTTGTTCTACATTACCTCAGCTCGACAATGCATGAAGTCAGCTTACAGCAGATCTTTGCGCTCATCCCATCCACTGTATCCCGCTACATCACATTCGGCCTCAACATCGTTCTCATTGTACTGCGCAAACGAATTCCGGAGTCCAGATTGAGGTGGCCGGAGGACGAAGCTCAGTTCCAGCGCCTTAATGATTTGATTGTTGTCCGGCATCCACGTCTAACAGGCGCATTTGCAAGCATCGACGGATTGAATCTTGCGGTGCAGACCTCAGATGATGCAGAGATAGAGAATGCTACATATAACGGGTGGCTTTCAGAGCATTTTGTGAGCAATGTCATTGTATTTGCTCCGACAGGTACGTTGTAGAATCTTTCTCTTTCCTTGCTTCTAAGGAACTGCTGGTAGGCAATCATAACAGCCGAGTTGAATGCACCCGGAAGCTGGCACGATTCTCGAGTGGCCAGACCAATCTACGACAAATTGCTCACGCGAACACCACATGGATTCTATCTTGTCGCCGACACTGCGTTCCCCCGTGGAACTGCTCAAATTGATGGGAAGATACGCGCTCCAATTAAAACTGGACAGCGAGTGCATGGAACATCAAACGAGATTGAGGAGCAGCTTGCCTTTGACAGGGAGCTACTTTCCTATCGACAAACAGCTGAGTGGGGCATGCGAACAATTCAAGGTTCTTTTGGACGACTGCGTGTTCCATTACCTATTGGTGACAAGGACGCTCGGGCAAGCTTGATTGAAGTCTGTCTCCGATTGCATAACCTCCGAGCTGAACGGGTTGGGCACAATCAGATACGCTCGGTGTATATGCCAGTCTGGACACAGACCGACGAGGATGCCCGAATCTGGAATGATTTTGGTAACATTCTGTTTGCGGACCAGCGTAAGAATGATCGTGTTAGTCGGTTTCACAACTTCCCGGTGTATGACAATGAATAGAATGATTGTATGTATTACGGGCGTTAAAAGAGAGACTCGAGTTTGTCAGAGAGAGAGAGTGTGTGTGTGTGGAAATCAGTAAACGAGTGACTAGAGTTTGTCTAAGAAATGCATACGGGGTATACGTAGAGAGAGTTTAGGAATGATCAGTCTACTTCCTCCTTTCCCTTACCCTTCCCCTTGCTGAGACTGATTGTTACGGTCATTTCAGCACCATCCAATTGCGATACTGTGACCTGAGCAGCGTTGGCAAGGAGTGTGGTACTCGGCAAAGTGGGTTCCGGGGTAGAGAGACGACGGTTACGGTGATTGGACAGTCCCGGAGTAGGAGGTTGACTGTAAAGACGAGGATGTTGGCGAGGGCGTGCAGGCGACGGGTCATAGGAGTGGTAATGGATGTCGTCATCATAGTCTGTGTACCGGGATTGAGGACGACCACGGTAGGGAGTCACGCTTTGGGAGAACTCCAGGCGCATCTCCGCACGATCCCGTGCACGCTCGGCCTCATGCAAGCGGTCCTGCAGCTGCTCGATCCTCACATGGAGCCCATTGATGGTGTTCTGCAGGTCACGGACTTGCTGAGATGACACAATGGCCTGGGCGCTCTCGCGCATCCGCTGAGCGTGTGCAGTATCACGGACACGCTGAGTCTCTGGGTCGAATGCACGCGCCACGTTCGACATGATCTCGTTGGCGTTGACCCGGGACTTGCGACGCTGCGGAGAGGGTGCACGTGTGGCAACGGCTGTGCGCTTCTTCATGTCGACATACTCGATGTCTGAGTCATCGGAAGTGTCATGCTCAGAATCGCTGACTTCGACCATACCCGCGCTCTTGGTGATGCTATCTTCGATAAGGAGAGCGCGGCTAATATGAGGTGGTCGCTCGCCACTTCCGGTTGGTTTCTTGATGGTCAGAAACTGACATCCATGTATGAGAAGTAGGAACACAAGTAGATCAATCAGCACTCACCGATTTGTACTTGCGCTGCAATGAGTCGCCTGTCCGATTCGGCCATTCCTGCTCTTTAGCAACCGCATTGTACTTCTTCTCCACATCGCCCCACATCTTCGCTCCAAAAGGCAGAACCTCCTCGACCGCATCCAAGAGCACATCCACCTGATCATTGTTGTAGTTACCGGCACCTGAGCGTCGACCACGCTTTGTCGTTGGTTTCGAGTCATCCTCTGAGGGGACGGAGGAGTGAGCCCGTTTCCTCGAAGACTTGGCAGGCTTCGCTTTGCTGCCATCGACGTTCACAGCCTTCGCCTTCTTGGGAGCTTCTGGCTTCTTGATGGGTGGAGGCGAAGGAGGCGGCGGCGACGGTTCAAGCAGGAGAGGGTCGATGGGGAAAGGGAAGGGAGGTGCCGGACGAGCGGGTGAAGGCGCAGCCACAGGTGCAGGATTCAGTGTGAATTGGAATTGCGCGCGCTTTGAGCCTGTCAGTTAAATGCATACCAACATAGAAAGCAGAGATGATACCTGAGGAGGACCTGACAATGGTGGCGGGAAGACGGCGGGAGGATGAGCTGGGGTCGAGACAGGCTTCAGCTCGTCAGTATGACTGATTCCAAAGAAAGAGATGATCAGTGCGTACCACGTACGGGACAAAGTCCCCGGTGTCAGCACACCTGACGTAAAGCGCTCCGCTGGCATCGCGCATGAAGTTGGGGTTCTCGGTGGGCAGAAGGGGAGCACGATTCGCCTCTTGAGACATGCTTGGAATGTGAAGTCGGTGATCTCTCGTCTGCTTTTCCACTCCATTTCATCTATCCTCAGCCAGCGACCCTGACAACGCGCCCATGACCTCAACTGTGTCCGGTTTCGAAGCTGTGTATGAGGGGAGTCAAGCACGATAGCATTAGCCATACGTGCAGTGGACGTACCTGGTCACCACCGAAATTACGGTGCTTTTGGCATCAATCGGGTGTCGGCTATCACGAGCGGCGCGCAGTCTGGAGATATAAGCGCGCTGCGCTGGCGAGAGGACGAACGCAGTGTAAGAAAGAGACATGGTAGGAGAGGAGGAGCGGAGGAGTGACGTGGGAACGCTGCGGGCATAAGGTGCGTAGACAGCGGAGATGTGATGGCTCCTGCCTTTTTTGGTTTATGCAAGTGGTTTATGGTCTGTGCAGGGGGTACCTACCCCTCACACAGATTTGTCGACTTGGCAAGTCTATGCAAGGCCTGAAGCGAGATAAGGACACGCCGGGGTCCCCATCAACAGCCCGGCACCTCGGCATTTATGTTTTATGTAGGTCAATCTATGTAAATATGCTTATGGAAAGTCACCCAGTCTTTAATGAGCTCTCCAATATCACACGGGCTTTTCTACTCGTTTTCTCTCCTTCTATCTTACCGCGACTTGATGGCACTATTCAGCATATAACAGACTATAATCTTTTCAAGCCAAACTTCCTCGTCACCGTTGACCTTGCTCCCTCTTGACGATCTGTATTTTCGATTCTTTCAACCTCTATCGATGCTTTATCTTTGTAAGAAGCCCTAGGCTCACATGTCATTTTGTTGTGCTTTAGGGTCTGGCGAAACAGTCCGCCTCTGAGGGGGGACACTGGGTCTGGATCCTGACATTCTAAACTGTCGGACTAGGGGTCATACACAATTGGTCTAGCCCACTCAGTATCACACCGTTGCGCTCCTAAGAGATGGCAAGGTAGCGATTTTCGTAGTTGGCTTCAGGCATTTTTCTTCTTCTGCTGTGTCCAAGAGGAGAGAATCGAGGCACTAGAATTGTTCAGTCTCGTTTCGGAACTTGAGCAGTTCAAATCTATCCGAAGGCACTCAAAGGTAGCCACGATCACGTGCAGTCGCTGGGTCTCGAGCCTGTGCTTACGCTTGTGTGTTTGATATCAGGCTCGGGTCTTGCCGGACTCCAATTCTCGCCATGCGTTTGACTTCTGCCTTACGAGCCTCCTGGCAGCCTGACACTCTACGCTATGTAGACCGAAGTGAAGTAAAAGCCTCATACTGGAAAAATGGGGTATGTAGCCCTTCTGCGCCAGACTCCGGCACCTCTCGCTCATCTCAGCGGAACAGCGAATGTCTCCCGGCCTTCTACGTGCCCGACGCCAATTCCGCACCAAGAACACTTTCGGCGGCGTCGTCCTCCTCACCTTCGTCGCTGGTGTCTTCGCATATTCCATCGCTGCTGTGAAACAGGACGTGTTCGACGACCTAGACGATGAAGTGAAGACACGCGCCCTTCAGGAAGCACCGCGGGTCGTGTTGTCGGCTGAGGACGAAAAACGGGTCATGCAGGCTGCTACGAGTGCTGCAACGAAGGGTCCGACGTTAAGGAAGCCTCGAGCGGATGGGGATCTCGCTGTTGCTTCGGCGGGGGCGGACGCTAGTGCGGCTGCTGCTGCTGCGTCTCCGCGCGGAGTGGTCGCCGCATTCCTAGCGAAACGATATCCGACGCTATTGGATCCGACCAGCCACACCATTGTATGGGGCGCACCGCCAGTCGATCGGATAGGTAGTGTAGGAGACAAGATGCCATAGGCGATCGTCCCTGTACTAGGATCTTCTATGACTTCAGCTCTGGGGCTGGATCGTGGCTGCTCTTGACCTCAAGTGCTGGCTTCCTACCAATGCTCTCCTCGGTCCCATCTAGATTGTTTCACATTCTAAGAGTGCTCTAGGGTTGAAATGTACCCAGATCAGCCTCGGTCCGACTGATTCGCGCGCGACTTGCACAATGGGCCATGCTCGAACGAACGAAACGACCAACCAGGGTCTTCGTCGTAAATGCGCTGATAGAATCTCCAATGTCGTCTGCAGACATTGCGCTGTTATCATTGCCGATGTGAGCTTAGTGCCCAGTGCCCCGCCGCACTCGAGTGTTTATTTATGTAACTGATACGCACTGTTACTAATTCATCAAAGCTATTTGCGACTACAATGTCACTGTGAACAACTAGAAAGCGTCGGCTCCGCCGACATTCTGCCTTGCTATTTGATATCAAAATTAATTCTAATTTTTTCTTTAATACGGGCAACTACGACGGGTCGAACTCGAGACCGACAGGAAGAGCACGGAGAGGAACGGAACAGCGGGGGAAGCCGGGTCCGATGAAATCGAGCCAATTATGAGGGTGGAGAAGCCTTGACAAGCAAGGGAATTGAGCTTGCGACAGCCAACCTCCTCGTTCTGCCTGGTCTTATGTCCCTATATGTCGCTTGACGCACAGTGATGCTATCAGTATTCACGGGCCCTGCTGCCTGGCCACAGCAGAAGCTGTAAGTACCAAGGAATCAACCAGTGCTCCTCTATCCGCTGTTCAGCGGTCTTGAGCGCCGGGCCAATTCGAATCCATTTAACTGGCATCTGCCAAAATGAGTGATAGTCTCTCAGAGTTGCACTCGGGTCGGTCAACTTCAACGATGCGTTGAAAGGCTCAGACTTCGATGCTACAAAGTGTGATTGGCGTATATTGAGATCTCTTGTGTACAGGAGCCCTACGGAAGGTTCGGCACCTATTTTTTGTCCTCTGTGCCGTACGATTGAAGTGAAGCCCGATGGTTCTTGGCCACGCGCAGGAGCGTGAGGACGCCTCGATACGCAAACTCTTGGAAATGGACAGCATGGAGGGAGCCACGAAGTTCCTTGTCGTCGGCTGTCGGCTGATCACTGCCAGTACGAGCATCAACGGCCATTGTAGCAGACTTCCAAGCCCTCCGTGCCTGCAAAATCTGATCAAACCATTCTTGGAGGAATGGGGCCATTGCAAGGATGAACGGATTCTTCGTCTGGGACACAAGGAGTTCCCGTGGTTCACCCAGAGCGTCAGGACTCATGACAGATGCCCGAATTTTGACATCGGCAGAGGCCAGATCAATCGCCCACTGGACCTCGATTTCCGAGTCTTTGTCAGCATGGCCTTGTAAGAGCGCATCAAGGCATGTCCAGAACGCAGACTCGTGGTCATCGACAGGGGATTGCAAATAAGGTGTGCCGCGTCCGAGAGCCGTTCTGAGAGCTGTTGACATGTAATCGCGTGTGCCCTGAACAGTGTCAGACATGAAGTGACATGGATGCAAATAGAGAAGATGCGCACCGAGAGAGTGCCTCGACTGTGGTCGTTTCGGAAGTAGTCCTTCAGCTCGCATGCCTGATCGCCATCGATGATCATACCCCGGCACTCTGTCCCGATGTCGAGCTCACCGACAGCCATTTGCACAGCGTGTGCCAGCTCAGCCAGTTTGAGCTTAGCTGGCTCGTTTCGGTGCGACAGCAGGAGAGAGGCGAATTCAGGAAGAGGGGCATCAGCCGGAAGGTGGAGGCGATCCAGACGAGATCCGAGGTCCTCAAGGAACTCTGACTGCCTTCCAAAAGCAGCAAAATCGGTAGACATGTCCCGGAGCACTTGTTCGATGACCGTAGCCGTGAATTCCGGTCGATCCAAGGGCGGATCCAATCGCAGAAGATTGCCAAGGCTGATGTCTCTCTGAAGAAAACCCGCCTGGAACAAGGAAAGCCAGCCTGACCAACCAGTGCATCAGAAAATGTGGCCTGTAGTAGAAGCAGCACTTACCAAGCATGCAATGTACGACAGCAATAACTAGGTCCCAGGGAGTCTTGCAGCTTTCGAGGCGTTCCCCCTCGCCGGTTGTGATGTGCACGCACATCGTCCGATGATCAGGGAATTCCTCGGTTCCTTCAGAGTTCGCTTTTCAATAATCCCAGAGACGATCTTTCATGCGTTCGAGCTCGGGGAGAAAGATGTCGTTGGTGAGAGGGACGTCGTCTTCACTACATGGGATGAACGATAGCATATGCCCAGCAGTACCGAATGCATCTGAACAGCCGTGCAGCATCTTCCCTTCGATCTCAGCTCTGTGCGAAGGAGACCATATAATCTTGGCAATCAAGTCTTCGACTGGTCCTTGCTGGGGGCTAGATGTGAGCGCTTGGGTGACTTGAGGTAATCTCAGCTCATCATTCCGAGTCGAAGGTCGTGGTGTAATGAGCTCAAATGTCTCTATTGGAAATGTGGTTACGGTTTCTAAACAAAGAGACGAGCGTGGCATCACTCACCGGGCGGCTGCCCCTCCGTCTCTCTCTCACGTGCCTTGGCTGTTACCCGCTTGTTTCTCTGACTTGAACGGACCCTGGGCTTTTGGGTATCAGATGGAAACCCCTGGTCATTGACGGTGACAACTCCAACAAGAGTGTTCCGGCCCCGAACAGAGCGTGTTGCGTTCAGAACTGTCTTCATCACACCAAAACAGCGCGCCGCAGGGTTTCCGACACCATCCATCTTGGGAAGAACGAACCGAACGCCGTCCGTGAATGAGGGAAAGCCAGCGTCCTCCCGACACGACCAGAGAGCGATCGAAAGAAAGACTTTCTCGACAAGGGCGCAAGTGGAATCCTTCGCAACATCCAGCCCGACCGAGGCCGTCAAGCCTCCGCGATGGAAGATGAGAAAGCGCAGTGTCCGATCGACGTGATTGAAGGCAATTGCGACAGAGAACGCGCGCATCGGGTTCACACTTAGCTGCGCACGGGCGTATGTAGCGGCCTGCCGGACCATCGTGCTCCAGCTGTTTTTGACCTCAACGGCGATCTGGATCTGTTGCAAGTCACGATTGGAATCATGACCGTCGATCGTTCTTTGCCAGCAGCAGTCCAATTTTGCGTCCACAGCGTCCTTCATGTCGATGCCAACAAGGTCAGGCTTGAGTGGATACGATTTTTCGACACTGTCGATGGTGTTCTTGTCGAACTTGTAGAAGGTAAGGTCGGGAAACAATTGCTTGTCATCATCTAGGGCGGGAAAGGAAGTCTCGCCCACACGGAGTTCTGCCTGAGAATCCATGGTGGTTCTATAGACATTGTGCGCGAATTTTAGGTGTCCATTGAGGTAGTTCGCCAGCGGTTTGTAGTGAGCCCTTTCACTCAAGTCCTCGTATGTGTACACACTCGCCGGGCGGCGTTGTGAAGACAATGCGCGGGTGACAACTTCGGAATCCACAAGACAGTCGAAGTGGGCGAGGTGATGGGGGCCCTCCGTTCCCCTCCACTTTCGTCGGAGACGCTTGGGCGACAGCATAGCAGCGATGTCGTCAACTGGAAACTGGTACACCTGTGTGCCCAGTTCACCTGGCATCTCTTTGATTAACGTGCCTTGTGAGCGAGGGGTAGGAATTTGCTCTGGAGCGGATGTGAAGGACGAGGCACGAGTAGATCGTGCCGAAGACGACTCGGGTGGTGCAGAGTGGAATCCCGAGGCGCCCAATGACTTGAAGAAACGCGTACCGGCTGGTACTATGGGCTCACATCGTCACCTCCGGCACAAAGTGTGTTACGTCACGCGACAATGACATGTCCATTCCTGCTCTTTACCACTACTTTCGCGTACCTGTACCGTACGCCCAGACTCTCGCTTTGCAGGAACGTATACATGCCATCCAGCGATCCCAACGCCAGGCTTCTGGGCGACACAAAGATATCTTGCTTCTCCTGCAGCACCGACCGGTCTATACCGCTGGCCGGCGACAGACCGAAGATGCAATCCAAGACGAACGCACGAGGCTGACGCGCATGGGTGCGGATTTCGTGCGCACTGCGCGCGGCGGAGAATTGACATATCACGGGCCGGGTCAAATTGTCGGTTACCCACTGCTTGATCTCTCGCGTCCGCGACCATCTCAATCTACGCCAATGATGATCAGGGACTACGTCGATCGCCTTCAAAAGATTCTCCAATCTCACATTCTCGAGGCGCACGGGATTATGCATGCACCGTCGGACAATACAGGTGTCTTCCTCGACGCACGCACGAAAATCGCCAGTATCGGCGTGCAAGTGCGGCATCGGCTTACAACTCACGGAGTTTCTCTGAATATCACTCGAGAACCGCTGGCGTGGTTCGACGAGGTTGTGGCATGTGGACTGGTCGGGGTCAAGGCTGCCTCCGTGGAGGGTGTTCTTGGCAAAGAGACAAGTGTCGAGGACGAGATTCCTGGACTCGTGCGACGATTTGGCGTGGCAATGGAGCGGGATTTTCAGCCAATGGTGTTGGAGCAAGAAGAAGAAATCGGAGAAGCGATTGCCGAATTAGAAGCAGAGGCTGCAGCCCTGCAGGGCTGGCCACGAACGCCACTATAGACACAAACTCGTATCATGCAGGTAGGGAAATGCGGTTCCCGAGATAAGCAGCATCGACCTGCGAAGACTCAATTGCGAGGGAATGTAAATGTCATCCCGCCAGCTTGTCTTCATGCACTTGTGTTGCCCGGCGGTCATCGATCATCGGTCACAGAGCTGGGCACAGGGACCGGATATCAAGACACAGGACTGGGTTAGAACCTAACGACTCACTTGTGCAAATGCATCTTGATTCCACTGCTCTTGAACGAAATCCATGTCTTCTCTCGGCATCCACCATTCTAGGAACATGAAAAACCAGCAGTCGACTATGAGAATGATCGTGTAGATGGGTCCTGCAAATAGTCCTAGCTGCATCGTGCGCTCGATTCGTTCCCAGAGCTCCATTTGAGGCGAACACAGAACTGCATCGTATACAGCTTCTGTTCGTTCCGTGACTTGATCCCAGCTGTAAAAGGACTTGACGCGTTCATGAGCCAAAAGAGGGTCGTGTTTTCCTTCTGAAACGATGCGGATGGCTTCCCCAACCGCACGGCAAACGTCTGGTAGAGTAAGACGCCGAGCAAAGAAGTCACTGGAGACAAACCATCCTCGTCCGGGTTGGCAAAACTGATCATGTCTTGCGGCAAGATTTCAGGCACACCGCCTACACGGGTCGAGACCACGTAGAGCCCAGCGCATGCTGCTTCCAGGATCGCGATTCCGAAAGACTCTGTTAAGGACGTGTTCATGAATATAGAGCCTTGTACAAGGAACTGCGGGGATTGAATTATGAACACGAACGAGACGAAGACAGACATGACATACCTCCCGAACCTCGCTGGGAGGCACAGCACCCCGGATGTCGATACGGTCCTGCAGGAGATATTTCTCTCGCATTTGATGCAGATCAATCGCCTTCGGTCCGTCACCTCCTACGATGAAACGGACATTTGGGAAGGTCGCGCAGATTCGTGGCGCGGTTGCCACCAAGAGGTCGATGCCTTTGCGGTAAGCAAGTCGGCTCAGAAAGACGATTGTGACTAAATATGGTCAGAAGGAGATAAGTCAAGGGTCGGAAGCAAGGCTGCTCACCAATTTCGCTGGGCGGCGGTGGAGATGGCTGGAATCTCTCTGGGACCAATGTGTTCGGGATAACGTAAACATTATTCCTGACGGTGAAAACATCAGGAGCTTTTGGGGAGCGATCGAAAAGTTGTCCACGAAGAACGGTGTTTTCGCGACTGCCACGGAATGAGATCGCAAAACTTGACAATCAAATCGAGGCGCACCCGGTATGAGAGACGCAAATCACAGCGTCCACATTCCTTAACGTCCCAGCCAGCAGTTTGTTCGTCAGTATGCTCGCTGCGTCGTCAAATCCAAACAGGCTGTGATCCGTGAACACAGTGCGCACACCAAGGAAGTGGGAGTGCAAGATTCCTTCGTGTCCGAGAGACGACAGGCTGGCATGCGCGTGAATGAGATGGATGTGTTCGCGGATCAGGATGGTACGAAGATACGGATGGAATGTGAAGAATTGGGGGAGGGTGGCGGAGGACGCGATTGGAACGAAAGGGATGTAGTACACCTTCAGCCCTGGCAGAAGCCACCGCACGCCTACACGGTCGGGGGTATGTGCATGAGTGATAGCTATGACCTTGCGGTATGGTTAGTCCATTTCGAGCGAACACGGAAAGGTAAGGCGTCACTTTATGCCCTTTACGTAGCAGGCAAGCGCTCAACATATATACGTGATTTTCCACCCCGCCAACATTTGGGTGGAAGAAATCTGTTATCATTCTAAGAGATAAGCACGAGATCGTGTATAAGATTGAGTGCATACGCAATGGAAATGAGATCCAGAGATCCAGACATGATCAAGGTAAGTAGCAAGTGCCAGACTAAAAGCTCATAATCTCCCGGACCGGAAGCTCCGTGACCACAACAGGATAAAGACATGCAAGCACCTCCAAGCACAACCATACGCGTCATTGCTCTCACACTGGCATCTCGAACAACGAACAGATTCTACGCACCTTTCGTCTTTGCATGCCCAAGGACCGCGAAGATAATCAAATCACCTCTTATTTTACACGCGTTCACCAAAGCAAGCGACACGCACGCTCCTCCTTGCCGGGGAACATTAACCCTTCGAAACAGAGTGAGAAACGAGAGGAAACCAGGCCCAGCCGACAAGGAATCGATACGGAAGATTCTGGAGCAAACAAATCGAACTCATTAATAGGAAATGTGTCTGTACGAGCACCTAAAAGACGCTACTCGACTACACGGGACAACGAACCAATCATCATTCTAGATACCCCTCCACGGCGTCGGAAACGGAAAGCAGTTGATTTACCGAAGGCGGGATATGACATAGACCTCACGATACCATCCCAAGATCCCGTTCTGGAGATCCACAATGCCGCCCTACCCTCGAATGCTTCAGTCCTCGATCCTGTGCGGGCACCGCTTAAATCCATGAAAACACAACTGGCTGCCACTGCCACCACCCCATCTCCCCGTGGAACACCCGCAAGAGACGAGCTTAGGGATCCCAAGAGGACACCCACCTCTTTGGACTCCTCCATCACATCTCAAAGACAACCTGCCTCGATCTTCAGTACCCCAGATCGTTCCAGTCCTCCGCCGTTCGTTCCACCTCCTCAGGATCGAATTCAACGTCGCATCTCGTCGGTTTCAGATCCCGTTCCGGATGACGATAGTGTTCCCTCATCCCAATCTCAGTATTTCGGAGCATTGCCTGTGTTGAACGATGATGATGCCGCCGCCGAGGTTCCGTCGTCTCAGTCGCAATGGCTGGCGTCTGCACCAGAAATACTCTCTTCAGATGAAGAAGACGAACTAGCATTGGAACTGCCCCAGATCAGTGGCTTAGATGTTGTCCCGTCCTCTCAATCCCAGTGGATGTCTTCTCTGGACACGAGAGATGTCGACGATGATGAAATGGCGGTGCCGTCCTCCCAGACACAGTACTTTTCCCAGCCTGCGGACGAAAAGGATGAACATGTCGAAGAGGACTCTGCACGACGGAGCTCAGCAGTGCTGTGGTGAGTGAATATATCTCGATGTCAGCTTAGATGCTGATATCGAGAACATAGTCTCTCCTCCACTACACGTCAGACGGAACATGGAGAGAACTCATACTTGGGATTGAGTAAAAACGATACTATTTCGTCAGACAACCTCTTCAACTCAAGTCAAAGCTTCATCGAAGAGCCGCATTCGTTACCAGACGCGGTGCAAGAGTTCTTGGATATGATGGACAGTAATGCTGGTAGCTATCCCTCATCGTTTCCGCAGTCGCTTCGAGGCCATTGGGGCTCCGATTGTACCCAGGATTGATCGTATAATGTACAGCAGGCTAGTAGAGGCTAGTTAGTAGTCACAGCCTTGTCTCAAACAACCTTGCCAAAGATAGTATCTAATCATGAATCACGGGATCGCGATTAGGACTCCTTAAATGCGATAATCGCCCGCCTGATCTTCTAACCTCTCTTTCGCCCACATCGTACGGTATGGTTGGACGCCTTGCACACAAAGTAATGCAGAAATTTTCTCTCCCAGTTTTACTCTGACCAAGCTCAGGCTGCGCTCGTTACCGGTGCTGGATCGTGTGTGCTTCTATATCGTGTGACGGACCGTCTGGCCGACTGAATTTGCAGGGGAATCGGATTGGAGACGTCGATCTTGTTCGCTCAAGAGGGTGCTAACGTCCTTCTCGTCGACATCAACCTCGCTGCCGCCGAAAAGGCAGCTGCCATCATCAAGGAGCGGTACCCCAACGTGAAGACCTTGGCCACGAAGGCTGATGTGGGCAAAGAGGCGGATATCAAGGCTGCCGTCGATCTTGCGGTCAAAGAACTCGGTCGTTTGGATGTTATGGTCCGTCTCTCTCCTATTGGGTGCCACCTCTTCCTCTGCTGAGCTTTCTCGTCAGTTCAACAATGCCGGTTCGTCGATCGAAGCGAGCAGCGTCTGACGCGAACCTCATCCATCGATAGGAATAATGCACCCCGAAGACGATAACGCGCTTAACACGGAAGAGCGGATCTGGGATCTGACAATGACGATCAACCTCAAGGGTGTGTGGTGGGGGTGCAAGTATGCGATCCTGGCCATGCGGGAGAACCCTACGGACGATTCCAAGGGTCTGCACACCGGCGGAAGCATCATTAACACCGCCAGCTTCGTCGCTTTGTTGGGCGCCGCCACGCCCCAGCTGGCTTGTGAGTCCCGGTTCTGCGCCGATTGCGGTAATATTGATACCGTTTTACAGATACCGCGTCCAAGGTTTGATCTTGACGTTATCTGGCATCGCTGGGCTCATCGTCTGATAGGGGGGTGTCCTCGCGATGACTCGCGAGTTGGCTATGGTTCACGCGAGGGAGGGTATTCGCTTGAACTCTATTTGCCCGTACGTTTCGGAACCATACGGAGCTCAAGATGCTGATCTTTTTTACGCAGTGGTCCGCTCAAGACTCGTAAGCACGATCGTCACCCTTTGCGTCAAGCCGGACTGAGTTTGTCATCTCAGCTCTTCTCATGGATTTCTTGAACACGGCTGAGAAGCGGGATCGCCGGATGATCCACTTGCCGATGGGTCGATTCGGAGAGGCAGTCGAGGTTGCCAAGGGTGCACTTTTCCGTTCGTTACCGCTTTCCGTCTGGAGGCAAACCTGCTGATTTCTCTCCCAGTCGCTAGTGACGACAGCAGTTACATGACTGTATGTTGTGCCACTTTCACTAGTCTTTTATAGCTCACTGTTTGGCAGGGCACCGATTTCAAAGTCGATGGTGGATTATCGTCAGCTTATGTTACTGCCCTCGGTGAACCGGTGCTTCCTCCTCCGGCCAGCCTCATTTAGGGTACGATTAGATCCGAATTGTAATAATGAAACGTGTTGTACATGCGAACGAACGGTTGTACAAGACACTCGAAAGATACAAAGCAATAACATGTGAAAGATTCTGTATCGTCATGTTGACTGAACAACAGACTACTGGGCCTTGGCCGCAGCTGCACGACGTTTGTCGCCTTCAGCCTTCTTCACGCGAGCGATCTCGACACCGACAGCATTGTTCAGCTCTTTATGCATCTGGGGCTTGTAACCCAGAAAGAACAGCATCTCGAGATGGACAAAGAAGGGAGCGAGCACAATCGCTAGACCATCGTTTCAGGCATCGCGGAATGCGAGCATTGGAATAACGCACCTCCGACAAGGTTATCGAGCAAAGCCGGGGCACGCTTCTCAGCCACACCGTGTCCCACGAATTGCGCCACCCAGCAAACTCCGTGGAGTGCTGCAATTTGTTGCAGATGTCCTCCTCCGGCAATCGCGTTAGCGGTTAGAGTCGAGAGAATGAACTGGGGAGTGTAGAGGAACTAGGGTATTCCGTCAGCCCGAACGTCGCCGCAGGAGAGGGTAGCATGCAAGCTCACAGCGGCAGTAGGCTCCAAGATATAGTAGTACGCCAGATAGACAGCCGCGAGGATGGACGAGTAGTTCAAATCGAAGATGAGGTACTTCGACAAGACGTAATGCATCGAGGGCAAGAAGGACGGGACCGGCAATTGAGCGAGCATAACTTGGGCACTCCTATCAAGTACTACAAGTCAGTTGCAGTTCGGTACGCTCAAAGAGCATGTACCCTACGCAATAATCAGTCTCTAAGGACACAAACCGGGAGAATAGACAGACATAGCAGAAGCGGGACACAGACGATATGAATCATGACATTGGTGGAGTTGGAGTGGTAAGCACCGTAGAAAGTGAGCTGGTGCTTGACATCGAACAGGTTCTTGCTGGACATGGTTGCTGAACTGAAGGGTGAGACGGAACTGATCAAAAACACATGAAGATCCCCCAGCACTTATAAGCCTCCGGACCGGGACCGCGGACCCCGATCACTTGATGGCGACTGACAGTCAGCGTGGTGGCCACACAAAGCCCAACTTGAACGCGCCTCTTGAGTCTTGTCGGGATTCCGTTGGTCAATCTGGACTCGGATTTATGCAAGGACTGGATCGGACATTATTAAATAGGAGATTCTCTCATGCCTTCAATAAACTGTGGTAGCATATTGTGAATTCTCTGTGACTCGAGTGTCGTTAATGTCCGGAAGAGCTCTTGTCAGTTTGGAAGATCATGGGCCTAGAACTGTAGCTATGGACCGGGGGAATGCCATCCGAAGCTGCGAATTGGACTGGTCGCCCTTCGGTCCTGGACCAGGTGAGCCGAGGACCATTCGATAGCAGGCGAGGCAACTAGACTCAGCAGCTGCGGCTCTATACACAGACTTGTGACTGAGGCAGAGGCTTCTTCCAATTGACATGGGCTCTTGGAAATAATACAAACTGTACCCTGGCAGTCCGCGGTCAGCGCATGGAGAGCTGTATGAAGTGCGTGGCCAGTCGTCGTGTCCTGTCTTGTGGCGATCACTGAGGCGATCAATCAAGTACGTGGCGGTGCCTCCCTGACACCTCCCCTCCGACTTCACTTACCATGGTGCGCTCGACCATAATCGTCAGAGCCTCAGATTCGCTTCCTTTGGCAGCAAGTGTAGACGACGAACAGGCTTGTGTCACCTTCGACTAATTGTCAAATTCTCATCTCATTCGGGTTAACCACAGACTGAGCTGGCTCTTCAAGAACACAAACAGCAGGCTAAGCTGATTTTCCGTCGCATCACGCCCAATTCGGAGTCTCGGTGCTCGATAGAGAGCGGTCAATTCACATTACAGTCAGTGCATTCGCTCTTGTAAAGTCATATGCAGCTCAATGCTGTTCCAGTTACTTCATTTCGGACAATGTCGTGTTCTTGACGATCGCTGACAAGTCATACCCCCGCAAATTGGCTTTCTCCTACCTCGATGAGCTCTCAAAAGAGTTTGCGACCACATATGGCTCGAAGGTGGAGACGATACGCAAGCCGTATGCGTTCGTTGGCTTCGGTGCGCTTGCTTGCTATACCACACAGCGTGGTATGCCCCCTCATACGACACACATGCAGACACGTTCATGTCCAAGACTGCCCGACTGTACCGGGACACTCGCAATGCCGCCAGTGCATCGAGTCTAGACCGACTCAACGACGACCTGCAGGATGTGACGCGGATCATGACCAAAAACATGGAGGAGCTGTTATGGCGTGGCGACTCGCTGGATCGTAGGTCACACCTCCGACCATCGTGAAATTTCCCCCAGACTGACTGCTCTCCCACAGGCATGTCGCACCTCTCGACGTCACTTCGTTCCGAGTCAGAGAAGTATCGCAAGGCTGCGCGGAACATCAATATACAAGCCATGATCCGCCAGTACGCACCTGTCGGCGCGGTTGTGCTCGTCCTTCTCATTGTATTGTACTGGAAGTTCTTCTGACATGTACTAGCATACTTTCATCTATTACAGTACATAAGCTGCCTCTATCACACGGATTTCTGAATCGAAATCGCGATCTGCAGACGAGCGCGCAAGGGTGCTTCTATCATCAGATCACACAGCAGCATACAAAGGGCCTTGCTTTCCCTGCATCTACCACCTCCCTGCGAGATGTTCTCTGGGTACGGTGCAGGTAGACAGTCGCAGACACCAGCACCAGCGGCACCGGCCCCGATCAGCCCAGGAGCAATCACATATACGACCAGCATCGATAGAAATGGAAATGTTATCTTCCACCCGTTCAGAGCAACCCCAGCGAGGTGCCTGTGCCCTCATCTCCGTCGACCCTTCTAACCGAAATCACCAGCCTCCCGATGCCGGGGGGAACGATGAACGGAATCCAATGGGTCCCAATGGACGCTACGCGGGTGCTTCCTCCGGGAGCGCAACCTGCAGACGCGGTCGGCGTCCTTCTTAATCGATGTTATCACACGCTGATAAGCCACCGACGCAGGATTTTGCTGCGTCTTGGACACAGCAGCCTGTATCCAAGTCGGACAGGAAGTTGCTCAAGGACTGGTGCGTTCTTAGATCTGCCCTCCAGTGGCTTTTGTTCATGCAGGACGCAGGCAGGAGGACGAAGAAAGGCAGAAGAAGAAACAGCTGGCCAGGGAAGCGAAGGAAGCGAGACGGCTGGCCAAACAGCAGCGAGCCTCAGGTGGAGCGGGCATAGCGGACGCGGAGCTGCGCAAGGCTCGCGAACGCGACGCGCAGGGCACAGCAGCACGCGAGCGTCGCAATAGCATGAATCAACCAAGTCCCGCGGGTGCAGCTGGTCCCGGATTGTCTGCATTCCCTACGGCTGCCAACGCGTATCCTGCGGCGGGTTCTTACACCCCCGCCGGATACCCTGCGAATCCTGCCCCCAATCCATACCCCGCTGCAGTCAATCCCGGATATCCTTCGACCCCCTACACTGCCGGCTATCCTGGTGTGGCAGGGCCTGGCTCCGAGCAGCCTCGTGAGCGCAAATACAGCACCGGTGCCATTGGATTAGGCGTGGGCGATCTAAGCCAACAATTTGGAGAGATGGGCCTGGAACATCCTGAAAGAACGCGTTCATCTCAATTCGCTTCAGAATCTGAACGAGTGCGCCGCATGAGCAATAACATGGGCGATCGCGGACAGTCCGTCGCTGGTGGATATCCTACTAACGGAGGGTATCCTGTTGCTGGGGCAGCATATCCTGCACCAAGCAGTGGCTATACGGGCGCTGGCGCTGTCCTGGGTGCTTATCCTGGTGCGGCGAGTACTGGCTATCCTACGGCTGGAGCTGCTGGACAATCGGGAGCTGCAGCAGCTACTGGATACCCTTCAACTAGCGGCGGCAATTACCTAACACAAAGCCAATATCCTGCCCAGCCTGGGGCAGGCTTCGTTCCGCAAGCCACGACACCTTATGCGGCACCGCATACTCCCAGCATGCATCCCAGTACACCTTACGCAGGTCAAGTCTACCCACCGGGTCATGTGATGGAGGGCAGGCCCATCCCTGCACCGGCATCTTCCGTCCCAGTTCCCGGCGCCTATCCGCCTCAGGCTGGTGTACCTCAACCTGGCGGGCCCCAGGCTGGGTTTTCGCAAGCTCCAATGCCTGGCGTCGCACATCCCAACGGGCAAACACCCTTCCCCTCGAGTGTATCTGCACCGGAGCCAGCCGTCGAGCAACTTCCGGCTCCAGAAGGCTTTGGCCGGGCTGTCAATGCGGCGCAAGCATTCACGCCGTTTGAAAGGATGAAAATCCAGGACATGGACGATCTGGCGGAGCAGCCAGTGAGAATGCCCGCTGTGCTGCAGGCGCACGATGTGTTTGTTCATGATTGTAAGTCAGTGCGCGTTGTCGACAGCTGTAAGCTGATGAATTCGAATAGGGAATCGCCTGATGCAGGTTGGTGTCGCCGTCAATTACGGATTTTCTGTTCTAATACAGACCACAGGATCTTGGTCTAGCGTGGACCGGAAGATTGCCTGCACCGGGACGCTCTCACAAAAAGTCTTCCCTCGCTGCCGATGTTATTGATCTGTGGAATAGCAGTTTCTTCTTCGCTCGGGGCATCGAGGTGATCCTGTACAAAGGGCGTGAACGTCGCTCGGGCCCGAATGCGGGGCTCGTGGATGTCCCATACCCAGACCCGGGTGATACATCTTCGGATTCATCTGAATCTTCCTCTGAACACTCGTCGTCGGACGACGAATACCCCGCTCGCCAGGCCAGTGTGTACGGTCCAGCGCATGGCTATCCCGGATTTGTACCCGATGCTGCTGAGCAACGCCGAAGACGAGATGAGGAGCGGAGGGAGAAGAAACGTCGTCGCAGAGAACGCAAGGCTCGACGTCGGGCACGCGAGCGCGCGAAACGGTATTCGCTGTACATCAGCTGCATTCCTAACGGGGGGCCTGCTGGTGTTGTCTCCGGTGGAATGCCTACGACGGCGGCAACAGCTCAGCCTGCTCAGATGCAACCCCAACAGCAGCAGCAGCAGCAACAGAATCCAGCAGGGTATCCGCTGGGGACCCTGCCTGGCACGATTCCCGGGGGGATGGCAGCTCCTGGCACCTATGGATACCCGCCTGCGACTGGCTATGCGACACCTGGAGCAGGAATCCCAGTCACTGGAAGCCAAGGCTATGCGCCTGGAATGACGATGCCTGGCGGGATGGCCGCGCACTCGGGTGTCCCGGCAGCTGCCACTCAGAACTACGCGCAGGGGATGCTCCCGGGAACCATGCCGGGTGGGATGCCGGGCGGATTGACTGGTGGAATCTCGACCCCATATGGTGCTGTCTCTGGTGGCATGCCTGTGTCTCAGTCTGGCTATTGATTTCATCTGGCACCCATTTAGTCTCTGCTACGCTCCAATTCCTTAGTCTTCTATATCCCGCTATGCACTTTGTATCATCCGCATCCGATTTGTACTTGCCTGTCCTGTGGTGATGTGGCTGGCCGATAAGATAAGCGATCAGAGATCACCGATCGACGGTTACTGGTCACATGTACAATGGCCCACAGCCACATCAGTCCTGAATCGCACTCCCAACTTCGCTGGACGCGTCGCTCGTCCCAACCCTGGACGCGGTTTGATTCCTCTCCAGCTCGACCATGTCCTTCTTCAATACCAACACTTCGAATGCCCTCAATAGCTCCACGGCGGCAGCCGCCGAAAAGGACATTGAGATGGCAGATCCACCCACCGACTCCATTTCCTCCCTGTCGTTCTCGAGTCAGGCAGATTACCTCGCTGTCGGAAGCTGGGACAATAGTGTTCGTTGTCTAAAATCCATTTTTCCTTCCCAGACGCATATTCTGACGCGTATTTTCTTTCCGCCACCCAGGTACGCATTTACGAGGTTGGCGCGGGGGGACAAAGTCAAGGCAAAGCTATGTATCAACACGAGGGACCTGTTTTGAGTGTATGCTGGAACAAGGTATGCGCCGCGCCCCTTCGCGCCGTGGGCCAACCTCATTGGTCTCGCGTGCTTTTGCGCTGCTAGGAAGGGAACAAGATCTTTTCGGGAGGCGCCGACAACGCGGGGCGCATGTATGATATCGCGACGGGGCAGGCGACACAGGTGGCTCAGCATGACGCCCCCATCAAAGTGGTCAAGTGGGTGGACACTCCTCAGGCAGGAATCCTGGCCACGGGGAGTTGGGATAAAACTATCAAGGTGCGTCCTGTGCATGCTCGCCGTCTGAGTTGCTGTCCCTGACCTGGCTGTTTGGTCTCCAGTACTGGGATCTACGGACTCCCCAGCCGGTGGCAAGTGTGCAGCTCCCAGAGCGGTGCTACAGTTTTGATGTTCAGTACCCACTAATGGTCGTTGGGACTGCGGAAAGACACGTCCAGATATTCAATTTATCCAATCCCACTACACCATACAAGGTTTGGGCGGCGTGACGCTGTTTCTCTCGGTGCGCTGAAGCGTCCTCCTTTCAGACATTAGTTTCGCCACTCAAGTGGCAAACGCGTGTGATCTCTTGCTTCACTGCTTCTGCCAACAGTGGCTTTGCTGTAGGTAGCGTCGAGGGGAGAGTGGCCATCCAGTGAGACTTGTCCTCCTGCTTTCAGACCACGATCACTGAAGTGCTTGCGCTGGTAGATATGTGGAAGACAAGGACAGCAGGTCGGCGATCTAGCGGCCCCTGCCATGCCAGCTTGTGTTGACATTTCTGTAGCAACAACTTCTCTTTCAAGTGCCATCGGCGTGATTCCAGCCCTACGATCAAGGACGGTTCGATCGTGTACGCTGTGAACGATATTTCTTTCCATCCCGTCCACGGCACATTTTCCACGTGAGTCTTGGTGCATTTGCGCGGGGTCTGCCTCTGCTGAAAGCTTCATATCCAGATGCGGTGCCGACGGAACTATACACTTCTGGGATAAGGACGCACGGAACAGGCTCAAGAGTGGGTCGCGCTCGCATGCTTGTACGTCTCTTCTGACTGTTCCCAGGTTTCGAAGCGCTTCCCGGTCCGATTTCTGCGACTGGCTTCAACCGGAACGGAAGCATATTTGCGTACGCTGTTTCTTACGATTGGTCCAAAGGCCATTCAGGTATGACCCCGGGACACCCCAACAAGCTGATGCTGCATGCGTGCAAAGACGAAGAGGTGAAGAAGAGGCCCCGAAAGGTCTAGGAGTCGTAGTGCTATCTTGTTGTATCTGCTTTCTGGATAATAGCATTGTTTTCCCACGCGTGCGGACGGCACGCGTGTTCGTGTGCACTCCTCCGTACGCCGGGTTTGCCGATCACAAACGTCATTGCACAGTTTCTCTTGGCTGACCCGCTCTCTTTTCTCCACTTGTCATGTCCGACGCCCGCGATACTGTGCCCGACACGATCACAGAAGCTGTCGGAGGCGAGATCACCGAGCTTGCCGATGAGGGCGCTGACACCACCGACTCCAATCTCCGTTACGCTGCATATGGTGCTCGACTGAGGACTGCACTGCGAGCCGGCACGCGCTATATCGCCTACGTACGCGAAAAAAACTATATTCCGCATCCTCTCCTCAAACAGACATGCATCCTATCCTGTAGACGAGCGACGTGGGCGAGGCATTTAGACCCGTCGTGCCCGCGTGGGTCGTGACCGCCGCATACGGGATATCATGGCTGTATCTCGGCGGGGACGTCTCGTACCACTCGTACAAGGTCCACCGACAAGGCGCGACGTCCGTCGAAGTGGCGGCGCAGCTCACGGAGCCCGTGCGGATAGGCCTGGCCGCGGTTGAGCGCGCGACGTTCCAGTCCATCGCTTCCATGTGCGTGTGACCTCGCCCCATTCTTCCTCGGTGATCGAGACTAGTTCACAGGGCACTCCCGGCATTCACGATCCACACCGCCGTCAAGCAAGCGAAGAAGGTGTTTGACAAGTCGCTGAACCCGCGTCTGAAGACGTGGGGCCCGACGGCGACAGGATTGGCTATTGTGAGTGTATGCGTGCAGTGTTCAAGGACAACTATCTGACGTTCTGCATCAGGTGCCAATATTGCCATACCTTTTCGACCACCCCGTCGAGCACGTCACGGACCGCGCGTTCGGCTGGATCAAAGAGAAGCTTGCTGAGCAGAATACAGCGTCCAAGTCGAAAGACGAGCTCTGATTTGATGGGGGATAAGATTAGATTAGATCACATTCTACGGCTGGTTGTCTTGTAATACATACATACAATTCGTACTTATTACTTGGTTCGATAGCAGTTGACAAGGATGCGATGCAGTGCGATTACATTACAAGGTCGTGCGTCCAAGAGCCATTGGGATAGAACTGATGCTGCTCGGCGGGATCAGCCCCACCTCCGTCACCATGGCCGTGATGCAAGAGGGCGGGGTGAGATCGTACAATGGATTGAGAATCTCAAGATTGGATGTCGGAGGCAAAGTTTTCCCGAGATGCGCAGGCGCTACAAACGGCGAGGTGAGATCGTATCCTGCGAAGAGAAACAAACGGGCAAACTCACCCAGTTCGTTCTTCCCAAACCCATCGAGCATCACCGTCTCGCTGAACTTGTATGTCTCACAGCAGACCAGGACGGGGACATTATGCTGCTTGGCCATCATGGCCACGAGAGCCGTCCCCGCCCGAGAGTAGACAGCGCCATTAGATTGCAGAGAATGTGCGCCCAGGATGACTGTCGTCGCCTCGATAATCAGCGACGGCAGAGCGGTCAACAGGGCGTAGGTGCATGGTATAGGCGGCTGGGGAGGCACCAGCGAGTCGTCTGACAGAGTCCAGGATTGTCGCGACGATGCCGATGTCAAGGCACGCAGGAGTCCTTTTCCTGTAGACAGCTGTGATTCAATCGGTTGGACCTGCGGAGAGACTGACCTTCAGAAAGTGGTCTCGAATCGACTACGATGACCGAAAAGCGCTTTCCCTGCTTCCATGCGTTCAGTAGCACTTTTTCCACCACAGATGATCTGATCCATCTCAGTACACATAACACAGATCAAGTCGACCTGGCATACCGGGCAAAGGTGACGATAACATCGCCGTCCTTAATCTTCTTGTTCGCGAAATCTTGAATGACCTCATCTGCAATGATGATGCGGTCCCGGATATAGTCGTCGATCTTTTGGCAGAGCACATCTTTGGCCTGTAGATTGAATGAGCTTTCTCAGAATCGAGTCGCTGGTGAAACGGAACTAACATCTTGTTCGGGCATATCAATATCCGAGCTACTGATCTCTAGCTTGAGCTGCCGGATCGCATTACCCATTGTGACCGACATGGGGCGAGCGGACACGAGGTGTGTAATTTGTGGGGAAATGTGGGTCATCAGATGCCGAGATAGCGTATTATTCGGGGGCGTCGTGTAGTCTTGGATGACCTGCGAGACGTTTAACACAGAGAAGCAGCAGCAGTTCGAGCGCAAAAACCGTTTTGAAAGCGTTCAGGGTTGCGATGCAGCGCGCGTTCGCGCCACAGATCTTGAATTCGGAGAACTGCAACGCCAGCCGCACGATACATGGGTGGATATCCCCTTTGACTGCATGTCCCTGCTTCGGGATACTGAAATGCGAAAAGATCCGCAGCGTCTGCGATCTCGATGCCGATGCGTCCGTGTCCGCGTGTGATTTGGACGATGAGTGGCCTGCTCCTCCACTGCCACTGCCTTCCTCCTCCTCCTCCTGATGATGATTTCGACTGCGGTGTGTTGGATTTTGCTTGTTTCGCCTTGCCTTTATCACCGCCACCGCCTGCTCCTCCAGCCTGCGGTTGTTGTTTCTGCGCGAGTTTCGCGGCGCGTTGACGTTCCTGGAGTTCGCGTCGTTCGGCCTTGGTCATCGTCTTCTGTGTAGGTTTCTCCCCGGAAGCACTAGGCCCTGGTGTATTGGGTCCAGGGGGTGCGGCCATATCGCGTGCGTGGTTGGTCGAGTGCTATGGCGATCTGCAGAAATCTGGATCGCAAAATGACTAGGTTGATGATGGATGATGCAGTGTGACCGAGTTCCGATTTGTCACCAGCGTTTGCTGTTTCCTTCACCCCAACTGAATTGCCAGCCCAGTGCCGACTCCCGTGCGCCATAGACGACTACCATACGACATTGTACTCTCCTTTTCTTTGTATAACTGCGCCCACGAAATCGACCTGTTCTATCGTGTCTAATTCCCAAGAATGGTCCGCTATCTGCATACTGGTTAATGCCATACAGCACTGAACCCGTCTTTTCCGCTACAGGGTGTTCCCGCTCTCTTCCGCTGGCTCAGCAGAAAGTATCCTAAAATCAGTACGTCACGCTTGATCCTTCTCTTCCTCCTTCTCTCCCGACTCACGCGCTTACCGCGAACGCCCAGTCTACCCTGTTGTCGAGGAGGAGGAGATCAGAGTCCCAGGCGATGGCGAAGTCCTCAGCATCCCGGTCAATATGTCCATGGCGAACCCCAACGGCAAAGAATTCGATAACTTGTATCTGGATATGAACGGAATCGTTCACCCTTGCACTCACCCCGATGGAAAGGCACGTCCCAATCTATGTGGTGCTTCTGCAGAGACTGATTATATGGGATTCAGGCCGCGCCTCTGACGGAAGAAGATATGATGATTGAGATATTCAAATACACCGAGCGGGTGGTCAATATGGTCCGACCTCGTAAGATTTTGTTCATGGCTATTGGTGCGTCTGCTTCCACTTTCTTTTCTGGACTCCCTCATCTGAAACGGAAAAGATGGCGTTGCACCAAGAGCCAAGATGAATCAGCAGCGCTCGCGACGATTCCGTGCCGCCCAGGAGGCGAAGGACAAAGCGGCTGCGCAGGAGGAAGCCAACGCCCTGTGGCGAGGTGCGCTGTCAAGCCCTGGTCAGCCTTATTTGGGACTGCTACTGACTTATTCTACTATCTGGCTAGCTATGGGCAAGACGGTTGAGGAAAATGACCGCGAGGCCTGGGATACCAACGCCATCACACCCGGTACACCCTTTATGGAGCTTTTAGCTGCCTCTCTGCGCTTTTGGGTCGTGCATAAGATAAACACTGATCCTGGGTGGAAGAATGTGCGTGTTGAGCATCATTTCTCTCTCAAAACCAACAAGTTATAGCTTGAAGTCCTTATATCCGACGCCGGTGTTCCTGGAGAAGGAGAACACAAAATCATGGATTGGATTCGGCGTCAACGAGTCAGTCCTGGCCACGACCCTAACACGAAGCACGTCATTTACGGGCTAGTATGTGTTCTTGGCATCTCCTTTCTGTGTTGCCTTGCTGATGGCGCTTAGGACGCCGACCTGATCATGCTGGGGATCGCGACACATGAGCCGAATTTCTGGGTCCTACGTGAAGATGTGTTCATGGACGCAGCGAGTTCTACCGCTTGCCGCAAATGCGGTCAAGAGGGACATTATGCTGCGCAATGCATGCTGACGCAGGAGCAAATCAAGCAGTCGAAGAAAGCGATAAGCGACGAAGAAGCTGCTCTAAAGAAACCTTTCATCTTCCTTGACATTGCGATTCTGCGTGAATACCTCGTCGTCGAATTGGACGTCCCGGAAATCCCGTTCAAATTTGATTTTGAGATGGCGGTGGACGATTGGGTGTTGCTGATTTTCTTCGTTGGGAATGATTTCTTGCCGCATTTGCCGTCATTGGAGATCAGGGAGGGTGCGATTGACACGCTTTTGACGATCTGGAAGACGGAACTTCCCCGAATGGGAGGGTATCTGACGGATCACGGTGAGATCGTGCTAGAGAGAGCTCAGATCATTCTGGACGGACTGGCGCAGAGGGAGGATGATATCTTCCGACGACGAAGGGAAGGTGCGTCGGTTATGTTCTGCTTGGGATGCTGACGGCTCACGCGCTCAAAGCGGAGAACAGACAAGACAGCAACGCGAAACGGCGCAAGCTGGAGGGAGGAATGAAAAATGATATCAGACCGTCGTCTAGTCTAGCTCTGACCTCTGGCCCGACTGCGCCTGTACAACATCATCATTCCCTTCCTCCCCGACCAAACTTTGCTGCCAATGCCGATGCGCTTGGATTTGGAACAGCGGCTGTGTCATCATCCACTTCGCCAGCTGCGGCTGAGCCATCCCTGCCATCGTCATCTGCAGCAGCAGCAGACACCGCTACTGCGATCCAAGCGCTGGCTGGATCGAATCGAGATGTAGTTGCGAACCGACGTGCGATTCGGATGGCCAATATGTCTGCTGCTGAGATGCTTAAGGCCGAAATGGCCAGTGCCGTGCCTGTGAAACCGTCTGCGCATTCCTCGCTTCCTGCTAAGCCACCACCGCCGGTCACCCCCCTTGTTCCGCCGAGCATGCCGCCACCTTCTGAGAGCCCTGCGGCCGATGTCGATATGAGTGATGTCGCGACCACGTACTCGACCACTTCCACCCATCTGTCCACCGCTTCCGCAGATTCTTTGGCTGGCTCGAAGCGCAAACTGTCTGAGGTGAACGAGTCTGAGCAAGATGCCGTTGGTGAAGACGAAGAGGACACCAGTGCGCCTGCGAATGTGTCGGCTCCCAAAAAGTTGATAGTGAACCCCGACGGAACAGTCGAGCAGGAGGATGTTGTCAAGTGCGCCGCGTCCAATGTGTGGATTCAAACTCTAATTTTTGGCTGTGTACGTTTAGATTGTGGGAACCAGGCTACAAGGACCGCTACTATGCGCAAAAGTTCCCCGATGCCGTGCTGGAGTCGGATTTCAAGAGGAAGATCACGACAGCCTACGTCGAGGGTCTCTGCTGGGTGCTCAAGTACTACTACCAAGGCGCACCATCCTGGCAGTGGTTCTATCCGTACCACTTTGCGCCGTTTGCTGCTGACTTTGAGAACGTGAAGGACATGGATATCCGATTCCAGCTGGGGATGCCGTTCAAGCCGTTTGAGCAGCTGATGGGAGTGTTCCCCGCTGCAAGGTGCGCTATCTCGTTCCTCTCACTGATCGTGTTGTTGTGACCGATGTATCTGCAGTCGCAAACACATCCCGGAGATCTTCCATCAGCTGATGCTGGATGAGCGGTCTCCGCTCCGTGGCGGGGACAAGGAGAACGAGAAGCCGAGCCCCGACTTCTACCCCGAAGAGTTCGAGATCGACATGAACGGGAAGAAGATGGCGTGGCAGGGGGTCGCTTTGCTGTCGTTCATCGACCAGGACGTGCTGCTGTCGTCGATGGCGCAGCCGTATGCGTTTCTGCCGGCTGATGAGCGGCCGGCACTGACGGCTCAAGAGATGGAGTTGGCGAAGAACGAGCCGCCGTATACGGTGTTCTTGAGTGAGGGCGAGCGGCGGCGGAATGCGTGGGGCAAAAACGTCATGTTCGCTGCCGACGAGCATCCGGTTTATCCGGTGTTCGAGTCGTTGTATGGGAAGAGGAAAACGCAAGATGTGAGTCATATCTCCGACTTGGTGTGCTCTTATCTAATCTAATCATATCTCTCTCTCGCCGCAGCCCGTCGTGCTGGACCCGAAGCTGAGCAACGGCATCTCGGGCAGCATCGCGCGCAACCCCGACTGTCTTCCCGGCTCTACGTACCCCAACGTCAACAACCTCCCGGGAATGGAGGACGTGCGGAACGACCGGTCGCTGTCGGTGGTGTACTACTTCCCGAAACAGGTCACGCCACACCGCAGCGTTCTGCTCCCGGGGGCGGTCAAGCCGCGGCGCGTGCTCACGGCGACCGACCTGGAGATGGCGCGGAGGGCAGCGGCGGGGCGGGGGCGGGGGAGGGGCGGGCCGCGAAATGATTCGTTCCATGCCAGTCGTGCGGCGAGAGACTCGTATGGCTCACATAATCATAACGGCGGTTATGGGAGGGGAGGAGGAGGAGGAGGAGGAGGGGGCGGAGGGCATCACAGTGGCGGAGGTCATCACGGTGGAGGAGGTCATAATGGTGGCGGCGGGGGCTATAATAGCGGCGGTGGCGGGTATAACGGTGGAAGTCATCATGGTGTTGGCGGAGGGTACAACGGGGGTGGAGGGTACAACGGAGGCGGAGGGTACAACGGCGGGGGCGGGGGCTATAACGGGGGAGGGCAGAATGGCGCAGGGGGATACGGGGGATACGGCTCCGGCCATAATCCTTCTCCGTCGTATGGCGGAGGGGGATACGATCAGTCGCACGGTGGCGGAAATTACCGAGGACCTCCGCCTCCCCAACAGCAGCAGCAGTACGGCGGGTACGGTGGGCCGCCTCCTCCGCAGCCACATCAAGGTTATGGCGGCGGCGCGTATCAGCAACCGCCGCAGAACGCGTACGGACGAGGGCCACCCCAGCAGACGAATTATGGCGGATACGGCCAGGCTCAAAGCTATAACGGCAACAACAACAACTTTGGGCCCGGGCACGGACGCGGCGGGTATAATGGATCCGGCCGTGGTCGAGGGTGGTAGATACTGCAAATCGCTATTAGGATCTGTAGAAGTTTGAATTTCAAGCTTCCATCCTCGTCTTGCGCATTTATTTCTCGCCATGACTGTAACATAACGTTTCTATGTAGGCGGGGTCTACAATCTTAGCACGCATGGTAGTCCTGCTCCTTCTTGCGTCGCTCGAGTTCAGTCTCGGGCGATTATGATAGCAGCAATGTTCGCGCAGAGTAGTTTACTCTTATCCTGATGCGGTTCTTCGTAAGTCCTTCACGTGCCAAAACGTTTACGGAGATCTGGAGAGATGCTCCGCCTTTCGCACATAAGTTATTGTACTGGCATAGAAACCCAGCAGGCCCTGTTACACCGTTCTCATGCGCCACTCACCACAGTCGGACTCGCGTGCTTTCAGTGGTATGAATGTCAGATCACACTTGGACGTAGATTTTAACATTCTGCCCTTGACTTTTCTGACAAAGCTACCTTTTTGGGAAGCGTCCGGCACGTGCACACGGAGGCTCCGGATCCTAATTTATTTTACTTATTGGTGTATTTGTCCAGTAAATAACTTTGTTGACGACCTCGTGACCTCCCATCTTTCTCCCTTGCCCATCCCCCTCCTCCCGTTTGACGCGATGACCCAACGATAACCCGCCCCCGCCCGCAGCTGGTTGTGCCACGCGATGTGCGCGCATGCAAGGCCTTCCACGCCATTGGGCTGCCGCCCCGCCGCCGGTACTCGACGGAGGGAGGTCATCAGGAGTGACGCCGTGAGCGTGTGGTCACGGCATCCTCCCTCTCTCTTTCTTCCGCTACTCCCTCATCCCCTCCCCTTTGCACGTCGTCCCCTCTCTCTTCTCCTCCTGTGCCACACAGCACCTCAGGCCCTCTGCTGTGCATGTACATAAGTAACTGTACAAGCTTCTTTGTCCCTACTAGCTACAGTGCTGTATGTATTTAGATGTAAATGCCACTTCCTTGTCCCCTCTGACTGAACTCTGAACAAAAAAAACTGCTCACTTCAATTCTAAGCTTGTTCCTAACACTTAGACATTATTCCCTGTGCATTTGTACCCTCCTTATTCAATAAATAATGATTTTCGAGGAATTTCGGTGCCCATCACCTGCCATCGGCCGGTCATTGCCTCATTTGGGTCCTTCCCAAAAAGGAATCCCAAGGGCAGAAAGTTGCGATCTCTTGGACGTAGGCTTGAATTGACTTGGCATTTTATCTACCAAGCACTGGAATTTGAGCAAGCAGACCAAGAACAAGAAATAATAACAAGGCTAGTCTCTTCTCGGCGACCGCGACCTGCTGTCTCTGATATCACTCATGCTCTGACTGCGTCCCCTCGACCGGTCACGCGAACCGCTGCGCGACCGCGTCCGGCTCCGGCTCCGGCTGCGCGTATACCGCGAGTACGACCGCGAGCGTGAACGCGAGACCGACCGCGAGACCGACCGCGTGCGCGAGCGCGACCGACTCGAGCGCACCGAGTAGCTGCGCGAGCGCGATCTGTTGTGCATCCGCCCGTAGCCGCCCCGCGAGTAGCTCGGGCTCCGGCGGCGCCCCCCGCGGTCCGGCCCCCGGCGTACGGGCGAGCGCGAGCGGCTGCGACTGTCCGACGCACGGCCCCGGCGGTTGTAGCTGTTGTGGTTGTTGCTGTAGAAGTCGCGACCGGGGGGACCGCCGCCGCGGCGGAACCCTCCCCGCCCGCGGTCCCGTCTATCGCGATCCCAGTCTCCAGGCCCACGGCGCCGGTATCCGCCGCCCGGGGGCGAGCGAGAGCGTGACGGGGTGCGTGAGCGGGACCGGGACCGGGAGAAGGACCGCGGGCGCGTGCTGCGGGGTGGTCGGGAGCGGTTGCGCGGGGGAGGAGGCGGCGGGCCCCGGGTGCGGATGGGGAGGTCGGAGAGCTCTACTTTGATGACTGCGCCGTCGATTTGGCCGCCGTTCATGTGCGACGCGGCTTTTTGGGCTGAGGGTGCGTCGGCGTATTCGAGTGCTGCTTTACCGCGATTTTGGCCGGCTGTTCAGAAGAACGGTCAGTTATCGAGTTAGTTTACGATGAGCACGGAGGGCACGGACATTTTCCAAACAGCGGCAGGTCAATCTGGGCTATGTCACCATAAAAGCCGAATATCGTTTTAAGGTGTGTTTCGACAACGCTACGGCTGAGATTGTTGATTATGACGACTTTGGCATCAGAAGAGGGCTTGCTGTCCACGTCCATAGCGGACGGCGACCCTGAACGGCCTCTTATCGACATCCTTGTTTGAGTGTGGAGGTAGGTGGCCGTCACAGCGTTATGTCACGCATGAAACTCGAGAGCAATAATCTTATCTTATCAGCCCCCAAACATTTCTGGCTATCAGTATTTACAGATATTTGCCTACCCTACAACCAGCCACGCCCATGGCCGACGTCCGCGCCCTGCTCAAAGCCAAACGCGAAGAAGCGCGTATTTCCCACCCCCTTGCATCCTACAATACCAACGGGCAGCTCAGGTGCATCGCATGTGGGCCCGTCAAGCACGCATCGGCTTGGGAAGGGCACCTCGGGAGCAAGGCGCACCGCACGAACGTCGCCCGTCTGCGGGAGGAGGAGCGGCGCCGGGAGGCCGAGCGCGTGAGGCAGGAAGAGCAGGAGGAAGACGAGCGGCGGCGGCGGCTCGCCAGCGGCAAGCGGAGACAGGAGGAGGATGACACCGAGGACGCGGACATGGAGGATGTTCAGCAGCCCGAGTCGAAGCGCCAGCGGGTCGACGCAGGTCCCGGTGGCGATTCGTTCCCGGCCGACTTTTTCTCGGACCCATCGCGCGCGGCGCCGGCGCCTCCGTCGGACGACGAAGATGAACAACAGCCACTCCCTGCCGCTCTCCCAACAGCTTCGGCTGCGCCTGCACTCGACGCTGAATGGGAACGATTTCAACGCGAAGTCGTGAATGTACCGGACCACATGGAGACGTACGACAACGCGACGGTCATGGCGGAGGCGCAGCTGGTGGACACACTCGAAGGTCTCCCGTCACAAAACGCAGAGGAAGAACCGATGGACGATGCTGCAGAGCAGGAGGAGAAACGGCGTCAGCGAGAAGTGGATGAGCGAGAACTGATCATGGATCGCTTATTGGAGGAGGAGAGGGCGCAGGAAGAGGCTGACATGAAAGTGGTGGTGATGAAGAATAAACTGGAAGCGCTGAAACGCAAGAGAGAAGCTGCCAAAGCGGCAAAAACATCTAAACTTCCTACATAGCTCACAGAAATATGTGCATGCACAGTCAATCTGTGTGATATTATGATAAGTACAATACGTCTCCGAGGTATATGGGAGTGCGGGGACAACTCTAATCACTGGCGATGGAGTCGTCGTCTGCAAGGAATGGTCTGTAGAGCAGGCGTGAGCTTCAACTGACGCGAAAAGAGAAATCGAGACGAACGCGTAGTCATAGTCATTCCTGATGGCGTTCGACATCCATTCCTCGTCCGCCTCTTGTTGAGGGAATCCGGGCCCTCCAGCAACACTGAGTACGACCGGAAGAAGGACCAGGCCGTGCAGCGCGCCGGACAGAATCAGTGTAAGCCACATTCGGAAGTAGTAAATCTGAGGCACAAATTAGACGAGTTCGGGTGACGGAAACAAGATACAAACCTCGAGCAGACGCGAACGAGTTAGTGCCAGAACAGACATGCCAATAAGCTTGGTGAATGTGATACCGGACAGAACGGAGGGCCCAACATCGACAAGCGCAGTCCACATCCTTTCATCTCGCTCCTTCTGCCCGGCAGGGTGATCGATCGGAAGGCCGGATCCAGCGCTCATAAAGGCACGCGAGATGTGTGCACAAAACTCGACAGCAATCCCCAGCGAGATGACGAGGTTGACGAGACTGATAGCATTCAGCCGGATGTCCCATACAGACATCACACCCATGACGTTCGTAACTGTGAGGGCCACGACGCCCGTGACGATCGTGCCAGTCCTCCACGAGCCCAGCATGAGAGCAGTCACGAGGAGCACAGCCAATAGACCGAGGCCCAGGATCTCCTGCGTGATCGCAGCGATGTGGCCGTACTGATCAAAGAAGACGTAGAAGAGAGAGTACGGGAACACCTTGGCCCCCGTCTGTTGCGAGAGATCGTCTGCAATACGATGGGCAGCAGCAAAGGCGTCAATAAAGTCCTCCTGTGTCTTCAGCGGCGTGTGGAATGTCCGAAAATGGGATGCAGCAATGCCGTCCCCGGACTCATCGATCGAAACGGCAGTGCCAAACGACGCTCGTCCTCCAGAAGGGCATTCTTCAGTCGTGGGAGAAACGAGCCACTGCGACATATATCGCATGAACTCTTGGTTCTCGGGGAAACCGTCCATGGTGATGTTCCAAGGAGGCTGTTGGTCCTGATAACAGGGCCGGCACATTCGAGCCGGATCCCGGTCACTGCAGAACACCGACGGATTGGTTTTGCGGACCCGGCAACACGCCTCGGCATTCGGGTCAAGCCAGCTGAAGAAGTTGTCGATCCACGACGCAGAAGGCTCTGCGATGAAGGAAGACTGGGGTCGTTTGCGTTCGCCTTCGAGTGTGTTGGCAACAGACCTCACTTCGCAAGTCGTAAAGCGGCCACAGAGCGCTTGTTGGCCCAGTCTTTTCGTAACGTCGATATCAGACGAGACGAAGTACACTGGTGGTCCGACATCCAGATACTTGTCCATGTCGTCAAAGTAGTTGACGAGATACGATTCAGAGGGCAGGGCTAGTCGTTGATCTGAAATACACTCAACAACGCATTCATTGCACAGACGCAGAACTCACCCAAACCCAATCTGATGTGTTGAATCGATATCACTGATGCGACGAAGATGCCTCCAAAGATGACTGTGACCCAGCCTTTGACCATGGGTCTCAAAATGAACGGCGCATAGTGACGACGAATGAAACGGGCAATCCGGCCCAATGAGGCACCGTAAACGGGAGCTTCCAATAGTGATATCCGGGATGGCAGTCGAACACAGGGGAAACAGTCGACACGGCTGGCCTTTGTAAACATCTGGTCAGACGAAGTTCTACATGAAAGGGGAGGCAACTTACTTCTACTCGCCTGAGATCGAGAGAGAGAGCACTGACGAATACCGTGACCTGGAGCATCGCGTTCAAGAACACGCTGCCTGCAGCATACAGCGCGAAATTCCGGACAGCAGGCATAGGGACGAGAGCGCCCAGGCCGAACGCGACTGTCTCAGTAATCGTGCTAAGCAGGATCGACGGCCCCATCTTGGCGAGCGTGCGAGCAACGCGCTCTTCAGCAGACAGAAACAGCGGCATCGACGCCGCGTCAATGTCCACATCATCTTGTGTCGAGTCGAACGGCGAGCGATGAGAACTCGGAGACATGGGCGTCGCGAAGCCTGGCGCATCTGCGACGGGTGTTGCGTTGGGGCCGTGCAGCAAGTTTTGGCGGTCCAGTTCATGCACCAAAATGAACACATTGTCCACGCCAACAGCCAGCACAAGGAACGGTATCACTTCAGCAATGATCAGTGTGACCTTGACATTCTGGTGATCACGTCAGCAAAGAAATCGCCGAACGTAACACGGCATGCACACCAAAAAAGAGAAGAGTCCCACAGATGAGGATACGGAGAGAATGACCAACGAAATTCCAAACAATCCCAGCAGGAATTTGGAATTGATGAACAACGAGCGAGGAAGCCGGGGGAACCAGTGCGGGGTCGTTCTCGAGTCCAGTGAGGCGCTCGACGAAAGGCCGGTGGATTTCTTGAACAACCGAGGGAAGTTGTGTGCCCACTGGGCCAAGGATGAGACGAGAGTATCATCACTGGCGATGGCCGATCCGCTCCCGAGAGTCAGCGAGATGTAGAAGAACATGGCAAGATAGGATAAAACGACGATCCTGACGTCCATGTTAGCACTCTTGTTGATCTCTTCTTCGAGCGAAACTCCTGTCGAGAAGGATATCTCGAGTCCAGCCTGCGGACCCGATCGATCCTTGAGCGCGACCAGGTATTCCCTCAGGGTCTCTTCCCATTCCATCGCCCTGGCCTTGACCGCCGGATCAAGGGAGTCGTTCACGACATACGTGATCACCATGGCCTCGGCTGAAACGTAATCCTTCGACCCGCCTTCATCCGTGGGAACCCCACCAAGCACGTACTGAGGCGCAAGTGGTTGCTCGTAATCGGGTCTGCACTCGACCGGCTGTCGAGCGCATGTGTCCAGATGTTCGCCCCACGTCGTTTCGTCGTACATGCTCAAATCGTTCTCGAACCAGCCGCCCACTGATTGAACAACACAAGCGCCTCGCGGACCGGCAGGTTTGAAGCACACGTCTGTGAGCCCATAGCCATTTGGCGATCGAAGTGAGCGAATCTCCTCCTCGACTTCGAACCAGTACTGCAGATGCTTCCAGGAAAGCACGGGTCCGGGTTCGGCGGCGGTGACGAATATCTGCTGCGGTCGGTAGAACGGTCCGAAGTGCTCGTCGAAGTACTCCTTCTGTAGCCTGCTTTCAGAAGAGGGAGCAACCCAGAGCCGCACCGGATCCTTCTCGATGTCAAAGTACCTCCACCCTAGGTTCAAAAATCCCATGATGGAGAACACCAGCGCAAAGGTCAGCCACGGGGAAGAGGCTGTCATCATCCCGAGCCGATAGAATCCTCGGCGAAGGAGGCTGTTCAAAGCATAATGTCGGGGCTGCACTGTTTCGATGGGGTCAACTAAGGATGCACCACGACCCAGATGCCGCGATTCGAATTGTGTGCCAGTAGAGTCATCATCCACGTAATGGGCCAGCGAGGCAGCACCCACGAGCCCTCTGGTCTGGATCCGAGGAGAGGACATGGATGCGGTATCTGCGGACAATGCCATCCGTTCATATATCTGTTCTCTCCGCTTGCGCAGTGTGGTTTGCAGCAGGTATCCACCAAAGAACCCGACAGACGCGATGAGATAGGTGACGACGAGGATGAGCGAGAGACAGGATAAGAAGCCGACGTGACAGACTGGCTGGACCGGGATGTCAGGGAGCACGGCGCACACAGAGGGGCAGTCTATGCAAGGACACCGGCTGGAAAGCTCGCTGTCGTAACAATTTCTCGCCTTCGGGTTCAAAGCCACCATGCCTCCGCTCGTTTCGAGAGGGAAATCCATCTGAAACGGGCTCCCAACCAACGGCTTCTCGTCGCCCATGAACTTGAGAAACGCAGAGTAGTTCTTGGCACCACCACCTATCAGGTCCATAGCATAGGAGTTCGCCGCGTCGAACTGCACATTCTTGCAGCTGTCGTAGAACCCCTCCCCAAACTCCTTCCCCACGAAAAAGTCGAGCGACTTGACAGCGGTCTCAGACGTCCGCGTCGTCTGTGTGGACGTGATATTGACGAAGGTACCCTGGTCGGGAGAGCAGGTAAATTTGCAGAAGAACGAGCGGAAGTTGTTCCGACAGGCGGGGCAGCTCGAGAGTATGCCCTCAATAGGCTCGAAATTATCGCGCAAAGCTTCCAGTTGATCGGCCGTGCAGCAGACGGGGCCCTGTGCGTACTCTTCTCCGCATACATTGACAAGGAGCTCTCGCTCGGCTGCGTCTTCAGGCTATGCGCCTGTGAGCCAATGTGATCATGTGGGGAGTACTCAAGCCACGTACCTCGACAGCTGGCCCGTCATACGGACACGGGAGATCCTTGAAGCCAGTAGCCCCACAGGACCCGCGCATAGCACAGTGGCCTTGCTTATCTGCCATTGCGGTCAGAGTAGAGTACGCAAGCGGCCACGATGCGGGTGAAGTGAGTCGGAGTGAGATTGACGTCACGGGGACCGCGACGAAGCGAGGCGCGTGATCTTCGTGACGCCATCACAGATCCCCTTGCTAATCTGAGTCTCTTGAATCTGTACGCATGCCCTCGGACGCAAGCAAACCGCGCAGGCGATTCGTTGGGACGAAATCCGCGACGCCATCGCGTCCGGGCGTGGCCTCCGTCCTGAACAACCAGATCCCGCGTGACATCCTCGAAGACGCCAACCTGAACGCGGCCATCGCACTTCTCCCGACGAACTATTCTCTCGAGATCCACAAAACCATCTTCCACGTCCGCAAAAACAATGCAACGATGGTTGCACTGCAGATGCCCGAGGGTCTGCAGATGTTTGCGTGTGCGATTGCGGACATCATCGAAAAGTTGGCCAGTCCGGCGTTAGAGCAGAGGCGGGTCGGCTGAAGATATTCCAGATTCACCCCGGCGTTAACGGTCATCATGGGAGATGTGACATACGGTGCTTGTTGCGTGGATGACTACACTGCCGTAGCACTAGGGTGCGACATGCTGGTACACTATGGCCACAGCTGCCTCGGTACATTTGTTATGCGTCTCCACAAGACTGCTCATCTGACATCGCGTGTCCAGTCCCCATGGATCAAACCTCAATCAAGACGTTGTATATCTTTGTGGAGATTGGCATCGACTCCGCGCATCTGGCGCAAACGATCCGGCTCAACTTCCCCGATGATCGAAGTCTGTTCCATGCTGCTCTTCTGGACTCGGAGGAGACCGACAGCCAGATACCTGCTGGGCAGCAAATTGGAGCGGCGTCAAGATTGCGTATCGAGGGCCCGTCGTCGAGCTCGACCCCGTCCGGTGAACCTACAAGACTAGCTCTTGTGTCAACTATACAGTTCGTTTCACCGCTACAAAGGCTCAAAGAGGACCTGGGCATCGAATTTGACGAAGGTGGTGAATCATCTGATGAGTCGAGACTGTGGAGGGGAAAATATGAGACTACCATTCCTCGTTCCAAACCGCTCTCGCCTGGGGAGATTCTGGGGTGCACTGCACCTCGACTCAATGACGTGGATGCATTAGTGTAAGGTTTGTCTGAAGTGCTAGTTAGATGCTCATCGCATGTTCCAGGTACCTGGGAGACGGTCGATTCCACTTGGAATCCATTATGATCGCCAATCCGTCCGTCCCTGCATTCCGGTACGACCCGTACTCGAAAAAGCTGACCAGAGAGCGTTACGACCACAAAGAGATGCATTCGATCCGTGACAATGCAGTGCAAGTCGCGCGGCGTAGTATCGCTGCCTTTTCCGATCAAGAGGAAGCCCCGTTGTGGGGTGTTGTGCTTGGAACACTGGGACGGCAAGGCAACTTCCGCCAGCTCCAGGTGCGTGTCTCCGCGACCGCCAGCTACATCTCATGATCTTTCTCTAGGCGATAACACATCAGCTACAAGAGTCCCATATTCCGATTCCCTACATTCCGATCCTGCTCTCTGAGCTCTCTCCTGCCAAACTTGCATTATTTAATCCGCACATCTCGACATTTGTGCAGACCTCGTGTCCCAGATTGTCGATTGACTGGGGTTATGCATTCGATCGGCCGCTCCTCAGTCCTTATGAAACGGCTGTCGCTGTGGGCAAAGCCATCAGCTGGATGCCAACAGAGGAATCGTCTCAAGGAGAGTATCCGATGGACTTTTACTCGGCTGGCAGTCCGTGGGCTGTGTCGAGAACCAAGGCACGGTTCTGAAGTGGACAAAGGCACTCTAACAGATGGAGAGAATACATGGATGTGATTCAAGTCCCTAATTTCCTCGTTCCCTTTGCAATTCAGAACCAAGGGCGGCTATTGTACTAGGACTGGATAAGTAATCCAACAGGCTACACCTGAAAGTTCCAACGCACTGCAGCTAATGGTGCACGAGTTGATGCAATCTTCAAAGTCCATCGTGGAAGAATGATGAAAGCTAGCACAGCACCCTGAACAGTAATCTGGGCATTCCTGAAGACCGATTCGAAGGCGTCAGTAGTGCGTGTGGCTGATTGTGAGAAGTAACACTCGCTGCGAAGGGCTTGATCTGGTTGCACTGCGACTGGACGCCGACGAAGAGGGCGAAGAGAGGAAGAACAAAGCCGAGACGCATTGGAGTAAATATTTCAAAGGAATGTCTCTGGAACATTACAGTAATTCCAGTGCTTAAATATGCCAGAGCTGAGTCGCAGTCCCATGATCCAGTTCAAGGTAGCTGTCGGCCAGCTCCACGGCGCGTATCGTTTTCAATCCACATTAGTCACCAAAATAAGGAAATATGTCAACAGCTTGTCAGTCCAGTGTCTGCCAGGCTCTGGATCTGTCCTCAGTCTCGCTTAGACCGTGGGCGCGACGCAGCTATCGTAGAACATCGAGTAACAAGCCCCTGATTTGAAAAGCACACAGCTACCTTACATGGAGATGACCCTTGGATCTCATGGGATGTCACACTTCTTCCTCCTCCGCTACCGAAGCTTTCGATCGTCTTCAATTGCGGCGGAGACTCCGACCGTCGAGTTGTCAATCTTAAGACGTCGACGCGATCACGTGTGTGTCATGGTTTCTCTTCACTCCGTTCACCCACCTCAAGTCTCCAGGACAAGATGATTGTCAATGTCATATCTTCCCATGAGGCCGTGTTTGACTGGGCCGTATCAGACTAAGTATCCAGAACTCACGACAACAAAAGTTTCAGCTTTCGACTGATGATGCACCAACGCCGTTAGCATGTTACACGGGCGTTATCAAGAATGTTACAATGGTTTACAGGGTGGACAGCCCAGAAATCAGCATCCCCTTTGGTCTATAGCCTTGTGCTGCAGAACTTGTATGCTCCGCCACATCGCCAAGCTCTACGTCTGGATGCTGGCCGGGGCCGCTGTTGCTGACAACATCGCCAAGTGGCGTAAACGGGCCGTTCCTGACAGTTGCTGTTGAAAAGACAAAAGCCATACTGACGGAAGACTGATTGCGGGAGATGGACTGGTGCGATCAGAGTTGCTTGCCCCCCATGCTCTGCAGGGATAAGTTAGAAGCTGCGAAGTATGTATGCAGATGGATGTCGTGGCCCACCCACCACATGGTCGGCGAGGTGAAGTCCGGCCGAGATCGGCAAGGCTGCTCCGAGTCTGATGGGAACAATTGATCTACAGACACCCCTCGTACTTAGTCTGATCCCATTACGGATTTCGGTCCAGACTGGACCCCGGTAGACCCCGGTTGTCTCCTGAGCATACGCTCTGACTGAGGATCGGCTCAGTGAAAGCTTTGCTCAACTCACTTGCTTTCATCCCATTCAATGCCCTTTGGCCAATGTCCATCATGGGCACTCATTCCGGCATCCGTGCCTTGAAAGCGTAGCAAAGTCTCCTCAAAATGTGACATTCTATTCTTATCACGCCTAAAGGATCTCCTCTCTGCATGGAGACCCCCTAGACTCCTGCCCGAAAATCTGGCATCGGCTAACAGCTTGGCAGTACGGCACTGTCCGTTCTCTGCTCCGCCCTCCTCTCCCCTCCTCCCTCCACCATGCGCCTTTCGGCGCTCACACTCTCCCTTCTGTTCGCGGTACGGGTGACCGCGTCACCCTATCGTGATGACCTCGTTGACTACAACCTCAACGTCAACCAAGCCGCCACTGACCCGACCCAGTACTCCACCACCCGGGCCAATACGACATATTTCAAGTCTCCGACTAATTGGCGTGCACTGCCCGTCTACACACTTCTACTCGACAAATGGGCCGACGGAGACCCGTCGAACAACGACTACTTTGGCAGTGTGTTCGAGACCGACTGGCGGGAAACGCAGTTGCGGACGGGAGGTGACTTGAAGGGTTTGGTATCAAGGTTAGACTATCTGTATGGCATGGGTCAGTCTCGCATACTTTGTTCTCTCACTTGGTCTGATGTGGTCGTCTGCCAGGCATACGAACGATTTTCATCGCAGGCACACCATTTTTGAATATGATCTGGCAAGCTGACAGTGCGACGGTCTCCCTTTTGTCTTTCCACCTGTCTGACTCAGCCTGTCAGGTTACTCTCCGCTCGACTTCACTGTCTTGGATCCGCATTGGGGCACGATCAATGATTGGGTCGAAGCCGTCAACGAGATCCATGCGCGCGGCATGTACATCATGCTAGATTTTACGGTAGGAACCATGAGTGATTTGGTCGGCTTCAAAGAGTGAGCTCGCACTCTTGAATCTTAGGAATTGAATATTTAACTATCTTTTCAGCTACCTCAATGTCTCTGCACCCTTCACCCTTAATGAACACGACGTGGTTTACAAAACTCCGAAGTATCTCCCATGGAACTTCACCCAGTACCGCGACTTTACGCTCAGCAACGTCCGGAACACATCTTGCGTCATGCCCAACTTCTACGACGATTCCGGTGCCCCCGTCACTCTGCAGACCAACGGTTGTCTCGAGTCCGATTTCGATCAGTATGGCGACACGGAAGCTTTCGGTGTGTTCCCCGACTGGCAACGTCAGCTGTCCAAGTTCGCCTCGGTGCAGGACCGTCTCAGAGAGTGGAAACCTTCGGTCATGGACAAGCTCACGACGTTCTCGTGCATGGTCGTGACCGCACTGGACATCGATGCTATCCGAATCGACAAGTCGATTCAGGTGACGGTCGATGGGCTTTCCTCGTGGGCGACGAGCACTCGTGCTTGTGCTACGAAATTGGGAAAGACGAATTTCCTGATCACGGGTGAAGTGACGGGTGGAAACACTTTTGGTGCCGGTTATTAGTGCGTCCATCTGTTCCCTGGCTCTTCAGTGCTTGATGTTCTCCAGCGGGCGCGGTCGTTTGCCGTCTCAGGTGCCGCCGTCTTGGGATGCTGCAGTCAATATCACTGCGTCAGAGAGACAGTTCTTCATGCGGGATGTTGGCAAGAATTGTTTGGACGGCGGTCTGTTTCTTCTTTCCGCAATCGAATCTCGTCGCTGACGCACAAATAGTCGCATTCCACTACTCCATCTACCGTGCTCTCACTCGTTTCCTGGGCATGGACGGTAATCTGCTCGCCGCATACGACCTCGACATCGATTTCGTGGCTGCATGGAACGAGATGTTCGTCGAGAACGACTTCCTGAATCCGAACACCGGAGTGGTCGACCCTCGCCACATGTACGGGACGAGCAACTTCGATGTGTTCCGGTGGCCAAGTGTGGAGAACGGAACCCAGTCCAATATGATGGCTGCGTTTATCACGACGCTGGTCATGCCGGGTATTCCCATGTACTTCTACGGCGAAGATCAGGGCTTTTATGTCTTTGACTCGCTTGCGTCCAATTATCTCTATGGGTGAGTGTTGTTGTATTGCTTTTTTTTGGAACGCGCTGACCGCTCTCTAGTCGTCAAGCCATGACCAGCACACATGCTTGGAAACGGCACGGATGCTATCACCTGGGATCTGACCAATATTTCGACTTCTCTACTTCGCCTGCGTTCTTGGGCTGTCACGACGATTGGAACGCACTGGATCATTTCGATCCCACGGCCGAACCGCGCAGATTGGTTGCTCGAATGCTGGAATTGCGCGGGATCTATGGCGCTCTGCAGGATGGTTTCGGTCTCACACAACTTGGCAACTGGACGCACTTCATCCAGCGACCGGGCTCGAATGGTGTGATGACCGAGATGGGGCTGTGGTCGATTTCGCGGACGGCCTTGGTCAGCCAAAACAAGACGATGACTGGAACGTTCAACGACGTCGTCTGGATGCTCTACACCAATGAGAACGCTACTACGACAGTGTCCCACGACTGCAAAGGCTCGTTGTGGATCTCGTCGCCCTTCCAAGCTGGCCAGACTGTCCGCAATCTGCTGTACCCGTACGAGACGTACACACTGTCGGCATCTCTGTCGCCTTATTACGCGGACGGGAAGGCACCTTATTACGGGTGTCTGTCCTCGATCACCCTGGACCCGCTGGGCTTCAAGGCTCTTGTACCCACTACCCAATGGGTTGCCCCTGCTCCTCATCTCACTCGCGCCTCTCCGAGCCACGACGCGCGAATTTCCACCGAAGTGGTCGGGAACAGCATTGATCTCACACTCGAGTTCAACACAGCCATGTCTTGCAACTCTGTCACTCAGGCCCTCACCTTCAACCTCTCCACGGCAGGTGCTGGCTCGACGTCCGCCGTCAAACTCGGCAATGCTGTGTGCGCGAACATCACCAACCCAGCTCCGACCAATCTGACCGGCGTGGACCCGTCCGTCTTCTCCTGGAAAGCGACGCTCTCGAACGTCGCTGACGGTGTCTTGGAGATCACGATGAACAATCCAACTTCGGCCGCTGGCGTCCAGTCCGGGGTGCGCCACTTTTATTTCGTGGATATGATTCATAGCAAGATACTGATGAGATACAGGTCAAAGACAAACTGCTGATCCGGAAGGGTCTCTCGAACAACCCCATCGTCTTCCCGTTGAACGACTACAACAGTTCGCTTTTCACCTATGATGGGGGTGCCGGCCAATACACGTTCACGCATGTTGCCCTCGGCGCCGAGAAGTTCCGGTACTCGCCAGACTACGGCCAGAACTGGACGCAGTGGAAAGCTTGGGAGGCCACGACCACCATCGACAAGAGTGTGTTCTCTGGATCGGATATGTCTTGGCAGGGCGACCATATCATGGTGCAGTGTGCGTCTCATTTGAAAGTCTCCTTTTCGGTGACTTTTTTGACATATCTGACGCAGACTGGAACTCGATGACGATGACCGTCGAGAGCGTGGTCCATGCCGACTACGGATATACGGGTGCCTCTCGTCGCGTGCCTGGTTTCATGGCCCGCGGCCCGTTCAACAGCTGGGGCTTCGACCAGGGTCTGCCTAACAAATTCGAGCTCAACACGCAAGGCGACTGGGAGTTCGAGTTCATGTCGCAGTGGCCTGCATACATCGAGCTGGCAGTCTTTGACATTCTCGGGGATTACTTCTACGGCGACGTGGACGGCGATGGTGTCCTGGATCGTCTGCCTCCGAACGCGCTTTCTCCGAACTATATCAATATGTCGGCTCCCCCGAAACCATATGTCGCGTGGGCTCTGATTGTAAATGACGCAGACCTGTCGTGGAGGCTTGGTGAGTGGCTGGCTGTCTTTGCAGACGTGACTGGATCTGACTGGTGCCCAGAACCCCGCGGGCAGTCCGCCGTCGGTGCTCTCTTGTATTCGTTCTTGCTTGCGATTCCACTGCTCACGGGTACCGCCGCGGTCGTCATCTTCATGCAGACGTTCTACCGGATCAAGCACAATCAGTTCGGTGTCAAGACCAAAAACAAGCCCATGTACGCTCCTATTCTCGATGCGCTCAAGGGCAAGTCGTCAGCCGACGTGGCCACCCCGATGGAGAAGGACGAATTCGCGCACAGACGCAATCATGAGATCATCGGCTGGCCCGAAGACAAGAACAAACGCAGAAAGGTCATCATCGCGACCCTCGAGTACGAGATCATCGACTGGAAGATCAAGGTCAAGATCGGTGGATTGGGTGTCATGTCTAGTTTGATGGGCAAAGCGATGACGGACGTGGATCTCATCTGGGTCGTGCCCAAAGTCAAGGACGTCGAATATCCTGCGGGAGAGCCAGCGGAGCCCATCGAAGTCATCATCTTCGGCGAGCCGTACCTGATCGAGGTCGAGACTCACGTGCTGGACAACATCACCTACGTTATTCTGGACAGTCCTGTGTTCCGCGCTCAGACCAAGGCGGACCCGTATCCTGCGCGCATGGACGACCTGAGTTCCGCCATCTTCTACTCGACATGGAATCAGGCCATCGCTGCGACTATCCGGCGGTCCCCCACGGTGGATATCTACCATATCAACGACTACCATGGTGCTCTCGCCCCTTTGTATCTCCTGCCCAAGGTCATACCCACGTGTCTCTCGCTGCACAATGCGGAGTTCCAGGGTCTGTGGCCGCTGCGGACGAAGGAGGAGATGAAGGAAGTCTGTTCGGCATTCAACCTGAGCAAGGAGCACTGCATCAAGTACGTGCAATTCGGAAACACGTTCAACCTGCTGCATGCGGGCGCCTCTTTCATCGCGCAGCACCAGAACTCGATCGGTGTCGCTGGTGTGTCGGACAAGTACGGGAAGCGTAGTTGGGCTCGGTACCCCGCGCTGTGGTGTCTCAAGCACGTCGACTCGCTGCCGAATCCGGATCCTAGTGACATCGAGGCGCTCGACGAGCAGGCCATCAAAGCCAAGGACGTCGAGATCGACCAGGTTGCCGAGGCCGCCCGGCCGGAGCACAAGCGGCAGGCGCAGGAATGGGCTGGAATCAAGCAGGACCCCAACTCGGATCTGTTCGTGTTCGTCGGACGATGGTCGAAGCAGAAGGGTGTCGATCTGATTGCGGACATCATGCCCTCGATGCTGGAGAAACGGCCCTCGATCCAGCTCATCGCCGTCGGCCCCGTCATTGATTTGTACGGTCGGTTCGCGGCAGAGAAGCTTGCGAGGTTGATGGTGATGTATCCCGATCGTGTGTACTCCAAACCAGAGTTCACTGCGCTGCCGCCGTATCTGTTCAGTGGGGCTGACTTTGCGCTGATCCCGTCGCGTGACGAGCCGTTCGGTCTCGTGGCTGTCGAGTTCGGTCGTAAGGGTGCGCTCGGTGTTGGAAGTCGGCTCGGTGGTCTCGGTCTCATGCCTGGTTGGGTGCGTTTTGGTTTCCATTGTCATCTCGTCTTGGTGCGATCCTGACTGACCTGTTTGCAGTGGTTCCCTGTCGAGTCCAATTCGACGGCCCACATGCTGTCTCAATTCACGAAGACGATCAAGCTGGCACTCAAGTCCACAGAAGAAGAGCGAGCCGTTCTTCGTGCTCGGTCTGCCGTACAGCGTTTCCCCGTCGTCGAATGGCGGCAGCGGACGGAGGACTTCCACAAACGGTCGATCAACACCAGTCGTGGGAATGCGATGTCGAACGCTTGGCGGGAATCGGACTGTACGGGCGAAAACAGCGTGCCGATGGCGGCCCCGACGAATTGGGATCTGGCGCACCAGGCGGCCCCGACCGAGCCGTCGTGGGACAACCAGAGCATCGTCGACAACGCCTCGCAGTACGGGCATGACACGAACCAGTGGAGCCACGACTCGGAGAGCGACTACGGCTCGCCGCGCATGGGCGGCGGCGGCAACGGCTACGAGCACGTGTCGGACAGCGGACTCGAGACGCCGCCAGCGTCGTCGAACGACTACTCGAGTTTCCTGGAGCGTGCGAACAATGTGATCGCCAAGGACAACAGGCATGCCGCGGATCCGTTCCTCGATGCCAGCAATGCGCCGAACCGACCGTTCACTAGCGGAGGCAACCGGCTGACACACCGCAGCTCCGCATCGTCGATCTCGTCGATCATGGACGAGAAACAGAGCTCGGTGCTGAACAAGGCGGAGACGTCGTTCACGGACGCGGACGGAGGCGTTGCATCCGACTTCATCCACCGGCTCGAGTCGCTGGACGCGAAGAACTCGGAGCACGAGCTGTCCATCGAGCGGTTCCTGATCAAGAGCGAGGAAAAGTTCTTCCACCAGGTCAAGAAGGAGAAGATGCACGCCACGGAAAGCCTGCGTTCGTCGAAGCGGGACTCGATTTGGGGGACGCCCAGTTCTTCGATCGATTCACGTCCGGGATGTGAGTGGCCTATTTTTTTATTGCTACAACCGGGGCTTTTTGCTGATGTCTTACGAAAGCGCCGTTCATGGACTACCAAGACCCGTCGCAGCCGCCCTCAGACTCTGTCCCGATGACACGGCTGCAAGTGATGATGTCGAAGGAGATCTTCGGTGCCCCGATCTACGCGCTGATCATCGCCTTCGGGCAGATGCTCAGTGCGACGAGTTACCAGATCACGCTGCTCACGGGAAAGAGTTACTCGGACAGCACGAGTCTGTACATCGTCGGCGGGATCTTCATCGCTGCGACGCTGTTCTGGTACCCGCTCTTCCGTCTGCGGCCGTCGATCTGGGTCCTCGGCCTGCCCTGGTTCTTCTTCGGGATCGCGTTCATGTTGATCGGGCTGCCGTCGATTGCGTCGAAGATCGCGCCGCTCCACTACACGATCGGCAACATCGCGACGTACTTCTACGCGTTTGCGTCGGCTGCGACGTTCGCGTTTTTCGGACTGAACTTTGGTGAGGAGGCTGGTGCGGCGACGGAAGTGTGGACGCTCCGGGCGTGCATCGTGCAGGGCTCGCAGCAGCTGTGGGTCGCGGCGCTCTGGTACTGGGGCAACACGCTCGACAACGTGCAGAGCAACTACGTCCCCCCGTGGGAGATCTGTCTCGCCGTCTGGCCGTTGGGGGTGCTGTCGTTCATGTTCGGGTTCTTCATGATCTATGGCTTGCCCGAGTACTACAGACAGGCCCCGCCCAAGGTCCACGGCCTCTTTGCGACGCTGTTCCGGCGGAAGCTTGTCATTTGGTTCCTGGTTTCTGGTGCTTTGCGGGACTACTGGCTCAGCGGGGTGCGTGTGCTTGCTTGCTTTTTGTCTTGTTTCATCTCACTGATCGATCGCCTCATTAGCCGTACGGTCGCAACTGGGCCTTCCTGTGGAGTCTGACGGCGGTTCCGAAGTGGCGGGTGTTCCTGCTCATCCTCGCGTTCTTCGTCGGCGTGTGGACGATCATCATGCTCATCCTCACGCACTTCAGCAAGACGCACACGTGGCTGCTGCCGGTGTTTGCCGTCGGACTGGGTGCGCCGCGGTGGTGCCAGATGCTCTGGGGTACGTCCTCAGTCGCTCTGTATCTGCCGTGGGGAGGCCACAATGGGCCGTACCTCGCCCTCTCGCTGTGGCTGTGGCTCGGTGTGCTGGATGCGGTGCAGGGTGTCGGCTTGGGCTTGATTCTGCTGCAGGTGCGCTTGTCTGCCTGTGTTTTCTCTCGCGTGACTGACTCTGGCTCAGACGCTCTCTCGACTGCACGTGTGTGTGACGCTGGTGCTCTCCCAGATCATCGGTGCGGTGATCACCATGATCGCCCGCGCGACGGCCCCCGACCGACTCGGTCCGGGGACGGTGTTCCCCGACGCGGGCACGTGGTCCTTCGCGGACGGCGCGGCGTCGAGCATGCTCGCGCTGCCGTTCTTCTGGATCGCGCTCGCGTGCCAGGTCGTCATCGTTACCGGCTACTTCATCTTCTACCGCACGGAGCAGATGGCCCGCCCGTAAGCGCCCGGCCAGACAGATCGGATCGGATGGGGTGCTGTGGAAAGGAAACGCTAGAAATATCTTACGCCATATTCATATTACATACTCACCGGGACTCTCACTCACTGGACGGACCTGCTACTCGTTACACGCTCCTTAGATTTCTGTACGCTAGCATCAAAATACGTAGGCGCCCAACGCAGAGCGCTCTTTGCATCTGAAGCTGATCAATTCGAGTGACTGTCCAACTTCAGACTTTTATGAGAAGGACCTGATGAGTGTAATCTTAGGGCCTTGGAAGGATCTCCTAATCTTATCGGTCTCTCATGATGAGACAGTAGTGGCTGTGCTGCATTCATAAGCGGATTGCTGCCTGCCTTGTATTGCTAACCACCATGGAGACCCCTCCTGCCGCGCATCCTCCGAGAGATGAGCGACCTACCTCGTACTCGCGCGCCTCGACGATCCGCCACCTCGGTGTCCTCAGCGTCCTCCTTGTCCCCATCGCCTGCGTCCCGTACCTCCTCACACGACGGCGCCTCAGCGCCCTGCGCCGCCGCATGGACGAGATGGCGCTCGCGACGCGCATCCTGCAGCAGCGGCTCGGAAACGCACAGCTCCAGCAGCAGCAGCACCAGATGCCCGCCGACCCCGCGCTGCCGCACCTCAACAGTCTGCGCACGGAGCTCGAGGGCCTGCGCGAGCTGGATGCGCAGCGCGCGCAGGCCGTGTCGGACCTCTCCACCGATCTGCTCGGCTCCAACGCGCACCTCGCGCGGCTCGAGGGCCAGATATCCGACGCCCGCGTGGCTGCGGCGAGCGCCGAGGACGCGATCGATGCGCTCGCGGAGCAGGCGCGCGCGATGCAGGAGCACGTGCGGCAGCTGCAGACGGACCGCGATGCGCTGCAGAGCGAGGTGTTCCGCCTCGCGGACGTCGTGCAGCAGACTGCGGCGCACCGCACGGGCCCGGACGCGCTGGACGGCCGGGAGCTGCACCGGCTGCTGAACGAGGCACGCAACACACGGTACGCACGTCTCGCCCCCCTGCTCCTTGCTCCGTGCTGGAATGCCCCCGTGTCTGCTGCAGGTCGATTTTCGGCGCGATAGGGCTGTCGCTGGGCGATGTGGCGACTATCATCCAGCGGGTGGAGATCGAGATGGGGCACGAGCGCGCGCCTGGGTATGATCCTGTCGAGCGGCTTCGCGTTCTCGCGTTGAGGATGCAGCAGGAGTCGTTTGAGGGCGAGAGGCGGGACCATGAACAGGGATAACGGAAGGCTTGTATTTGCCATCTCTTGTACAATGTATGTATCTATGTAACTTGCATACGCTCAGCCTGTAGTTTAGAAATGTATCTGACGATTATCTGGAATCATGAATGCGTCAAATATTCCTGTCACTGGATACTGTTACAGCCAACTCCATTCATTCACTGGGGCAGGGGTCATCACACCAGCTACATATCTGCGCTCATCCTCCGGCCGTCGTAGCCCCAGCAATACAGCATCATATCTTGCATGCGGTCGACCGCTACTATTTACAACACAAACAGTTGAATTCACTGCAAGACGTCTGCAACCATCTCGAGAATCTGCGCCGTCGTTTTCCCGATGTTCTTTGGGTCCTTGGCGATGGATTGCCAGACGGGCGAATGGTGAGGCTCAGCAGCCACACACTGCTTTCTCACCTGCTGCCGATGCTCCTCCGTTCCATGCTGGCGCTCGAACTTGAGCCACCACGCCCAGCCGTCCCCGAGATCCGGATCCGTGGCAACGGCGCGACCGAACCACTGCCGCGCCTTCTCGATTTTGCGCTCCGCCCAGAACAGCCGCGCGACGGTGCAGATGATGATCGGGTTGTCAGCGCTCTTCTTCAGGGCGTCCACAGATCGGGCTTTGCGCACGGGCCGTGGCTCGGCCCAGATGGACATCGACCAGAGGAGCCCCGAAGTGGGGCACTCTTGCAAGCTGCGGGCGAGCATAGCCTTCGCTTGGGCTGCGCCACCCGAACGCTCTTCGACACCAACTGCTTCGGCCCAGAGCACGTCGTTTGCAGGGTTGACGAGACGTGCCTTCTCGAGGAGGGCACGTGCTTTGATGCTCTTGTTGTCCGCTTCCTCCAAACGACTGGCGAGAATCCAGAGGGTCGCCTCCTTGGGACAGGCCTTGTAGCCAGCCGCAAATGAAGCACGTGCCGCGGTAACGTTGCCTTGCGCTTGGTAGATCTGGCCCTGGATCATGTACAGCTTCGCGAACTTGGGGAATTTCTGCAGTGCGGTGGTAAGGGTCTCGAGGGCAGCGTCCAAACGACCCTGCTGCCTCTCGAAAACGGCGGATTTCATCCAGATCTGTCGAGGATTCAATCAAGCGCAACTAAGCACATGCAATCAACAAGCGCTCACCCGTTCCGTATCGGCTACACTTCGAGCACGGACCAGCAATTCTCTGGCAACTCCAAGTTCGTTGTTCTCGGCCTCGAGCTTGACCGCGGCAAGCCAGATTTGCTCGCTCTCCTGATTCGCAACGAAAGCTTGTTCTAAAATTGAACGCGCGGCCGGCACGTCACCAGACAGCCACTGCTCCTTGGCGGCCATGAGCCACAACACCTCGGCCTGAGGGCAATGCTCCACGGCACGCTTGAGAATATCATGCAAGCTGTCCCTAGAAGCACGTCAGCCGTCGTTTATCAATGAAGCGGAACTACCACGGACTTTGTTCCATGGGCTTTTTCCAGCTCGGCAGCGCGGATCCACAACGATTTCTTCGACGGAAAGACTTGCAGCGCCTCGCCGAAAATGGCACGCGCAGTCCCGACCATCCCTTTCGCCTCGGCAGCCTCAGCATCTCCGACCCACGTATCCAGCTGATCCTCTTCCTCCACATCCATCCCGATGGTGGCTTTGATAATCGCTTGACACGTTCTCGGTGAACCTTCCGTCTCGCACCGCTCGGCCTCTTTCAGCCATTGCTCACGAGTCAACAGCACTTGATGTTTCCGCAGCTCTTTCACACCCATGGCGATGGTCCTGTCAACCAATGCCCAGTCTTTCTTTTGGTCTTCGCCCTGCTTCCCCAGCGCGTCTTGCTCGATCAGCCGACCGGCTGCGATCCAGATCTCGTGCGACGTCGGAATGATTTTGCGAGCCTTGTTGAGGACACCTTTGGCCTTTTCTGGAGTTTCAAGACGTGCAAGCGCAAGCCAGAGCTCGACAGATTGAGGTATAACTTCAACCGCACGAGAAAGAAGCACACGCGCATCGGCAGCGGACGACTCCAGATTGACGGTTTCCTTCCACAATCGAACTGAATTCGGAATGTGTTCCAGCGCTTTGCGAAGAACGCGCTTCTTGGAATTGACGTCCGTTTCGAGATCGGCTGCAGCCAACCAGATTTTCACGCTCTGGCTGACGTGCTGAACGGCGTTCGCAAGAATGACTTTGGCATCCGCGTTGTTCTGAAAATGAGATTCAGCAACGAAATGAAGGAGAAAGCTCGTCTAAAGCTCACATGCAAACGAGCAGCCTCGAGCCAGACATCCTCGCTTTTCGGGCACTGCTCACATCCGGCTTTGATGATCTTCCTGGCCGCAACCATTCGGCCTGCATGCTCCTCTAGACAAGCCGCTGCGATCCACCCAGGAGAGTGTTTTGGGTTGGATTTAACCAAGGAGTCGAAGAGCATTCGAGCACGTTTGATGTCTCCAATTTCAGCGTCAGATTTGATGACGACACTGTTGAGAGATGTGAGGTATCCCTTGGGATCCACTGAGGTGCTCATTCCTGACGTCGCGGTTCCAGAGATCTGCAAAGTTCGTTAGAAGAGAGTACGTGGAGTGCACAAGTGACCTACCTGGTCAAGTTTTAGGGAGAGAATTTTGTCGCGAGCTTGGCCGATTTCGACAAAGTTGGTGAGGGACCCCTCCGCAGGTGTCTCGAAGCCGCCGTTCTGTACAGATGACGGGACATGAGTACGGAAATGGGTGCGACCTCAGGAAACGCACCTGCTGTTGTCGCTCATCCAAAGAATTCTCATACTCTCCCTTTGTACGATCCCCAACGAGAACGCTATCAGGAACTGCAAACGACCTATCCATCTTCCTCCTCTTCTTGCGCGTGAGGTTGCCGACTTCGGGCAGATTCTCCCACTCCGTGTCTGTGACTGAGCTAAGCCCGCGCTTCAGGTCCGCGAATTGCTGCTGAATCTTCGGCCGCTCGGCACGATGCTTCGCGAGCTCTATCTGCTCCTGCGCCTCCCTGTGGACGATGAAAACAATCAGGGACTCGGTACAGGCGCCACTAACCGAAGCCCACGCACCGACGCGCCCGCCGACGAGAATCCATAGCTTCATCGACGTCTTGGTAGATCTTGTCGGCTTCCTCGTCATCCTGCTCATATGTAGTGCCAGCGAATAGACCGTACTCATTGTCAGGATCTTGGAATTGGTCCGGGTCGACCTCGGCTTCTTCACCCCGGCGGGCTTGAGCCTCGCTGGAAAGCAGTTCAGTCACTCCCCAACGAAGTCAGGAAGAGTGAAACGTACGCGATGACTTCCGCGGAGGGTCCTTCTCTCGCTGGACCGATATCTGACCGCGTGGTGAACCCAGAAGCACTAGACAGAAATGAGTGTAAATCAATGAGTCCGAGCGTCAGTATTCACGGACCCTCGACCAAGACCCGCGACGTAGGACGCCGGGGCTGGCATGGACAGGAAAGCCAACTTGTTCGGCTTGGGCGCCATCTTGGCTGCGTATCTGGGCTGGTGAATGCGTGCAAAGGATTGGGGCGGGTCGACGTATTTGGCCTTGTTGCGTTTCGGGGAGGCTAAACTGACTTGAACTCACACTTGCCTTTTGTAGCGCGGCTGAATCGAGGGAGGCGGTCTCATCGACAAAGCCTTACTGAAACATACGTTCGAAAGGGCTCATTCAATTTTATCCTGTGAGCTTCCGCGCTCGTCCTCTGAAATGATGAAATAACATGGATTATCAAGAATCCTTTCTATTCTTCGACCTTGCAGACTCGAAAGCTATTCTATGGCTAGCGAAAGCGTGCAGCAAATCGACAAGAAAAGCAAGAAGCGCAAACGCGCAGAGGCAGAAGCAGAGGAATCACCTGCGGCTGCGGCGCGCGAGCCCAAATCCAAGGAAAAACGGAAGAAGAACAAACTTGAGGCTCCCGTGGAGACTGCAGTCGATCTGGATCAGAAATCCGATCGTAAAAAGCACAAGTCCAAAAGGAAAGACCGAAAGGATCCGGAAGTAGACGCCGAATCTGAACCTCCAGCTGCGACGGACGTCGAAGCCGAACCTGCAAAGAAGAAATCTAAGAAAAATAAAACTGGTTTCCCGGACCCGGAAGAGGACTCGGCGCTCTCTGAGCAAGCCAGCAAGGGTCAGCCGTCTTTGATTGCGTCTTCTCCTAGCTGAATACATCCGAAGCTCTGTCCTATGCATTCTATCGTTTCAGGAAACCGTCCAAGTGGAAGTTCTCGAAAGCCAAGCAGAACTGGCTGACACGCAATTTTTGGTCTGAAAGCGCCGTAAGAGATCAAGTCTTGCTTCCAAAATTTTGAGTCTGATTATGCAATGCTCCAGATTCCCGAATCCCATGTTCCACTCGTCACGAAGTATCTGTCCAATGTGCAGGGCGGTGTACGAGAAGTGCATCATCCATCCCACTCACACAGATGCAGCTTCTGATTTGCTTTCAGAACTTGCTCAAGAATTGCCAGTCCATCTTGTCACCCGCATCAGAACCACCTGCTGAAACCGAAACTAAAACTCCTGCCCCCGATGTCTTGAAACAAACACGCGCGCAATTGCTGTTAGACTCATTGGAAGCAGCAACGCAAGAGAGTTCAACAGCTGTAGAGACATAGCACTTTGGGATACGACCGCACTTCTTCACGTACATCCAGTAAACGCCCACTCGTCTGCCTTACTGGAATATCCAACTTCCTCTGTGCTGACAGTATTGGATATAGCAAGATGAGTATATGTCGGGCCATTCGGGTCTTACTCGACAAGTCATGAATCATGGCAGCAGGTAACAACGATAATACAAACAAAATAGTACACACAGGCCCTAGACTATCAGATCAACTGTCCATCTTACGAATAGTTCTGCGATCCCTCTCCCCGAGGACCTTGACGATTCCTTCGTTCTCCAATGCCTTGATCACCTCCGTAAACTCGGCAATATCAATCCGGACGCTGCTCTGATCGCCCAGAGACTGCATCGCATCGGCCCATCTCACACCACGCGTCTTGGCACCGGCTGTGGAATCCAGTATGCTCAAAATGCCCCTTCTCATATCTTCACGCTGCCTGCGCTGGCCAGCGCCCGTGCCAGTGTTCAGCAGGCCCATGTCGATCTTCCCGGTCCTCGGATCCATCGCACTCGTCCTAATGGCCTCTCGCATCAACCGCCCGGCCTCGCGAACATCGCGCAGCTCGACAAACTCGCTCAGGCGCATACGCGCATGGCCCTCTGATAACCGAATCAGACTCTCCAGCTGCCGCGTAGTCGCTGTGATTCGCTTCTCGGACGACCCTGCATCGGAACCCATGTTCCGCATCTCGACGTATGAGCGAACAAGCTCGTCGCCAGCCGCTTCCGTGATCACAGGATGCACACGAGATCGTGCATATGAGATGTAACCAGAGAGTTCAGGTAGCGCCTGATAACCTGGTCAGAGGGCGACCACAGGTAACCCTAAAGCAACGCACCAAGAGCTCATCGGCCTCCCTCCGGTTGGGAGTGTCTTCAAGATACAACCCCACTAGATGCTGCGCCAGTTTCCGGTCCAGGTTCTCGTCTACTTGGTCGAGCACGAGATACAACAGGTCGAAACGCGATATGAGCGTCGGAGGCAGGTCAATGTTCCTCGTGATGGGCAGGTCAACGTCATACTTGGACCCGACAGGATTGGCGGCGGCGAGAATCGACGTCCGGGCGTTGAGAGTGGTGATGATCCCGGCTTTAGCGATCGAGACAGTCTGTTGCTCCTGTTTCCTCGTAAGACCCCGCATGCAGCTGCGAGAAAATAGCAAAACTCACCATCACTTCGTGAAGGACGCTACGCGTCGCATCGGACATTTTGTCAAATTCGTCAATACAACAAACACCGCCGTCGCTGAGGACGAGAGCACCACTGAAAACAGCGCCTTAGAGAGACACAAGGAGGTCTTGAACATCGCTCACCTCTCCAGCACTAGTTGTTTTGAGTCGGGATCGCGCGTCACATACGCTGTGAGACCCACGGCGGAGGAGCCTTTGCCAGACGTGTAGACTCCCCGGGGGGCAATTTTGTGCACATACTGCCCGTGATTAGTGTACACCTCGCAGAATTAGATCGAACTCACCTGAAGAATCTGGGATTTACTCGTTCCAGGGTCACCGACCAACAGGACATTGATGTCACCACGATATCGAGGTCCACCAGCTCCTCCGCCACGCTCAATACTCTTGTTGGTACCTCCAAAGAGTTGGAGCAGAATGCCCTTCTTCACGTCGTCCATTTCCCAAATACTCGGAGCAAGCGAGCGGGACAACAAATCGTAGACGTCGGGCCTCTGACTGAGCTGACGGATTCTGTTCTCCAATTCTGTATTCAAGACACCTTGTTCGTCACGCTGGCCCTCCAGATCACCAACACCCCCGATTCCAGGCATACGATCGGCACTCCCCCGTGTCGTGGGATCGAGAGCGACTACACCTTCGCGGCCATCGGCGCCTCCGATGAGCCGCACGTGAACGACATCCAGGTATGTCTTGAACAGACTCTTGAGCTTCCGCTGCCGCGGATTCACCCGCATGGGAATGCTGCGGAAGATCCCAGTCACGACCATTCGGTCACCAGGCTTGGCGATGTCGACCAGCTCGTCGTAGACACTCAAACTGACCGTGTGCGGCGTCTGGCCATCAGGCACGACATCCGGCGTCTCTTGCAGTCGAATCACTTGTCTGTCCGCGAATGTACATCGGTTGTGGATTAGCGAAAGCGTTCCCGGTGAGGCACAGACGTCTCGCGGACAGACGCTCGGTTCCGCAATCTTGCCACGGTCAATCTCGACCTGAGTCGTGTGCGAACAGTTGAGGCAACGGAAGAACGCGGTCTTCATGTCGGGAATGATGGGCGTCGTGCGGATAACAAGCCCGTTGATGGCGACCAGCTTGTCCGTATCTGCCTACAGGTTAGTTTGTGAATAGAAAGAGTGACTGTGCGCCCCACCAGTCGGGTTGAGTTCTCGCATGTTGACAGAATCCAAGCCATAAGGCCGAACCTTGAACACACGGTTCATGAGATCCCCAATCTCCGTTTCGCCCTGATCGCCCTCCATGTCTTCGAACCCGTCGGCTTGATCCCGATATGCGACATCCAAGATTGTATCCTTGAGGACTTGATCCATCACAGGAATGACTTCTTGAGGATACTTGACCAACAGGTTATGCAGTCGCTTCGAATTGGGATAAGCAAGCAAGTTGACGGCATCTAAATTGAGATTCGTCTCGCCCGTCTTGCGCATCTGCCGCAAGTACTCTTCATACAGAAGAACCTCTCCATCTCCCGGTTTCGAAAACGGCTGTGTTGGAAGGCCGAGAGCCTGCGAATAAACTCGGCGATACTTGGGCTTAAATCCCTCAAGAAACTCGCGAAACAGTTTCATCGTTTCGGTCAGGTTCACCGTGGTTCCCCAAATAGCGCGAATTTCGGCGGGTTCGTCGGTCGTCGCGTGCTGGATGGAAAGGGATGGTGGTCCTCCGATGGCAGACGACGGAGGGCGGGAGGCTGGCGCCTCTCCCCGTTCGTGCCTCGCTGAAGAGGCGGGAGTCTCGTTGAAAGAAGAGTGGATGTCGCCTCGTCTGTTGCGCGGTGTGCCAGGCTGGGCAGTGACGCGCTTAGCGGGGCTCCTGCGACGCGACGCGTTAGGAAGGCACACTCCCTCAGAAAGGAAAGAACGCACGATGGGAAATCCAATGGGTCCGAGTCAAAGATCGCATCTGAGTTCAAGTTCGACCGTCGGACAGGGTTTTTGGCCGGGGAAGAACTGGGAAAGGCTAGTGGGGATGAATCGCCAGCTACATCGCGTCAGAGTGAGGTCGGAGACGATAGCACAGCAGCAACATGCCATTGAAACGCGGCGTTCTCTTTGGTGTGCTGAGGCCCACTGCCCGTCTAGCCATCAATCCTTGCATCGGGGTGGCTTGGGGGTCATCTGATCCCCAATTTGGGCGCATGGGTGAGCCGCTGACTGAAGGACTGCCAGCAAGGAAGAGGGGAGGCGCATCAGGCATGGTTTGCCCCTCCTCCGCTCCGTCCTCCATCTGGATGTCGTCATACTCGGGCGCAGGCGGAGAGCTCATGGTGGGCGGAGAAAAGAATGAACGCGTCTGTCACAGACGCACGTGGATATGTGACGCGTGGTCTTCAAGGAGCCCTGTGACAATTAAGGAGACAAGTGGATGGCGAATTGATGCATTCGGCCGTGCAGTGCGATAAGAATATAATTACAGAATATATAATACAGATTAGAACACGGTATCATATATCTGAGTCCCAATCTAAAAGGTCCATCTATGTTTTGCGGTTGAGTTCCTTCACAAGCAAGGAGTTGACCGCATCTGGGTTGTCTAGATAAACATGGTGTCCGGCCCCATTGACGATGTAGGAGCGAGCATTTCCGTTGCCCGCTTTTCGCAGATTCTCGACCGACTGTTCCCCGCCCTCAGGATCCATCCAGTCGTGGTCACCGTCTGGACACGTTGGTTAGACTTGGCGCCAGAAGAGAATGTCGGTCAAACTTACAGACGAACGTTACTGGGATCTTTAGAGCAGCAACTCTATCGACCAGAGGCATCCGGGCATGAGCTCCAGGAGCGAGGATATGGGAGATGCAGTATTCTCCAGAACCCTTGGCGAGCGTAATGTGTTGGATGTAATCGTGCATGCTGTTAGTTTCTTCCGGCGTCAATCCCGTGAAACGCCGAGCAGAGTACTGTTCGCGAGGCTTAGACACGCGTCGGATCGCCATGGAGAAATGAAACGTACTTTTCCAATCAGCATCGGCGCCCAGAACATGGTCGATCGCACGACCTGGAAAGGGCTCCATCCTTCCTCCCAAAGATACATGAACAGCCGCCGAGTTCGGGTATATCGTTGGCGCTGTTGGCTCTGTTCTGCGCGGACAGCCTCCACTTTCGCATGTGTCGCAGGCTCGACAGTTGATGTAGGACTAGCAGGCGGTGGCTCCAACTCGCGTTCGGGTGCTGTGGTCTGCTCCGGGTCGCGAGGGACACCGGCGGGCGAGAGAAGGATCAGCTTGTTGACTCTGGTCGGGTATTTGAGAGCATAGGCGACGCTAAGATAGCCTCCGAGACTGTGCCCGATGAGCGTCATCTGTTCGAGCTTCATCTTCTTTCGCCACGACTCGAGAGAGTCGATGAACTGAGATCCGCTCAGTGACGTGATGAAAAGAATGGAGAGCACTCACGAATGATTCAGCTTCTGCGACGCGCTTCGGCGTATCCTTCCTCGGAGCCTTGATCGTGAATGGCACACGGGCGGATCGGCCCATACCTAACCAGTCCACTGCATAGACAGACGACCGGCGATTCCCGGACCATTGTGCAAGAGTGGGGAGATTGGGAAAGAAGAATCCGATGCCCGCTCCATATCCAGGAAGCAGTACTACTGGCGGAGGGGCATCCGGAGCAGGGGAGGTCGGAGTGAGTGATAAGGTATTCAGGTAGAATTTGGGTTGGTCTAGTTCAACGATTGACGACTCAGCGATTACGGGGCTGTCGCTGGGAGAATAGGTCCGTGGGGTAACGAAAGGGAGTCCAGATAATATTCGTCGTTCTGCCAAGGCAGAACCCTTCTCGTTCGTAGCCCACCAGCTGCGAAGGGATGCACCAAATGTAACAGGTATCTCTGAGGCGGGTGGGATAAGTGAAGTTTGAGAGGCCATGGCCGCTGCCATGCGTAGTGCAGAAGTCAGTTTGGAAGGGTCGAGATGAGGAGCTAAGGAAAGAGAGCGTTATTATACGAGCGGCGGATACGAAGGCCGAAGTGACGTGCGCAATGCCGAAGTGCCGCTGATCGGCTGCGGACGCGTGTTGGTTCTGACCACATCAACTCACCTCTTCCACAATGTACAATGGCATCGGGCTGACAACTCCGCGGGGCAGGTGCGTCGAAGGCAGACCATTCCTTTCTATTTTCCCTGCGAGCTCATTGCATTTTACAGTGGAACCAACGGTTATGTTATTCGAAATCTTTCGAGTTTACGTTCCCATCAACCTGCTCAAGACCGCGCAAGTGCGTGGGATACAGCCCCGCCCAAGCATCGAGAACCAGACAAGGAAATTCTCGAGCACGAACGGAAGCGTAAAGTGGAGGTGAAGTGTTTGGAGCTACAACTGCAACTGGAGGACGATGGGTACGAGTCCTTCCTGTTGTCTCCGCGACACACTCTCAATTCTTATCCATAGATTGGCTGAAGAGAAGATTGAAGAACAAGTCAGCGCGCTGCGGGAAAAACTGCTCGCCAACTTCAATGCAGGTTCTGGTGCCCGAGTGCGGCCCACCGAAACGCACGCAATTGCAGCTGCAAAAAAAGACGAGTTGTCGCGCATGGCTAATGCTTTCGGCACCCGCTCCACTTACGTCGAAGGTGACGCGTTCAATCGTGAAAAGCAGGAGGAGATGCGCATGGCAAGAAAGGCCGAGAGGGATGAGCGGGACCAAAAGAGGGATGCTGAGCGCGCGCGGATGGAAGCTCAGAAGGCACGCTGGGAAGCTGACCGCAAGGAAAAGGAACGCTTGAGGCGGCGCGAAGAGGACAAGCAACGCAAAGAATCCGAGCAACGGCGTCGGGACATGCCTCCTCCTCCCCTGCCGTCGACCCGTCGAGGGCGGAGCGCCGATCGGGGCGCGAGCCGCAGCAGAAGCCGTAGCCCCGGTATGGCGCCCCGACGTCGAATCATTCCCGTTCGCCGTCTCCGGTAGCAAGGACTCGGCGTCGGTTTGACTCTCGATCGCCTTCGCGCTCTTTATCTCCTTCTCGTTCTCGCTCCCCTCCACGTCGTCGACGGTCTGCCTCCCCACGGCGCGACAACGAACGTTATCCTCCTCCCCGGCGCGACCGTTCCTCTCCCCGACGCGATCGCTCCTCTCCTCGTCGCACTTTTGATCGCTCCTCCCCACGGCGCGAACGGTCTCCCCCACCCCGAAGGTCTCCTGTCCGTAACCGGTCCCCCGATGTCCGTGACCGGTCCCCCGACCGGTCCCCCGATGTCCGTGACCGGTCCCCCGATGTCCGCCGCCGCTCTCGCTCGGCATCTACGGGCTCGTCTATGTCTGTCAGTACCGGTAGGTCTCGCAGTCGAAGCAGGTCTCGGTCATGAGTCATTTTTTGTAAATACATTGGCCCGTATCTGTTTTGTTTCCAAGAATTTTATGCGATCTCTTGGACTGGCCTATGCTTTGCGGGATATCTGCCGCCCGTCCATGTTCCAACTTTGAGTCAGTTTAGCAGCCGGGTTCGAGTCAGTATTTATACTTTTTGCATGTGCATTCTTGGCTTGACGATCTTGACTCCCGCTCTGGCGAATGCACAAAACCAACTCCATCCGAGTGGCGGCGTCTCGTCTGCGCTTTCGGCCGACTGCTCTGCAACAGCGTTTTCAGTCCAGCGCAGCTACTCAGACTGAAGAGCTGTTGGCTACAGCTTCAGATTACCTACTTCCTGTATATGCCCGTCCGCCCTTCGTACTTTCTCATGGCCGGGGATCTTACGTCTGGGACACGAATGGTCGAAAATACCTTGATTTCAGTGCTGGGATCGCGGTAAATGCGCTGGGGCATGGGGACGAAGAGCTTGTCCAGGTGCGTAGTACACAGAGGTGCGATCAGAGCTTTTGCTCAGTTGTCTCCTTGCAGGTCATCTCGGAGCAGACAGCCAAGCTACTGCACACAAGTAACGTCTACCATAACGAATGGGCACCGCGTCTCGCGCAACTGCTCGTAAATCTGACCCAACGGGACGGCGGACTGGGATTCGCGACGGGCAGTCCCGCGTCCGCTGGCGCGAAGGTGTTTTTCTCAAACTCGGGCACGGAGGCGAACGAGGGGCCCTCAAAATCGCGCGCAAGGTCGGTAAAGACCGAGGCGGAGAGCAAAAAACAGGGATCGTGTGCTTCGAAAACGCGTTCCACGGCCGAAGTATGGGTGCCCTCAGTGTGACGCCGAATCCCAAGTACCAGGGCCCGTTCGCCCCGCTGATTCCAGGCGTCTCTGTGGGCAAGATGAATGATCACGAGGGCTTGCAGACGCTGGTCACCGGGGAGACGTGTGCGGTGATTGTGGAACCGATCCAGGGCGAAGGGGGTGTCACCGCTGCGCATGCGGATTGGCTAATTGCATTGCGAAAGCGATGTGACGAAGTCGGCGCGGTTCTGATATTCGATGAGATTCAGGTGCGAGTCTCCGGTTGTTCGGTATATCGCTGACATGGGCGTAGTGCGGATTATACCGGTCTGGGAATCTCTGGGCCCACTCGACGCTTCCGCTGGAGGGACACCCAGATATTGTGACGATGGCGAAGCCTTTGGCCAACGGCTATCCCATCGGCGCTGTCCTGTTGCGCAACACAGTGGCGGAGACGATGACAGCTGGTATATTATGAACTGACTGACACTGGGCCATGCTAATATATCGTTCTACCAGGGTCACATGGGACCACCTTCGGTGGCTCTCCGCTTGCATGCGCCGTGGGCTACCATGTTCTATCGCGATTGTCCTCCCCCGAAATGGCGTCCCATATTGCGGAAACATCGGCACATCTTGATTCCCGGCTGCAGCAGTTGCCGAAACAGTTCCCCGATGTGCTTGAGCCAGTGGTGAGAGGCCGAGGACTAATCCGGGGCTTAGGGTTTCAGGATGCATCAAAGCCGGGCGTCGTTGTCGAGAAAGCGCGGGAACGAGGTGTTTTCGTCTTGACTGCCGGAAAGAATGCAGTGAGATTGGTACCTAGCCTAAATGTGCGCAAGGAGGAGGTCGACATCGCTGTTGGTGTGGTTACCGAGGCCATTCGAGAGCTATAGATCTAGACAAGCTGCAGTTTCGGTAGGCATCTAGTAGACGCGGTACAATGTAATCTGCACGCCGCATACTTGATTCCCGGTCTGGAGTCTCGATATCCCGAAGAGAGGTTGATGAGATTGAAATGTCGAGGTGCTGATTGGTCCACGGCGAGTTAGCCGGCCTCAGATTTCCCATCACAGCACAGCACACGTATAAGGAAGGTCGATATTTCGCTTGCCAACAAGCTTTCAAGTTTCCCCCCTCACCATGGACAAGTTGTCCACCTTCTCCCGTTTCAAGGCGTCATGCCCTTTCCTCAAGCACACCAAGACAACCACCTTGCGTTCGCTCTCCACTAGCGCCTCGCCTCGTTTTCCGTCCATCTCAGCACTGACGGAGCGGGCGACGAAATGCCCGGTCATGGGCCCCACCCTCAACGTCCGGGGTAAGGAGATCGTCGCGGGCTACGCTAGCGTAGCCTCGGTCGGCGATGTTGCTCAGATCCACAAGGAACAGGGCGTCAAGGTCCCCGCTGGCGCGACCATCGAGATGTGTCCCCATGCATCGGCGGCCCGGGCTGCTGCCCAGATGGCCAACGACCTGGCCTCCGCTGCTGCTCGCAAGGCTGCTCAGACTGTTAAGCCGGGTGACGTGGCCAAGGCTGCTGCCGCTGCCGGCTGTCCGTTCCACAAGGCCGGCGCTGCGATACCTGCCGATCACCCGCCCGTCCCCCAGGCAGCGACCGCGATCGGGGCATCGGCGGCGAAATCGGCTTCAGGCTTCGACTATGAGGGCTTCTACGTCGCCGAGCTCGACAAGAAGCACCAGGACAAGTCGTACCGGTACTTCAACAACATCAACCGCCTCGCCAAGAAGTTCCCCATCGCTCACACGGCGGACGTCCAGGAAGAAGTCCAGGTTTGGTGCTCCAACGACTACCTGGGTATGGGCAACAATCCTGTTGTCCTCGAGACCATGCAGTGCGTCGCCTCATTTTTTTTCGCATTTTCGGACCATTTTTTAACCGAACGCAGCCGGACGTTGAACAAGTACGGCCACGGTGCTGGCGGGACCCGTAATATCGCTGGCAATGCTGCTATGCATCTTGGACTCGAGCAGGAGCTCGCTACCCTGCATCGCAAGCCAGCGGCGCTCGTTTTTTCCTCGTGCTACGTCGCCAACGACGCCACGCTTTCCACTCTCGGCTCGAAACTCCCCGGCTGCGTCTTCTTCTCGGACACTATGAACCATGCTTCGATGATCCAAGGCATGCGGCACTCGAATGCGAAGAAGGTTCTGTTCAAGCACAACGACATGGAGGATCTGGAGAACAAGCTCGCGCAGTACCCCAAGGAAACACCGAAAATCATTGCGTTTGAGAGTGTTTATTCGATGTGCGGCAGCATCGGACCCATCAAGGAAATTTGCGATCTCGCGGACAAGTACGGTGCTCTGACTTTCTTGGATGAGGTGTGTCTTCTTTTTCTCTTCACTTCTGTCAAGCAATTGCTGATGTGCTGAACAGGTGCACGCTGTTGGATTGTACGGACCACGCGGTGCCGGCGTTGCTGAACACCTGGATTTCGAAGCTCAGAAGGCTGCTGGCGATTCCCCGGACCCTATCAAAGGCTCGGTCATGGATCGCATCGACATCATCTCGGGTATGTGACTTGCAGTGAGCGATGCAAGAGCGTGCTAACATCTTCTAGGAACCCTGGGCAAGGCTTACGGCGCTGTCGGTGGATACATCGCAGGCTCTGACGACTTTGTGGATATGATCCGATCGTACGCCCCCGGGTTCATCTTCACGACTTCGTTGCCTCCGGTGACAGTGGCTGGCGCGCATGCCAGTCTTGTGTACCAGAAGGAATATCTCGGTGACCGACAGCTCAAACAGGTCAATGTGCGGCAAGTCAAGCAGCGTTTCGCCGAGCTGGACATCCCCGTGGTACCCGGTCCCTCACACATCGTTCCGGTCTTTGTTGGAGATGCGGCTCTGGCCAAGGCTGCGTCGGACAAGCTTCTTTCTGATCACAACATCTACGTGCAGTCGATTAACTACCCGACCGTTGCCCGCGGCGAGGAGCGCCTCCGCATCACCGTCACCCAACGTCACACTGTCGAGCAGATGGACACCCTCATCGCTGCTGTCGACCAGGTATTCACGGACTTGAACATCAACCGTCTGAGCGACTGGGTCCGACTGGGCGGCCGAGCCGGTGTTGGCGTCGAAGGCGCGGTTCACCCCGAACCCATCTGGACTGACGCCCAACTTGGCTTGGGCGGTCCTGCTGCGCCGGTCACTCTGCACGATGGAGAACGCGCTGTGATCGACTCGAAGGGGGTGGTCGCTGCTCGAAGCCGGTTCAATGTTCTCCTCGGTCCGGTGACGTCGCAGCCGGCGGCAGCGGCAGCGAGCCCTAGTCTAGCCGGGCTCAAGGTCCACACTCCTACCGTCGTGCTTGGTGATGCTACGAACACCATTCCGGTGCCTCCTCCGTCTGTCTAGTAGTCGTCGTCTGCTGTGTATTAGAAATAACACTCTGCTCAAGCGATGTGCTTGATGTCGTGGACAAACACAGTCTTAGTCGAGTCTCCGTGCCAGCCGCGATTACTGCTCGCGCTGACGAGGAAACGGGCCGCCGGATCTACCACTGAGGATTCTGTTGTCAGGACAAGAAACTGGCGAGCGGAAATGAGCTTACGCATTTGAGAGATGTAGCCACCATGATGCCCCGGAATGATCTTGAACTGGACACCACCTCTAGTTTTGCCCTCGACAGGTTCACCAGCCTCCGCAACGTTCCACAATCTCAGATTGTCAATTGATGCGGTGGCGATGTGCTTCCCATCCGGAAACGCCACCACGCACGAAACCACTCCAGAGCTGGCGGGGTTCCGGATGGTCTTGACCAGTCGGGGGACGCTGGCAGCACCCGACCTGCCGAGTTGTCGGGTGTCCCACACATCCACTGTCCCGTTCCGCCGACCAGCGTACACTTGAGAGCCGTCGGCGGACCAACAAGCAGAAACGCACCACGGAGGTGTCTTTTCGCTCATCCATAAACGCCCCACACTCCCTGCCGCCCGTTTGTCCCAGATCATCACTTGTCCGTCAATTGACGAGGTCAGGATGATGTCGGCGGAGAAAGAACCGCTGATCGACGTGTCGAGCAGCGGCGGCGCGTTCTTGGGAGGCGCAGTCGCGCGAGCGGGCGGTGCTTTGAACTGCGCCGTTTTGGTTGGAAGCGCCATTTCGGGCTCGGGCTCGTCGTCGAATAGAGGATCGAATGAAGCGTCGGATTTCGCGTCTGTTTCTCGAGCAGGCTGCGACTGTGTGTCAACGAGTGTAGTCGACGACGCTTGTGACAGCCCAGACTCGACTGGCCCAGTGTACATCGGCCGCACGGCCACACTTGTCAGCTGGGCCCCGTGCGATGTGAACTGCCGCACGACTTGCCCATTGTTCAAGTCCCACAGCTGTTTGTGTGTTAACGTCCACAACCGGTCCAAGCGTTCGCGACGCACCGTGGCATCTCCGTCCCATCCGGCGCTGTAGAATCCCTTTTCATCGTGCTCCAACGCAAGAGCAGAGACAGGTCGTCCTCGATGACCAGCCATAGTGTGTATCAGCCGCCCCGGTTCGTGGCGGGTTGTGAACAGATTAATCAAGCCGATCTACTAGCGGATGAACATCTTGCTTCAAGCAAAGGACAGTGTAAGCAGCTTACATCTGTCCCAGCCAAAGTCCACAACGCGTCCGAATGCATCGCAAGACTGTATATCGGGAGCAAGGGTATCTCCTCCTCGACGAATCCCAAACCGTTGAGATCCTGTGGGGGAGGGTGCATCCGCGGTGCTTGACACTCCCACCAGAATCTTAGCTGTCCCGCCTTCATGATGCCCTCCACAACGCCTGCATGGTGTCTCTGTGGTGCCGTGAGGAATGTCTTGTTGCTGTTCACCGCTGCGAAGATGTCGTAGTCGCGGATGTAGCCGTCGTCTGACCCCGTGATGAGGTGCGTTAGGCAGGTGGACGACGCGAGCGCGTGCGTGGGTACCGGGTGCGGCATAGCACATATGGCTTCCACGGTGTATGTACGTGGACCGGGTCGTGATGGAGACGGAACGAGAAGTTTCCGTCGCGTGTACGCCGGTGAAGGAGATCGGGAGCGTTTCCGGGATATTTGTGCCGGTGGTGAAGGTTCTGAGCGAAAGTCAGCGAAAGGCAAAGGCAGAAGTACATGTTGTTGCACGTTTTGGGGGCGGCGGTGGCTGAAGTGGTGCTGCAGACGGAGGAGGAGCTGGTAGAGGGGAGATATCACTAGCAGTTGCAGATGGTTCAACTTCTTCGTTATCTTCCAGCATAGGTTCGCCTGCTACAGATGAATCGTCTCCATCCCCATCGTCAGCTTCAGAACCCTCCATTTCAGAGTCCTCGTCAACTTCCGTATCTTGGAGATCCTGCACGGAATTAGACCAAGCTAGCACGAATGAGCCAAACGAGGACTTGCATCGTCTCCGTCCTCCGTTCCATCGTCGGGAGCAACGTCGGTGTCTTCCTCAGCATCCTGATCGTAGTCGTCGATGTCCTCCTCGGCGTCTAAAGCATCATCTGCGTGCTCCGAGTCGCTGACCATGGTGGTTGGAGCAAATAACGCGTCAATGCGATCACATCAACGCGTCAACAATTGACAGCCTCGGGTAGAGTGATGGCTCGCTAGTAAGTTGGTCCCATCCAACTTCAAGCATTTCATGCATTCGAGACTCGAAGCTGTATAAAGTGCAATATCACATTCTGAATAATACACAGCTACAGAAATCACACTAAGTCTGGGCATCCTGTGGGGATTGGAGTTGCCTATCTGGATATTTAGCTTTAATTCTCGCAGCCATATCTGCCTCGAAAACTTGATCAGGGCCAAGTTGATTCCCCAATGTAACCCAACCGGGACGCGTGTTATGTTTGCGCCCAAATATCTCAATCTTCCGCCCTCCAGGACACATCCGCTCAATCAACCCATAAACCTCTTCAGGCTTCCGGCTCGTCTCCCGCACCTCGGACACAATGACATCCGTGTCCACACCCCGGTTTGCCCACGCCGGAAGGACAAGTTGCCCAGTTTGGGGGTCGAGTCTGGTTTTGACCCCGACCAGCATGTGCTCCTTGGTGTGGTTGAGCCAATGGCCGGTCCGCCCAGTCCGGATGACGCGCTGCAGCTGATTCGTCTTGACCCAGACCACCTCGTCGACTCGCGTGTACCCCCACACCTTGAGGCATTCTCGTCCGACCTCCATGGCCCGACCGGTGACCCAGAGAAACAAGAGACCTTCGTCTTGAAGAGTTGGGATCGGCATAGCGCGCATTTCATCGTCGGTCATGGTCCCATAGGGTAGCTATCGGCGCTGTCAGTACATGTTACCAGAGGAGAACGAGTAGAAGCGAACACTCATGTGAATGTCCCAAGGAGGGTCGGCCATGATCACATGAAATTTGCCCAACACAGAGTAGTCGAATCGCCGCACGTCGCAATTAATCCATTGTGGAGGTAAAAGCTTTGCGGGCCGACCTAGAGGTCCACATCCAATGTCCAATCGATGTCTGGCATCGTCCTTGATAACTTCCTTGTCCCTACTCTTCATGCCAGCCCAATCTCCGTCACTGCTATCCCAGTCGACCTCATAATGCAGATAACGACACGGAGCCTTGTCCTTTCCACGCCCACCGGCACCAAGCCCCGAAGGCAAAGAGCTGGGCCCTCTTGCGTTGGGCGGCAACGCGTGGTTTTGCCCAGGAAAAGGCGGAATGGACGGTGACTGGGCATACGTTGGTTCGGAATAGCAGGTGTTCAAATATGAGCAATGCCCAAGCGAGGGATCCGTATGCGGACGAATCAACGGCCTAAAGTGAATGCGACCACAGATAGTCAGCGGCTCGTCCGGGTCGGTCATCGTATTGGCGCCCGTGGGGTCAGACTGTAGTTGACGCGCCCTCGCGCAATCGTCCTTGGTGATATGGGGGCAAATAGGCTCGAATCGTTCATCTGTTGAATGAAACTGCTCAGCCAGTAGTCGCCCTTTGGCAGTACCTTTCTGCATCAACGAATACACCTCTCTCAGCTCTCTGCTTAAGCTACCCAACGCCGACCGAGGCGACGAGTCAAGGTGGTCCTCCAGCTCGTCCTCATCTCCAGCAGCAGAATCAGCTTCTTCGTCGATGACGCGTTTCCTCTTTCGCGGATTCGGACTCTCTCCACGCCCAGAACTGCCCCCGCTACTTGCTCCCAGTGACACGGCAGTGACCAGCAGCACACCGTTCTCGCGCGAGAGTGAGATCGACCCATGCTCCCAAACTGGCAGGAAACCCTCCAAGATCGACTCGAAGCGAGACAGATCCGTCAAGCGGAAGCGTGGAGGTGTCGATGTGTGGGGAAGTAATCCAGAAGGAGGTTTGATGGATATAACGCGGAGCAGCAGCTGTGAAGCTGAGATCGGGGTCGAGACCTTCCCTGATTCGAATAACGCATAGAGTGCAGACGAGGCAACGACCTTCAGTGCATCTATTGCCTGCGACATGATGAGAGTGAAGTATTTGCACGGTCACGTGTCCAGGCGTCACGTACGCTTGGCTCGCGCACTCGTGTTCGAGTAACAGCAGCAGCGACAGTAGTCTTGCTCCACCGCTTCTCGGACTATTTCTCTCTATATGAGTTCGAACAGGACTTTCATCCTGTTTTCTGATCATAAGAAGAAACTAGTTCATCTCCTCTGGGCTACTAATCAATGAGATTCTAGATAAACCTGCAGTCTAATACTGTTTTGCGATCAGACCGAGGATGTGGTTGGTAACTTCACTCGTCGATGATTTACCACCGAGATCAGCAGTGGAGATGTTGCCAGCAGCCAAAGTCTCGTTCACAGCGGCATCAATTTTGTCTGCAGGGGAAGCATATCCCAAGTGGCGGAGCATCAGTGCGGCGGAGCGAATCGAGGCGACTGGGTTCGCGATCCCCTTGCCAGCGATGTCTGGTGCCGAGCCGTGCACACTGCAAGAAGTGAGTGCGTGGGAAGCGCGTAATGCATTCACATACGGTTCGCCCATCACAAAGTCGTCTCCAGCGTTGATAGATGGAATGACTCCCAGTGAGCCAACGAGAGCAGCGGCAGCGTCCCTTCGATCGAATTCAATATTGGAAAGCTGCGAAGCATCGAATGATCCTCACGAGATGATGTCTCCGTAAAGGTTCGGCGCAACCATGACATCGTAAATCCTAATCAACCATGTTCAAGTTGCACTTTCCCTCAGTTGGTACACATACTGAGGCTCTCGGAATAACCTTTTCGATTGTTATTAGTCGCTTCGACCTGTCAGAGGACTAAAACGCACCTGTAAACGGCACTGTCGACCAGCTGCTCCTCGATCTGCACATCGTCGTACTGGCCAGCGAAGGTAGCTGGCACCGCGCGCACACTCTCCCGGAAAAGTCCGTCTGTGACCGACAACACGTTCGACTTGTGGATGATGGTGACAAGCTTGCGAGGTCGCGCTTTGGCAAGTTCGAACGCAATCTTTCCGATACGAGTCGAGGCGCGTTCAGTGATCAAACGGATGGCCCGGGCCTCCTTTCCATTCTCGGTCGAAGTGATGCTCTCGTCTTTGATGTACTGTTAGGGAGATGAGTGACAGCAAGGAACTCGAAAGAGACATTCGCACGAGACATTCGGTGTTCTCTCGGACGACGATCAAGTCGGTAACAGCGGAAGCAGAAGGGTCAGCAGACACCTTTAGATGTAAGCAGTAATTCAGAAGGATGAGGTAGGACCTCACAGATCGAACGGGTCGGATGTTAGCGTAGAGGTCTAACTCTTTGCGCAGGGCGACGATGGGCGAGGAGTAACCAGCCACCTTGCGAGAGGGCGAGCTGGAATGCATGAGTAAAAACATGGAAGAAGATGTGTTTAACAGACCTCACAGAACCGAATAATGCACAGTCACACTCAGATTTGAGAATGTCGACTGTCTCTCGCGGTAAAGCAGTTCCGGTTCGAGTGAAGGTATCCCATCCAGCGAGCAAGTCAATGAATTTGAGCTTGGGAAGCTCGGATTGAACAGCAACCATGGCATCCTTGGCCGCCTGTCTCGTTGGGTCAAAAGCTGTCTATGGAGAGGGTGGGAGCTGACTCGTACCGGGATGACTTCGAGGCCGATACCATCTGCGGGTATAAGACCAACAGTCAAAGACTGCCTTGCAGAGGTCGACATTGACCGAATCGCGTTCCGAAACATCTCGGGCAAACTTGCTTGAGTGGACAGCAGAGAAAAAGTTGGTAGAATGACTTCATTACTGCCGCGTTTCGGCCGAACGTCCGAAACGGTTGTGAATGTTTGGTGCCAGTGAGTCTCATGTGATCTTCCAGCACGCGCCCTCGCGTCCTGAGCGACACCATACCTCATTCTACGCGTCTCTTCCGTTGCGAAACCACCCCCTGAATGGCTCACTACAAGGCCTCATCTTCTTCCCGACGCGTATTCGCTGAACGCACCAACACTACACCATCCGAAACTTCTGCGGTTGACCCGACACGCTCACGCGCTACCACCCTTCTCAAATCCTGGCTTATACCTGGAAAGCGTTCATCTCCATTAGATGAAATCGATCGACACCCGATTAAACGGGTCAAAGTCTCTGAATCGCCTCTCGATTCGAATTCAGATTCAGAGCTCGGCAACAGCGAAGAAGAAGAATTATGCAAGCCACCACCACTCAAACGCGCATGGAGATCGAGATTGCATTGCTCACGACACCCACTCTCATATTCCGGCCGTCCTCTTGGTGTGTTTTCTACGCTGCGTTATACAGCACAATCAGCCCATGTCCACAGCATCCACCTTACCGCTTCTACAATCGCTCGTGTCGTCGCATAAATCAGACATCTTTCGCTGTCTATCAATGAATGATAACGACAGCTGTCTCGTTCCTGCATATTGCTGTGCCTACCCAGACTGTGCGCGATCCTTGCACAGTCATGTATGTAGCCACCATCCTGACTGGTCACTGCAGCCGCACGAGAGGGACTTTCGACGCATTTTGCCGTTGGGACAGAGCAAGGCACTGTGTTCATCTTTGATAGTAGGAAGAGAGAGGAGTGGGACCCAGGTATGATTTGCTGGGTGACACCGTCCGTAGTTGTACTGATTGTGGCAGAACCTTCTTACAAGCTAATTCGACAACACAATAATGGAATCTTCGACATCAAATGGAACGGGGACGACACGCTCCTTGCCACGGCCGCTGGTGATTTGACCGCTCGAGTGACTGACGCCAAGATGGGGCACATCATTCGGACATTCAGACATGACGCCACGGTCAAATGCATCTCATGGAATCCCAACCATACTAGTCTGTTCGGAACTGGCTCACGGCTCGGAACGATCGCTCTTTGGGATCTGAGGGAATCCTCTGGGAAACCCGTATTGAATGTTTCCGCTGCACACGAAGAGAACAGCTCGCGGGCGAAGCGAAGAGCGCAGAAGCGGAGTACGAGTTCTCCGACAGTCACTGGTCTGCTGTATTCAGATGGAAATGAGCACCAGCTTATTAGTAGTGGGTCTGCAGATGGGTATGTGCTCTAAACTGCTGGCTTGCAGGGGTAGCATGATGACAGACGAGATTCCAGAGTTTTGCGATCTTGGGACCTACGACAGCTGAACGGCAGAAGCCCGAAATCATCAGTGTCATGTCTGGCATCGTCTAGCGAAGATCCGACAACTATGGAAGGTACCCGGCGACCGCGAGGCATTGTCAGCCTCTCGGACAGACCGGGCACAGGTCCGACCGCAGGACTCGTCTTCGCTCTGGGCGCCGACTCCCATATCCATACCTATGCACGCGATACCCTGGCACCCACTGGCAACTCTTTCACACATCCAAACCTGCGAACAAACTTCTACGTCAAACTCTCGACGTCGGCTTGTGGCAGGTGGCTTGCGAGTGGTGGTGCCCGCTTGGACGGGTCGGAGTCTTCGAGCGCATTTGTGTTCGACGTGGACAGCCAAGGCCAACGTAGAACCGGGCATCAGTCATCGAATGCACTGGAGTTGAAAGGAAGCGGAGACGGTGATAGCGGAGGACTTGATTGGGCTGAAGGCATGTTAGCCACCTGCTGGGACCAGGGCGTTGTCAGGATTTGGAGACCTGAAGCACAATCTCATCGGAGTTGCCTGGATAACCCAGAGAACAGCCGGTGGGACTGGCTGTGGGCGCAATGAACAGATATAAGTAGTGGTAGTAGTAGTGTGTAACCAGTGCTTGGTCACGGATCAGTCATCCATTTCCGGTCCGAAGGCAAATCCTTTACTTGCATCTTTCTTTCTCCACCCTTGTCTCTTTGCCGAATTTCCCATGGGTCTCTCAATATCAACGCTCTTCTCCTCCCTGTCTTCCCTAGTTCGATGGAGCAAAGACCAGGACGTCCGTATACTAATGCTCGGGCTCGACTCTGCCGGAAAGGTGCGAGACTTGCACTTCATTCTTGCCTTCATTCACGTAGCGCAGACGACGATACTGTATAGATTACAGGTTGGAAGCAATCCTCGAAAATCTTACGCGCGCTCATCTGCGCTCATCCTATAGATTGGCGAAGTCGTTTCCACAATACCGAGTCCGTTCTCTCCTCATCCTCGACTGTGTGTGCTGTGGAGCTCATTATCCTGTTCAGCCATCGGATTCAACGTCGAGACGGTTGAAGTACGACTCTTTACCCCTCGCTTCCATGTGTCCCCGGCACTCACCACCGACGACAGTACAAAAACATCAAATTCCAGGTGTGGGATCTCGGCGGACAATCCAGCATCCGGTGCGCCCTCTACCCCTCCATTCCTCTGCGCCCCCACCAGCTTCGTCTCATGCGCATCCCAGACCATACTGGCGGTGCTACTTCCCCAACACGTCTTCGATCATATACGTTATAGACTCGTCAGATCACACGCGGCTGAGCACGTCACGGACCGAACTACTAACGATGCTGTCGGAAGAAGAGCTCAAAGGCGTGCCGCTCCTCGTGTTCTGCAACAAGCAGGATGTGGAGGGCGCTTTGAAGCCGGAGGAGATCAGCGAGCAGCTCGGTCTGGCTGGTGGCGAGAAGTCGCGACCGTGGAGTGTTCGAGGGAGTTGTGCAACGAAGGGCGAGGGGCTCGAGGAGGGTCTGGATTGGTGCGTGCTAATTCATATTCCTTCCAGGCTTCCACGCTGACACTGAACAGGTTGGTGAACGCGATCCAGAAGAAGTAGATACTACTGAGTACCCTATTCCTCCAGCTTATCATTTAATTCACATGGTTCGCACCTTAATATGGATTCTGCAGAGGTCGAATATGTGCAACGGGGTGTACGGTTGCAAAATGTGTCCATTTTGTTGTTTTGTAAGTACTCGACTACAGCTTCACTCGGCAGAAGCGAACTTGGCAAGAACCCGGCGAACTTGTGTGGCACCGGTACCGCCGGTCGTATAGACAACCTTGCTCACGGCAAAGCCATTGAATTGGCTGGCAGCGCAAACAGTATACGCGCCCATGTTGTCAAAGGCCAGCCAGTCGCCAACGCGGAGAGCTCCAGGGAGTCGGGTCGTCTGAGCGACACAGTCGATGGAGTCACATGTCGGTCCCCAGACGCTGCAAGTGACCAGCGGCTCGGTGTCCGGCACGTGGAACGAGCCGTCCATGCAGAGGACGTAGGGATGGGCGATTTGGTGATCAAATAGAAGACAGTTGAAAGCACCGTAGACACCGTCGTTGATGTAATCTGGCCGAGGCGTTAGCGAGGACCAAGCGCCGTCTATAGACCGGACTCACACATCACACTGGGGCGCTCGGCATCAACCTCGGCCTCATCGGGCACCAACGGTGCTCGCCGGGCAATGATGTTCGTAGCAAGCCGGAAGGCTTGAGAGACATAGAATCTCCCTGGCTCGGCAATGATCTTGAGTTTCCCCTGTCGGTCGGGGAAGTACACATTGATCCCTTCCATCAGACACCGAGCAGCGTCCTCGAAGAGTCCGTCCTCAAAGCCTCCGCCGACGTCCAGGAGAGAAAAGTTGTATCCGACGGCAGCACCCATGTCAAAGGCAGCCCGGGCACGCGAGATCGCATCCGAGTACGCCCGAGGATCGGAACATCCGCTTCCAACATGGAAGCTTACTCCGACCACATTAAGCCCGAGCTCTTTAGCTTTTGCGAGCAAGCCGGGGACATTGGCCAGCGAGGCACCGAATTTGGTGCCCAGCTTGCACAGGCTGCTCGTATCGTCGGTCAAGATCCGAACGACCAACTGAGCACTCGGGTGCGCGCGAGCGACCTTGTACAGCTCGTCCGCGTTGTCGAAGGTCATCATGTTCACGCCGGCCTTCGCGGCGCTGCGGATGAAAGACACCGCCTTGCACGGATTGGCGAATATAATGCGGGAGGGATCAACCGCCGCGCCTCCCAAAGACAGGACTTGCGAGATCTCCCCGTTCGATGCACAGTCGAAACCTGCACCCAAGCCAGCGAGCAGACGCAGGACATAAGGGTCCGGGTTACATTTGACCGCTGCAGAAGGAGGATGAGACCTTGCGCCAACCCCACGAATCTCTGCAACGCACCGTAATAAGGCTGAATTTCCGGCAGCGCAGCCTGCCAGCGTATATGCTGCCGGTAAACTTGGCTCAGATCAGCCACGAAGAAGGCGCCCTCCGCGTCCGTCTCATGTTCTACTGCCAACCGTGCAGCTTCCATCACACCATTGCGCAAGTGCACTTCCGGGTGTCCTTGATGGAGCGGCGCTAGATCGGGAAAGATGGTGTGGTTATCAACATCGGCAGGGGTATCGTTATCGATATCCAGATGGGAGGAAGTGCCTGTGAGATTGAGAGTCGCGGTCGACGAGAGATCGGTTGAGCGCCACGTAGTCTGGAATTCAATGGCGGCGGGCGCCTGGAGCGTTTCGACGAAGGACATGATGGTTGTCGTCGTCGTTGTTGGAGTGGTTGTGGAAGTAGTAGTTGTCGTTGCAGTCGCGTGTGTGGAGGAAGATTCAGAGGGTATTAGCTTTGCTAAAAAAGCAGCGGCTTTTCTAATGGGATCCGACAGATCTATGGGTGGTTTTGAATCGGTGACTCTGATTACCGAGCCTTTAACCGCCACGGACGGCAGTTCCGGGCGGAAGGACGGTAACGAGAGCGCTTGTCAGTCGGTGAGGGTCCTCGCCGGATGGGGCAAGGATGGGGCTGGTAGGCTTGGAGGCCTGGTGGGTTTGGGGCGGAGAAAGTAGGAGCGAACAAGGAACGCGTCCGGGAGTAGATAAGTGATATATAAAAACGACGACGCGGGAGTCGTGTCAAGGGGGTTCACCTGGAGGTGTAAGGTGAGTATATGGTGAAAGGTATGTGGCGTCCGGGGATACGCACCACGGACGGACGACCACCTGAGTGAGAAGTTTAGTCCCGACTATACAGTAGATGTACGTGACCAGAGATGTACGCACTCAAGGGTCAAGAGACGAAGGTCCCTGTTTCTTGCTTGATCAGGAATATTGGGCGAGCTTGTGGCTCCGCTGAATCGTTCTGTCGATACGACCTGGCGATGCCTGTGGAGAGATGCAAGAGATGACGATTGCAAAAATTTTGTCGTGTTCCGTTTGGTCATCACTTTGCTGTGCTGAGCTGCTATGCAGCCGGATCAACCGGGTCGAGGTTGTCCGCTACTAGTACTAATGAGGCCTTGGTGTGCCATGTTTTTGCATCGCTCTAAAGATCCGCGTGATAAGCATCGACCATGTCCTTCAGGTACTCATTCCAATCGGGCTATTGCGATACACGTCCTGTCAAATTCTCTGCGACATGGGACTCATGGAATCAAAGTGCGTACCACATCAAAATGTGCATGTGGATCCCGTCAACCGTCGCTCTCGCTCTAAATACGCAGCTAACTTAACTGGTCTAATTCACACAAGCAATTCAATTGTGGTTGAAGACTGAGGCGCCTTTGCACTGTGCCACACCCGACCTTACCTCAGTGCGGTGCAGCACAATGGTCGGCCTGCTGCTGCCGCCGATCTTTGCCCAGCTGCCATCTTCGCGGCATGCTTTTGAAGAAGAGAAGGGGCGAGGCTGATGCAAGCACCTGTTCAGTCATTATACAGGTGTACTCGGAAACCTTCAATCGCTTGTAAGCGCCCCGGGAAGCTATAAGTGCATCGTCTGGATTCCGGATGCCGTGCCGAGATGCTCTCTCTCCCTCTCCCTCCGGAAATATGGCGAATTATCTTCGGTTTCACTGTGGAGATTTCCGGAAGTATCTGCTACACAACCGAATATTGCCCATTCCAGGGCGTCCAAGAGCTAGCCGCCTGCTCCGAGGTACGATCTTGGAAGCCGACACATCTGAACACTACAATCTCTCGCAGGAACACTACGCCCAGCGGCTGAAAACTTGCGTACTCTTGGTCACTGTGTGCAAGAGCTGGCAAATTCTGGCCGCGGGATTGTTTTATCACGATATTCGGCTTCAGAGCTGCCGTCATCTCCCAGATCTGTTTCACGGTCTTCGACGAATAGACGGCGAGGGCGAATGTTTCGGTCGCTACGTGCGACGCCTCGAATTCCACACCACCTCGTCCGGATCTCCGAGTTGTCTTCCCTTGTCAGAAATACTTCAGCTTTGCCCCCGTCTGGAAATTCTCGTTCGACCCTGCCCAGAAAGATGGGACCGAATCAGCTGCTCATTGCCCTTCTTGAAGAGACTGGAGTGGACGTATGATTTTCCACTAATGGACGAGGCTTCCTCCTGACCAGAGCCCCCAGTGAAACAGACAGCAACAGGAGCGACATTCCAAGTCGGCTATCCGGGATCCTGAAAGCTGCTCCAAATATGCGTTATCTGGCTTTGACGTCAGACAGACCAGATGTCCTGGCCGAAATTTCTCTAGCGCCAGCGCTGCAGACGTTGGTGTTGCACCAGTCTGAACTGGCTACGAGTCCAGCTGTGTCTAGCGCATACATCTCGTCTCGTATCACGACCCTGGTTCTACACAGTGTGATATCCCCGGCACTTGTCTCGTTTATAACTCCCCTGGGCCGACACTTGAAGGTCCTCGAGTTTGCGTTTGCGCCTCACGTCGCCTACTCGTCCAGTCAGATGAACAAACTGCTGTCGCACTGCCCGAATATCGAAGAGCTCGTCTACCATCTCGGGGCCCCAGAAATCGCATCGCTCCCCTCGCATCTCCAGCTTCCTCGCATCAGACAGGTGCGGCTGAGGATCGATCCGGAAACGTGGTTTCCTTATAAACATGTGGTGTGGGTCTTCTATCCAATGCCCGCTGGGATCCAGACCCGTTGGCTGAAGAGGATCAATTCAGATTAGCGCAGTTCCAGATCTTGGCCGGATCCCCATTCCCGGGATTACGAACTATCTTTCTCCATGACACGTCGAGGTCCTTCGTCCGCAGGTCGTCAGCCCCGAAAATTCTGCAACTTATGAAAGAGCGAGGTCTTGCTGTTGTTTATGAAAATGGCTGTCCCGTAGACTTGGTCTAAGAATTTACCACATTGCCAATCGTATAGCTTGCTCGATCAAAAACCGCCCAATTAATGGAAACCTGCAAGCTCTCATCTCAACCATCTTTATCTTATCTACGCGTCTTACCGTCCCATCACTAAATCACGATGGTGCATCTTGCGCACACTTGTCCAGTAGCACTACCATGTTGCCTGTCCGCCGTTTAGCGCAGAGGTCCACAACGACCCGCTGCGTTCTAATCTCATGTCGGGGTATGCGCACGAAAGGCAGGGTGCGACCCATGTCCTGGGAAGAAGAAAAAGACCAAGACCACCTCATCGAAGTGAGTGTGCAGTGAACCCTAGTGAGGCCCCTTCCGAACCGACAACCACAGGGCCTGGAGGAGATCCTCAAGGGAGCCAAGCGAAAACTGGCTGAAGAGGAGAAAGCCCGGACTGTCCCTCAGTTCGTACAAGAACAGATGAGACCAGGCGCCGCCAAACCCGCGGCCGCCAAGCTCGGGCCCAAACCCCAAACACCTGTTACTTCAGGTGTGTGTGTCGGGTCGTTCCCTCTCTCCGCGCCAGCTTGACTGTCTCTCAGCTTTCAACGACTCGTTATGGGACGAGATGATCAGCAAGGCGGAACAAGCCAGGCTCGCTCCGTTCAAGATCACGTCGCGTGAGCGTCCTCTACACAAATCCACTCCTCGCATTGTTCATAATGGAAATCCCCCAGTGGACGCACTCAAAGCGGCGTACGACGAAGCCGATATAGACATGAACCGACCACCGTATCCGTCGGTCGACCGACTGAAGCCGCGCCTTAAAGTCGCGTACGAGATATACCACTCCATCCCGCGCAAAATCGCCATGAAACGGCTCCACTCGCGCTAACAGTAGCTGAATCCCTTGCCGGAAATAGCGTTGTGCCCTCGCAGCCCTCCGCGCGCGCAACCTCAATTGAGAACGGCGCGGCGATGCGAGAATCCTCTAATCCCTCTGCTCTCCAGCTCCTGTGACTGCGATTCTTCGAGTGTATCATTGGTGCTGTAGTGGCTACGCGGGGGGTACTACTCGGTGCAAGAGGATAACAGCTGGGATAGGTGTTCTAACAGGATATATGAGAAATGAAACGTGTCTTGACTCCACCATGGGATCGTAATGACAGATATGCTGGCCGCATAAGCTGTTGCAAGGGAAAGCAAGCACAGTGTCTCAAAACGATTGATATCAATTACTCGAACAGTCCCTTAGCAAACGTTAACGAAGTCCTCGTCGTCCTCGACCCAACCAAGCGTCGAATGCGCGATTCCAAGACGCAAGAGCATCGTCCCTAACGTCTCCTTGGGCTTGTTATCCTCGACATGTTCATCCTCACCGTTCTGGGGAACCTCCCATCCACAGTTACCCTCCGAATCCTCGACCTTGACCCGCTTGCTTTCTGGATCATCATCGCCCCACCCCCATGATTCCGAAAACCGGCGCTTGCCGTTATCGGCCTCGGCGGATTCACCGCCGCTGCTGTTGTCCTTGACCAGATCCCAAACTTGCCACGCGACGTCTCTTCCGGCCTCGGTCCACTTCTTCACTAGACCCTCCAATCCGTCTTCCTCGCCTTCCTTTTTCAGCTTCACCGCGCGTTTCAACACATGCGCTCGATGCTCGAGAGATTGGATCGTCGGCGTCGGTCTCGCAGACGATGGAGGAACAGACGAGCCGAGGGCAAGGGGAGATTTGAATTGGGCCGCAGCACGCTTCGTTCGATGTTTGTTCAAGTCAGACCCGACGGGCTGCGCTGAGACCGGCATCGGCGTCTCGTCAGGTTTACTCAGAAGCATCGGCTCTGGGACCGTCATCGTCGGTGCCCGAAACGGCTTGGCGAGCTTCTTGTGTTGTTGCTTATGGAAAGCCATCGTCGGGCGTTTGGGATTGGGAAGATGACCAGTCTCATCCTGTGTATTTGTTTGATTTCGACCATATCGCATACAAGAGAAACACACCTCTCGCTTGCGTTTCTTGCTTCCATCGGTGTCTTCATTGGTACATTGTTCGTCTTGGATTGGAATGTTCTCATTAGCGCTTTCGAGGGCAGATTCGACTTGCAATCCGTCCGATATGACTTCAGATTCAACACCGACATCTACCACGAACGCAGGATTCACTGAAGATTCTTCGAGCGTGTACTCTCCAGGTTTTACTTGAACATCTGATACGTCCATGTCTTCATCAAGCTCAGAAGAAGGATTCATCGGACTCGAGCTCGGGGGCAGTGTATCAGCGCCGATCTTTCAAAGTGTAAAAATCAGCAGAGGCTAGGCCAACAGAGGAGATACCCTGCGCACCGTCACATGCTTCAGCACCTCGACATCGTCGAGAACAGAAGAGTCAGACGACGGCACAGTAGCAGGAGGAGATGACGTGAAGATGCGGTCTCCACCAGGACTTGAGGAAGGTGATGAAGTGGAATCTTCGGACGAAGGCAAGTTCGTAGAAGAAAACACGATAGGGCTTGACGTCAGAGGTTGAATCTCATCGCATAGACCCTGGGGTGTGACACTGTCGTATTCAGCGGACAAGTCATTGACATTCGAGTCTGCGAAGCAAGTGATCCCATTTTCTTCGGCTGCAACTTCAAATGCGCAAGAGGCCGGCGACTCGTCAATGACAGAGCCAGGAATCGAGTCAGTATCATCAATCAGTTGAGGGATGAACATTAGTTCTTGGTGGAAAGTTGATGCCGCAGATTGAACAATTTCATCCACAGACGTAACAAGCATTTCGTTCTGTGAAAGAACAGAGGACATTTCTGCATCGACGGCCATGGGACCCAAAGAAGCCTCTCTTACAGAGCAAACGCTTGGAAGGATCTTCGAGGCCTCATCCTCCAGGCTAGACAGAACCTCAGAAGCAGATGGGCTGTCGTCTAAAGCCAGAGACTGGGGAGGCTCGTTGCAAGTAGTGCCACATTCGACAGCAACGGGACGAGAGGGCACGGATTGCGATGCCAAGTTAATAACAGGTTGAGAATTCGAAATTACGAGCGCCGTTAGCTGGGGATCCGAAGCCAGTTGGGAATCCTGGGCGGGGGATTCAAGACTTGCAGCAGGGGATGAGACGATAGGCATTGCAGGTGAGTCCACGAGCATTGAAGTGGGCTGTTCTTGGGTTGGTGGTTGCGCAATGTCGCTTTGAGATAAGATCAGATCGTAGTGGTTCGTTTGGGGGTCGATCATCATCAAGGAGGACGTCGAAGCATTGGAATCGGGAATGGGTAGCTGGAAGTGGATCGGTCTGACGACGTCTTGTTGATCATGAGTTTCCGAGATGAGGGGAGGTGATGTGGTGTCAGTGTAGAAGAGCTGATCTCCCAAAGAATCAGAACAAGTCGCAGAGGGAAAATTCTCGTCGAGACAAGCATCGGAAACCACCAGATCCTGGATATATGCGTGGGAACATCTCAGTCGAGTAATGTGGTGAACGCACCAATTTCTCGCCACCAGATCCTCGTCAGTGTGGTCGATCGAAGATGGGCTGAATGCGCAGGTGAGTACTTGGGGATGATGCAAAACAGAGTCAGTGGTGATTATGTAGTCAAGGGCGTGTCGAGCATGTCGCATTCTTTAGTGTCCTATTCCCGAGATCAGAGAGAGCAGCTCATTTGCATCTTACAGACCGCACGTTAAGGTCAATGGGGTCACTCGAACCCTCAGAAAGTTCAGATAGCAGTACGGGGACCGGTGCAGAGATTGAAACAGAGACAGGACTGGAATGGGGCGGAGTGGATTCACGAGGAGGAGGGCTGGATGACTGGGAATGATCGCATGTGAGGAGGATATCAGGACGAGAGAATCGAAGGACGAACTTCAAAGGGACCGTTGTCGCCGCACAACTTCTCACAGGACCCGAACTCATACAACTCGGACGACATCTGGAAAGAGGATAAGAGGGATGGAAGATGCCGCGACTAAGTTGTGTGTACTGTTTCTATGACCGGACTAAATGTCACGTCGGCGTTCAGGACGACTCGAGAATCGGAGTCGCGTTCATTATGTAATACCTATTGTGGAAGCATCAGTTCGATCCTTCTTGAGCCAGTACCAGTTTCATCTACTGGACACTCATGGCGAAATGAAAAAGGGACGTACATCGGCATTTATATACTTAGAGATGGACGCGATGTAATTACTGACGCACGTTTGCGACTTGGACTGCACTGATAGATCGTAGCGATGCATTTCCAGTGCGATTGTCATCGGGATAAGATGTTGGTACTTACTCCACGTTTGCGACTTGGACTGCACTGATAGATCGTAGCGATGCATTTCCAGTGCGATTGTCATCGGGATAAGATGTTGGTACTTACTCCTGAATGCGGGTGCCACCTGCAGATCGCTCACTGCTTGCGCCCAGAAATCGGTGAGCTCATCTGTGCGTTTAGCGATGTCCTGTTGGACTAACATCCGTTTGGGATGAAAGATCAACATCATCCTCAGACAATGCCAAGTTTCAGGATGGCAAAGACAAGGCGAGTAATGGGGTAACGGCAATAGATTAAGCTCATGAAGTGTAGGCTTTCGCAAACAGGGCCCGTGCTATGCAATACCACATCGAGGATCGTCATCGGACAGCTTCGAATGAGACATGGTGAACAGGGAAAGAAGCCACTAATGGGATAGCCAGTGCATAAAACCATCCATTCTTCGACCATCGTCCAGTGCGTGCATCACGCAACAACGGCACTGGAGATACAGAACAGGAAAGCAGACCCTGGAGTGTACGCACCTAATCCAGACAATCATAATCAACGGAGCCTTGAGGATGTCAAGAGATCATGTCGCAGGATTCAGGTCGATATCTTCAGCGTCAAGAAGATTCTTCAATCTGCAAAAGGAATGCACGAAATCTGAAATAAGTGGAAGTTGAAGCCGGAGGAACGGAAAACACCTGGCTCGCCTCGCGATCACGTGAGTGTGATATAGCGACAATACTCAGCTTTCTCACTGGCATGACCTTTTTTGAAGCTGATGCAAGGTGGTGCCCGTCACTGCCAGTTTGACTGCCGTGTCCATATACATGCATCTCCAACTCAAGTCTCTAGGGCTGCATCGCCCCTTTGTCCCATGCATTCTCTTGATCTGTATCCGATCGAACGCTCAGACCTCTCATTCGTCTGACGTACGACGTGCCAAAAGTCTGTGTAACACGGACACAGATTGCCACCCGATCTCTTCCCAGCCTTGCACAACGATTGGACCCATGTAAAGTCGTATGCAATCGGAATATATGCGGATGTCTCGCCGGCTCGTTATCTATTTTTACATCGACTGACAGCGCCGTGGAGCCGAATTCTCTTAGGCGACCCCCAGCCAACCGGAAGCCTCGCTGCACTTTTCCGTAGCCATTCGCCGACGTTCGGACGCGGCATCCATCCACCTTCTATTGGGCATCATCGATGGACGAAGCATCACCTTTGTGTCTGTGCGGAAGAACCTCGCACTTGTCTAGTGAATACCGGTTTACCAGATGACGATGTTCCAAACATAGACTGCGTCACCATCCTTCCATGTCGAGTCCCGAGTTCCGACCCAGTGAGCCCCTTCGGAATTTTTACTGGGCTGCTGCCGCTCTGCTGCGTCTCCCCAATCAGGATACCCGCGTGATGATGCAGAAGATATGACGCCGCAGGCAGCACCTGCTTGTATGACGATGACACAGATCTCTGTTTCACCAAGGTACTTTCCGCGGTCCGCTCTGGCTTTGCGATCCGCCACAAGACCTCGGTGGTGGTCATGGATACGGTCTGGTGGTGCTGCCCTGGGCATTATAAGACTGGACGATCTATGCGCGGTCACTCGCTGTGATCCTGGTCACTCACAAAATGCTGCTGCAACTGGTCCTCTCTGCGGTCTCGCTCGCACTTCTTCCTGTCGCTCACGCCGTCGTCGGCCCCGGAAAAGTGACGGGCGACACGGCGGTGCACGACCCGACGATGTGCAAGCGGTCGGATGGAACCTACTTCGTGTTCTGCAAGTGCTCTTTGCGATGGCTGCGCTCTCCTTTGACGGAGAACTATCAGCTACAGGAACAGGAATCGAAATCCGGACCTCGCCCGATCGGACGGCCTGGACGCATGTGGGCTCGGTGTGGCCCAACGGCGCGAGCTGGACGGATGCGTATACTGGTACTAGTAACGGGTGCGTGTTGAGATTTACGCTCGGAGAGTACATCTAATGTTTCGAGCAGAGCACTGTGGGCTCCGGACTGCACGGTCGTCGGAAACACATTCTATGCAAGTTTCCATATACTTCACGAAACAAACGACGCCTAATATCGGTAAATGACGCACAGCTCTATTACTCGGCATCTACTTTTGGCTCGCAAAAGGTCTGTGATGCTCGATCTGCCAAACAGATCCGGCACTGACAGGGAATAAGTCGGCAATTTTCTTCGCCAAGTCGACGACTGGTATGCCGGGAAGCTTCACGAACGAGGGTCTCGTGACATCGACATCCTCGGGCGCCGCCTACAACGTACGCATCTTCTCACTTTCGCTCCACCTGTAACCGACACTTTGCCAGGCCATTGATCCGAAGTATGAGCCCCATGACTCAAACCAACCCTCGAGACTGATCAGCTCGAAGCTTGCTCATCGATGGAAGTAATTGGTACCTCTCCCTCGGCAGCTTTTGGTCGGGCATCAAACTACAGACGCTGAGCTCCAGCACTGGCAAACCGTCCTCGTCTGCGGTCTCCTCGATCTCCCAGCGCGCCAGCCCCGATGCGATAGAGGCCAGCGTGATCTACAAGTTTGGCTCGTTCTACTATCTGTTCACCTCGTGGGACAAATGCTGCCAAGTAAGATATGCTCTCCGAATTCGGAACCGTGTCCCTCACATGTTCTTAGGGAACCTCGAGCACGTACAACATCCGTGTCGGTCGGTCTACGAGTGCTACTGGCGGCTTCGTCGACCAGGCCGGGATTGCTTTGACCAACGGCGGCGGGACCCTGGTGTTGGGCACTCATGATAGCGTGCGTCTGATCTTCCATCTACCCTCGTCTCTTCTCATGAAGAACTCCTCTAGATCGTTGGGCCCGGGGGTCAGGATCTCATGACTGACGGCGACGGGCCGATCATGGTTTACCGTGCGTCACTCTTGTCCTAATCAGCGTGTTCGAACACTCAGCCCTCTTATCTAGACTACTACACGTCGGCGGGAAGCTTCGTGAGTATCATCGGTATTTGAAAGCATGCATAGACTCACGTTTGTTGCAGCTGGGCATCAATCGCTTGGATTTCTCGAGTGGCTGGCCGGTGAGAAATCATTTCCTGTTCTGCAATCAAGATTGCTGAGCCTGTTATCCTCAGGTCGTGGTGTAGCACGCATCATTATCTGGAACGTCTTTCGAGCCACTTGTAAATTGTATCCGAGTCCCTTCCATCGAACGAGAGAAAGAGCATGTCACAGATTGAGCACGGAGCACTGACACGTGATCGTTATGTATTAGTCGGTTTGTTTCTTGAATCTCTCGCCCCGCCGCGTGTCTCACTGGAACCACTTGAACACGACTCGAATTCCGGTGCACTATCTTGTGTGCGGGCGTCTCTTTGACCTTCTTTCTCCCGATCTCTTCCCATCCTTCAAATTCATACCGCGGCCAGTCGTTATCGAACATCTCTCGTGTATCAGTGCTTTCGCTGTAGAGAGGGGATCGAGTGACTGACCTCCCGGCGACTCCATCTCTTTTCGCGGTGTTGTGCCTCGAGATGTCAATTCCTCCTTCCACTTGCACCGCCGGCCGTGTGTGTCGTGATCGATTTGTCGATTCTTCTCACTATATCTGGAACGCTCGTTCCTTCGTTTATGACCGAACCGAACCGAGTGCTCTTCATGCCTCCGAGCCGGCACACTCCCTCGTCATGGGCTCTAGACCTAGTGTGTTTGCTCCGGTAACTCCAACCAAATGTGTGCCATCCATTGTGCCAGTCTCAATTGGAGTGTATGCGAGTATATTTTCCATAGATAATGAACCTATCGAGACACTCGGAGCAGAGAAATTTTCATGGCGTTTCCAGAATGTCTTCAACACCCAGCGCAACCAACGCATCTCGTGCCACATACACTGTTATGCACCGAACGCCCACACTCACAAACACATAAATCCTCGTTATTCGTAATATCGGTCCAGATACGCATACAGAAAGCTATGATACAAGTGCCCTCAAGGCCGCCAGACGGAATTTCTCACGGGTGTATTCGACATCGTCCGCGTCCTCATGCTCGCGTGGCTCATCGGCTTCGACGGAGTGCCGGGTCGGGCGGGGAACGCCAGCCCCGTGCTGCTCAGCGTCGGATCGGCCCGGCGGATGAACTGCAGCGGAGTCAGCGGCGAGCCATTCTTGGAGCCGGGACTGGAGGTGATGGACTGCGGGCTCTTGCCCTCGGGAGTGACGAGCTGGAACTTGGGCACCCCGTGGCGTGGCTCGGGCGTGCGCGGTGGTGTGTAGGGGTTTGCGTGGTAAGTATTGGCCACGGCCGTGGGCGCGGAGAAGCTCTCCTCCTCGAGCAAGGTAGCAGAGCTGATCCACTTGGGTTCGGCCGAGCCTCGCGGAGGCGAGTCGTTTTCTGACATGAGCCTGAAAGAGTCTGCAAAGTGGTCCTTGATGAATCTGTCCTGGGTCAGTAACACGATTGATGGATGAGATTACGACGCCGACGTACTTGGACAACTCCTGCCACCCACCGCCAACCCGAACCATGACCGTCGACGACCGCAGAATGCGGCAAAAGCACAGCTTGGGATCCTGGTCCCCGATCCAGTACTTGCCGCTCTGATCTCTCCAGCCCTCTGAAGCCAGACTCTCGATGCTGATGCCGACAGGAAGTTTGTTGATGACATCCCCGACGGCGACGTCGAGCTTGCTCTTCGGATTGGCGATGTACTTTTTCCTCACGGGCGGTTTTGTTGATCGTTGTGGGGTCGAAGGCGGTGTCACTTTGGGTAAGGAGTAGCGCGGAGCACGTGCCCACGTCGAGTTCGAGCTTGAGACAGATGCTCGAGATGGTGTACGTCCATATGAATGCGAATGGGAGTGCGAGTGGGAGTGCATATGACCGAACTCAGACACACTCGGAGACTCGGTTCGTTGCGGCGGGGGTCTCAGCAGCGATGACGACGACCTTCGAGGAGTTTCACTGGGCGTCAAACTCGCCGTTCGCTGTCTCGATGCAAACGTGGTCGCGACAGGGCCTGAGATCGATCGGTAGCTGGAACTGGACACCGAGATCGTCGACAGTTGGCTTGAAGGGCGTCGCACAGGTTGTTCGACGAAAGCAGGCCCCAAAATCGGCCGCTTTGGTGTTTGTGCCGGAGGACCCATGCGGGTTTTTAGGCTAGGGCTCTTGCCAGCGGACAGTCCGGCGTAGCTCGCGGTCTTGCTTTTTGAATTGCTCGCCACTGGCTTTGCTTTTGGTTTGACACGGATGGAGGCAGTGCTAGTGCTCGACAGTACGCTGGCCGCCCGCGAGCGCCTGCCTCCTATGCGATCTCGGGCCATTTCTTCCAGCTCAGTCCAGGTCTGAAGCACCCTGTCCTTTTCTGTGGTCGCTCTCTCGTCTGATTTCACGTCGGCAAAGGCGGCGGAGAGCGCATCGATAGAGGCAGCAGTGAATGAGAGTCGTTCCGGAAGTGGGAGATCTGTTGAGGAAGAGGAGAGCACTGGCGCGTCCGGATACGAGTCAATGTGCTCAAGGAGATCGCTCAAGGCTGCATCACACCTGTGCAGTGCACCCAGGAAGCGCACCAACGATCTCAAGTGCGCGATGTGAACACCAGCTTCGGCAATTTCCGCGTGTAATTCGGAAAATTTGGACGCTTCAGGTTCCAGCGAGCGAAAGCCGCTTATGACTTGATTGAGTCTTGCTTCGTCAGGCAAGTACGAAGACGTTGCCAATGCCTCTATTCCCAAGGACCGCAGTCGGTCCCGAATGTCTTCACCAAAGTCGTCAGAAAAGTGGTGAATACCAACAGGTGACAATTACCATTGATCGCGCGCATCCTCTCGGCGTCCTTCTCCTGTTCAGCTCTAATTCTCGCTGCCTCAGCAGCAGCGGCAGCAGCAGCAGCAGCCTGTTCCTCAGCTAGCCGACGTTCCTGATCTAAACGCACCCGCACCCGCTCACGCTCTCTCTCCTCCTCTTCCAGCTTTGTTTTTTCCGCCTGCTGGATTCGGCTCCTCAGCTCACCAACCCACACACTTAGCTTTGTCTCCAGCTCTTCCAAGGCACGAGCCCGTGCCAACAGCATATCGTCACGTGTGAGCATATCCCGCACACTTGACAAGGATGAAGATATCCGCCCGCTTTCTGCCATGATCTGCAGCAACTCGATTTCTGTCCCCGACCTGACCTTTTCAGCAAACTCGTCGACTTGGACCTTGAGCGGAGCGAGGTCTGAATCGATCCGTTTGGCAAGCTGTGCCATGGCAGTGCGTTTCTCGAGTGCCTGGATCTGGCCTGCGAGTGTGATGGCATAGGAGTTGGAGTCTGACCGCACTGCGGTGTCCAGTGAACGCGGATCAAAAGGCAGTCCAGGTGGATTCGAGGGTGAAGCGATGAACACCACTCGGCCGGTCAGGCCAGCAGTGAACACCTCCACCTCCGCCTTTAACTCTTCACTGCTCAATACCCCATCCTCAAGTTCTGAATCGACGCGATTCCGGAGTTCCTCTATTCGAGACTGCAGCTCAGCAAACTCGCTTCGCACGGCGGTCATTGCGCTGGTCTGCATCTTGATCTGCTCGAGCAGACTGGCTTGCGCTCGGATCTGTGCCAGCTGGCTCTTGAGGTTCATGGCAGCTTGCTGTAACCGCGTCTGGAGAGCGACCTCGAGGGTCTTGCTCAGTGTTGCCAGCGGCGCATCAAGCGTCTCTTCCAGCCTCGAATCCAGTGCATCCAATCGCGAGTCCATTTCCATTTCCAGTGCCGGCTCAGGTAGCGGAGATGAGAAACTCTCAGGGGTTGGCGGCGCCGTATCGATCATAGCCTGTTGCTGCCATCGGCAACGCTCCATGGTGTCTGCTATCTCCTTCTTAAGGTTACCCATCTCACCCATCTCAGCCTGCATCAGGCCCCAGATGCGTCGCGCTTCTCGCAACCTGTCCACACGTCCGGTCACGTCGTCACGAGTCCACTGGCCCCGGCCGCGGAGACCGGAAAGCTGCTGGAAGACGCTGGCCGAGGCGCTCTTAAACGTGTCGTTGTCCACAGAGAGCGCAAGCAGGGCGCCACGAGAGTCGCGCATCACTTGGGCGGTGGACTCGCTTGCTGTGTCCAGGTCGCGGAGAATCGACGGCAGCAGCGCAAGGAACGCTGCATGCCGCGTCGGATCCAGGGAATCCTCGCGAGTGAGATCGGGAGGTGAGCCGTCTCCGTCGCCCGCTGACTTCGAAACGCCTTTTTCCAGCCGCTCGATGGCAGACTCGTACGCCGCGCAAAGCGTCTTTGCTTGCTCAACGAGCAGCTCGACGCGGTTCACCGCTTCGTAGTTGAGCCTGTACTCTCTCGCTGCTCCTTCAACCTTCTTCGTCAGATCTTGCGCAGCGCTAAGCTCGGCCGCCAGTGTTTCCGTGACAGATTCAGTCAAAGTCGTGTATTCGGGGAACAAGGCGTGCGAGGGCCGAGGAAACCCATTCGGATCGCCTCGCAGAACAAGCCGTTTCGAGACAGATTCAGCGCGGTGTACGAAAGTGGTGCTTTGCCGGATCGTGGGGTGTTGGAACTTGGCAGCTTCAATCTCGTCCCAGAGCGCCTGAGCGGCGGCTTGGTCTTTTAGAGAGTCTATGTAGAATTCGTCCGCTCTGATCAACGTCCATTAGGGCAAGAGCGCAACGAAGTCAAAGTTTACGCACTTGCGCCATTGCATCACAGCTGCCATCACGAACTTGCCCACTCCTTCCAATTCAGCGATGCCTTTCTCCTCCAGCCGATCTTGTTCGTCTAGCAGTTCCTCCGGCACGGGTTTTCGGCTTGTGTCGATCAGCCGATCGAGCATCTTGCCTGCTGCGCCAACTCGGGTGTGCCGCAGAGCTGTCATACGCGCAGAGAAGTGCGCTGCATCGCGAGCTAGCAGTTCCGCAAGCTTGTAACGAGCGGAGCGTGAGAATGATGCAGAAGCGAGCGAGTAGGAAGTATCCGAGGAGGCGATGGAGGCCAAGGATGCCCGTCGGGTGAGCACTTGTGTGCTCCCTGCGGACGCAGGCTCGGAGTCGTAGACGGCGGGCGACCATAGGGCTCGTGTCTGGAGGAAGGTCTTGATGTCACTCAGGATTTCGCGCCGGTCGGCCCATGCGGCGATGCGGTGCTCTTCCCAGGTGAGACGAATCCCGAGGAGCTCAAGGTTGTCGGAACGGTCCCGGAGAAGGTGCAGAAGTTTGTCGAGTGAGTAGATGGTCGTTAGCGTCAGTTCGATCAAGTCGGTGTCTTGAGGGGATAGGTTTCGTTGTGTGGCGGCTGGAGGTAACTCAGTACAAATGAGCGCAGCGAGTGTAATGAGGACACACGGACCTTTCGTAAACTTCTTAATTGTCCTCAACTCCCCACTGTCGAATATTTCCGTCTCCTTCTCAATCGTGTCGTGCTCCTTCAGCCAACGTTGCAACTCCTCGCGGGTGGGCAGCCCGGGGACTTGTTCGGCAGATTCACGTATAGCGGACATGCCCACAAACACTTCGATGGGAGGCAGCTGCTCTAAGAACTACCATGGAGTTGAGTGCACTGAGTTGCTCTGAAATGGCGCCCACGCACTTTGGTTTTGTCCTCGATCCATACTTTGCGTTCACTAAACGTCTTGAGTGAGATTACCTCATGCCATTCAAGAGATTGTTCTACGGTGGGGGAACCCAGGGCTTCAGTGGTGGGAGCGGATCCAGATTCGGTCGTTGCTGAGGGCCCTGGCGCGGGGGCCGTACCAGACGACTCCGCGGGGTCAAGGGAGGTCATTAATATTTATTGTGTGCGGCGTGATCAAGAAAGGGGCATGTACGATAATGAGAAGCGAGGTGGGTCAGACAGGCATGCGCGCGCGTACACTGAGGAAGGAGGAAGCGGAGAGGGTGCAAGCAACGCGGCCTATGCGTGTGAAAATGTGGGCGTACAAAGTGACGACGGTTCCGCATCGGGAGTTGTGTCGCTCAGCTGTCATTTTAAGCCCGGGGTTTGCCTGGCGACCCACTACTTGGTGAGCAGGACAAGTGGAGGGACTCGCAAGTGCAGACGGACATGCTTTTTCGTATTTACATAGCTTTATTGCATCGCAAGACGGTATTACATTTGCTTACGAGCTCCCCTCAGAGTCGTCGTCTTTGATTGGCATCCAGTTACAGTTGGAGAGCACTGCGCTAGAACCCAGCCACACGCCAAAAAATGCTATTGCTGTCGTAAGTCCGTCTTATCCAAAACGTGCGTGGGTCGGAAATTCGCGAGCTTGTGAGTCCATTTGGACCTACATAAAGTCCCTCGTAGAACGTTTGCGATTGTAGTATGCACGTGTCCGGCTCGATTATGATATCACTCCTTATCCTCTTCTGGCGCCTCTGAACGCGACCTACCTACCTCACTACACGGTCCGTATCATCCTCTTGCTTCTCGACACCCAACTTCCACTGCATTTTTGTCTTTTCCTCTTCCTGGGCACAAATCCCTTCGCTTGACCTGGTGGTTGTTCCCTTCCCGTCTCCATCGTCCATGGCGTCTCTGGTCGACAACCACCAACCCAAACCACATCTCCACCGATTCCCGCACTCGCCGCCTTCCACGGTTTCGTCATTTGTCCCACAACAAGATGACCATGACGTTCCTGTCGGTGACCTTGCCTTCTTCCATCGGTCAACATCCCCCAGAAAGCATCGAAAGGACACCCACCCGGACAAGGGGAGCGATTCCGACGGATACATCACAGAGCGATCAACAAACAGGGTCGTCCCGCGCACCTCCCAGGCGTCTCGACGAAATGCCGCCCGAGCGCGCACGTTGCCTTCCTCGGCTTCCTCTTCCGGCGCATTGGCCTTACTTTTGAATTCGGACCATCCAACCATCGCCCGGCCGCTCTCAGCGCGCTCACATTCCGGGGCATCCAGTGTCTCCTCATCGTCTTCGTCGTTTTCCCCTGGGGTCGGGACCAGCATTTGGGGGGCTCACAACCCGCCGCCGGCGGCATCGGGCGGAAAGTAGCCGAGACGTTGCAGTTGTTTAAGGAGACACAGGATCCAGAATCGTCTTCCTTTGCTGCCGGACCATCTTCTGCACGGCCCGCCTCGTCCAAGCGAGCAGATGATGTCGCTGAAGCCAAGTTTCAGTTCGTTAAACGTTCGGAATGGCCTGACCGAGGGACTGCTGCTATTCGACGGGAAAAGAGCTTCTCCACACTGGGTCGAGTGAAGACGGGTGAAAGCGATGCGGATGGGACGCAGGAAACGGCGCGGTCTCCTACGCGGGAGACATTCATCGAGGATCTGACACAATGGCGCGAAAGCGTTGTTACGATGGCAGAGAGCTCACGAGGGAGACGACGGGAGCGGCCCCCAGAGGAACCTATAGTTTTCGACGTCGATGTATGTTTTCATCCCTTTCCTGTGACAGTCGAGCCTGATTGCAAGCTTTCGACGCCCAATCAGTCTTCATCAAAATCTCGTTCGTCTCGTGTTCCTTCTCTTCGATTCCGCGAAAGAACCGCTTCGAGAGTGAACGATGTTGCCACTCTGACGCCCATCGCGACCCCGCGATTCAGCGCCAAAGTCCCTTCGACCCCACCGACCCTGCTCCAACCGCCTTCTGCCGATAACTCGGAAGCGTTCTCACCTTGGTCTACTGATGACGAATCAGCGTGGGAGACAGCTTCAACTACCACCTCTACCTCAACCACATCCGCTGGTGTGCTCAACTCCCAAGAGGCCACCAGTGCGGACGGCTTGCATGCAATCTCTTCCCCGGCTGTGCACGACGCCGTCGGCTTGAATGACGACGACGACGAGGTGCTGGACTTCGACCTTGACGATTTACCGGATCAAGACTTGCCGCACATCCCCCTGCGTCCATTTCGTAATCAAGTCGGCGGCCACAGTGCCATCTATCGATTCACGAAGCAGGCCGTGTGCAAGGTACGTCTCTCAGTCACGTCTCTAATAACCTTGGCTTGACGCTCCTGGGTAGCCACTCGTTTCTCGAGAAAATCTCTTCTATGAATCCGTGGAGAGAGATGCACCTCCATTGTTGGGATACATCCCCCGTTATCTAGGCGTCATGCTCGTGACGTACCGAAGGGTACCCAAGGCCCCGTCGCCTATATTCTCACATCCTCTATCCGATCACGCGCGAGACGGAGAGGTCACAGAGAACGCACCTGACGAGCTTGGAGAATCTGACACGGACTCGGCAGAAATGCCTGAAGTTGCGCTCGATCGGAATCGTCACATTATCCCCGAGTGGATGTTGCGCGGGCGCTATCGTTCGCTATCGCAGTCCAACATGAGCGTCCCTCCACTCGTCGACCGCCGGCTGAATCGACCGCATCTGATCAATGGCGCCGTGTCGAGTCCTGATCTTGCAGTCGCCCCCTCCCGGACGAGGATGAGTCCGCTTGCACGATACCCTCCGTTTGTCACCAGCGAGATGGAGGCTCCCACGCCTGTGAATTCGCCCAGCCAGTCAATCCGCGCCTTTCCCACACAACTTGTCCCGCAGCCCGTCAACCCGGACTTTCTCGCGGACGAAGCATCCACTCAGCCTCAGCTCAGCGCGTTCCCGTCAACTACGCAGTCGCCTTGGTTCGGTGGCACTGGGTCCACAATGGTCAACACCAAACTCAAGGATCATGTGTTCAGCACTGTCCTTCGACGGTTCCGGCGTCGGACGGGTGGCCGGTTGGCGACCGAAAATCGCACGGACGATGATGGGGATGTAGCTGATGCGGAGGAAGAGGAGCACAAGCACACCCCACGCAGAACACGCAGTGGGAAAATCCGACCTTTGATCAGCCAAGTAGGAGACCTGACGGGCCTGGAAAAATCGCCCCCCATCCGCCGAGTGCAGAGTGAATCAGTTATGGCCAGCCCCGCCAAACTAAAGTCTCTGGCGATCGAGGAGCGGCGGACCAAAGATATGATCAACGTCTTCGGTCTGGATTTCGACGAGAGCCGGGAGAACGACTGGCAGCTGCCTCCCTTGAGGAGGCGAAGTCGGTCTCGCTCACTCGATTTTGTACCGCCTGCGCCGCCTGCTGGGAATGCTGCTGCGACGCGCCAGAGCCATTTCATTCTCATGGAAGATCTGACTGGTCGTCTCAAGCGGCCGTGTGTGATGGACTTGAAGATGGGCACTCGTCAGTACGGCATTGACGCAACCCCGGCCAAAAAGAAGAGCCAGCGCAAAAAGTGTGATCGGACGACGAGTCGGCCACTGGGAGTCAGGGTTTGTGGCATGCAGGTGCGTTTGCTACTTTTTTCGTGTTGCGACGCATCTCATTACGTTTAGGTTTGGAACCATGCCACCCAATCCTATATCTCTCAAGACAAATATATGGGCCGAGATGTCCGGCCCGAGGCATTTCACACCGTTCTAGCGTCGTTTCTACACGACGGAGAACGGTTACTGGCGTACCAGATCCCGATTCTCTTGCAGAAACTGTACGGTTTGGCTAGGATCGTAAACAGACTCAAGGGCTATCGGTTCTACGGCTGTAGCATCCTGTTGATCTACGACGGAGACCGCGACCTTCAAGAAACGCTTCGTTCGTCGTCCCTCGAGCAGCCATCCTCGCGGAGCAAACGGGGAGAATCTCTTGAGCGGCGCAACTCGCGTTCTGAGCATTCGCGACCACAAGCTCTGCGCCGGACCCACAGTGAAGATCTGCTCGTGGGTCCAGTGGCCAAGCGGAGACGAAAAAACCGTGGCGAGATCAATATCCGGATCGTTGATTTTGCACATACCACCACGGGCAAGGACTGGATTCCTTACACAGATATCAATGACAGGCCTCACGAGTCGAGCCAGACGTCGTCGGGATATGTCGCTGAGATCGATCCTTCCTCTGGGCTGCTTTATGCTCGCTTCCCTCCTCATTATCCCGAGGAGGCGGACCGGGGTTTCCTATTTGGTCTTCGCAGTCTGACGGATGCGCTGGAGCACATCTGGAACGAGGAGCGGATTCGGCGGATCAAGGCCAGCCGCGAGGACGATCCTGCCGCTGAGACTCGACTTCCCCCGCTTCCGACCGACGGCCAGGAAATCTTCGAGGAGATCTTTGGCAGAGCCGACGAGGATGATCCTGGTCTTATTTCGACGTAATACCGTGCTTATACTTACCATATTGTTTTCCTTGGGTTTTTGATTCGAGATCAGTCAGCTGCCCATCATAATACCATCCATCTCCTCAACGTGTATTTGCTCTAGAGACATGTAGCCAACCGACTATATAAGCGCTTGCGCTGTTTGCAGGAATTTGTGAGGCAGCAAGGTCGTCTGTTAGCCAACGTGCGTGTTTGGGAAAAAGTTATTGGGTAAGCAGATTCTTCCGGTCGTATGAACCCAGATCTTATCGCACACTATGTGAGTTCAAGCAGTCATCACATGCTGCACACCCCGGCGAGCACGACGGTAGGGACTACAGGGATGCGATGACATCGAATAAGTTCAAGAGTAATCATGGAGTATTCACATTCAAGACAAATACATGGTATGACTACTGGTACACGTTCGGTTGGTGTTGCCGGAGCAAAATACATGTCTTAACTCCCAATCAAGTTTTTGCGTTAATTTTTATTCACATTTGTACCCACATCGTAGTACGATCAATTAATATGCATTTGTTCCCTGAATAGCGGCGGTGTAGCCTGAGGAGTAGAATCAAGGTTTGTGAAGCATGGATATGGCTCGTACTTGCTCGCAAGTGGCACTCAGTATGCTCAAGAACATCAAGCTCGTTGAATGAGAGTATGCGTTTTATGTCTAATAACCACATCGAGTAGATAGAAGGTTCTCGAGGACGGCCAATGCTATAAGTACCCCTCAACACCTCTGAGCATTCCTAGTCTGTTCAAGGGCTCCAAGCTGTCAGGCTGGTTGGGGCGTCGCTCAAGAGCCCCTGGTATATATCTATCACTCTTAGGAGGTGCTTGAGTACGCAGTGAGCGCTTCCGGGAAACACTTCAGGTAGTGTTCAACACCTCGAGCGTACCAGCTGGGAGCACAGGCCGCAGGCGCCATTTAGTGATGGCGGAGACTCAAGAAACAAATCGACCAATACATAACGATCACGTGCTAAATCACTCTCGTGTGCTCGCGCCCATTCGCCCTAGTTTCGACTCTCGATGGACACCGAGCTTAAGTGCAACAGGCTCACTTGCCGACGTCCACTCAGTGACAAGGCTGTCGTGGTCAGTATCTCGTCTCGATCGATTACACGCGACGGCTAAGCGTAATTCCAATAACAGACCACTTGTACGTTCAGCTACCCATGTTTCGGCGGGGGCACTGACGCGCGGTTATCCATTGAAGGCTCACATATATTCTGCGGTATGTCTCTCGACAACTTTTTCCCCACTCACACTGACTAAATTGTCTTGTGATCCAAAAGTCGAGTGTGCCAATGAACTATTCAACGCATCGCGTCTTTGCCCCGGTGAGCTACTCCCCTTCGCCACATCCGCCTGCTCACCGCGCTCATTTTCCACGAAGCATGTGAAACCGTTCTCTCCGAACCGTGATTGGCCACTGCTCTACTCCTCCCGTCTGATCCCCTGACAAAATGCCTTGGGCTGCAGAGATGATGTCGTGGTGCGTGCTTCTCTTGAGGATAGATTGGCAGCGAAGATTGTACTTGTGCACAGGTTTGCTCGCTCCATCCGTCGAATGACTACAAAACTGTTTGTTGGAAAGGCATATATCCAGCGCTCGCCACTGACGCCATCAGTCTGTTCTTTCCGGTCTGGGTCCGCCTGTCGTTCTGGAGATCTGCAGTCGGTGCGTGAGTCCTTACCTTGCACGAGTCCCTCATGAGACCCCTCTAGCGCGATATCGTTCTGGCAGTACCAAATTCATCAAGAGATGTATTCCCCTCTTTGCCTGCTATGCGAACTTTGACCTCGTTGAACGCAATGGATAGATCATTCCAGCAAGCAGTAGTCCGGAGCGTCAACGACAAGAACGCCCAATTGCAGAAACAGCTCGAGAACGTCGTGAGAGAAGGTTCAACTTCGCAATTAGATGAAGTGCTGTCTAAATTCGATCAATAGCGAACGGAGAAATCAGTCTGTTGAGCAACAAGAACGCAGGTTTGCCACAAGTTGATGGGTTATCGAATCACCCAGAGATTACATGGTCCCAGAGTTCCAACGCGACCTTGAGCTCGAGAGACGCAAAGTGCGAGACCTACAAGAAGCAGCGCGAGAGCGTGATAAAGAGTACCAGAAGCTCAAGGTTCTCGTCGCTGTCGAAAGCAAGAGTAACAGTGCTAACACAGGGATGCAGGCTCAACACGATAAGATCAAACGCAAGGCCCTACTGGCTCCAGGGGCTGGCCCTCAGATGTCTCCAAACGAGGAACAGCTGAAGTTGAAGGCATTTGGAGATGGGGGAATGGTTTCTGTACGTGATCCAGTACAGCGACCTTGACTTGCTTCAGACTTGACACCCGGCTCGATACAGCAGCGAACGCCTCTCGTAACTCGGAGCGGCGCGAGCTGGGGGCAGGGTCATCAACAGCAGCAAGGACTCCAAGTTCCCCGATCGGCACGACGTGTGCAAACGCATCGTCAGCCATTCGCAGCAGGAGATCGCGTGCACGCATCGAATCAGTCATACTCAAACGCATCCGACCGGTCGACGAGTAGCAACGAGGTAGAGAATATGCTGTTGACGAGCAACGCGGCCCGGGCTAGTGCGAATCATGGATGGCAGACTGCGCCGAGTGTGTCGCGGATGAAGACTGTGCCAAGAGGTATGTTGGACAGATGTTCATGACTTTGGATTGATGATCTTTGCAGCTGTTTTCGCGCCGCCAGGCGCACCCGTCCAACAACGGATGTCTGGCAACTTCAGAGCGGCTGGAATGCAGCGCAGCGGTTAGTTTATGTGACATACAGAGAGCATAGCATGTAGACTGGACTGCAATAATATGATATGAGTACAATATGAGTGAAATTAGTCGCGCCTCAGAACACCGTTCTTTTCGTCTTCAAGATACTGCCCAATCGCCATCATATCCTGACCTGTCCGTCTCAGGTAACCAGAAAGCACAGCACGCTCAGCATGCGGAAGCAGGTGCGACAGCTTGTCGATCTGTCTCTCAAACTCTGCAGAACCCGGCGGTACCGCCAGTGGCGGGGTCATCATGGACGGTCGCCTCAACATCGCTTGGGAGAGCGGCGAGATCGGCGCCATGGACAGCCCCATCGTGCTCTGAGCTCTAATCGCTCGATTTGGGACAGCGCGTGGCCCACCCGGCATGGACGGATTCTGCGGCGTGTGCGTCGGTCGTGGGGGAGCCTTAATCAGCCTCGCCGTCGCTGGCTGCCCAAGTGTAAAGTTCCCCCTGCTCTTGCTCAAACTGTTGTTGTGCCCGTGGCTGCTGGCACTGCTGATACTGGTCTTGCGTCCCAATGAGGAGAAGAATCCGAGATTGCTCGACCGCCCGGAAGAACTCGCAGCACTCAGCATTCTCGCCGACAGCGACGCTGGCAGTGTGCTCGTGACAGACCGCGGCGACAGAGACAAGGCGGGGTATGGTAGAGCCGTCACTAACGGTGCGACATCGCTTGGCTTCGTCGAGAGATCCGTCGCCAATGTCGCATCTCCACGCCGAGGGAACGTTGCCTGGGTCCGGACGGAAGATGTATTCGAGACCTGCCGTGGAGTTTCTCCGAATTCACCCTCGGTAACAGAGGATAATCCGCCATACGCGCGCTTCTTTTTGCCCTCCTGCGCAAAAGATATCCACACCGAAAGGCCGCAGTCATGCAGATACAGCTCGTTGATCTTCTGGGCGTACAACGCACATCGCTCGGAGCTGGTCTTCTTTGTCGCGATCTCTAGGCTCATCAACGCAGCGGGATACTGGGACACAGTTTTTCGCACTGCTCGTCTCCTGGGCAATGCCGGCAGCGGCGGCGAAGAGACCAAGCTTGCGTGTGACGGAGACGGTGTCCTCGGCAGAGAAGAAAACCGTTTCTGATCAACGGAAGGTTCTTCCTCTTCCTCTTCTTCCGATGACGAAGTCATATCACGGCTGATATGTGTCCATTCATCAGGCAAATTCTCTTCCTTCTCGGGTGGTTTTGCGACAGCTGCGATGCTCGGCACCTGGGGGACCTGTGCTGGGCTATAATCCGATGGACTAGAGCAGATGGGCGATGTCACAGGCGAGATGAACGACGGCGAGAAAGCTCCTTCACGGAGATGGAGCGGCCTGCAAATCATTCAATCGGAAACATCAGACAGTAGAGAAACGTACTCGTCCTCGGACGGGGTTATCCGAGCAGGAGAGACCGATCTCGAAGTCGAACTCGAACCACTCGATGAGAAAGAAGAAAACATTAGCGAAGGCGATGCTCCGTCTAGTCTCCTTGGCGGGGGAGAGTGTAACCGGGGCGGTCTAGGGGGTGGCGGTGTCGCCGGATCGATGGTGAACAACGCTCGTGGCGGTGGTGGAAGCGGTCCTGCGGTGGAATGGACACCTGCTAGCAGGTCAATAACCAGATTTTAGCGAGTGATGTTACACACACCTGGCTGATAATGGAGATAAGCCGACAAAGGCAACGATCCCGTCGGCGATCCTGGCACGCGAGGCTCAACGACCTCAGAGACAGCAGGACTCCGTCCAGGCGCATCGAAGACAGCATGCAACGACGAGTCTAGGCCAAGGTCGACCACGACAGGTGATGCAACGGGGACATGGATATCCTTCGACTGTCCGATCTCCGGTGTGTGAACAGAAAGGTCTGTCGATCGTCGCTTCAGAATGTTCAACCGCAGCTCAGGGGTGCTCGAATTCGGGGTGACAATAGCGTGGGGCGAGGGCCCTCGGGAGGGGTGCGGTTCCTGGAACACCGGGCCCGCGGTCGCGGGAAGAAGCGATAAGGACGAACCAGATCTCGAAGGCGTCACCGCCAACCGTAACTTTTTTGGAGGCTCATTCACAACAACACCCGGGTCAGCTTCCGTGCCGACGATCCCCACATCCCGTAACTTGGCCGACGTATTTGTGACTTCTGATGTTGAGCGCGCGTGAGATTTCGTCGGGGATGCCAGCGACGAGGACATGTGGTCTGCGGCTGCATGGGGTGGCGCGGAATAGGGTGGAGATGAGAGATTCGAGTACGATCCTGGGGCGGCGTCCGGCGGAGCGACTAGCGCTAGCCCCTCGAGGCGCCCGCGGCTGCGGGATTTGGAGGAGCTTGTACTGGGGCTCGCACCTGCACCACGCTCCCGGACCGTGTCCATGGGCACGATGGCAAGCCGGCGTCGGTCCGAACCGCCTTCAGACGGCACACCCGAGCGTCGAGGCGGAGGCGACGCAGGCTCCTCTTCCCTTTCTCCATCAGACGACGTCGCAACGGAGGAGTACTCGGAGGAGGACGTCGACGCATCTGAACTACTCCTGCTATGTCGCTTGCTACGAGCTTTCGAAGGTGGACTGTACTTGAGGCCCTGATCGGCGAGGTCAGACTGATAGTAGCTGGCCAAAAGTTCGGTTTCCTGGCGAGCGAGTCTCGGCCGCGCAGCGTTCGCGGTCGTCAACGACTTTGATGAAGGAGACAGTGCTGCATCTGCACGCTAACGGTGAGTACCCTATTCTGGCACGAAAAAACAGGGCACGGACTAGATGAGAGAGAGTCGGTCGTCGATGTCGTGGGTGTGTTGTATGAACCAGGCATGGCAAGCCAGTACCATCCCCTCAGTGGTCACAAATGGCTCTGGCAGAAGGGCAGTATGCGGTCACGTGGATGTCAAGCAACGGTGAATGTTTGCCAGACTGAGAAATTACGTCGACTTGTTACGGGGCTAAACCCAGCGATCCTCATCGGTATTTCGAGCAACCAGTGCTCCGCATTGACTGCCGGTGCGCGGCAGCCACTCCAAATCACGTTGAGCGCGGGACCAAAGCGGCGCCGCGGTATTGAATGAAGGGAAATTTGGCACGTATCTGGGCCGCGCCGTGTGAGGCTGTTCGCAAGGAGCCAAATCTTTCCATTCTCAAAGGAGCAATTCAGTCCGCCGGAGATGAAGAAGATGTCGTATGCAAAGTGTACGTGCGCTGTGCCAGTGAAACGTTGCACATCAGAAACATTGACTGTGACTGGCAATGGTGACATCAAAGGCTACATGTCAGCAGTCCCGCGAGGCGATGAATGGAGTAGCAATGCTTGGAATAGGTACTTGAATGACAGTCGATACAGTCGATACACAGATTGAGTTGACTAATTTCATTCCAGGGAGATCGCTGATTAGATGAGATTGGTGTTCGGCATTTGCCGGTTTCTTTCTCGTTCGCGCGCTCATGTCCTCACCATTCTACGAGGTCGCACTCTTCGGAGAATTCTTCTCTAAAGACCTCAAGGCAATACTGAATCGAATCACTCTACACTCGGAACACGCTGCGCCCCTGCACCTCCGAGAGGTCGTCTTCGAGCCATTCGACGCAAGCCATCTTGCGGGTGCCGACCCCGTACTTCTTCGTGCGCGACGCGATCTAACGGATCCTGATCCTTCAGCGGGATGGGTGCTATACTCCTACTTGAAGCCAGAGAGTGTACGTGCCCACCCGGAGGCAACGGTGCGCCCTTGGGCTACATGTGAAGTGGTAGGCGACGCATTAAGCTTCGCGGCGACATTGGGATACGTGCGACGGTCGCAGATCTACAAGCGAGGCTATTCATTCCGCAGGGGGCCTCTGGTCATTCAGGTGCGTATTCGTCATCGACTGTCGGGCGTCTTCGCGCTGAAGCGACTGCACACAGATGTTCCAGCAGGAACAAGTGGATCCAAAAACTGAGAAACCCATCCCGGCACATGCTGATACCCTCTGGGAGGTGGAAGTCAAATCCGCATCTCCAACACGCAACACGCAGGAAACGCCGATCCGTCTCGTGGTGAACGCGGTCGTGGAGGTTCAGATCTTGATGAAAGGTCTACTCGATCTACGCAGGCAGGACATCTAAGGATTGTCGGAATCCAACTCTCCCCAATCTATGTCTTCCTCGTGACCCTCGTCCCCCTCTGGCATCCAATTTGCATCTCCTCGTACTGAACGCATGAGTTCCAAGAGCGCGGCGGGACTGATTTCCTGCTCGTCGCCGTCGGAATCCAGTAATTCCGTTGCGTCTAGGTCTTCGTCGCCGTCTTCGCTCCCAGAATATTTTCCCAACATGTCGAGTGCATTGCGTTTGCTTTCCGGCTTTGGTACCAGGATCTCTTCCTCATCACTGCTGCTACCATATCCGTCCAGCAAACCGGCGATGGCTTTCCCATCCACCTTCCTCCGTTTTCTTCTCTTTGCATCGCCATCGTCTTCCTCTTCCCAAACGCCGGCCTCGGTAATGTTGCCCACTTTGTCCACCACTAGGCCGGTGAACTCCTCCCACACTTCGATCGTCGGATATTCCACGAAATGTGTTCCCTTCAGGACTTCACCCAGCGTCTGACTTGTGTCTAGGCGAAGATAGGTTCGGTGTCTTGTGCGTTTCAGTGGGTTTCGGGGCGCACGTAACAGGCATTGGGGTTGAGCATCCTCATCGATCATCGCATGCACCCATGAGGGAGCTGCGCTGTCCTTGCTCTTTTTCGGCGCGGCGAGCAAGCTGAGAAGTGTGGATAGAGGGGACTCGAGGCGATTCCGATGGGTAAGCAGCGAATATGGTGGGTCTGGCTTCTCGGATGGCGGAAGTAATGGATCAGGTGGTCGGTGAAATCGGAATTCGATTGTCAGTAGTGCAGACTGAGATCTACGTTATTGGAGTCAACAATCAGTGTCCATGATAACAGCGTCGCATACCTGAAGTCCCAAGACGACTGGTTTATTCTATGCTTGTCCATCCCGGCTGGCAAGACCTCCATGTTGATATCCTGTGTTTCCAACTGCATGCATAGAACATCGCGTTTCGATCTCCCGTGTGCAGTATGCTTTCCACCACGTCCTCTCCCTCTCCCTCGTCCCCTCCCCCTGCCCATTCCGACTGCATCAGCAGACCGATCCTGGAAACCGCCTCTCGCGATTTCAACCCCTACTTCGCTGATTTTCCTCCCCACATCCTCCAGGAACGTGTAGTCATCCATCATGGCGCCCCAGCCATACCGATTCATGGGGACATACGCTGCCCGATTGCGCATTCCAGAGCAGCCTGTGGCAGTCTTGTGCGCGGAAGAGCATGGGAGAGAGCAGGTGCGGACGGAGCAGCCAGGACAGGTGTAGATTGCGCAGCTGCGCGAGCACTGTGAGCAAAGAGGCTGGGACGAGGAGGAGGGGGACGCCTCTGGCAGACGCGATGTTTTGACGGTCGAAGTAGACATGCTCGACAAATTTGCAGCTGTCGGCAAAAGCCGATATAGCTTCACGTGCATTTTTCGCGCGTGTGCGTCACGCGTCAGTTGGGGAGTCGGTTCTCATCCCGCGGGTTTTCAGCTCATTTGCGCGTTTTAGGTATTCATAAAGAATACGTGAAGAGCTATTCCATATAGTAATCAGTCTTCACCTGAAATCCACCAAATCTATTGAAGTCGGAGAACCGAGTGGTGCTGCCAGTGTTAATGGGGGTTAGGATCGGGTGCTGTCGCTTTCCTTACTTACTCATCTCGATCAGTTGGTCTGCTGGAATACCAAACAGGATTGATTGAGTCTTCCATCGGCGCCGAGGTAACCATACATATTCCGGCTGCGTTCTCTTCGCCTGCTCCGTGAGTCCGTGTCTAACTGCTGGCATTGACTTGCAAGATGATCTTGAAGATTCGACCATGGCTTGGCGCGTCCGAGCGCGTCATGATTGAACTAGTCCAACCTGAGCTCTATTCAGCGGTCATGGAATCAGGATTCGGGTCCCAATCTATCTCAATTGTGTATTTGTCCCGCGATCATTACAGCGACTATACGTGACTGATGTAATTACAGGTGGCCAAGGCTTGCAGCGCACTCTGATGATGAGTCTGATCGCGTATTTACTCCCCTTCCGTCCCGCAATCTGTCCTCAGGCAGCTTTCGACATTCACAGGATGGAACATCATGCCTTCGAAGTAGCGAAGACTGTTCTCAAAAGTGGTCTTCGCCTGTTGGCCAGTGCAGACTGTTGCGAGGATGTGTTCGTGATAGTTGGGCCTCAAATCGCAATCGCAGCTTGTCTTTGTCGGAATCAACGGGAACTGAGTTATTCAAAGACCGGTTGTAGAAAGGGTACTGCATGACATCCATCCATGGGGTCCAACGCGTCGCTCGTCGCTCTTCGGTCCATCGCATCTACTGAATCTCCGAGTCTCTCGAACCCTCTTATCATGGTCAAGAGGATATATGCTGCGCAACGTAGATCTGTTTCCACCGGTGCCGCTCTTGCTGAGAACAATCGACTCTAGGCTGCACTCGGTTCAAGATGATATGGCTGGGCTGGAGTCCCGCTTGCTTGTTGTCGATACAGCGAGCAGTTGATCTTACGCGCAGCAGCTCTCCGAGGAAGAGGTGAATGATACGATGTCTCACCTCTAGGGACGGTCGTGGCTTTCGTCGCACGGAACTGCTTTCACCCTTGTGTCAACCCCCGCTGGCTGGATCTTCGTCAACATCCCATTCGCGAAAGCTGACGCGGGCTGACTACCAATTCTTCAGCTGCAACGCTCCGGGCCGAGAGATATCCGCACGCTGTCGCATCCGAGCCCTGCTTCGCTCAACCCTACTCCGAGGGTGTAACTGCAGCCCGTCATAATCGTTCCAATGGCTGAGTCCTCGGATGCAACCCAGTCTTGGGAATCGGGGGCAGCCGTGCCTGCTGGTGGTGTATCAGACTCCTCGGACTCCGGCGAAAAACTAGGGTGCCAGTCGGATGGGCTTCGCTGGATTGGGGTACCAGTCGGTGAAAAATGTGGACTTGAAGCAGTTGGTTAAAAAACGAGTGAGCTCTGAATTCGCTCGTTCATTGGGTCACTGACCGACGGCCGCAGACTTGAAGATGATCAGAGGATCCATACGTTTTGGGAATCGCTACCTATCTTTCCGTGACCTACGTTTCTCTCAGTGCGATGAACTTGAATGCGTACGCTTCCCCGACATCATTGCGGTTATTCTCGCGGAGAAACGGTGACCGCAGTTGCTGACCACCAGCCACGGATTCTCCACCCAAACCGACCTGTCAAGATCCCTTACATAGTGAGATTTCTGTGATATCTCATGTTTACCTTCACGGGCAGCCAATTCCGGTTAGCCTGGTTGCCCGTGAAGTCTCTAATCCGTTGGTGAGAAAACCGGTGGACTCGCTGCCAGTTCTGGCGATTCATGTGCTGGAAAACCTTCGCTTTCAACTTGAACTTGCCCTGCCTGCCCATAGTACGCGACTGATTCCCTCTTGCGCTATAAAAACGACTAATCAGTAACCAGTGTCACTGTTGTCGGAGACACAGCCGGTTTGCCCGGGACCGCTGCACGCATCTCTGCCGGTTGCTCTCCAATCGCTTTCCCGTTCAACCGTGGCGTGCATTCCCGGACACGACCCGCGGCTGACGAGCCGATCACAGAAAGTCTGCTTTTTCACTCTCACATCAACATGTGGGGCTCGGCGACTTCTCCGGGCACGAATATCCCGATGTGTCTGCTATCGCATGTCGAGATACATAGTCTGGAACGGCTCGCACATTTCGGCCGATGGTACGTCAGCCTAATCAACTGTGAAGGGCAGGCGGTCCTCGGATGGCTCAATCCTTGGCTGCATGCTATCCCTCGACTGCTCAACGACATCACCTCGGGAACGAATCCCGGATGAGGAACGGGGGGGATTCCCCGTGAAACAGGGTGGGATTCCCCGTGAAACAGGGTGGGATCCTGTTGCTGTCATGGGTACTGCTAACTTCCGAGCTATATTGGTCGATTTTTTATGTGTGTGCAAGATAATACAGCTCGAATTATTGATATACATGCTACTCTATGATACTACTCAGATGTCGTCCATACCAAAGTCAATCTCGACCTTTTGGCCGGGCTTGAAAGCCGGAAGCCCTAAGTGGATATAAGCGATGGGTTCACAAAAGAGAAATTGAAACGACTCACCAAGGTAAGGGCAGCTCGCGCACCTGAAAGCGTCGCCGAGGAAGCAGTTCCCGCAACTGCTAGTAGCCTTCGGCGCCGCCTTCGCCGCACTAATCAGCCGCTCCCGCTCCTCCTGCGAAACGGCCGAGGCCTCTCCATCGATCGTCCCGTCGATCATCACCACCTTGCCCGTCCTCGCCTCCTCCTCCTCCAGCTCCCGCAGCCCGCAGGAGCAGTTCTTGCACGCGCGCTTCCGCCGCGGTGCACCCGCGACGGCGGGGTCGCACGTCGGCACGGGACGGGCCCGGTCTGCATCAGTCAGCAGCGCCTCCGCGTCAATGGGCGGCGTCGCCGGTGCGTTCAGCGTCCACAGCGCCTTCTTCGTCGCGGGGTCCGTCTTCCTCTTCCGCAGGAGCGGCACAGCAGCGGTGGCGTCCGCCGCGGGCTTCTGCGCAATGAATGCCGTGGTATCGGCTGCGTCCGAAAGCGACGTAAAACCCGCCTTTTCGATCTCGGCCCTCAGCCCAGAGCTCTGTGACAGGCCGTAGACATGGAGGGTTGCCGACGGCTGCATCGACTCCTGCAGTTGCTTCAAAAGCTTTTGGGTTTGCGCGGGAACCGAGCTCAGGTCCTCGTATTCGCGCGCCGTGAGTGTAATGTGCACGCCTGCGTAGGAGGAAGCGTCCAGGAATGTAGCTGGTTTGTGTATTCATTTCAGCACGTCTGAACCTATATGAAAGCGGAGCACCTTGATCGACTAGTCTGTCCAGCATCTGCTTGTCCACCTTTCGCGAACTCTCCAGGTCAGCAATGAGAGTTTGATATTGCCCATCCTGGGCAGTAGATGGAGAGCCAATTGCGAGGGCCATTCCTTTGACGAGGGGAGTCGACGACGAAGTGAAAAGACTGGGGGAAGTAAGATCCAGAGCGGGGGACATGCTGACTCGTGAGAAGCAAGAATTTCAAGTGAAGTCAGCATTGATTTGTAATCTCTGTCATCGACTTTGATAGCCTTGGCATGGTTACTCTTGCTAAACAGGAGGGTCCGCATTAGTAACGAGTAGTAGCGTGGACAATTGACCATGCAACTTTTCAGACGATATTCGATGATACAAATAAGACACTCGGTATGTTAAAGTTCTGTCCATCAAGCCTGCGGAGGAGGCTGCTGCTCTGCAACAACCGCAGGCGGAGCAGAAATAGGAACCCCAATAATAGTTTCCGGGAGCGGCGCGAGGAACGCAGACCGGACTCGGTACAACATCAGTCGATACCACTCCGGATCCACATTAGCTTTCTCGTGCTCAGCGGTAAGCGACTGCAGATGCCCTATCTCCTTCAACCAGGCAAGACGCCAGTTGACTTGTCCGGTCTCATCCAGTTCAAACGTATCGTCGATTGGCATCGGCATCGGGAAACGCATGTCCATCATGGGAAAGTTGGGGTTGAAGCTGAAGCTGATGCTTAGCACGGCCTAGGCGTGCGAGCTCAGAAAACTTACTGGGGAGGGAAGGGAGGATAAGGTGCTGGGCGAGGGTTGCCATTCTCGTCGACTTGTGGCTCGGCAAACTGAGCCTCATCAAAAGAGCCCTCGGCTGGTCTAAACTCCCCATCCTCATCCTCGCCAACGCCTCGCTTCGAACCCTTCGTCTTCTTCTTGCGTACACGATGAACACCAGTCCGCGGATCCACATTGTCGTTCACGGTCCAATAGGAGCCTTTGCCGCGGTCAGTCAACGGACGAGGGACTTTCTCAAAGCAGGGGTTCAGTGAAAGATTGTGCCGGACGGAATTCTGGTAAGATGTTATAGGGGGTTTAAGACTGAGGTGCTGGTGGCGTACCTTCCATCCGTTGGGAGCAGTGCGGAAATAGGGGAACTAGGAGATGTGCCCATGGGTATTGGTATCCCAAAAGAGAATGAAAAAACGTACACGAGACTCGATGGCATAGTAAATATCCTCGAGAAGGAGTTTCTGGTTCGGAGAACCTTTGATGGCATAGCTAGACAATGGCGAGTCAGCAAACCATGCGAGACATTGGGCAGATGGTGCGATCCACGGGACAGATTCCAGCTCGCCGCAGGGGAAAGAGACCCACCGAATAAGAGTGGAGTACGGATAGAAAGGCTTGCTTCCTGGTGGGCCATCGCGCAGCGAGTCGAGGTTGATGGGGAGGCCACCCGTGAGATCATTATCCGGGTAGTAATTCGCCATTTCCTGGCCCTCGGCGAGCATAGGTGCCATTCCTTGCGGTGGTTGAGACATTGGGGAGACGATTTGGGCGAACTCGATACGAAGGTGGTGAAGGGGCAGAAGGAAGGTGGTCAACCGGGCTTCGTGTCACCTGACAGCTGATCTCGCACGGACCCGCCCCAACCGGCCGCCCATCGTCCTCGTCGATATGGTCGTTCACGAAACATGCTAGAGGGCGCGCGATGAATGCGAATGCTTTGCTTTGCTTGTGTTGGATGTCGCAGGCCATCAGGTCAACTCCCCCCAACACCAAGCCAAATCGCTGAAGACACTCAAAAACAACAACTCATCCCAACAAACCCGCAAACAAAACACTGCTGGAGCTCGCTCAATGAGTCTCTATTCCTTCGTTTGCCTTCGTTATCTCGCCGCCGAGAATGATCGTTTTCGCCGTCCTTGACTGTCTTTGTCATTCTTGCCAATCACAATATCTAGACCGGCTTTCGTCGGGCGGTGCAGCCCACGATTTCTCATTTTGGATGTTCACTCCGGCTTTGCGAGGCAATACATTGAACTAAATAACCGCGTCAACGACGATGCTCTCGTAGTCTATCTAAGTACAGCAGGCGAACTCAAACACTGCGGGATTGTCAGGGAGTTGGCTGGACAGGACACGGGAATCACGTACCCGTACGCATACTCTACTTCATCCACACCGGCTCCGTTCGAGAAACTTGTTTGTTCCCTGGGGCTGGGGCCAAGTTCGTCGACATCAATGTCAATGTCGTCATCTTCGGAATCATTTTCGTCGCCATGAGTAATTCCATCATCCAATCCGAATGGCAGAACAGGTCGCAGCCCGGTGCCTTGACTCGACCGTCGCCTGCCGGCAGGAGACTTGGGGAGAGCGGCCATAGTTTTTGGACTCATGTGCTACTACTCGTCAGCGCATGCATGCAGTTATTCGTCTATACACACCTCCCAGTTGTTCAGATTCTCGTCGACGACTTCGGGATCATCACGACTTGGATCCAGTCGCGCATCGTCGCCGAGCTCCCCAATGGACACAATGCTCTCGCTGTCGCTGATGCCATCGGCCATTTCCTGCGCATACGACGGAAGTCTGTGCCATGCCGATGTTCCACCAAACAACTGCTGGCCCTCATGGTCGGAATCCGACCAGCCAAGATCGGACAAGTAGTCTTCGTACTCCTCTTCAAATGCGATATCTTCTGTAATATACGGAAGGAAATTGCGTGGGTCCGCGGCCTGGGATCGAACCGGAGGGAAAACATCAGGATTGATGATGTTGTTGGTTCCATCTTGTCGTTCGAGCCCTAGTTCCGGCCCCGGGTGCAGTCCCTCGAGATGGTGCGACATGCTACCCGATCTTCGGTGCTGCGGGCCGTGTTGGGTGGCCACCGGACCGTATCGTTTATTATTGTCTGTTCGAGGATTGAGTCATGTTAGGCACAAAGTATGATAGAACTGTACAAACAGAACTTGACCAGATGCCTGAGAGCATGCTCTTGCGCTTGCGCGTCAGTTGCATCTTCAACTTCAGTGCCTGAGAGCCATTCGTCGCGTAGATCTGGCCGGCAATTCAGATATATGGATGTGATGATCTTCATGTTGGCTGCGGAAAGTTAAAATCACGGTGCGATGACAGCGGGAAACACTTGCTTTGCCGCCACTTTCGACCACAAAAGGGGACCTGACTCTTGATGATCTTCAAGATATGCAGCTGTAGCATGGGATGCTGGATCTTGAGTGCGCGCTTAAGCACTGGCTAAAATGTTGTCATTCTCTGAGCTGCCCTGGTGCATTCACCACTCACAGAGCTCTTGTATTGGATCAACAGCCAGATACGATGTCCGCGACTCTTAGACAACTTTTGAACGATTTTCGCAAAGTTGATCAAAGAGAAGAAGTTGCGCCATGAGAAGTCGGTGACCATGTCGATATCCTCTTCGTGCTTTTCGCCGTTGGGCAGCATGCGACTCTTCTTCGTAGTGTACCTTGTTGGTCGTTGTTGGCTATCTGCGGGCTGAGGATTCTTCGAGAAATTGAGCATGCAGTATCGAAAGAAACTGGCTCAGGACGTCAGATCAATCCCACGGGTCGCACGGACACTCACTTGTTGTCTGGACAATCTGCTCTGGATATCACGGTTTGAGAAACGTCTTGTACGGAGAACAACTTCAGAATGAGCAGCAGACAGTTCGAGTCCAACAAAAGCTGGCCCAAATAATGGAACTTCATGATATCTGTCAATAAGATTAGGTCCCGGTGCCAGGCTACAGTCACGGGCACTAACGTGAGACCTTGAACCACTTGAGAAGCAGCAAGAGAATGGCAGAAATTGCTTTGGAAGTGACCTCGCGATGGCGCATGACGTCAATATCATCGGAGGATAGCGAGGGCGGTAATGGCTGGTCAGCTAATCATGACATGAGCAAACAAATCAAGGGAAGCCGAGAGACAGCCTACGTGACATTCCGAACCCGGGGCCAGGCGGGAAGACGCTGGAGGCAGAGGGCGGTCCCTGGGCTGGCGGCGGTTGCATGTTTGACGTTGCAGTCACTGTAGCCAACAAAAACTTGAGGAGAACCAGCACCATATTAGGAATGATGGGCAAGCCCGTGTTCTAAAGCGGATGAGCGACGGAAATGCACTCAGGCGAACTGCAACTTGCATATATTTGTTCGACGCGTTTCAGCCGCATCAAGTCCTCTTTTCGCTCTTTCGCTCTGCGCCTCTCTGATGAGCTGGCATTGGGGTCGTCGCGAATCTCTGCCAATTTGGCGTCGAGAAGCGCAACATCGGGGAACGGTTCGGCAGCATCCCTTTCCTGGGTGGCTTGAGTTGGATTTCATTTGTGATGATCGAGTCTTACCTTAAACACGATGCTGTCTTCGGCCTCACCTTCTGAGCCAGGCATCTTCTCCAGGCCACTCTCTGCAGTCATGCACTCCTGTCGGGTCCGATACATCTGCCATAAGGCCAGGCTGACGTACATATGCTTATGATAGAGCCGATCGGCCTCATCGACCGCAAACGGCACTAGCCTCGCATCTTTGTCGAGTCTTGTCGGTCCGCTCATCCCAAACGGAAATAAAAACGGCCGCGACTGATCTGTCTGGTATTGTTGCTTCTTGGGTTTAGGCTGATTCTGGGGTATCGGAGGCGGAGATGGTGCTGGTGTCGCCGGCTGCGGAATACGTCCAGGGGCGCCTGTAGCATGATACGGATGGAATTGCGCGGAAGTTTGGCCGGCTTCGGGTTCTTCATGATGATAGTGGTGGCGCACAGTAATCGGGGAATAAGCTTGTGCTAACCGAGAAGTCGTGATTGTGATAGGTTTGGGCGCTGCGATTTCGGCGGGTTTCACCGTGAATGCGATGTGCTCCGAGTGCTGTGTGAAAGTTGGATATTTGACGGTCGTCTCTTGGTGGAAAGTCTCCATATCCAATGGTGTTGTCTTGATCGGCGCATCATCTGCCGTCCGTCAATCCACGAAGAGAGGGTGGGAGATTCTGTGCATACCTGCATCAGAGACTGCCGGTAAGCCACCCAATTCTCGTGCCAATTTCTTCACACGTGCATGGTCGCGGACTCCCCCACAACACGAAAGCAACGTCTTCCAAAGCACCAAAAGTAGCTGCCATGCATAATCCGATTGTTGCTCATAACTCAATGGAAATGCGCGCACCTTTTTTACAGGGTATCCCTTGGCACTTTTGTCACGCAAGCCGGCAACGACACTGAACAGGTATACAGGCAATGGCGGGTCAAAGCTCACTGCATTGCCGCGTGTCAGAAGCGATATGAAGTAAGCAGGGACTGCGCACTCAATTCATCCGCAAAATCATCATGGCCCTTGAATATCTCAACGAGGTGGTACAGCATGCCGAGGTATACGGAGATCTCGGTTTGAGCTTCCTCGATAAAGTCCGCCTTTTCGGCAGCCGAGATGTGAATGTGCTCGGCGTCAGCATCGGAAAGGCCGCTACGGGGAACATGAGTTGGTGTGCATAGCACGCAGCCATTGAACTGTCATACCATAGCAAGTCGTGCTTCGAGGTGGCGATCTTGAGCGCTTCAATGATGCTGCTCAGACCGTTGGCGTTCCGAACGATCTTGCAGTTCTCGAATATCCAGTGCAGCTGATGTTCCGGAGAGACGGTTTCCGCAAAAGTCCCTGTTTCTCTTGCTCGACAGGGCGTAAGATGGGCATCTGACAACGACGGACCTTGCAAGATGTAAAACAATCTTCGTGCGTTCGTGAACCGGATTTCAGCATTCTTATGTTCCAAACTCTCGAGAAGGACGTCGACGTGTGAGCGACGCGTTCCAAGCGGGCTCTTCGTCCATTCTTAGGATAAGACGCGTAAATGACACGCCGGGAACGTGGAATACGAGTGGCCTACCTCCCGAGAATGAACCCTCCCATGCCCTCAGATTTTCTGCGACCTGCGGCATCTCAACGTAAGAATAGAACTCGTCGATCTCATTCATGACTGTGTCTTCGTCGTCGTACTTGTAGTCATACCACCATTGCTATCGAGACCGTCAGCGCGACTGGTCAGAAGGAGACGGTGCAATCGGCGCACCCGCTCTTTGGGCATGGTGGCAACTATCTGCTTGAGCTGTCCAAGTGATATCGAGTCGATTCCACCCCCCTGACCACCTGCGCCCGATGCATTTTCCGGTGGCTGGTTGTGAATGGACATCAACGACGACATCGACGACATCACAGCTGTGACGTGACTGGGTGTTTCCTGCCGAGGGACGAAGCAGGAAACCTGAGTTTCGGGTGAAGTCGAGGACCTGATGCCGAGAGCGGCACGGCCAAACAGTGTGACACATTGACACACTGGTTGGCGCGCGCGTCGTCGACGCTCGCAGTGTCGCTCTCGTCTCAGCACACACGAAAAAATCGCGCTTTTTCTCCACCCATGTCTTCCTCCGCCGGCCTCCGCCATAATACCCGCGTCCCCGACGCTGAAGGGGTACCCCCAGACGCCGCGCCGCTGGCTCCCGCGCAGACTCTCCCACCCCCCACGACGGTCCCCAAGCGGAAGCCGAACCCGACCACGAGGGACGCCCCTTCTCTCGCGCCGCCTGGTCCTTCGAATACTACCACCGCGCGCACGGGCCCACCTGGGGATGCACAACCCAAAGCTACCCCATCGAACCTGGCCCCGGATGAGGCCGACCACGGGAATCCCGCAGATAGCTCTCGCCTGCGCATTCGCCTCCCTTCTCGGGCACCCCTCTCTGACCAACCCATGTCTGACCAGCCCTCCTCCCCCATTCAGTCGCCGTCTCCCGTATGCGTGCGACTTGGGGAGAGAATCGCCATCCGCCAGCAGGGCGCGGCAGCCGCCCTTGAAGCACTGAGGCTTGCAAGAGAGGAGCAGGACCAGTTGGAACGCGCCAAGGCGATGGCGGAGCAAGCGGAGTCGGCGCGCCAAAAGGCGGCGCATGACGCGCACCTTCGTGCGAATGCGGGGCCGTGCATCAATTCCGGCTCCACCGCAACCCAGTCCGCTGCCCACCCTGCTGGTCAGCCTGCCACCCGGCCTACCATCCAGTCCGCCAACCAGCTTGCGGCCCGGCCCGTCGCCAGTCACGCGGCCCATCTCGCCCCTGCTTTCCAGTACACGGTCCAACAGGCGGCTGCGTCTGGTCCGGATTTCACTTCCGGGCAAGGTCCCAGACTTGCTCCTAACATCGTGGCTACGGAGAAACGCGCTGCAAACTCCCCTGCGGGTGCCCAGGCCAAACGCCACCAGCCAGCCCGCCCAAGCTCGGCGCCTCCATCTCCAGACGCGCTCAGGACTCGCCAGGATGCTTTCACGACGAGTCCGCCACCTCATACAGCGATGCTTCGCGCATACATCCACCAACAGGATGCGGAAAGAGCCGCAACCCACCAGGCATTTCTGGCAGCTCAAGGTATGTTTCTCTAGATTATTTTGCGCATCCGGGCCGCTTGCCTACCCCTTCCTTCTTTTCTGTCCTGGGCCGCTTGCCCGCGCATCCAGGCCGCTTGCCTGCGCTTTCCCCTGGGCCGCTTGCCTTCCCCTTCCTTCCTTTCTGTCCTGGGCCGCTTGCCCGCGCATTCGGGCCGCTTGCCTGCGCTTTCCCTGGGCCGCTTGCCCTCCCCTCTTTCCTTTCTGCCCTGGGCCGCTTGCCCTCCTATATATCATTATTGCCGCTTGCCTTTTCCTGAGCCGCTTGCTCATATTCACCCATCACAGCTCCGATTGGAGGTCTCGACCCCTCACCATTCCCATGTGATCATGGCTATCGTGGCGGAGGGCAACCTGCCGTTCCACAACAGCAGGCTTTCGCGCAGGCCAACGCGGTGCAGTCGCTCCAGCAAGGCCTCCACCTCCCACCTGCCTATCTGTCTGGAGCCCAGCAGGCCCCACTATCAACCCAACGGCAGGTCCCACCGCATCAGCAGGCACCGCAACACCGGCCGTTTCCACCTTCCGAGCGCTTGGCCCCTACCCAGCAACCAGCCGGGCCGCAGCAAGCCCAGGCTCCGTGGCCACAGCAAGCCCAAGCTCCGTGGCCGCAGCCCCCGTGGCAGCCCATACCAGCCCAGGGCGCACACCAGCCTGTGCCGGCACCGCCGCCCCCTGCTCAGGTCACAGCGCCACCTCAGTGTCATTCCCAACCTGCATACCAGTTTCCCCCTCAGAACCTGCCCACGTTTATTGACCCAGCCACAAACGAAACCTACACCTACCGCCTGGCCCCTATCAGCGCCCATATCGCTGACGCACCATTATTTTCTCATGGCCCGGGTCTACAATTTCCTTCCCAGCCACCGGCTCCGCTGCAACCGCTGACCCGGCTGGCTGAGGTGAACATCCAGCCGTGCCAGCCGAGTTTCTCGCAGAAGGTGATGCAGATCATGAAAGGGGGATGGTCGAAACCGCTCTCCTTGCCGGACTTCCACCCAAAGGAGCGCCACGCCGAGCCATCCATGCAGCGTGCGAGCATCGGGGGGTTTTATTTCGAACTGGTGGAGCAGAAGCGCAGTTCGCAACCCAGCATCCAGACCGTGGATGAGGTTCACCAGGCCATCCAGTCAGCGGCAGACTGTGCGCTAGAGTTCCACCCAACGAACGGGCCTCTCCTCTTCCGCTCTATCATGAAACTTCAGTCCTTTCTCCATAATTCGGGCGAGCTACGCTTCAACTCAGACGTTCCGCGCATCCTGGCTTACTGGGACGAGGTCGAGACCCAATTCCGCGCTCACGGAGGGAACTTCTGCTTTGGTAATATACAGCTACCAATTCTTGCTAGGCTTCGCCAACACGACATGCAGCTGGAGATCGAACGCCAGGCACTCCAGGAATCCCAACGCAATGCCCGTCACGAGGCCGTGATTCTTGAGCTTCGGAATGGCCAGGCCGATTTGACGCGCAGGATGCAGTCCTTTTGGGACTCTCGTGGCCCCCCCACGTCGTCTTTCCCTATCGCAGATTCAGGCCTCAGCGCTCCCCCATCCGCAAAGCAAAACCTACGCTGCTCCGTCTGCGGACTGCGCGACGCCCCCGCAGACCAACACGGGAGGCATTGCCGCGCCCAACACCTCCCATGGATGCGTCGATCCCACGATGGTCGCGGCCTCTCCACGCCGATTGCCAATTTCAGCATCTGTTGGCGCTTCAACGCAGGGCAGTGCTCTCGCTCTTGCGGATTCAACCACGCATGCTCGCTCTGCGGGGCCGGGGCCCCAGGATACGCGCCTACTAGCCACCCTGCGCAATCCTGTCCTGCGCTCTAAGCTATTTCCAGTCGTCACACCACTTGTTGCGGATGCCTGGGAGCGGCATATTGCAGCAATGGGAAGATCTGACGAGTTCGCGGACGTACCAAAAGGCATCCGCAATGGCTTTCCACACGGTTTGGCTCCCTCTCCTCCTCTCTCCAACTCGCATATCCCAAACAATCATCAGTCGGCTCTGGATCATGCCGACGTCATTGACGCCTACCTTCTTTCTGAAATCGCACTTGGCAGAGTTTCACCGGGCTACAACCAGTCGTTCATCGAACAATTCATAGGCGTATGTTAATTAACACTTGCATTCATATGTACCTCATACTCATCCCTCAGTTTGTCAATACATCTCCTCTGGGTGTCGTCCAGAAAGACCCATCCGACCCAACAAGCAAGTTTCGTATGATTAACGACCACTCATACCCACGCAACAACCCGGCCATTCACTCAGTAAACAGCCGGATAAACAAGTTGGATTTTCCGTGCACCCTTTCTTCATGGCGCGCCTGCTACCGAATCATCGCATCCGCCCCGTCCAGCACCCAGGCATCTGTCTTCGACGTCAAAAGCGCCTTCAGGAACATCCCTACACTACCAGCAGACCGCCCGTTTACTGCTATCTCCTGGCGGGGCCTCATTTTCCTGGACCACGTATTCTCCTTTGGGGCAACAAGCTCGCCCGGCGTCTTCGATCGCCTCGCGGAACTATTCGTCGTTCTCTTGAAGTTTTACAGCGCAGAAGAGATCTTGAAGTGGGTAGACGATTTCGTGTTCTTCCGGAAGCCGGTGGAGATAGACCTCCACAATCATCCCACCTACGCAATCGACGAATCCCTTTTCATTGACCTAGCAGCCGAACTTGGCTTCCCATGGGAGATGAAGAAGCACTCACCGTTTGGTGACACCTTCAGTTACAACGGATTCGACTGGTGCATCTCTAGTCGGACCTGTACTCTACCAGAGAAGAAACGGGTAAAGTATTTGACCCGGATTCGGGACTGGCTAGCTGGCGGCTCAACATCAAGGAAGGAGAGCGAGGTTGTTGTTGGGACGCTCAACCATTTGGCCGTAGTTGCCCCAGAGGGTCGATCACGACTCGTCTCTCTTTATCGACTTTCTTCAGCGTTCAATCACCTCTCAAACCCATTCGCCCGTCTTCCCATCTCCGCAGAGGCCAGCCACGACACATCATGGTGGCTCTCCAGGCTCGCTTCGCCCATCACCCTTCCCATCACCCTTCCACCTGCCATGCATCCATATAGTATCTTCGTTGACGCATCAACGTCATGGGGTATCGGCCTGGTGTGGAGGAATCGTTGGCTGGCGTGGCGCTATAAACAGGGATGGGACTTACCAGGTCGGAATATTGGGTGGGGAGAGATGGTGGCAGTCGAGCTCGCAGTTCGGACAGCGATTGCCCTGGGCTTGACCGCAACCACCCTCCAACTCCGTTCGGACAATCAGGGTGTCGTTGGCGCTTTGAACGCAGGGAAATCGCACAACGCCGAAGAAAACCTGGTACTTCAGCGAATCACATCTCTTCTACTTGACCGCGACATTTGGCTAGACGTTGTCTGGGTCGCTTCGGCAGATAACCTTGCAGACGCACCATCGCGCGGAAAATTGGGACGCATAGATTCATTAATCAAGATTATTCCTAAACTACCTGTCGAATTACATGACTCACTGTACGAGGTTACCGATTCAATAATTTGAGGCCCGCTCCTCCTTAATCAGACCACTGTCACATTGTGACCTATTATTCTTCCTCTCTGGCTACCACTACGCGATACCCCTCTCATTCGCCTGCTCTGCATCATGCCACGGGCCACCACTGCCAAAACTCGAAACCGCACATCAGTACCATCCCCGCGTGCTGCCCATGGAAACCAGCCACCCGACATTGAAGACGACGGCATCATTCCGTCTATGATCATGAACGCATGGGCTCCATCGACTCGCAAGAAGCGCATACCCATAACGTCTTTATTCCAAACCTTCTGCGAAGAAGAGGGCGTCTGCGCTCTCCCAGCTTCGGAAACGACTCTCTGCAAATTCACTCTGCACCGTGCCGGTACCATCGCAGGCGTTACTATCCGCGGTGCAGTCGCTGCAATTCACGCGTGGCACACACAACTGGGCTACGTCTGGAACGGAGGCGAGCGTCTCTCGGCATGCCAAAAGGCAGCGGAAAACCTCACGCCAGCGTCGTCACGATTCCCGAAGCGCCCGCCATTCACCATGCAGCACCTCGAAACCCTCGCAGCCAAGCTCTCAAAGGACGACCCACTCGATGTGGCCGTCTTTGCCCTCGCCACGTCAGCGTTTCACGGTCAGCTTCGCCTTGGCGAGGTCTTATCCCCCACACAAGGCGCATTCGAAGACCGCATGATATCCGCCGTTTCCGACCTCGCTGGCCCTATTACAGCTTCCGGCTCGTTCTCGCTGTTCTTACCCTTCACCAAGACGAAGGGTTCCAGAGGTGATACGGCAATCCTTTGCCGCCAAGACGGCCCTACCGATGCCATTGCTGCCTTGGCGCGTCACCTTTCGGTCAACCAGCTCCCGCATGACTGCCCCCTGTTCTCGTATCGCAGCAAGAAGAACAGCGTCGTGTGCCTGACAACAAAGACGGTTGTCCGTCGAGTGAACGACATCTTGGGCCCACTTGGGCATCCACGCCTTACAGGCCACTGCCTCCGCATTGGCGGGACGACAGAGCTTCTATGCTGCGGGGTCGATCCCTTGGTGGTGAAGGCGACCGGGCGCTGGTCCTCGGACGCTTTCCTCGAATATTGGCGCAGTCTCCACATTCTCGCACCATTACACATTGAATTCCTACGTACCAACAATCCAGTTTTGGATCAGCAGGCCTCGCGTCGTGCAAAATTCCTACGTTAACACTACTATTCCAATAATCTATTGCACATCACTATAGTATCTAGTATACATTGCATCACCATCATGTCGCTCAGTTTGGGGGCTTCCGCTTGCGGTGTTTCGCGATCGCGCCATTCTGGCTCTCGTTGCGGGCTCTCCCACACCGCATCGCGTTAGGCAGCGTTTCCGGATCATCCGGCAACGTTCCAGCCCGGTCCGTGTTTCCTGCTCGCAAGGGACCGCCGTGTTTCCTGCTCACAAGAAACGCGGATCCGTGCTTCGCCTGACACCCCCAAACGGCGGCAAGACTGATCCACTGAAGACTAGACGCCGCGAAAGGCACTACCACCTCGTGAAGCCCGAAAGTATTTGTCCCCTCTCGTGCCACCTCGTCCCGAATCTTTCCCAGGAGGAGTGTAACGTAGCCCTCACGAAACACGGGCTCTTTCCGCGAATCACTGCCGCGAACGCTGGTCACCGGAGATGGGGGCCGTGGCCACCCCGGATCCCAGATCCATTCCTGGGGATCATATCTCACGGTCCGCCTTTCATATAGTGTTGTCAACGCCGACAGTGCACGCCGGCATTGCATCGCGCTGTTTGAAACGACAGATCGCAGTTCGTCATGATACAGATGTCCACAGGCCTCAGCGCACAGCAGTCACCGATGACTCCAACGGCGGTGACCCCATGCTGGCGTCACGATCAGATTGTTCGGCGGTTGCCGCCCTGTTTGGTTGTCCACGTGGCGCTGCTATCGATTTTCTTGGAGCTTGTAGAGCATCTATCTGGGTAAAATCAGCCCGGAAGGGCTAGTCTGTAGCCGTAGCATCTCCATAATGACTCGTGAACTAAGGAGACAACCATCCAACATCTATTGTGAGATCGCTGGAAAAACAAACAACGCGTGCGTTCGGCATCGGATCTCGGCACAGGGGTATAAAGAGCAAAAACTTGTTGGAGAAGACCACTCTCTCAGGCGGATCGACACCCCGTCGATTCACTCTCCCCGCGACGACCATCAGACTGAAGAGAGAGCCAAGCTCCTTGACGAGAGTTTTGCCTTTCTGCGGTACAGGTCACCCTCTCCCGACTTTTCCTGCCCAGGGCTCCCAAAAGGCACGCCTTTGTTGTGCGTTTGCCATCGCCTCGCCACCCCCGGTCTTGTCCCCTTCTCACGACTACCCTTACGACCCCCGAGACTCCGTTCTCTCTCTTTTCGAGAAGGAGCGGACTCTGAACACCGCAGTCGCGCCGCCTGCTTGTGTGGCGACTTCTGCGATCTCGCCTAGACCCCGTCAAATGCCCGTTCCGGTCCCTAGAGTTTACAAGCAACCCGCCCATTCCGTCAAGAAGCCCCGCATCGTCTCCAACCCTCTGCAAAGCCTGACTTGCTCCCTGCCAGTCTCTCCTCCCGGGCCTCCTCCCTCCTTTGGGACCCGCGAGGAGTGGATCAACTCGCTGCCTACGTGGAGGAGGACTAAGCCGCGCCACATTTGGGAGGAGGACTCTCGCCTCGCCGGTGCCCGTGCGGAGCCGGGTTTTCACAGTGGGTTGGCAGTTGCGCCGAACGACGCACCTGCTATTAAAGGATCTCGCGCTGAAGCGTGTATTCCGCCCTTGTCCTCCATGTTTCCCGCCGAGCCTCTTGGCTTCGAGGGAGACGCCGACGACGAAATGAGCTCAGACTATTCGCTTGTGGAGAGGGTCAGCAACGACCGTGACTCGGACTGGAGTTGCAGCTCCATGGGGATGGATGTGGACTATCATTCTCAGGCGGAACTCAGTGTTTATTCCCCGCCGACAATCATCACCCACGGCTTGTACGAGCGTGGCGCGTTCACCCCCGTTTTTGAGGACCAGTCTCCCGGCGTTTACAGTGGCCCTGACCAGTCTTCGAGCCCCATTGGTCCAGTCACTCCTTTTGGCGAATACGTCGACCGTGTGGTCGCCGAAGGTGCCAAGTCTCAAGCGGAGTTGCCAAGCTCTGCCCCGCCGTCTTACGATGGGCATACTTTCGAGAGCAGTGCCGACGCTCGCGGGCAGAAGAATGTCGCCGATTCTGCTCCGGCTCCTGAGGTCGTAACGCCAACCGCCACTGTTGGGTACCGAAAGCTCGCTGAGCCGCTGGCTGATTGGGTTGCCAATTATGTTTGGAAGGCCTGCACGACCGGCTTCAGTCTTCCTCCTGCCTTCATTTGTTCCTCGTACGTTACAAGCGGTGTGATCTGTGAGCTTCTTAGAGCTGATTGTCTTCTTACAGGGTCCCTATGAAACCGCGTGCGAGTTCACCGCCAAGCTATCTCGCCAGTGCCGTTCATTCGCTGCTCCTGTCAACGTTGCTGCAGCCATCAGCTGTTTTTCTTGCTCTGTGGTACATTGTGCGGCTCCCGGTGTGCTACGATGCAGCGCCGTTGGGACCCGCCTTTGGCAAGGAGTCGATCTTTAGGGCACATCTGCTCGGTATGGGCTACGATCAAGAAGCCAGTGAAGCCTCGGCCCCTTTCCGGTTGGTCGTGCTCGGATGCATGCTTGCGAACAAGTGGCTCGATGACCACACGTTCTCGAACAAGACTTGGTACGTTACTTCTCGCAGATATATCCTGATTTAGCACGACTGATGACGATTAGGCACTCCATCTCGAACGTTCCCATCCACATGCTGAACAAGCTCGAATCTCTGGCGCTTGACATCTTCTGCTATGATCTCAGTGTTTCGACCTCCGATTGGTCGAAGTGGCTGACACATCTGATGTCATACCACCAGCTGCTTGCGTCGCCGATGCTTGGTCCCACTGGACTGGGTCGCCCTCAGCCGATCTCGCGACCGTCGACCACTCCGCATGGCATTATTCGTCGAGCACTCGAGGATATCAGCCACGCACGGAGTGGTGCCGAGCCGGTGTTTATCGGTCTGGATGAACGGCGACGCGATCGGATAGATCGTGACAATGCTTCGGCTGTTGTTCAGGAGATTGACTTGGACGAAGATGGGCCTTTGAGAGAGGAATATCTGCCGAAACGTCGGAGCTCGGGATCTATCCGGAGTTTCGACGAGGACGTCATACATGGGCAGAATCAGCTCCCACCACCGGCGCCCTGGAGTCCCGCTGGAGATGAGCCTATTCTGCGGGACCGCAACCGAGTCAGTGGTCATTATGTGGCAGTTCAAGCGCCGCTCATGGTGTCGTATCCGGCTGCACCCGCCGTCTTCCACCACCACATGGCCCACGATGGTCAGAACCAGAACTGGCCCCCCGCGCCGACGAGCTATGCTCCGGCCAAGCCTGCCGCGGTCGTTGGCTACATGTTCGACACTGCGGTGTACCCGTTCGTTCCCACGCATGCTGTGCACGGCCACCATCGCTCTCAGTCTCTTTCTTATGATCAAGATAATACACACTCGCGTAATCGCCTGCGGTCCTGCTCCCAGTCGCTGGGATACCATGCACGTGATCCCCACGTGGCTATACCAGGGATGGATCCGCGGGTGCAATGTCACCACTGGGCCCCGGCGCCAGCTCATTACGGATATCCTGGGCTGTGGGTTCTCTGAGCTAGAAGATTCCCCCTCCGCATGCATGCCTTTCTGACACATCTATCATACCGCCAACCTGTACTATTCTGCTTCCCGTCGTCTGTCTCTTCCCGACCCGACTCGACCCATCTTTGGCCCCGGACATATCCATCCTGTCTGAAGGGGCCATCCATCCATCCATCTGACTGCTTCGAATCTGTCGATTTGCCACGGACTCTGGCGGGGGCATTCCCACGCTTGTGGCTCGCCTCGCCTCTGCCAGTTGCCTCTTTCGTGTTGTCTGGTATTTATACACCTGCCTTTCTCTTCGCTCTCTGCGTTTTTTACCTACTATCCTTGTAGGGCTCCATGGGAGCCACCAAAAAAAGCGCAAAATCGTTACAGAAAACCCAAAAAAAAACATATCTTCCTTCGCCCGCCACCCACTTTTACCCACCTATTTACCTACCTGCCGCACTCCCTCCAACCTCCCTCCTTTCCGCTGTACTCGCGTACGTAGTTTCATGCCTTGGGATGTCAAGAATACCACATTCTGTTCCCCCACCAAAAGTAAATGATAAAGTATGTTTTGGTCCAGGTGGGAAAAGCATGGATTGGTATTTATTTGTGTGGTCAGTACAGGATACATTTGATTCGTGTGCTATCTACAGGCGGACAACCAAGAACGGGACCTCGACGTCCTCGCCCTCCTCGTCGACGACCATCACCTCCGCGAGCAGGTGTTTGGTGTGCGGAGGAACGGGCTTCTTGCTAACGGTCTCGACCAGCTTGCTGAACTTGAGCGGCAGCCGCTCCTCGCTCTTCTTCTTGGGCAGGAACCCGCTCCAGAGCATGCTCACGCCCTGGCTCATCATCGTCAGCTCCAGCTTGTGCTTCTCCTGGAACCAGGTAATAATCTCCTTCAGCGTCGGGTCGTTGTCGAACTCGAAGCGGTCCCAGAGCGTCCATTCGGTCTCCCCGTATTTTTGCTTGGCAGGCGCAATCGGCTCTGAGAACCCGAAGAAGGGCAGCGCCAGGTTTACAAATCCGTTCTTGTAGTCGTCCAGCTTCGTCTTGCCGTCGATGAGCTGTGCGATTAGATGAGATGGGACGAGATGAGGTAAGGTGAGGTTGGAGTCCAGGATCAGATCCAAGCTTACCTTGTATAGCTCGAGACAGACCAGCCCGGTGACGAGCGCAGTGGTTGTGGCAATAGCGGGGATGATCTTGCCGGCGATCTGCTTAATCTTGTGGCGTTCGGCAACAGCGATGCTGTAATTGGTCGCGCGCAAGTTCGCAGACGCAGCGATGAAGTCGATGTGGAAGTTGCTGTCGTCGTCCTTCTCGAAGTCGACCGGGTTCAGCCGGTACCCTGCCAGAGATGACGGAGCGGGCAGCTTGGAGACCAGTTCCCCCAGATCACCTGCAGCGAGTCAGGATCTAGGCACCACAGATCGCAGCAAACACACTACTGGCCTTCGTCTCCCCCAGCCGGGGCAGTCGGGTCGCTGTCGTTAATCTGGATCTTGACCCCGCTTTTGGGTGAAAACTCGGGCACGATCACAGCATCTGCAACTTTGCGGAACACTGCCGGATCGGTCTCGCCGCGCAGCCCGTAGTTGAATGCATGTAGATTCGCAGCGGAGATGATGAATTCAAGGTGCAGTGGCTGTAATGAGGTGTATTCATCAGAGACGGGGATTTATATCACACGCGAACAACACACATCGCTCGAATCGAACTGCAGAGGCTCCGGAGCTCGCTTGGGTCCGCTCCAGAACAGCTGCCCGGTGCTCGTCAGCGAGTCTTTCGGCAGGCTGAACAAGAGCTGCTTGATGTCGTTGGTGAACTTCTCCTCGAATTTGTGCCGCGCCCAGACGATGCACTCTTCGAATGTGATCGGTTTGTCGGTGACCAAGAATGAGTGAATCTGCTCCACTTGCTCATTCTGCTGGCCCGAGTACTTGAGCTGCGTCTCGAGATAGTTCGGCTCCGACAGGTAGGCGTTCACGGCCGACGCGGGATCCACAAACATCTTGTCAAACTCCGTCCGACTCCACTGTAATGAGTCGTTAGTACCAAGCGTCATCTTGCAGTGCCTATGATCCTTACCTCGATCGTGTGCTCTATAGCATTAGGGAAGCTCTTGACGGTACACATCGGGATCGACTTCTCAGGCGGATCCTGAGACGAGGCATACGACTCGGTCAAATGGGGGACGACAACTTGCACGTTGCCCTGGGTTCCCAGAGTCCCCGACTCGAGCAGAGGCTTCTTATAGAACACACAGCGCTGGTCCATGTAAACGCGGGCTTTGAGATTGTCCAGTGCGTTGGTCACTCCATCGAGGCTGCTGAAAAAGTCCTCGTCGTAGATGTCTGTGACGGTGATCAGAAATTCAGCCCAGTCAAAACACTATCACTGACTCTCGGTATCCGGGCCAACGGCATCCTGCCTCGCTACGATCTTGCCCTTGAGATCAGGGTTCATATCGGCAACGGCAGCAGCAGCAACCTCCGATTTGAATTTACCGAGATCCTTTGCCCGGAACAAGAACTGTCGGTTTAGGTTACTCTTCTCGATCGTATCCAGATCCGTGACCTGGATCTGTCCCTTGGGTCCTGTGGCCAAACCCATCATACTCCAGTTCTTCAGCATCTCGCACCCAATGGCGCCGGAGCCAACCAAGAATTCACGGAAGTTAACCACCTTCTCGTGGAACGTCTTGCCAAACACGGCGATCTGCGCGTCGTAACGCGAGCCAATCGGCTGGCAATCGGCCTCCGTGGGAAGCGTCGAGGGCAGCGATTCGAGAGAGTCGAAGTACATATGTTGCAGCATCGGGTGGAATTTGCTTGTGCAGGCTTTGAGCACCTCCTGTGCCACAAATCCTCCGATAACTGCGACGAGCGGGGGAACGTCGCCACTGGCTTGGTAAGCAAGTTCGGCCAACGTCTTCTCGTCCAGTTCAGGCTCCAGTTTCTTCGCCAGGACAGCCACCTGCGCAGCATCTTCCGCATTGCGCGGCCGAGGAAGACGTCCGTTCTGCTGCTTGTACTCGGAGACCGCCTGGAAACCAGCGTGCAGAGTTGCAAGGCGCTCGAACTTGGCAAAGTCTGTGATGAAGTATTCTGGTGTCTTCAGCGACTCCTCGAGGGATTTCTGCAGGAAGGTCAGGACGCAGTCAGCATTGGAGAATCGGGGGAACATACAAATGCGATGGTCTTCGGCATCTTGACTTGAGTGAAGATTCCACCAGCCTTGTATCCAGACATATTGGTCGTATCACCAATAGAGAAAGTGTACGGGCCCTTGACAGTAACTTTCCGGGGTGTACATCCGTTGAGCTCAGTCATGCCCTGCACTTCCGCAAAAGTAACGTAGTCGCCATCCTCTAGTCCGTGGCGGGTCTCGTCCAGGCAAGTTACTAATCCGTCAGCAGACTAGAAGGAAAGTTCATTCGTACGCAGCCAAATCAACAAAAGAGCTGATCTTTCACCTGCTCTACCTCGACGATCATGCCCGACAAAGGTTGTTGGCCATTGGTGTCCACACAGACGAATTCCGGGCCAAAGTCATTGAACACAGACCTATCATGAGCGACGATTAGCAAAATGAACAACAACTGGGACTCCAGATCTTCACCCAAACAGACCGCGCGTCTCAGCCGCGATGAAAGCAACGCCATTCTTATGTGTCCAAGCGTTGATCTCAAGCTGTTTGCTCCACGACGTGTTGCACAGCACAACAGCCTGATCGTATGGAGTTAGTACACCTTAGCGCTATAACCGTGTCAATAGCAGCGCACCTGGAAGCCCTGAACGAGCTCTACCGAGACCTCCTGCCCGGCACTGCCCCCCAAGTTTCGCACAGGGACGTACGCGTTCAATTCGGCTAGTCGCGGGAGCGTCGCCTCGGCGCGGCTCTTCCCAACATCCTCTGCGCGCAGAAAGAACTAAACGGTGTTCAGATGGCGTTCGACGCGTCCAGATGACGGAGACATCTCACTTGCGAGCTGAGATCTTGCAGCGTGACTGGTTCGGGATCGAAAATCGTAACAGACTTGACCCCGGCCAGGCAGATATCCTTGGCTATTCAAAGTGGCATCGGACCGAAGGACCCATGGACGGATGAGAGAGAATGGACGCACCGATTTCGACACCAAGTCCCTGCATGCCCACTATGAGAACATTGGAAGTGGCCATCTTCTTCATCGCTAGACACGTCTATGTGATCCTGCTCAAAGCCCGCATACTGCTATTTGGGCGTACCTTCATGGCCCAAGACGTATCTAAGAATCCAATGAACACGCGAGGCCACCACGGATATGTGTGGAAACTTACAGTTGACGCGAGTACAAGCTCTCATCGATGGTGGGCTCATCGACATCCATCTTCGTGTCGACTTTGGATGAGGTCGCCATCGTAGCAGACGGATTTGGTTGGTATTAGTGTAGTTGGTGGTTGCGGGTGGAAGTCAGTCGTAAGGGAACCAAAGATCGGGACCGCTTTTGATCAGCACGTGAAGCCCTTCGGTCACCTTCAGTTACATTCTAGCACATCTCCTCAATACTACTTGAATGACTTTTCATGATTGTACTGACTCAGCAAGACAAAGATATGAGTGATAAATGCTAAGGATGACCGATGGTTGATCTCGCGTCGGTATGCGAAGTGATGATGTCATCGACCAGCCAGGCAACAGCTTTGTTACTTGCGGTAGAACTGCCGACAGTCAGCAAGAAAAATAGAGTGGGACGAGAGGAGCGACGCACAGCCCGCCTATAATTAAACCACAAAGATAAGCAGCCCCGATCAAAACTGCTTCGGAAACCACTGTCTTTCGGGTAAGTCTTCGGGCTATAGGCGAGACTCAAAACGCACCGCTTGTGGGAGTACTCCCATTCCCTATTGACGATTCGGAAAGCTATATCCTCGTAGGGCGGACCGGCACTGAAATGGAGCAGAACTGTATCCTCATTTCCATCTTCCTTGACGATCTTGTATGTCGGGGCCTTAGACTTGTCGATGAGATCGGGATAGAAGATGTTGAACTGTAAGAGATTAGAAGTGGCGAACTGGTACCCCTGCTTTGACTCACTTTATAACCCTGGACAACTTTAGGCGGTGGATTGTCCGTACTGAGGCTGCATCAGGAACGTCCGCAGACGATATCAAGGAGAACATACTCGTAATGGGTCTGATTGTACTTGTTCCATTCGTATCCTGTGTGGACACGATTGAAATAGCGGGGTTTCCTTGGCCGGTATTTATCTTCCCAGTTGTACGATGTAGGATTTGATATGTTTTCTTCCAAATTGAACAGTTCCTCTTCTTCGTCAAGTTCTCTCTCGGCCTCGGCGCGGAACAGGGCTTCGGACGCCAGGTCTGCGTTACTCTGAGATGGCTCCTCGGGAATGTCAGCTATAACAGGTGCCGCTTTGGGCACGAACCGAGAGGCTGCAACGGCCCGTCGTTGAGCAAACTATGTACCAACATCAGTAAGCGGCACAGAGGGAGCAAATCTCCACTTACCAGAGCGCGTCGGTATTCAAGCTCGGTGATGATATCCATCTCTCGTTCCTCAGTTGAAAGTTGGGTGATATCGAGCAGAGGTGGCTCCATTTCCTTGCGATATTCCTCGATTTCTTCGGCAGGAATCATTTCAACTTCGGAAATCTGTCCCTCGTGAATGACTTCATTTCGTCTTGAAGCAGCCTTGGCGACACCAGCCAGCAGTTCCTCCTGAGCCTGAAGTGCTTCGTCCCTCTGTCTTTTGCGGAGTTGCTCTAGACGGTTTCGTACGACAACTTCGTGAAGACTCTTCAACTTGGCCTAAAACCATGTCAGCAAACATCCATCTCGAGACGAGATTCATATACCTTTGATTTCCAAACGAGCAGTTTCTTGAGGAGATTCTCCCAATAGTCAGTATCCACTGGTTCTCCGCTGGTCAATTTATCTTGGATCTGCCTCTGCAACGAGGCGAGCTGATCATAGGTCTTGGTGGACAACAAAGCGGATATATCGGCTTCAACGGCGGCGGCAGCTTCAACACCCATTTGTTGGCTTGCTTTGATTCGCTCCAATCGGTCTTTACAGATGACCATCATGTTCTGCCAGAAGATCAGCGAAAGACTTCACAGCACGAAGGAATACGAACCGTCCAGAAATCGATATTGGTTTTGTCTTGCTCCAGAGTCAAGTATAGCTCGATATCTTCGTGAAGCTCTTCGACTTGTTCTGAGGTCAGGTTCTGAAACAGAGAAACATCAGAGCGGGCAATCTATCCAAAAGAGATACTCACGTCGAGAATATTGTAGGGCTCATCCAAGTCAATCTCCAGACCGGCGTCCTCACCCTTCTCCTCCTCTTCATCTGAGGGAGGATTCACATATTTCAAGTTGAGCGCCAAAAAGTCGATGGCCTTCGCCCGCTTCTCCGTGATCCGTATAGCAGCCCGACTGCGCTCTTGCTCGAGACGGAAATCTCCTTCCTTTGAGAGCCATTCAGACATCTGAGCTGATTCTTGCAGTCTGGCCATCCTCAGCTCCTCCTCCTCTCTCAACTGCTGATCCGCCTCCCGCTCAGCGCGCCTGCGGTTGAGTCGTTCCAGCTCCTCCTTAGCCTCGGCGCGCCGCAAAGCGTCTCTTCGTTGAGAATCCAAAGTCGACATGCCCTGCTTGCGCTCCTTCTCATTCTTCTTGTGCCAGCGGAACTGTTGACCCAGGTTCACGTCATGGAACGGATTGTCGGTAGCGCTGTAGACGCTGAGTTCGGCCACCTTTCGCGCCTCGTCCTCCTCCTTCGCACGCTTCTTTTCCGCTTTGCGCACCCGCCGCTCTTCAGAAGTCTCACGTTTACGCCTGCGAGAGAATGAAGGACTGCGTAGCGCCGAAATTCGAGAAGATATGCACCTCTTGTCTTTATCCCTACTCTCCCGCTCGCGATCCTTGCTTCGGCTTCGGTCCCGTTTACGGCGTGAATAGTCACGTCCATCTCGCTCTGCACTGCGGCTGCGGTCGCGCCTCCGCCGCTCGCGGTCATCGACTTCTGTCCGTCTGTATGATGAGTTCTTGTCCACTTTCTTGCTGTTTGCATACCTCCGATGCGGTGAAGGGGATCGACCCATGGATGTCTTAAAGTTATTGGGCGCTGAGAACAAGGTAAGTCGCTTACGATATCCAGATCAGTCAACTAATCAACATGCACGGTGATCGTTGATCGTGCCAACGGGCGCTGCTTCCTCTCTCTTGTTCGTATCGGTGTTTCGGTCTTCCAGCCAAGGCCCCGGGCTTGAGCTTTGTTTATCAATGCTCTGTGGCAGCGGTTTTGGTCGTCAAGCACGCGCACACCTCAATCGATATGTTCGAACACAAGCACACCAGTATGGGGGTGCGGGGGCTGAGGGATTCAACTCTGGCCTTGGGGAAAGAATGCTGCCTAGATTCACACCGCCTTTTGGAATGGCGACACCCCGGCAGGTAAATTGAACACTTGCTCCTGGGATGTTGACTGGTATATTCTAGTAGTTGTCTCAATATCTCGACCAATTCGTTATAGGGCAGGAGACGGCGAAGAAAGTCCTTTCTGTAGCGTGAGTTCTATTATGAATGAAGCATATCCTTTTTCTTCGCCATCGCAATAATATGAAATGCCAGCGTCTTCAACCACTACCAACGAGTTCACGCGAACATGGCTGCATCCGATACTCGCAATGAGTTTGTGCACGGTCCTGAAGAACGTTGTATGTCTGATGAAGAAATGCTCTTCCTTGCAAGGTCTCAATCTTTTGGTCTTTGCAGATTCCAACGTTTCTACTGCACAAATACGACCTATGCGGAAGGCACCTGCAGTCCGAACGTTTACACCTGCTCCGGCTCTCTTTGACAAGAGCAACGTTCTGATCATGTGCGCATGACGATGTCTGGTATCTGGTATCTTGTCTTACTGTTTCTCCAGTGGGCCGACTGGATCTGGTGCGCTCAGTAAACACTGCCGCAGAGCTATGTCGTGATCGGCTTGTCCAGGCAAGACTCTTCTAGTCCGGACGCTGGCAAGGGTTCTCGATGTCCCTTTCTCTGTCAGCGATGCGACATCGTTTACTCAGGTATTTCATCCTCTCTCCGAATCTAGCAGGTCACCGACGTTGATCGACCAGGCAGGTTATATTGGGGACGATGTTGACAGTTGCATTGAGCGGCTGGTATAACTGCTTTCCTTCCTCTGAAAACAAAACCCACTCGAATTATAGGTTGCGATGGCCAATGACGATCCAATTCGCGCAAGGTACCTGTTCTTCCAGTCTTGCAACTCCAATCTCAGCATCAATCTCTAGCACGGGCATCGTATACATCGACGAAATCGACAAGATTTCGAAGCGAACAGGGGTAGATGGATCCCGAGATGTTGGTGGAGAAGGCGTTCAGCAAGCCTTACTGAGGATGATGGAAGGTTCTACCGTGACGGTCAAAGCTCAGGGCGCAAGAGGTGCGGACTTTGTTTCTTGTGATCCATAAACCTAATTACCCCTCAGGAAAGGACGAAGCGCCACTACAGATTGACACCACGAACATCCTCTTTGTCCTCAGCGGCGCCTTTGTTGGCTTGGAGAACCTGGTGAGGACCAGGCTGGCAGAGAATCGAGGGGTACGCCATTGTTCTACGCGCATTTCTTGCTCTAACCAGTTTTACAGGCCATGGGATTTGCCTCTAAGACATTTTTCACTCCTACGCCCAAGGCTCTCGACCAAGTCGTTGACCCCAGCGGTGAGTGTCTGTCCACCCGCGATGTACGCATCCAGGCTTACATTGTCTAGACCTCGTCAAATACGGGTACTCACAACATTGACTCTTGATCCAAACACGGCTGATGGATTCCTAAGCTTCATTCCGGAATTTATCTCCCGAGTTCCATCCATCGCCACTCTCGCCCCCCTCTCCGTTCCTGATCTACGCAGGATACTTACTGAGGTCAAGGGTTCTCTGATTTCGCAGTACCAGGCCCAATTTGGTAACATCGGTGTCGATATCAAGTTCACCAGCGGTGCTCTCGACGAAGTGTGTCTCAGGGCTATAGAACGAGGCGGGGGAGCTAGGGGATTGAGAGGGATTTTGGCAAGTCGTCCTGTGCGGTATCTATCTCCACTGAACTTGTGGTCTAAAGGAAAAGGTTCTGCTCGAGCCTATGCACGATGTTCCGTGAGTTTCGCCATCAAGCAACGATCTCTGGTCGACTGATTTACCGCAGGGGCTCTGATGTCCGACATGTGCTGATCACCGAAGAGACAATACGCGGTGAAGCGCCTGCTCAATGCTGGACGAGTGAAGGGCAAGGAGTCGAATTCTGGGAAACATGGGCAACTCATGAGCGGCAATATCGTGACGCGAAGGCTGCAAAGGCCTAGCACCGCGGTCACGATCTCATTGTAGTACCGGATTGTAGTAATTATTCCAGCATATGTATATCACACAATCATACAGTGCACAGTATTGAATTTCGTTTCCTAACCAACGCAGGCTGCATCTACTCGGCGGCGGCGGCAGCTTCAGCAGCGGGAGCAGCAGACTCTTCCGCAGCCGCGGCGCTCTCGGTCTTCTCAGCAGCCGCGGCAGCGACCGTCGGGGCGGCAACCTCCTCGGTGGTAGCCGTCTCTGCGGCAGGGGCAGCAGGAGCAGTATCGCTGGACGTCAGAGACGCGTTTTTCTTCTGGGCATCCTCAAACGCAGTCTTGAACTCTCCAGCATCTGCAGAATTTTCAGTCGGCCTCAAAGGAATGCGTCAGTGGATGTCTCACTGTCCGAGTTGGCAAATCGGATAGCCAGGGTCTCCGCCGTGGGAGGGTTCTCAGAGTAGTCAGCCAACACCTTCCAGACCCAGGAACGGTCGGAACCGATGTTGGGTTGGAGACGCATATCGGACGAAACTAGTCGATCATGAGTCAGACGACGGAAAAATCTGGAAGACGGTGTGCACTCACTGACGTGGTTGGCGCAGACTTTGAGCGTCTTATCACGCCTCATCACCAGCCGCACTTTCTTAGTCTCCTTGTGAGCGAGGAGACGCACATCGCCGGTTCCGCGTTCCTTCCACTCTGAAGAATCACCGTCGAATCGGAAGAGCTTCGCGCGCCTGCAGAGATAAAGACCGATCATGAGTGGGATGTGAGCCTACGATCGCGTCGCCGAGCACGTACATCTTGAAGAGCACATCCTCGTCCTCTTCGTTGGTTTTCGTGTCAACCTGTTCAGTGAGCTTGATGACAGGCTCAAACTGGGGGTCGGGGTTCTCCTCCTCCTGCAAAACAAAGAAAGCTCCAAGTCAGATTTGCCATTACGTCGGTTAGATGGTCGATGGGGCCGCAGATACAATGCACCCGTCATCTGCGATAGAAAAAAAAATGAGCCCACCTTGGCAGCCAGAGGGTTATCGAGTGCAGACATCGTGAAAAACGTGAAAGAGATAGAGAAACACGGGTGTATGTAGTGGGGGTCAGCGACAAAAGGGCCAAGAACTTCGATCCGTGGCTGTGCAGTTCGTGACTTCCACACACGTCTTACTTCGGAACTGCATTTTGTGGCACGAAATGGTTGCACTGGCCTGCCCCCGTTCTCTCGTCTCTATTTGCCTATCTATACTTCTCGCGCTTCCTACTCTTGTCTCCGCCCATTTGATTGATATCGAAGCTGGAAAGAAAGAATGTTTCTTCGAAGACCTGCACATACATGACAAGGTGCCGAATCTACGCGTTAACTCGTCGCCCTCGGTCTCACGACGCCCAGATGACCGTCACGTATCAAGTCGGTGGAGGTGGCCATCTGGACATAGACTTCTGGGTACCCAGACTTGGTGGAATTCCCATGCGGTGGCTTATGTCTTCACAGATGCAAGACCCCGACAACCGTCTGCTTGGCAAACAAATCCGACAGTCAACAGGAACACTTGCGATAACCGCCGAGAAAGATGGGCGACACGAGTACTGTTTCTCCAATCAAATGAGCGCCATCGCAGACAAGATAGTCAGGTGCGTGCGTTCATACAATCTTGACGTGTCTGTACCGTTGACACGAACAACCCAGCTTCAACGTACATGGCATCATCTATATTGAAGAAGACGGTTAGCCTTTCTTCACGGAGTCATGATGCAGCCTCAGCCTTTCTCTAGCCGACATCGTTGCGCCCATTGAGCGTGAAATCCGCCTGCTCGCCAGTGGTCTACAATCCGTCAAGGACGAGCAGGAGTATATCGTCGTGAGGGAAAGGACGCACAGAAACACCGCCGAGTCGACCAACTCACGCGTGAAATGGTGGTCTGTTCTACAAGCGCTAGTGTTGTTCATGGTTGTAGGGTGGCAGGTGTACTACTTGAAGGTACGTGCGCATTTTGTCACCACTCCCGCGTTTAACCGTCTGGTGGCATATACAGTCGTTCTTCGAAGTAAAACGCGTAATATAATTTGCCAGTTCCAAGTCTCAATGCCATGGGTATATTTTGTACATACATAATAGGGTGTCACTGGAGACGACGAAATGCATAGTGAAACAGACGTGCATAGTGGAACAAATACAAATGAAAGCATCTACTCATCGCCATGTAGGTTTGCTCTTGTTCATGCTGATATCGGCACTAGTGTTGGCGTCCAGAGGGGCCAAGGCAGAAAGGCTCGCCATCAATGTAGATGGTCGCCCAACTTTCGATACAGGTTTCGAGTTGGACAAGCGTCTAACACGCTTTGCAGGGCTCGAAAGTAGTGCTCGGCGTTTGGGGGCTTCGCTATTGTTCACCGGAGAAAGTTGTGGAATCAGGCTCGATCTCCTCCGGCCTTTCCCACTCCCGCCGGCGACAGACCGTCGCCGACCTTTGGTGGAGCTCGAAAGCGCTGTCGGCCGTGAAGGAATTTGAGTGTCAACATCCATCCGGTTCTTCATATCTGAAAGTGGACGCGGTTTCTCAGGACTGCTGCTCGATTCGTCACCCTCCGCGAGACTGCCGAGGGCCGATCCCTTTGATTTCCCTTTGAGGAAACCTGGATCCAGTCGACTAGGTCGAGGTCGCTTGTTGCTCAGGGAGCCGTAAGGCCGGGATGTAGAGGCAGGGGCAGTCGCGGAAAGACTGAAGCTGTCGTCCGTTTTCTCATTCTCGTCCTCCCATTCGCTTTCTGAACCGCCCAGGGACATACTGCGATGAGGAAGGGTCGAAGACGTCCACGACGTCTCCGACATATCTGCGGGAATGACAGTCACTGCGTCCAAATCCCCTTGACCGGCTTCATCCCTCCACTGCACGTTTTTCGACGCAGGTTTCCGCTCCTTGTCGGGAAGACGTCGGTACGGCTGAAGACTAGCGCGCAATGATTTACGGGGTGTCCGGAAAGTGCGCCGCGGAGAGCCAGTCACATTGCTCGAGGAGGAGGAAGTGCTCGGCTTTGAACCGTACGAGGAAGTCCGGCGGTTAACCGCAGGCTGCGTGCGCTTCTCGTCCGATTGTTGCTGTTGCGAGAGTGCTGGCCCTGAACTGATACGGCGACCATAGCTAGTGGTATGACCGCTGAAGTGTTCGAGGGAGGATAGACCCTGGTCATTGGTGTACCTCTCGGTCGAATGCCCCACTAATTTGACGAACGCTTCGTCGTTCTTCTGCCTGAGATTATTCAGGAGACCTGCAACGGCACCTGGGTTGCCTCCAGAGGTATCCAGCGCTGTGGCGGCATCTCCGACGAGAACAGTACATCGACCGAGCATGCCGACCAAAGTAACCAGCACACCAGCCATGTCCTGGACTGCTTCTCTCATCGCATCATTCTCGCCCTCAGCCTTGACGCGCTCCATTTCGGCTTTGCTGAACCGTGCTTCCAATTTGACGCTTTCCGCGCTGGCGTCGTCCAGCTTGTCAGATCGTCTCTCGGCCACAGCCCGCATCGTTGCATCGAACATCGCGTTCGAATTGGAAGAGTGGCGCACACGAGCACTAAGGGAAGAATCCGGCTTGAGCGCCGCCTCCTCGGGTCCAGCGAAGGCAAGGAGCAAGGCCTTTTCGGCCTCTAGATCAGCAGGAAGGGGAACTGAGCAGCGCTCGATCTCGGACAGGCGAGCTTTGATAGCATCCAGTTTGGCTTGGGCAACAGACATTTTGCCCGCACAGTTGGCGCCGTCAGCAATGGCTGTCTTGTTTTGCTCGACCTTGAGCCGAACATCCTTCCTGGCCCGCTGAACCTCAGCCGCCGCTTCCGCCTTCTTTCGCCGCTGGATGTCGTTCTCCGTATCATTCTTTCCGGCCAACCTCTCCTTCAGTTCGGCTACTTCCGCATTGAGACGATTGATGGCTTCGACATATTGGCCCACGTGTCTGTCGACATTGAGCACATTGCGCGTAACGACCTTGGTCTTGATCTTCGTTGCCCGATCCGCGTAGACCAGCGTGTTATGAGTGTCCTCGAAATGGGCAGAGGTGGGTGCAATGCAGACGATCATCACAGTCTTGCAGTTCCCGCCCAGCGAGAATTTGAGTAGACGAGTGAGTTTGCTGTTGCGGTATGGAACGTGGCGAATAGCACCTCCGCTCTCACACAGAGCGTTGATGCAGTTTCCCAGCGCGAGAAGGGATTTGTTGATGTTGGCGCCCTCGACCATCCGCTGTCCCATGTTCGTAGTGGCAGCAGCCCGTTCGCTTCCAGCCAAGTCGATGATGGACAGCGTGCCCATGGTACGCTCTTCGGACAACGAGGCCGTGCGCGGGGATTGGGTGACGTGGACTTGCAAAACGGCGTGTGAACGAGAACTGGTGGCATTCGCGAGGGTCGGACTTTGCGTTCTCCTCATATTCCCCTGCAGCACGATCTGCTTCACTTCTTCTGCCGAATTCGGTTTGAGCTCGACCAATCCCGCCACCTTGACCGTTTTGTCTTCTCTGATGCATAACCCGCCGCGGGGTGCAGCCGAGCCTGGCTCTGCTAGCAGATCCCGGATCTCCTCATTGTAGATTTCGAGAAAGGTGACTGTGACCTCGACATTCCAGTCAGCCCGGCGGTCTTCAATCCTTTGAAAGAGGTCTGCCATGGTCAAGTAAATGATACCAGGATCCGCGTCCGTTCCGCTGATCGTATGTGTCTTGCCACAGCCGGTAGCCTGAAATGCCAATGAGATGTCTGGCGTGAAAGACACAGCAGAGATCGTGACGCACGCCGTATGCGAAGACCGTTGCATTGTAGCCATCTAGCAGATTTCGAAGGAGAGGTTGTGCGGTCGATGCATACACGTCAGATTGGTCCACCTCGTGAGCAAACACCTTGTCGAACATGAACCGTTTGTCTTTGTAACGTTTCGTTCCGGGCGGCATGAACCCTCGCTCAACGAAAGCCTTGGACTTGTCTCTCTCCTCCGGATCGAAAGTAAGGATTCGGTCATCAATAATCTGGACCACTTCTCGTAAACAACCAGCGTTCTGCGTCGCCCGGGGAGCTGCGAGAGCGCCGTCGCCCCGAATCGTAGTGTCATAAGATGGTTCAGGGAGCCGAGCTGATTCCCAAGCCGTGGGTGGCCGGACGCGAACTGCGATGCATTAGAAGGGTGTTTTGTTGAGATATCGAGCACGGACCTGCCACAGTAATGGAGCCAGCAGCAACCATGATGGTTTGTCGTGAGAGGAGTGGAAACTTCAACTTCGCGTCTTCCGAACACGTGAGCGCTCCAGCACGTGGTAGCGCGTTGTTGATCTCATCTGATTCAAATACCGATTATCGATAAGCGAACTGCTTCTTGTCTTGCCGTCATGAGCGAAATATCTATCCCGTCTCCCGCAGACTTTCATGTACACCTGCGGCAGGGAAAGATGGCCGAATTGGTTACCCCTCATGTTCGCCAGGGCGGCTTCTCTCTAGCGTATGTCATGGTATCTGAACACATCTTACCACCTCATCCACATCTCATACCCGCTAGCCCAATTTGAAACCCCCCATCACGACCACTGCACAAGCTCTTGCATACAAGGCAGAACTCGAGGCCATCGACCCACACGTCGAGTATCTGATGACCCTGTATCTCTCTCCCGATCTGACTCCGGAGGAGATCGTCAAGGCCAAGCAAGCCGGTATAGTTGGTGTGAAATCCTATCCTCGCGGGGTTACCACCAATTCGGATGGGGAATTGAGTCCTATGAAATGTACTATCCTGTGTTCGAAGCCATGCAGGAACAGGATCTGGTTCTCAACCTTCATGGTGAGGTCCCTTCCGACGCCGCGGCGGTGAGTACGCGGCCAATTACATTCGCCATCAGACACTGACTGATAACGCCCACAGAACATCCACGTTCTGAATGCGGAACCTTCATTCTTGCCTCATCTTCATTCCCTGCACAAGGCGTTTCCTCGACTTCGGATCGTACTTGAGCATGCAACCACCCGAGCTGCGATCGAGGCAGTGAAAGCCTGTGGTAATACTGTTGCCTGCACCATTACTGCGCATCATCTTGATCTCACCGTCGACGACTGGGCCGGCCAGTCCTTCAACTTCTGTAAACCGGTCGCAAAATACCCGGATGACAGACAAGCCCTGCGTGAAATCATCCGCGAAGGTGCGTGAGCTCGCAAGATAGTGGTTTTTTCCCTTTTAAATCTGATGAGTAGGCCATCCGCGTTTCTTCTTGGGCTCCGATTCGGCACCCCATCCACATGAATCCAAGTCGACGAGCGCTCCTCATCACGGGTGTGCGGCAGGAATATACACATCTCCAGTTCTTCTGCCGCTAGTCGCGCACCTTCTGGAGTCTTTTGACGCTCTGGATAAGCTGGAGGGCTTCACAAGCGCCTTTGGACGTCGCTTCTATCGCAGAGAGCTCACTTCACAAGCTAGCAAAGTGACACTTGCGCGAAAGGCAGAGGTCGTGGAAGGTACGTTCGGTGAAGGTCCGGGAACGGTAGTGCCCTTCTGGTCTGGAAAAGAGCTGAATTGGAGTTTGGTCAAATGAAGTCATGCATTAGTGTATTAGATACAACAAATGTGCTATTAGTATACATTGTTCGGATTGTTGCACGAGGCATCATCCAGAAAGGTCGTCTGAAATGAGTACGATAGGAGTAGTGAGTCGTTTCCAATTCCACCACAAAAAGACAGCGTTTGCAAGAAACCAGATGATGACGGCGTACGTCATGAAGCGACGCCCATTCGGCCATTCGTTGCGCCCATAAACCTGGGCTTTCAGTTTCTCTTCCGGTAAGGACGCTACGAGATTTTGAAAATAGGCCAATGTTTCAGGTGCCGTCGGTCGTTTTGTGGGATCATCATCTCGAAGTCGGGCAATCCAAGGTTCCAGAAATTCTAGCTCGGCATATACTTGGGTATAATCTCTCGTGAGCATCTCTCCGATTTGTCTGCCCTGGCGTCAGAAAGCCCGGACACAGATAAGCAAAAGACGCACCTAATGTCTAGGGGAAATGGGTCATAAGGCACCTCCTCAGATAATTCGGGTATATTTCTGTGCTGCCCGCATAGCCCTTGCACCCTTCCTCGTTCTTCAAAGCTCGGGAACGCGCAGGCAAGTCCGAAGTCGATGAAATAATATCTTCGAGGAGCGACCGTTGGTCTTCTGGATTTCGGTTTGCCCTTACGATCCAACGGATCGTCGTCAATGGGCCGTTTGTCCCAGACTATGTTCGTGCGTGCCACGTCGCTAGGCCGCACTCAGAATTTTGAAACATAGGAAATGTCTGGACGAACGTATGGGCGATATTGTATCTGTGCATGAAGCAAACACCCTTTGGTGTATCGGAAAAAAGGCAGGGTTCAATCACTTAAAGTGCTCACCTCGATAACCTGAGTGATGAATTGCACCAAATCTTCGAGGGTACGGAAATGTCTTTCCCGACAGTCCGTCAGCCGCGGTGTTACGACGATACACCACTGCATTTGAGAGTCTGGGTCGTGTGGGGGCGTGATTACGTCGTATAAAGGAATGGTGTGATTATCCGCGTCCGGGAAGGACGCGAGGTCCTGAAAAATTTGGGCCTCCCAAAGATCAGTGCGAGTGAACTTGAGCATGACAGGCCGTTTGTCAGAAATGCGTACACCCTCCAGCAGATGAGGATACTTCAGCGAGGTCAGTCACCAACGGCATATCTCAGAAAGTCAAGGCATACGTTGGGTTCATCCACATACCCCTTCGGCCGCTCTTTCCATGCCGACACTCTGTCTGGGTTATACTGCTTCGCTATTCGGTAGCCTCGTGTTTCAATCAGTGGCTGAAGCCGACACCACCGACGTTTGTGTGCGAGGTATCGCTCCCACTCCTCGTCCGTGAGTTTGACTTCGAGAGAATACCCATATTCGTCCATCTAGCAACCGAACCAAGAGAAAGTGAGAAAAAGAAGACAGAAGTGCCGGCTCAATGTAGGGACATTTTCCTCCTATGTCGGCGACTGAAGAAAAGTATTACCGGTCGTAACTCGGTCACTCTCAAGTCCGTGAGGGTGATCAGATCGATCAGGTGCCTTACTCTCTCGATCACGGGCGTTTGATGAGTCTACTCCCTCGTTTTCTGCGCTTTGCTCTCGTCGGTACCTGTGGAACCGGAGTTGCCGCATATCTCTTCATCCCAGACAAGTCTCGCGCAGCCCCCACTGTCAACGATGCTTCACTCGCTCCCTCCCACTTCACGAAAGCGACCCTGACGTCCACTGTCACTACCAGCGCAAAGTCGAAGATACTCGAACTGAAGGTTCCTGAATTCCGCAAACATAACCCCGATTTCGAGAACAAGCCCATCTGGTCTGTGTATATCAAAGACGATGATATCCAGGTGGAGAGACCGTATACCCCGCTGGAGGGTATAGACGAAGAGGGACGCATGCGCTTTTGGATCAAGAAATACCCAAAGGGAGAGGTGGGACGGTGGCTGCATTCCAAGCAATTGGGAGACAAGATCGAGTTTCGAGGCCCATTGTCGACTTGGGCATGGAACGGAGGTCAGGAATGGGATGAGATCGTAATGGTGTGTTAATGACTTTCCTGTGTACTGCCCTAATGAGGATTCGCAGATATCGGGTGGAACGGGAATCGCGCCATTCTATCAGCTGATTCATTCGGTTTTTTCCAAGCCTGGTTCGGTAAGCGAGAATGCACGATTCACACTTTTGCATTCCTCGCTATCGCCGGCCGACCTACCGCCTCCCGAGATTATGGATCCGCTCTGCGCTTATGCGAATGCATATCCTGACCGCTTTACTCTTCGATTGTTCGTGGACAGGACCGATGGGCAAAATAAGGACCCATCACTGTGGGTCAGTCGGATAAACAAACCGGTTATCGAACACTGTCTTGGTCTGGCTTCATCTTGGTGGCAAGCAATATTTGCTTCCAAAAATCCCGCCCAGAGAGATAAGAAGTTGTTCCTCGTCTGCGGTCCGGAGGGGTATGTGATCTATGCTCTTAAGTTTCCATTTCTGTGATGTTCAGTTTTTTTGCCAGGATGGTCGCTGCAATTGCAGGCCCGTATGGTCGGAATTTTTCTCAAGGATCTGTCGGAGGGGTGCTGGGTGAGCTTGGCTTCTCAAGTAAAGAAGTTGTAAAGCTATGATTTTGTTCAAACACCATGTGGATGTTTCAGCACCTGCATGGCATTGTTTATTATTAATAGATCTTACTCATGCCAATTCTATTTGGTTTCTCTCCATAGACCTTTGTTCAAGGCATCTGCTGACAAAACCCAACAGTTGTTTATACTTATTTGGACACTTTAACAAATACTATATAATGGGCCACTTTGTTTACATACATGTTTCACTACCCCCAATCAACTACCATCTGTTATCTGTAAGGTTTTCTGTGCTCTGATTCTCTGCATAACTCCAACTGTCATAGACTACTCTATAGCTCTATATAGCAGAGGCCATTCAGTTGTCTCTATTGAATCAGAGAAATACACAGACAGACCCCAATCTGACTGAGGGATGACCAGAAGCATATTTGCAAACCTTCCTTCACAGAGGAAGAAGGGCAGAGAGGCTCTCATTCCAAGATTCCGTCCTTCAGAAGGTAATGTACACTCCTCCACTTATTATAGTGCCCCACTCAACCAAAGTGTAGTCTCCCTTGCTATATCCCCGTCTTTGCCAGCTTGTCTTGCACAACAAAATTCCACTTCTGAGGACAAGACGGTTATATGGATTGTTCCAAAACATGTGGGTGCATTTCCTCGCCAACAGCTGGACACTTTTCAGCAACCAAATCATCCTTCCTCTTTACAAAAAGCAATGTTGTCACAGCAACCACAATTCATGGATGCTAGAACAGATGCTGCAACAAAGACAATGTGTGGCCAATTTCCTTCCACATTCCGAATTACTTCCAACTTGGCCACCAGGATCATTCTCCCTTCTTCTAATTCATCAATGGAACCAAATCTTACTATGGCATCCAGTTTGTCCCCATCATTGTCCCCAGACCAGAGCCAGTACCAGTCAGACAACCATCTCACAAGTCCAGCTACTACACCCCCCAATTCTCCATTGCTTGAACCACTGGACAGGTTGACAAGGAATTCTGAATTTGTCCTGGGACAAAGTGATGTGGACAACAGGAATAACAACTCATTGTTCAATGAGGATGTTGCAAGCTCAGCTTTGCCCCTCAGTCTTCCCAAGCAACGACCTCGCATCCCACGAGTCAAAGGGCTCAATCCATCAACAATCCAGAAGACCAGTATGATGGCACACAGCACCCGAACAAAGACCCCAAGTCCAGTCAGGCAAGAGACCACCAGGGTCCTGTCCAAACCGTTATCTCGAGGCGGCTCAAGAAAGCACACTATATCCCCTGTTCTGTCCGCAAAGCCCACAAAACAGATCACTCGACCTCCCAGAACCGCCTTGGGTTCGGTCACACCACCCGGACTTGTCGAGCAGGCTAGATGGCGCGCGGCTCTCCAAACGGCGGTCTACGTCATTTTCCACGGAAAGGAAAGACGCGGCGATGAGCGACGAGGTGATAGGGGCAGCGAGCGCGCCAATCTCATCACGCTGCTGAACAGCATTCTCGAAAAGGCCGAGTTGACGCCGCGAAAGTGGATCGACGAGAAGATCTGGCAGGGCGAACTTGGGCGCACGATAGACCCAGCAGATATGCTCGGGTATATCATGCAGGGATACCGAACCCACGACAGCGAAGACGAAATAGCGAAATTGGCGGAAGGCATTCTGCGCAAGTGGTCCAAGAAGTGAGCTGCAGTCAGCGGCAAGGTCGTTCTGCTTCAGCAGCAGGGTTCGATGAACATCCAGCTGTACACGGCTCACCGCTAATTCTCAGAATTCGGGATGCTGTCGAAACTTGTGGAGTGGGTAGGAGAAGGGAGACGGGCAGTCGACGACAGCCATTGATGTGGCAGCTGCAAGCCGATCAGACTCAGTGCTGATACTGGGGAACGCACGCACCATTTGCAGTATTGTTTAATGGCTCTATCATACTAACTATTTCCGACTTGTATAGTAGAAAGCGTAACAATACATATTATGCGAAATATACAATGCGACTAATCTACAAGAGTGCTAAGCTACCTCGGTCTTCTGCCGCTTGGGAGCAGGTTGACTCTCACCATCGGAATCATCGACAATGATAAGGGGCGAATCGGCGAGACCGAGTCCCGTGGTTTCTGGGACGCCAACCGCCGCCAGTGGAACGATCGCTGAACGACCGGGCATTCCTGGCTTGGGACGGCCACGACCTCGGGGCCGCCCACGAGCTGCCAGAGCTCGCCTTTCCTTGAGAACACGGACCATGTGACCAGCTAGAACTGCGAGTGCTTTCCTGGCCCCCAATTTCTCCAATTCCTTCAAAGTATCGGTGCCCAGGCCGTTGAAGACAGTCGGGTCCAGTATCAGAGTGCGCTCGTGCAAGACCATATAGCCCTCCTTAACAGAATTATTCGGATGAGACGGGGAGTAGTCGGGGTGTGTAGCAGGAATGGGGCCCAGAATAATGGGTACCGACACATCTGCCGAGGTGCTTGCCGGCGAAGCAGTCATATGCGCGGGTGGTGTCGATGCAGGTTTATGAGTTCCAGTTGTCGGTTTAGCGGGTAAAGTAGGGATAGGTACAGCACGAATGGGAGCGGCAGGAACAACAGGTATTGCGGGTTTCGGTGTGGTGGTGGTCAGTAGGTTCACCCTACTCTGCGTTAACGCTGGGTACGGTGGTTTGGCGGTCGGTTTGGGCGCCGTGTACGTGTATAGACCATGAGGAAGAGGATTCATAGACAACGCAGGCTTGGGTGTAGCCACGACATGAGGCCTTGCCAGCGATAGGGAAATAGGGACGCTTGTTGTCGCTGACGGGATTGATTTGGCAGCCCACGTCGGCCGCTTGTCTTCGACTGGCGCCGGCGCTGATATCGGGACTGGAGGAATTGCTTTGGCGGACCACGTTGGCCGTTTCGCTTGGGCGGTCTCCGGCGCCGAGGGTAACACAGAAGGAATTGCTTTAGCTGACCAAGTTGGTCGCTTCCCCCCGAGCGGGGAAAAGAAAGCTACATCCGCAGCCGCCTTATCGGCCCTGGTCTCGCGGGCGATTGTCTGCTCTTCGACGGCCTCGTTGATCGTCCAAAAGAACCCTTTGCCCTGGGTGGAACGCTCCAACTTCGTGAAGTGTTTATCGGATGAGAGAGTGTGCCGCACGGAACTCTGATTATCATTGAGCCTGGATCAGATTATAGTGCGTTTCACAACGCACCATCCATTTATCGTCCACGTGCTGGTAGTGTTCGTAAGCTTTCATGATCCAATTGCATATCTCTTGCAATGTTCCTTTCCCATCCAGACCCTTGATTGCGAGAAGAATCAATTGTCGTAGAGTGAGAGCGGGTTTCTCCGGGACTTCTCCAGGCGGTAATTTGGGCTTGGGGGGCAAGGGTGGCGAGGACAGCTCCAATTTCTTCCTTTTCTTCGTATTGACTTTGCTGCCTGGTGATTTGGACGCACTGATTTGCGGGTCTCTCAGAGGCGTCAGAGGCTTGGCGTTGACCGGTGGCGGGGAGCGTGATTGGGGAGAAGAAGGTGGTGAGAGAGACGCGACGTCGATATCGACAGACGGCGAAAGTGGGCGGTTGGTCGAGGAACGTGAGCTAGGAGACGGGCTGTCTTCTGGCGGGGGAGGTGGTGGTAATACAAAGTGGAACGTTCGTGAAGCGATTTGAATTTGTGACCTACAGCTTGTGAGCACACGGCATGCGATGAACTGGCTACAGACCTTTCGCCGAGTGGCGTCCGAGACCCGCGCGCAGACCACACTCCATCTACCCATGCTCCATTTCTTCCGACCACAATGAGAACGAAACGGTCTTCTTCCTGGTCGTATTCTATCTTGGCATGTAAACGAGAGACGCTCTTCAAAGCACCGAGGTCCACGTCGACCTGTGGGCCATCTGGGGCGGAGCTGGACCCAGAGCTGGGGCTACAGCGTCGTCCGATAGTAACCGATAGAGTGCGAACATAGAATGTGACAGTCGGAAAGACAAGAGAGTAGTATGCGGAAATTTTCCCAGCAGCGGGGTCCTCTGCGGTGGAGCCGTTCTGAGGTGAAGTGGAGCAATCCATGGAGGCGTGATGGCGAACGCGACAACAATCTGCGTTCAAACTTTGGAATGGGTCCGGCAAGGGTCACCGCAGAATAGGAAGCGGACTGTCTCAAGGCGTGACGTAACAAACACATGCGTCACGCATGGGGATGGTCCGGACTCCGGTTATGTCCGACCTCTGGCAATAGTTTCGAATACAAAAATGCGGTAGAGGACAAGTAGAGGACGGCAAAGATTCAAGGATTCAAGCTATGGAACCTCGTTCGATCACCAGAGTACTTAACGATCAGGTCCTGGTCGAGCGATCCTGGTCGAGCAGCAAGACCTCAGATTTCCCAGACTCCAATGCGTGTTCTATATTGTGCAATTTTGAAGTGTAAGGATAGGTCTACTCATCCGCAGCCTCGACATACTTGCTGCGAATATCCTTCCATTGTTTCTGCATGGCACCAGGTGAGATGAACCGTATGCCAAAACAAAATGCAGCACGCACGCCCTTATTCCAGCGGTCATAGAAAGTGGTCACAGCCGTGTCGAAGCCTATCCCAAACACAAATGCGCCGGCGAAAACGGTGGTGACGAAGACACCTGGGAGAGAGCGAGACGCGGGTCAATCAAACGGGAAGTCATTGCGCGAATTGATTTCTGACTGTTTCGCCTGAAGACGTTGTTGTAGAGAGTCGTGGAGAACTAAGCAAGGAACAATTCAGAGAGCACAAAAAGCAGCGTCGACCTGAGACGAACCGACATGGTGGCGGGAAGTGAGATCGGTGTTTGTAACAGTTGACTGCTTTTGGATTTGACCTTCATGTTGGCCGCACTTTTGCGACCTCTACCGCTGCGGTCTGTGGCTCGGCGTTCTTTCACTGTCTCTTTTCCTCGGTCGGCGGGGAAGCTCCCAGATGTAGCAAATCCTCACGAAACATTCGACGCGTCGCCTTCCCCCGCGGCACCTCTGCATGCATACCCCACTGAACCCTCCGGTGCCATGGATGTCGGCCAATACATGTCCACGGTTTCTCAGGATATCTCCAAGCGCGCTGAACTCTCCGACATAGTACCAGTAGGGCCGCTAAGGAAAGAACGAGTCATCCCGCATCGCCTGCACTGTCATTCGACAAACAGAAATACCATCAATACTTTTACGGATCCCAACGGGAACACTATTTCATGGTTTTCCGGCGGTTCATGTGGGTTCAAAAAACACAACCGCTCGTCGTATGAGGCAGGGTACCAATGCGCTGTGCGGATGTTCGAGAGCATGGCTCCTGTTTTGACGCAGGGAGAAGGGGTCAAGGTGGATCTGTTCTTGAAGGGCTATGGTCAGGGGCGAGACGCGATGCTCAAGGCGCTCATGACGGAACAAGGAGAAAAAGTACGAGGCAATGTAGTGTCCATCACGGACCGCACTCCCATCAAGATTGGAGGAACGCGGTCAAGAAAGATGAAGAGACGGTAGACGCCGGTGTGTATTTCTTGTCAATGATGAAGTTGGTCCTGAAATTCGATTCTAGTCCTGCGGCCGCTCAGAAAAGTACTTCTATACTCTATAGCTTTGCTGTCGGCTCGAAGTGCGCGTCGCTGCTGTACTTCAAATACGCCTCTCGCTGCAGCGAATTGAATCCGACGCGTTTGTCCATCTCTATGTCTTCTATCAATGCTTCTGTTCCAATGTTAGCATTCGAGAATCCAGTTGTGTGTGTCATCTACCCCTAGATGTATAATCAAGCTCTGGCCGAATGTAGCCCAGCACGATGGCTTTCATCTCATAGCCATAGAAGTCGGAGTGGTATTCGTGCATGATGTGAATTTCCTGTGTATTGAATTCACGCGACCCTCTGGCACGCAGATAAACAAGACTCACGGCTGTGAGGCGCTCGTTTTTATAGAATGGATTCCATCCAAGGCTCATAACCATGGGCTGCACGCTGCGATCCTCCTGACTCATCTCTGAGGGGCCGTCTTTAGACGGCAGTACCTGCGCATAACCGTAGTAGACTCCGGTTTTCGCCACGGTGCTCATGACAGTAATCGATTCGTCTGGTAGATTGGCTATGTCGAGTCAGTTGAGATGTCTCAGCAAGAGATTGGGTCGTTTCGAACCAGTGGGGCATCCCAACTCCTTCCCCCCACGACCGAATCCTCGTTGCACGGGTCCCGACAGGAAGATGGGAAACGGAGCTTCAGGTAGATCCGGCCCTACGATTTCAGGACGGGAAAGCCGAAACTCGGAGGTCTTCTGAGGCGCTTCAGGACGCTCAGCTAGCTGTGCTTGTTCGGCTGCGGTGGGCATGGGAGTAGAAACAAAGTGGGATGTGTGACATGATAATGAGGCGAGTTATGATCAAGATAATCTGGTAGCGCTGACTCATGACCTTGATGCCAACAACGACCTAGTAGTAAGCGAAGCTGTGTCCCTTTCCGCTTCGACGACTCGCGATGCAGAGTCAGCCTCCTCCACCCTCGTCATACTACGCGTACCAGACGCCGGCTACGCCTGCTCCTGCTCCTGCGGGATCCTACAATCCATATGCTCAATATTCCACACAAATTCCCGGCTATTCACAGAGCTATTTTGCGAGCTATCATCTCCCTCCTGCTCCGCCGCCGAAGCCTGCAACTCCCCCTCCCGCTGATTTGCCTCCACCTCCCCCGGATCTCACGTCTATCACACCCGCGGTGGCTTCGGGCGTGGTCCAACGGCTGATAGTATCAGAATTGAAGGCCGCAGGATTCGCGAGCGCGCAGTCGAAGCCAGTGGAACTGCTGGAAAGAAATGTGGTGGCTTGTTCGAGTTCAGCTCTATGTATTGACACTGTCTAATCGGGTCGGACAGTTATCGAGCGTCTCTATGAACGTGCACATCAATATGCGAACCTTTCTAACCGCTCCTCCGCCATCGTAACCGACCTCATTCTCGCGTCTGACGAATTCGGCCTTCCACCAGAGGAGCTCAGACCTTTACGGAAGAAACTTGACAGAAGGAAGAAGAAGGGAAAGGGTGCCTCCTCAAGAACTCTGATGCTTTTGTTCGAGCACTGACCCACTGCAGCACGATCTGCACCAACTCTTGACCCTGCACCCTCGCGTTCACCATCTCCGGAGCGGCTACCTTCAGACGATGAAACTCAACCCGCAATTCCTTGAGTCTGAGAGGGCTTCCGCACACTTACCCCACGTTGCCACCGAAGCACACATACCTGCGGACACCGGCAAGTCGTATGTCTCCCAACATCTTCTGCTCTCATATGTGATTCCCAGGCATCACCGCCAAAACGAGCTGCCATTCCTACACTGGAAAAGAAACTCGAAACTGCCGCAAGAGTCCAGACGTCATTGAAAAACCTGATGATCGCCACGGAAGATGCCCAAGGCCAAGAAGATGGTGAATTGTTGGGACACATTGTCAACTGCGAAACCTACCTCCATCCTCGAAAGCGATGGAAACTGACACGCAAGCGCGCAAAGACTTCACACTCAGGATAATTCGGGAAGGGTTGCTACGATGCTGTATATTGTTTGTTCTTAATTCGCATTGCTATCGTCAGCCGCGGTGGACGTTTGGAATCGGGAAGAACGTCTTCGCGGCAAGTTTTCGAACTTGGTCATGCGAGCTTGAGCTTTTACTCCAGCTGCAGTCGGCTGAGCTGGGCCCCTTACAGCGGACTGCCGAGGTCGCTTGCTCGATGGGCCCGAATCGCTGTCCTCGGAGTCGGCTGCCTTGCGCTTCTTCGACGAAGCTGTGGGTTTCTGCGGCGGACGTCCTGTTTTTGCCTTCGGCGTGACATCTCCGACTGGTTCTTGAGTTTCCTTGGCCGAAGCGACCTTCTTTGTGGGCTGGGCTCTCCTTGGTTGGGGACGAGCAGCTTGTGCAGCAACATCACCTTGGAGGGTGCGGTCACGTGTAGACTGAGGAGCGGCTTGCACGGATTCAGGGACCGGTGAGTTAGCTCCAGAACGAAGGACGCCTGATTGAATAAGTTCCTCGTAACGAATACGACACTAACGCCAATGAGTGAGTTATTGAGATGGAAGCAGTTGACACACCGTATTTCCTGATCTGCCGATCAGACCAGACACCACTCTCCATTTCTTGCCGACTTTTTCCACCGCCTCGGCGAGTTGTTCGTCAGCCTCGTCATCCCAGCCTTCCATTTCTTTGCCTTCGGTGGTTCCATGCACCTGCCATCGCTCGCGACATTGTTCGTGCGTTCGGCCAGGCATGGCGCTCGCAACCTCAGACCAGGACGGTCCATACCCAGCTACCGCAGCCTGTAGCCGTGCGTCCTCTTGAGTTGTCCACGCTCCACGGCGAACCGAAGGGTCCAGAAAACGGGTGTATCTGCCAGAGCATTGCTGAGGCGTAAGATCTGACGCAACAAATTTGGCCACTGCTCAAATTAGTCCAGGCTAGGATGCAGAACATAGTTCGACACACCAAGACTCCACGATTGCCCGTATTGGTTGACGGCATCGAGGATCTTGCGGTCAGATTCCGTAGTCCACGAGTGTCTCGTCCGGCTCGCGCCGTGCCGCATGCAATCGAGAGGGAGACGGTTGGTCTAACGGAGTCAGTGCAAGCAAGACATGGCGCATAGAGATTGAATCTTACCCCTAGTTCGCGTGCGACGTCTACCCAATTGATCGGAGACCCTGCGGGGCGCTTTCCGATGATCGTTTGTAACGTCTGTGTTTCTTGCGAACTCCATGGTTTTTGGTTGCAGTTCGCCTGCCATTTGATGCGGCATTCCTCGGCAGAGCGTGCATATGAAGAGGCGTCAGATACCTGTCCGATGTCATCCATGCCAACTAGATCGAACTCAGAAGATCACACCTTCTCAGCTATGACGGACCAGTTGAGTCTCTTCGGGATGTCAGAGGTACTGGGGAGAGATCTGGGTATGATCGCCGGTTTTCGAAGTCCAGCTTACCCTTCGGAAGCTTCAACACGTTTGATCTCAGCCTCGACAGCTCCTTTCAAAGCCTCGTTTTCTTTCGCGGACACTCCTGAGTTTCAGCATCCGAGCTCATTCAGAGGGAAACACGTTACTTACTTGAGTGCCGAGAAATAAAATCAACGTAGCGTGTCCTTTTCAAACCATCCCGATAAAATGGAGAGTCCTGCTCTTGAGTTGCAGGAAGGCGCGTGGAGTGAAGGCGGACCGCACATACAAGATTGTTCAAATTCCTGACGGGTGCGGTCGGCTGCGAGGAGCCCGGGATATAGAAATCGCTATTGAGCTCCGCCTCTTCATCTGGTATATCTGCTTGTGGCTATAGGCGCGATTTACTAACGGCTGAACAGTTCAGGTTAGGTCAAACAAACGAGAAGCTTGTCGAGCTGATAAAGCTGTGCAGCAAGGGCTTCGGCATGCTTGGCGAGGGCGTACTGATGCTCTTGGTTCGCTCTTAAAGCAGAGAGTGCCAGGTCCTTGGAACTGGCGTCCAAGCCGGATAGCTGAAAGTTGGACATCAAAGATGCGACGCGACACGTGATCGAATATCTTGACTTCTGAGGTTGACAGCTCTTGACGCGCACCTCCATCCCGAACCGTCGAGGTGACGAAACACGTAAACTATTCCTTTCTACGTCCACCAATCGCTTGGAAAACGACCCGGAGATAGTGTTTGAGAAATATGGCTAATGCCTCCGCGAAACGCATCGGTTCGTGTCCTATGAATCCATCCAAGCTCTTCTAACCAACCACCTTGGGATACAGCAAACCAGAATGACGCTGCTGTGAAATACTTGAGGCTTGGAATGATCATCCCCACCGTCGTTTCTCTCGTCCTGCGGCTGCTTTTCCGTCGGGGCTCTATTCCACCGTCTAAAGGATCCCTGTTCCTCTACGTCGTCACCTTCTTTCCCTCATTCTTCCTCTCAAACTACTTGATCAAAATCGGCACTCCAAGACGTGATCCCACCACGGGGACCCTCGTGTCTTACGGGGAGGATCTCAATCAGCCAGGTGTCACAGAGTGGTGCTTTGACATCCTCTACATCACCTGCAAGTGGCCTGTCTGCTCTGACTCCACTCTAAACTTATCTCGGATCCCAGGGGCCTGTCAAATTGGTTCGGGTGCCTTTGGTGAATGGTTCTGGTGGTTATACTTGATCGTGAGTCTAGTGCACAAGTGTCTTCTGATCCCTCATCATTCTGCACGCGTAGATCCCGCTCTACGCTGTGTTCAAGCTCTGGACATCGGTCATCTCACCCATTTTCTTCGGTCGCTCAGCACCTCCCGTGGAAGAAACCGCAGAAAAGGAATCCACCAGCAAGCGACAAGAAAAACTGAAGAAGCGGGTCGAACGTGGGGATCCCCGAATCCGGGTTCAGAACGGGAAAAAGTAAAACAGTCCACAGTGCTGTATCAGCTGTCTTGAACTGTGACTTTTCTCGGCGCGTAACCTTCTTTTCCACATGGGCTACTGGGAGTGATCGGATCGCCATGGCTTCCGAATCACGATCACGTGGACGATCATAGACATCCGACAAGTAAGTTTTACATGATCCATGCGGAGCTTCAGCTTTGAGGGCGGGAGTGTCGCCAGAGATTCAGACCGCTACGATCGCAATACAAGCACAAGGCAACGAGTATCCCATCGGCTGCTCATTGAATTTCCTTGGCTAGCAACGAGTAGCTGACTTCATCTGACGGCTGCATTGCTATTTACACGATCCTGAGCTCTCGTCATAGTGATAGGAGATGAGGAGAATGTACGATATCTCGACTGTCAGTCGGCCTCACAAGGATCTGGATTGTGAATGCACCGACCGGGACCAATCCTTGTAACCGAAATATCTGTTCAAGTGCTTGTGGCACTCGCATCATTCTCAAACCAGTGATGGTGTTGGCCGCGTTTCTTGGACTCTCATCTCTGCGTTTGATGTGGAGGCAAGGCGCCGACTCAGAGGGTTTGAGGTTGATGGGCGCCGATCCTGTACAGACTGTTTATGATATACCTTGAGACAACGATTGTATGGAAACCAGCACAGGGTATAGTAGATTCAATCCTCGTAGTGGAAGCTCGAAGCTCTTTTGCAACCTAGTGCACCGCACCACTCAGACTGGCTTATTTTCGGTTCCCTGGCACAGCCGCCCGAGTTGGCCGCATGGCTGTCAACGTCGGAGCGGATCATTACACTGCCCCCTCCGATCAGTAGCAGGCGCTTGTTGTTGTTCGTCACGGTCCACACATAACAGAGCCATCAGATGGCTTTGTCTCCGTGCATCCCTTTCATACATACGACCAGCTACAGGTCTGCTCAAAACCTCGACCATCTCCTCCCCTCCTCCCATCTCAGGGCCCAGAACGTCACCTGTGAACACCGGCCTGGCATCACGGGTGTCAAACTACATCAGCCAACACGCGCCGAAGCGGGTCGATAGCTTTCAATAGCATCTGCCCACACTCGCCTTCCTTCCATGGTCACCTCCCCCCAAAGTGTCGACCTCGGCGAGGCTGCATCAAGAAGCGGTCCTCCACCTGCACCTGGTGGTGTGCAACCGCTCCCCAAGGGTGCCATGGCAGCACCGACTCCCGGCCTGTCTTTTGCGGCGGCACCAGAACTCAGGCGCTCCGTGAGTTATGCTACCGCAGCGGCTGGATCTTCGATCTCATATTTCAGACCCCCACTGCGCCCGTCACTCCCCCCGCAGACCCTTCGCAACGGCTTCTGGACGGCGATGCGTCCCATGGAGTGCAATTCGCCAGCTACCCGGCAGAGACTCCGGATGAGAAGACGAGAAACTTGATTCCGGACGACGAAGAGGTTCTGCCTGCTGGCTGGGTCCCGACTCCACTGCAGAGCTGGTATGCTATCACTCTCGTGGTTGTGCTGCTCCTCCTGGCCATCGTCCTGGAGGTCATGCTCCATATAACGCAACAGAAGAACGGTTAGTGGCGTTGCACCGGAGAAGCACATTCCATTCATGCCAACGGCTGCGGACAGGGTGGAAAACGCACGGCAACGCGACTTCGACGACGGGAGTGATGCACTATGTCTATGTTTGTCGCATATCGGTGCCTCGACGGGAACTGTTTTTTCTGATCTGAATCTAGTCTCTGCCCCCGGTCATTATAGCTGCGGTCGTAAGTCGATGTCCTTGCTGATAAAGCCTATCTGAGTGGCTCTAGATCGTCGCCCTATGGGCTTGGACAGACATCGAGATCAAGAAGATGCAGGTGGGACATCCGCCAAGCACAGCATCGAGATTGCTCACCTCGCCATGCATCCGTAACAGCCTTACGTAGATCTCGCTCATGGTGACGCTCCGCCGCACAAGAGTCTTTTACTGGACTACACGAGATCATCCACCTTTTTTGTCTGGTCATCAGCCATACGGAACCGACACTGGTGTGTGACGGCGGCGTCCATCATGGTCCTCGTGACGCTTACTTTCCAAGTAATGCTTACATTTGTCAATAGTCTGATTTGGAAGTCTGACTTTTTACTGTGTAGCCCCTGACGTCCGCACTGCTTTCAGTCAAAAACACCTGGGTTCAATTGCCAGATGTCACGCTGAACACCATCTCAACCGTTGGGCTCAATCAGAGCACTCAGTTCAACGATCTCACGGGTGAATATTGTCCTACCGATCCTGCGAGGGCTAGACTGATTGAAACCTCAGTTTTCTTGACCGCTGCTGGTTATGCCTCAGCAACTGTCGGCTACAATCTGCAAGAGCCGCCTTTTGTGTTCGGAACCTATACCGTCACACCTTTCAATCTCCCGTACGATATTGTGACGAACGGCACTGGTAAGCAAAAACAACCTAGTCGTCTCCTGCCAAGTTCAATCTATCCTAGTAATTACGAACACGACCGCGATACGAACCAACACAAACTGTGTCTCTGCTCCCGTGCAGATGACCAACAACCAAAACGGGACCTGGACCAACACGCTCCAACATAACGGGTGTTCTCTAGCCTGGACTGTAGACCACCGGGCCATCACTCTCTTCGGGACATCGACTCCCGACTGCGGCGACCCGACTCCGCCGCAATTCCAGCCGGTCATTTTCTGGTTCTTCACGTACGACCCGTCGCCGATGTCCTCTGCTACATTTTGCACGCCAGCGATCACACTCTGGAACGCGCAGGTCACCGTCGACTTGGGCAGCGGCAACGTCACTTCCGTCGTCGAGATGAGTCCATTCACAAACTCCTCGCCGTTCGGAAGTCTGGCGGGGAATCTGACCGGCGCCCCTCTCAACGGGCGAGCCTACAACGGAATCAATTTCACTCTTGCCAATCCTGATGGTTTTGTCCTGGACCGTCTGAGTGCCATCCAGCTGACGATGCCCGCTGCGGTCTTCCAGGCGGCTGTCAAATCTTCGGCCGGACTCCAAGGATCTTTCACTGCGGATCTCTTCGTCAACTGGTCGAATGATGTCTACGTGCGTGTCTTGGCCGTCGCTGTCCTTCACAAACTCACGTTGCACTAGAACTCGTACCTCACGCTGATTGCAAAAGCGGTTTATTTCCTTTCAAATACCGAGCCGATTACTATGCACGTGAAAACTTTCCAGCTACGATTGTGGATGAAGTGAGGTCTCCTGTATCCAGTTTCGCAGCAACTGTGCTCATTCGTTCAACCAGCGCCTTCGCTGTCCACGTTCTGACTGTGCTGCTGATCCTTCTGGCTATCGCAGCAGCATTCATCCACATTGTGCATCGTTGGGAGCGGCAGGATCTCAATCTTCTGCATCAACCGGGCACCATCGCCTCGGCGGTGTCCATTGGCGCCGACACGGGCATGGGCCAGCTTCTTGCCCAACACCGGCACGCAGAGGATATCCAGCAGGTGTTGCGGGACAAACGGTTCCGCATTGATCCATTTAGCAATAAGATTGTCATGGATGGCGAGGAAGGATACGAAGTCGTTGGGAGCCCGGTCGACAGACGTCTCAGTGTGTTTGCTGCTATGCAAGGGCGTCGCGCAAGTCGTCGATTCTCGCGAATGCCCGTCTCTCCCTCGCGGACACCACCCCGATCTCCGATGGCCAATCTTGCAGTCTGAATGAACTCTATTTTTACTTCGCACGTCTGTACTTGGGCTGAGATTTGTATTTTTGCTTTCGACACCGTTTACAAATTTGCATTCATCATTTCAAATTATTGTGCCGCGACGCGACGCGCCAGATCATGCTTCCTTGCACCTGCGGCCCAAACCTTTTACCCAAAACAGTCACCCTCGGATGAGCCAGGAATGAGCAGCAGTGAGGCACAAGGGCCGGAGAAGACGAGGTACAACCTCACGATCCCCAAACGGGCATACGTGGTCCCGATGGGCGCTGCCTTGATTGGGGTCATCATCGGTTTGAATCGAGGCGGACGTTTGGCTTCGATGAGATTCTTGGCCGAAAACGCGCACCGAACTCCGACAACGCAAAAGGGGTGGTATTACTACCACAAAACCAAGAACTACCGCGTCATTCTGGGGGGCTTGAAAGGTGCAGCCAGGGACGGAGCGTACGTCGGGGCCGTGACGGGCGGCTGGGTGGGTCTGGAGGAAGCCTTTCGGGCCATGGGATGGGGGGAAGTTGCCATGAGTGGAGCCGGTGTCGGGACTGCCGGAATGTTCTCTGGGTTGTGTAAGTGAGGGAATTATGCTGTGGTTTGTGGTGCTGAACAAATCCCATGCTAGACCGGCTGCCATGGAAGACTGCGCGGCAAACGCTATTGTTGGGGCTTGTCGGAGGTGTTAGCATGGATATCTTGAGATATGTTATAGATACGGAGTCGACGCGTCTTGATTGTTCTTCCCTGAATTTTACCCCCCCACCGTCTACCCGCCCCCTTGTGTCAGTGTTCCGTGGGTAGTGAAAAGTGGAGAGGATCTGATTCGTGATTACGAGTTGTGGAGCAAGATGAGCCACTGTTATCCTCTCTCTCCCAGACACCATCCCTGGCCTTTCGCGCTATCTTGGCCGTCTGCCTTAGCCTCCGCGAAAATGATCAAGCTATGGCCCTCTTCACCGGCCGACCCGCAACTAACGCCCCGTGCGTCACTTATCCCAGAAAGGAATCCATTCGAAGAATCTCTCTCCCACCCTCCACCACCACCGAAATCTCCCACTTCCTACCACCACCAGCTCTTGACTCCTACCTCAGAGCAGATTACTCCCCTGGCTTCCCCAGCCCCAGCTTTCGCTGCTGCGGCATTACCCACGACCTCGCTCTCTCTCCATGCGCCAGAATTCAACATGCAGACACCACCGAAACGATTCCATTCCTCTTCAAACAAGTCCGCAGCGTCACAGACACCGGCCTCCTCGTCGTCCAACGGCTCTTCAGCCACGTCTAAAGGCCAAATCCGCATAAAACTCATCCAAGCGCGAGGCCTGCATGTGCGACCGAACGCATGTCCGTATGTCGTCGTCGAGTTTGAGCAGAACGAGTTCGTCAGTCGAGATCCGATTGAGGAGACGGAAAAGGAGGTGAAAGGCACCCCGACCTCCCTCAGCACAGTCTCCAGCGCCGTGTCATCGTTGAACACCATCAACTCTAAGGCTGCCGCTGCTGAGGCCAGGAGTCGGAGAGGGAGTAAGAGCAGCAACAAGAGCACCAACTCGTCGCCGTCGTCGTCCGTGCCGAAACCTGCCGCGCTGAGCAACGGGCTTGCGTATGCAAACGGGCACAGCACTTCACACACCAATGGCACCACCGGAGGCCTATTCGGCCGGATCTCAGCCAACAATCCAGTGTGGAAGCACGAAGTATCCTTGTACGTCTCCTTCCTGCTCTCCACACAGCATGCATTACCATTACTAATTGAATTATGTGTACAGTGATGTTACGTCTGGAGCCTCGCTTATTTCGTTCAACGTCTACGACCGGGGTGCGGTCGAGCACGGGTTCTTGGGCACGGTGCAAATCAAGCCGGTGCTGATACACGATCACAGTGTCGACCAATGGTACAAGTGGGTGACGACACAACTGGGCTGACAGACGGATTGACTGACACCCTTCCCCACAGATTGGAGCCCTTCGAAAACGAGGTCGTAAGCGGGGAGATGCGTGTCCAAGTAACATTTGAGCAGAACAAGGTCCGTTGCGCAACGGCTATCACGACGGCGACCATGTGCTGACGGGGGGACTGTAGACTAAGCGGACATTGACACCGCGAGACTTTGAGTTCCTCAAGCTCATTGGACGGGGGACATTCGGCAAAGTGTTTCAAGTCCGCAAGCGAGACACGAAGCGGATATACGCGATGAAGGTGTTGTCTAAGCGGGAGATCATCGCCAAGAAAGAGGTCGCACACACAATAGGAGAGCGGAAGATTCTACAACGCTCCCTGGAGTCTCCATTCCTCGTTGGTCTCAAGTTCAGTTTCCAGACTGACACCGATCTTTACCTCGTGACGGACTTTAAGAGTGGTGGAGAGCTGTTCTGGCATCTGCAGCGGGAAACGCGATTTAACGAGGAGCGCGCTCGGTTCTATATCGCCGAGCTCATTTTGGCGCTCGAGCATCTGCACAAGTACAACATCATTTACCGGTGCGTTCCCAGAGTATCAACTCACATTTGGTGCTGATACCGGTTTTTAGTGATCTCAAGCCTGAGAACATTCTTCTAGATGCGACTGGACATGTCGCCTTGTGCGACTTCGGTCTTTCGAAGCCGGATCTCCGCCCCGATGAGCTAACAACCACGTTCTGCGGAACAACGGAGTACTTAGCTCCCGAGATGCTATTGGACGAGCAGGGCTACTCGAAAGTGGTCGACTTCTGGTCTCTGGGCGTGTTGCTGTTCGAGATGTGCTGCGGATGGAGTCCGTTCTACGCGGAGGACACCCAACAAATGTACAAAAACATTTGCTTTGGGAAGATCCGCTTTCCCAAGGGTGCGATTAATGAGGACGGCAAACAGTTCGTCAAAGGGGTTCGTAGCCAGCTTCTTCCTATGATTAGTTGTCTCACGCATTGTTTTCCAGCTTCTGAATCGCAATCCCAAGAACCGTCTCGGGGCTGTCCGAGACACTGCCGAGCTGAAAGAGCATCCGTTCTTCTCCTCGATCGACTGGGATGCATTAGCGAGGAAGCAGGTGCCGCCCCCGTTCAAACCTGTCGTCGAGTCGGATGAATCGACAGCCAACTTTGACGAAACGTTCACGTCCGCAGACCTGCATGATGTGGGGGTTGACATCGACATCGACGAAGCCGACCCGTCGGAAGACTGGGTGCTTGCAGGCTCTCTGACGCAGCACCAGTTCAACGGCCCACTCGGCAGCGAGCGTGATCTGACGAGCGACTCCCCCAAAAAGGATTCTCCGCCGCGGGGGATCGACATCAAGCCGAAGAAGAAGACGCAGACTGCTGTGGGGACGCCGTTGACGAACAGCGTGCAGGAGAATTTCCGGGGGTTCACGTATTCGGGGGAGAGTGTCGGCGGTCCTACGGGCATCCTCGCGATGCGAGCGCGGGCCAAGACACCCGACGGCGAGACGGACGACAGCGCGGGTGGCACCGAAGACGAATTCGAGGACCCAAGCAAGCCCGCTGGTCGCTACGCCCATAAACGAAGGAAAGGGCTGGGCTTCACCGGATTGGGGGATGATATCTGACAAAACTCGAACACTGTATACAATCCTACTTAGAACGTACTTAATGCTTTCGAAATCTTGTAAAGTAGCCGTAGTAGTAGAGGGTATGGGGTGTAACATAACAACGAGCGGAATGCACAAATCGAAGAGGAGAATGTCACCAGTCGTGCAATGTCGCGCATCCAGGTCGTGAGAGATCCAGTCCTCCACGCAACAAAGGGCCGAGCACGAGTCCGCCGATGATCGTATGGCGCACGATCGCATCCACGTTGTGGGTTGTCACTCGCCCGTACCAGACAGACGAGCCCTGCGGGGTGTAGATGATACAGTTCCCCGCATATTTGTGTCCCCCAATATGTGAGCTAAGCAGGATCAGGGCTTTCTTGGCGCTCCCCACTTCTTTGAGTGTCTCTGACACATGCCGCTCCAAGTCCACCTCGGGGAGGTCTTCCAATGGAGGCTCGACGGGGTGCTCCAGCTGCGTCTCCACTGTCCATCCCTGGCTACTGAGCGAGTGGACGAATGCTGGAGAATCTTGAGTCAAACAGACAGGCCAAGGCAACAGGATGGGCGCCACGGACCGCTCTCTAGCCGCGGAGCCGCTATCGCACAGCGCGTGTCTCGACGCTTGTGTGAACCTGCCCACCGCAGTCAGCCGCGCTCAGGCCAGGCAATCTGATAAGATACCCACACAACAGGATGACACAAGCATACGGGATCACCCACGTTTGAAACGTGCTCGGAACCCCGCGAGGCCGCGACGCGGACTGCGGATTCAAGTCTGTCGCCCACATCTCGCGCGCGCCCTCTGCGGTGCGGGGGACCCCCATAACCATCGTGTAGTCCGGCAGCACCAGCACCGTCTCGTGCTCGTCGTCGTGGCTGATCGTCTTGTGGCTCCCGTTCAGGATGGACAGCCGCGTCGCATCGCGGGACGAGAACACACCCGAAATTTGGGGTAGCTGCTTCTGCTCCGGTCTCTTCTCGAGTTTCGCGCGCGCGGGCTCGGCGGGTCTGCTCTGCGCGATGTGAAAGGCGAGGGAGCCGGAGGTCTCGGTTACTTCGTGCTCCCAGTCCGATTTGCCGGTCGATATAACGATCTGCGAGAGTCGTGCGAGTCGGCGGCGTTCCCGGTACTCAGCGCCCGTGGGCAACTCGGCTGGCGTACCTGTCGACGATAGGGCTTCACGGAGCCCAGCATTTCCGAGTTCAGGTCGACGGAGAACCCCCTCGGATAATCAGAGTGCCCTGCATGCGGACACTGCGTGTGAATGGCCGAGTGGGACGAGTGGGAAATGGGTTATGCACCTTGGTCGCAGGGGTCGGCGCAAGTGCGACAGTCGGCGAGTGTTACGGGCACTCCCGACGCGGACAGCGTCTCATTCAGGGCAGAGGGTGATTTCTTCAGTGGTAGGCTTCCCATAGGCAGCTGAGAGATCTAGGTCTTGCTAGGAGCAGGGGTGGGATGGGCGGAATGTGCAGAGAAAATATTCTGTACATGGAGCCGCTTTTATCTGATAAATTCCTGGCCACGTAGAGATCACTCCGCAGTCATCGTATTCGCGTGATCGCATTCACGATTGATCCGTCAAGGTAGCGGCGGGCATAGTCTTCCACGGTTTTCGAACTTGAAACCAGAATATTTTCTCCTCGGCTGCACTGGAAGAAAGGAAGGAAAGCGCACTGGACTAGAGGAGTCATTCGCACGCATTCTCCGACTACAATAAATTTTGTGGGCCAAGTTAGAATAGACTTGGGCCAAGTTTTTTCCATTCTCGCATCGCTCAGGATTAGCGCAGAGTGTGGGCTGGATGTTCCGCCTGTCGGACATAATAAGCTGCGGGATAGAGGGTGTGCCGGACCGCTGTGTTCGAATGGACCCAAAGCGATCAAGAGCACAGACAGTGAAAACTGAGTATCGGAACGGCGTAGAAGTGCACTGCTCTCTCTGAAGGTCATTCCAGTCGATGGAGTAAAGGGCGAACTCTCTCGTCTCGATCACCGAGGCCATCTCTCGAATTATGCATGTACCCGAGAAAAAAGGGAGTAGTACATCCCGTCTCTACTGTAGCTGCGAGAGGACACTCTCGTTGGCCCGGACGTCCGAGTGGACGTCTTTCAAGTCAAGGAATATACAATGGGGCAGCTCTTCCCATCTCATTCCGCACGTGGAACCCATTAAGCTACGAACGAAGCCAAGTCAGGAGCACGAAACCCACAGCCGCAGACCCACTCACCAGCGACACATACGAGGACGACATCAGTCCCGGTCGTCATACCGCGCCGCCGCCGCATCCTCCGCGGCACTCTTCTGCAGCACATCCTGCTCGTCCAGCAGCACCTCCAGACCCGGCAGCGCCCTCGGCTGCGACTTCCCGTCCGAGAACATGGACACGCCGTACAGCGCCTCCTTGACCTGCGCATCGCGGATCGACGTCGACGCGCTCCACAGGCTGTTCGGCAGCGCGATCGCCCCCCGCGGCTCCTGGTTCGCATTCCACTCCGTGACCTTGGGTGCCGCGCTGCGCGCGCGCGCCGCAGCCACCAGCTCGCTGTGTCTGATGTTCTGCTGCTTGTTCATCTCCTGGTTCTTTTCCACCAGGAACGCCTCCTGGATTTTCTCGTCCAGGTTCTCGAGCGTCACGAAGGTTTCGGCTTGGTGGTACATGGTGACGAGGGCGCGCAGCTTCTCGTGCGAGAGCTCCGTTGCGTTGGAGGATTGAGCTGCATGGCGCGTCGACGAGAAGGCGCGCGTGTGTGTGATGGCTCGCCGCAGTGTTGGTGACAGAGACATGAGAGGCAGAGAATTTACGATCACGTGGGTATGAGGAAAGTAATATGTTTGACTAAGCGATTCAGAGCAGGTAAGTGAGACCAAAGTAGACGCAAGTACATTGTATGTACGACGATAGAGACGCTTATAGATGCGATTTGGACAATCCTGCCTTTGCAAAGAGCGCTTTTCGCGCCGAGATCGTTCCTCAGCCTTTTTTACCAGCCCCGGCGCACGCCTCAGTTCGCGCTGGCCTACTTGCTGGATGTGCACAGCATCGGGACCCTGCAAGTCGCTTAGTATGTATCCCACGGAGCTGAAGTCCACGAACATCGGCGATCCGCAGAGTCCTCAGGCCGGCCCAGCAGAGGCGAGTTCTTGGTCTTGGCTGAGTCCCTCGGCACCAAAGGCCTGCATCGCCCGGTCGATGACACCGAGAGCCATGGAGGGCACGACAAACTGCGGATCGTCAGAGCCATCAAGCAGGACATTCGACTGCGTACTTTGGCAATCCCAATTTCTTTCAGAGCGCCCTTGGCTTGGAATTTATCAATCTGTGCATCGCATCAGAACTGGTGTTTATCCTGAATGGCGAGATCGCTGGACCTGCAGAGCTGCGCTCAGCACAAGCAACCTCGCAGATTCAATCTCTGCGCGGGACTTCGCGATGTCCGCGATGACGGTTCCTGTTTGGATCAGTTGGGCGTACGACCAAAGCAGCGGGGAGACCCACCGTGTTCATGCAGGAATTTCCCGAATGTCTTGCGACCCGGGTCAGTCACGCGGCGAAGCATGGTGTCCAGAGCTTGCTGAGCAGCGCCAATGGAGCGCATGCAGTGGTGAATCCGGCCAGGGCCAAGACGGCCTTGGATGATCTGTAGAGAAAGTTAGTGAAATGACGAAACAAGATCAGCTCAGAAAAGCGGACCTCGAATCCTTTGCCCCATCCGAGCACCAAGTTGCCCAGTGGGACGCGTACATTCTCATAGATGATTTCACAGTGGCCTTCAGGCGCATCGTCATATCCCATGACAGACATGGGCCGGACAACAGTCACGCCTGGTGTGTCGGCGGGAACCAGCACGACACTCTGCTGGTTGTATGTGTTCTTGCTATTGGGATCGCTCTTTCCCATCACGATGTGGAGCTTGGTTCGAGGGTCACCAGCCCCACTGATCCACCTGCAAAGAGGTCAGTGCCGGTGCAGTGTGAAAAGCCGATCCAGCCAACCATTTGTGACCGTTGATCACAATTTCGTCGCCCTCGCGCCGGATGGAGGTTCTGATATTCGTTGCGTCCGAGGATGCAACTGCCAGCAACAACGTGATTACCTGTCTCGAGAGACCAGACATGCTGTGCGTACCGAAACGTTCCGTCATCGCAAACGCCGAACGAATCTCGCCGTTCAGCAGGGGAATGAGCCACTTCTTCTGTTGTTCAGGTGAGCCGTATCTGGCCAGGACCTCTGTCCTGATGTGAGACCGCAGTCGAGCGTAAAATGTCCGTCAGATGCGCACCCATGTTCCCCGTGTCCGGCGCCGAGCAGTTCACAGCTTGCGGGGCCATATGTCCTCCTCGGCCCAGAATCTCGGCCATCACCGCGTACTAGGCGGTCGCGGCCAGCAGGTCAGTTCCGGCTCCCACAGAATGGAGGGAAACCCGCGGCACCTCGAGATTCGTCAGAGGCACGCCGTGCTCCGGGTAGTGCGCCTTGCTGAGGAACAAGTTCCACAGGCCGAGCTTCTTGGCTTTCACCTTGAGCTCTTCGATGACCGGGATGACGGTCTTCCAGCGGAGGGACGGGTCGGTGGGCAGCTGCGCGTGTGCGACTTTGATTGCGGGCTGAATCTCCTCCTGTATGCGTGTGGTGTCAGCGGGCGGTGTCCGGGCACGTCAGGGCAAGCACGCGCCTCGAAGAACTTGATGAGCTTGGCCAGCGTTTCCTTCGCGAACGGCGAGAACTTGTCCTCGATCTGGCGCGGTCAGGATGAATTGGTGTGAGCGAGAGAGGACTGACCATGGCCCATGATGCGGGCGAGGTATATTCGACGACGGGGTGGGGAGTAGTAGCCATTGTGGGGAAAGCGGGGAAGGTGAGTTCAATTCGATCATGGTTTGGCAGTTCTTAAACCGGTTCACCGGTGATTGCACACCCGGTGGTCGAGTGATCACTGGAAAGAAATTCGAGATTACTGTGACCAGTAGTCATGGACGATGCATACAGTAGGGATACAAAAACTACAGATTCTGCGTACAACAATGTTCAATAAGGCAAAGCATATAGATGATGGTGAGTAAGATAAGCATTAGTGGGCTTCGTCAGTGGTCATGGCGTCCCCGTGGAAGGTGAAGGGCAGGTCCGGGTTATACTCAAATGCGTTCGGATCATAGCTCTTCCACAACGAGTCCTGTTCGCCCACAGGATAGCCCCCAGCAACACTCCCGCTCCCGTTCCCGTAGTTCCGGATATACTCTAGACCGCGGAAAGGAAGTCCAGGCGCAAACGCAGAGGACAGCTCGGCCAAGCCGGGATCAGTCGCTTGTCCGGCGAACGAGAATGAGTCTAGATCGCTGTACGGCGCATACGAGTTGTTGTATTGCGGATACAGCTCTGCCCCCTGCGAGTCGCCGTTCGAAGATCCATTCCACGGCTGCTGCCCGTTCCCGTTGTGGCTGAGCGGATTCATGCCGTACTCAAAGTCGAACGAATTGGGGTTGTAGCCATAGGCAGTGTTAGCGGCAAGCGTCGGGCTCGGCTGAGGCGAGCTGCTCTCCAGCGCAGGAACCGGTGATGGCACAGTCACAGAAGGAGGGGAACTGTGGGGGCTGGCGCTTTGTGCAGAAGCAGGGCTCGCGAAGCTTTGGTACATCGACGAGCGTCGGTCCTTGCTATCGTCATCGAGACCCCGCCGTCGAGAGGTCGATCTAGCTCGTTGAGCACCTAGTGTATTCGGTAAGCTCAAACTATGATCAGAGAAAGAGAGAGACTTACTGTCTACACGATAAGGGGACACGGCCGCAAGTCTTCGGTTAGAGGTCGTCCCTGGGTCCCGCGACTGATTCCTCCGTTTGCTCTTGCTGATCCGCGAACTCGAACCTGCTGCAATGGTAACCGAGCGACGGCGCTCTCTGCCAGGAAAACTGTCGGAGAGTTCAGCCACCTGCTGCTTGGCCACAGCATCAGCAGCGGTGGTCGTGAGCTCCATCAACAGCTCCTTGCATTTGCGGGCCCCGGGCCAGTGACCCTCCCATGATTCGAGCGCCCCGAGGGTGCTCTTCGCCTCATCCATGGCGGCAGCCGCTGCCCGGGGTTCCGATGAATGCATAGCATAAAGCAAGAGGATTACTGCGGAGCTGAAAAGATGCTGGATGAAGAATGCAAGATGGTGGCATGCTGGGACGACATTCTTGATGGACGGAGCGAGCCGAATGCACGATCGAGCCGAGGAAACCGCTTTCACCGTCGATTTCGCTGTGACAGGTTGGTCACGCTTGACTGGCAACAGATTGCGATGCAGTGTGGTCAACACCGAGTAGTAATGGCTGCAGAGAACAGCGCCCATCGAGACTTGCTGGTCCGTTTCGGACTGTGACTTGAACATGTCCGGCAAGTCTTCGCACCACTGCGTCAACTCGGCATCCAGATTCTCGACGGTCTTCTGAAGCTCGGCCTTTCGATCTGGCTCCAAATTGTCCCGGCAAACTTCGAGCGCGTAAACTTCCCGCAGCACCTTTCCCCCAATCTTGTAGAGGCTGACAAGGTTGATGAAACCGGCAAGAAGGGCTGGTTGCCGCTGAGGTGTGATGACACCATTGAAATAATCGGGCAGGTATTCGTCGTCGATCTCCACAGGATACTCCACGTCGCAATCAAAATCGTTCACTCCGAGAGGGCGGCCCAGAGCCAAGGCAAGCATTCGATCCAAGGCATACACTCCCCACCAGACCTTCCGACGTGTTTCCTTCTCTATGGGTGTGATCGTCAATCGTCGTGGAGAGCGCTGCGTTCAAATGAGAATGAGTCGTCAGAGCACTGAGCAACATACATGCAGTCCTAGGTCCTGCCCTGTTCGCACAGCTTGTCCGACCAAAATCCAAGCTTGAGGAAGACAATTTACTGCACATAGGAATGTGGAGAGCAGCAAGAAACATTGCACGTGATCGACCTGGATATCTGCATGGCTGATATACTGGAGAATGAGGGCGCTGAATGGGGGAAAGTTCAGCATCTCTTATCTGAGAAATGAATAGACCGCACCGTTCATAGTAAACCATGCCCATCCCTCCGTCATCTTGTGAGTCACCCGTGGTAAGTCGATCGTCCTCGACGAGACGCGCTGCACAGGCAAACACCGCAAAGACAAGGGCAAGGAACGGCGTTTCAGCGCGAGCGAATGAATGATCGTGCGTGTTCTCGATCAGAAAGTTATATTTTCGCAAGAAGGACGGCTTGTCGATCACTGGGTTCAGGAAATGGAGGCGCGAGAAGTAAGCGCCAACCTTGAGCAAGATCAGTAGGGCAGTGCAGCCAGAACGAGCGACATACAAGTTTATCAGCAAGATCCCTTGGAGGGTATTCGACTTGCTCCGCACCAGGCAATGCGCTCTTCGTTTTACCGAAGAATACGGCAGCTGGAAAGTAAAGCTTGTTAACACTAGGACCAGGTGCCATAGGATCTTCCTCCATTGGGGAGCGACGGTGCACAGAGGACGTAGTCAGCGCTTTGAAAGATTGTATCAGCGACATGGTTGATGAACCGCCGATCCACCGCATATGCCCATACTCGTCCAGGGCAAGCTGGCCAAAAGATTCGCTGACGTCGTCTTCTTCAGCCTTTATGGGGACAGAAGGCGACCGATCTTTCGGCGGGAGACTGCGGGACTGCATAGCGGCGGGTGCAGATTCAGAACCAGACGGCCCGGAGACGGGCGACGAAAGCCCATTGCTTGGTGTGGGATTGGGCAAAGGGCCAAACTGATCCAGCACTGGAGCGATCTGAGAAAAAAGGGACTCCATGTGTAGCAGTCGCGACTCGAGCTCCTGGACATAGCTTGGTGGAGAATAAGGAAACAATCAGGCGGACACAATAAGACTTACTGTCTACTCAGCGCCGCCCTGTCTTTCGTCTGCAGCCAGGTACACTGCGATCCGGATGCTGCACATTGAGAGCAGGTAGGCTCGGTGCCGTCACACTTGATCTTCTTCCGTCTTGAGTCTGATAAGGCCCAAGTCCGACACAGGGTCAGGTATTACGCACCTGCAGCTTTCACAGGCACGCCATACCCTTCTGCGTTGAAGCTGGAGCGGCTTTTGACCAGAGTCGAGCTCCTGCGGATATTCTTCGTCACCGCGCTTCTTCTTCGAGGACTGGCCGTCGTTGGCCATACGGAGAGTTGGAGACAAGCAAATGCGTACTCACGTGACAGATGACATTCCCCGTCTTGTGCATGCCTTGCGGACCGGATAACCGAAGTCGCCGAATCTTGATGTGTCACATTCATCTTGGACGGCAACTCACGCGTTCCTAGTCCTCGAGACTAGAATCTCCATGCACCCACCTGACGGCCTAAACTCGGAAAATTTCCGCTCCCTTACCCTTCTCAAACTTTATCGATGAGAGAGTGATTCCATCTCGGGTGGCTGTGTGATAGATGGTCGTGCACACGTGACACACAAATTACCTTGTTCCTTGACGCAGACTGAGATGAGCACTGCCGCCACCGAAAACCCAGCCGTCAGCGACCAGACGATTGACGATGGCGAAGAAGATTCTAAGGTAGTGGGACTCATATTGGCTGAATGTCTGCTTACCGTTCTTGTAGGAAATTTTGCTCATGAAGCAGCGAGTTGCTGAAATGGAGAAAGAAGCGAGCAAACTGCGGGAACTTCAAGCAGCAGCAGCTCTGGAAACGACTCTCACCGACACTGATACGCCTATGGAAACCGACGAGGATAAGCCTATGGCAGATGCGCGCAGCGTATACGTGGGCAACGTTAGTCAATGACCATCTCCCACGTGTCTCAGCAAGTCTGAAGGCGCACAGGTTGATTACGGCGCTACTCCAGAAGAGATTCAAGGTCATTTCCAAGCCTGTGGAACTATCAACCGGGTGACCATCCTGTGCGACAAGTTCACTGGCCATCCTAAAGGGTCCGTCGTGCTGTCGTGGTCTCGATCATGGGCTCAATCTCTTCCTCAGATTTGCGTACGTGGAATTTGCAGAACCAGAGCACATTGAAGCGGCGTTGACCATGGATAACTCCCTGTTTCGTGGTCGGTTGATCAAAGTGGGTAACTGTACTACGGTTGCTAGCCCGTCCAAACGCGCTGTCAGGTTACTGCAAAACGTACAAATATTCCAGGCTTCAATCGGGGACGCGGACGCGGTGGATATCGAGGGGGGTATCGCGGTGGATATCGCGGAGGTGCGCTGCCTGCTCTCCGATATCTGATGCCGCTGACTTTGTATCAAGGCGCAGGATATAGCCCGTACCGTGGTGGACGTGGCAGGTATGTTGACGAGCTCGTGCAATGTTTGTTTTCTAATAGCCAGTAGGGGCCGGGGACGTGGTTTCTAAAGTTACTTTTTTGTCGAGCCTTGTTACCATGTTTGCTGCACCGAAAAAACCTACTACTTTGCCTGTAATGCTAGCCAAAATACATATTTTTTTTGCAAGTCTCGGCTCTGGACTAAAGGCTGAGAGTTTCTGAAGAACTGAACTTGTTGAAACCTCCAAGCCTGGTCGTGGTTGAAAGTCCTCAATTCCACTTTCTGTCACGTGCCCTCCGATTCTGTCTTCGGCCAACATGCTCAATTTCTTGCGCGGTGGATGCAGGCAATTATCCACGACTGCTACCGCCTACCCTTTTTCAAAAACCGCGTCTGTGATTTCTAAACCCTATGTCGCTCCCGCCCCTGCTCTCAAAGCGGGGAAAGGATTGATGCCTTACCTCTTGAAAACTCTCCCGAATCCAGAGAAACAGCAGATGCTCCGAAACCTGTTTTCGAGACAGTCGCGTAACCAACTTATTCCTGGATCTATCGTTACTGTCACTGTTGAACACGCGCCGTCGACGTTCACGGGAATCCTGCTTGCGATACGCCGTCGCGGAAACGATTCCTCCATCCTCCTGCGCAACGTTATTCAGCGGACGGGAGTAGAAATGCAATTCTTCGTCAACTCCCCTCATGTGAAGGATATCAAAGTCCTCCAGAAACCACCCAAGGGACGGATGCGCCGCGCGAAATTATACTATCTCCGGGATGCACCGGACAAAATGACTGCTCTCGCTGGCAACCGGAAGCTTCACTAGAGGTGCGTTGACTTTCCGCTTCCCACCAGACGCCCGCTGAATCATGTAAAGTGGTTCTGGTGCTCGCTCCGAATCCTCCTGCCCGTGACACGTCAAGAACGGTGCCCTCGTTCTTGCAGTCTTGCGCTACCCGTCATCGAAGTTCATGTGGGTCCTACGTGGAGTGCAGTATATGCTCTGTCACAGACGACGTTGTAATGGTTTGTGTGCGAGCCGTAGATAGTAATTCTCGCGAGCAACGTAGTAGGAACGTGTCTACCTTGTGTTTTTCTCCATTTAACGCGCGACGCACACGCTTGTCTGGACCACCGTTCTATTCTTCTTTCCTGCTATGCACATGTACAGGCGAGACAAAATCAAGGATAAAAGTTACAACAACATCTGGTCGGTTAGGTCTTTTGCGGTATCTTGGAAAGCGCGTTGATCGCCATCTTGCTTTCCACCTCCTTCCACCATTATGGCCCCTTCATTCATCAGGTCAAGGCGGACTAGCGCAAGAGGCCGCAGCCCTTCCCCTACATTCTCTGATACCACCAATGCGTCGGCCATGAACTTTGGTGTGAATGGCCCGGAAAAGATAATAACTCGGACCCACCTCAAAGCCAGCATCCTCGCATACGAAAACGTCGGCACCCAAGTTCCGCAGCCTTAGCGAAATGAACCTAATAACTTTCCTCAGTTAATGTCTGCAAGCGCTCAGTATCGGTCGGCTCTCGTGAGTTTATCGAACGCTACGGCTGCCTTCGCGAATGCTATGGAGGCCGCGAGTGTGTATGCAACTGGCTCGATCATGAGAAGGCGTTCTGATCATCTTCATTGCAGACTGAGGGGGCCATCTTATGAAGCGGGAACGAGGTTACAAGGTACGAGGAAGAAGCAGAGGTTAATGCAGACATCCTTCTGACATGATCACACTGCAGCTGCGGCTGGCCTGCACCACCTCATGGGAAACCATTGGCAGGTTCTGGTGGGTTTCACGAAGCGGTTGAGGAAAACGAAACCTCACTATCCGCTATCTGTTATGCAGGCGGAGACCCTGGACAAGAAGGTCGAGAAACCCTTGAAGCAGCATCTCGACACTTACAAGACAATTGTCGCTGAGCGCTCTGCATCGTACGAACGGACCCTCAAGGATAAGAGCCAGATTATACGGGATACCGAAATGAGGAACATGAACAAGAAAGAGCGCAGTATGTTTCCGTGTCCGACTAATTCCTTGAAACTGGCTCATCTTTTTTGCGCCAAGATCTCCAAAGTTTCCGTGAGGCCCTGACTGTACTTCAGCGCCAAGTCGACGATCTAGACGACCTCAAAGTCGCCCACTACCAGGAGATTGTGGAGCATGAGGAAGAAGTCTGGAACGTTGTGCAGGGCAAGGTGCATCTGGCGTATCAGATGATATGTGCATTGGCTAAACCTTTCAAGATCTGCATCGTGGTCCGGTCGACAATGGACGTCTTCGACAAATTCACATCTAAAGCGTTCGTCACTATCGAGGTCATGGTCGATAAATGACTTAACCTTCTTTTGAAATAGGTCGGATCCTATCATCGAACCAATGCTTCAAGCCATTCCAGATCCGTTCGATTCGTATGGCGCCCCACAACCTGAGGACCAGATTTTCAGCATCCTTGCGCCCCTTTCCATTATGACCAGCACGACTCCAACCACGGCCAGTCCGATGCCGACACCTATCCCCGAATTAGACCATACTGAGGGGCTGCCGGGCGAGTCGAACGCACCTCCATGGATGGTTCCGAACCCAACAACAGTCGCGTTCCCATCGCTGTCTCCCGAATGGGAAGATCAACCTTCATCACCGCCTCGATCGATCTCTCCGCCGTTCACCGGGAGGAAACAGAGCGCCACCACTGGTCGACACTCGCGAAAATCTGAGTCGATGCTTCGAAGTGTGCTCATGCCTATAGATGAGTCTCGTTCGCGACAAGCCAGTGAAGATCGCAGCGAGCCGCTAAGCATCTCACCTCCTCCGCCGGAAGCGAACTCCTGGGCATATGTCTACGGACATACGCCATATGATTCCGAGTCGGCCAAGTCGGATGGAGACACGCCCACGCTATCCTCTTTCCCGCATCTGAATGGGTCTGAGCCAGAGCCTGTTGCGAGTTGAGGTGTTCGTTCAGATTATGCTGCCTATGGTATTATATGTCATTAAATCTAGTTTATATCCGTTGTACTTTTTCGCTGTACACTCTTCTTCATGCCTGGGCCTGGATACCATACTGGTCCAGAATTCTTCCTTCCACTTTGGCTGGGCTTTTGAACAGCAGGTCTGTGCCCACGCTCGTTTTGGGAAACGCAATCACATCCCGGATCGATGCTGTCCCGCAGAGGATAGCCATCAGTCGGTCGAATCCTGCTCCGATAAGCCAATCTCATGACAGAATCTGAGGGGCCACCCACCAAGGGCGATGCCTCCATGTGGGGGAGCGCCACATCGCAAAGCATGTATCAGTTGGGCAAAGGGCGCCTTTTCTTGTTCATTCAACTGATGGGGATGAGATTGAGCATGAATTAGATGGATGGTCAGGGACCGACCTGAAGAACGTTGGAGAAGATGTAGTCCTGCATTTCAGAATCGTGCAGGCGGACAGAGCCACCCCCAATCTCGGTCCCATTCAAGACCAGATCGTAGTGCTGCCCCCGCACCTGATCTTGCGATCAGAGTGGCGTGTCCGCAAACGGCAACAAGACTTGCCTGGGCGATGTCTCCCGCATACATGGCCGCGATGTCCTCCCACATTGGAGCAGTGAACGGATGATGGCTGCTGCTCCATCTGCCCTGTGCAAGGAACTCTTTGTCCCCGTCAGCCCGAGTGAACAGCGGGAATTCGGTAATCCATAGAAAGTGCGGTTGGGCATCCAGCACGAGCCTTCCTATGCGACTTTGAGCTTGAAAGTTGCAGAACCCCTGAGAAGCCGCACCTGAGGCCTGGGCCAACTCTGACATTTGGAGGCGAACCTGCCCGAGAAGTGTGGATCCACCCTGGAAACAGATTACCAAACAATTCATCAAGTTCGCCAACGTCCGTCTCACGCTGGGAGTTTTGGGGCTTATGCATGTCCAGAGCACGTCGCCGGCCTGCAAACCAAGCTCTTGGTTGACGCTATCATCTTGGCCCGCGGTCCCAGCCAGCCATTGCGAAGCATTCTTTTCAGTGAAAACGACTCGTCTCTGACAACGCTGGTGAATGGCGCGTTTAATAGGATGGAGGCGAAGGCACGTACTACAGGCGAGCTAAACTCGCATTTGCGAGCAGCATGCATCAGCTCGGACTCCATGGACTGTCGCACGGGGATGCATTCCAGGACCTGGTCTTCGGCTTCGAGAGCAGATCGAACATCGGACGGCAAGAAACGTGTTACGTCCACAATCTTGTTGATGAGGATTAGCTGAAGAGCACGATGGATGAGAGAAATGGACCTCTAGTCCAAAGCGAGTATCCGGCTTGTCAGATCCATACTGAAAGAAGCCATTCAGGACGCTTTCAGGAGCAAGTCAGATAAAACAACGTGCCCGCTTCATCGCTTCGCTGTAGGTCATGACCCTGAACGTTGTCTCAAGTTGGATATCCAGAACCTCCTTCCAGATCTTCTTCACAAGCATCTCGACGACGGTGCGGACTTCTCCGCCTCCGATTCGCCAGCCGTCAGTGCTTTCAGACGCTTTTCCCCAAGAGACGAAGGCCATTTCTAGATCGATCTGGGTGAATTCCGGTTGTCTGTCCTTCCTGCCATCTTCGTCTCGGAAGCATTTCGCGATCTGAAAGTACTTATCGACGCCGCCTGAACATATCAGGAGCTGCTTTGGCTGCTGTGGCGACTGTGGCAGGGCAAAAAATCTTGGCTCATCCACTGCCGTCGCAAGACGCGTGGGAACCAGGAACTCTCGTGCTCCTTCGGGGGATGACCGAAGGAGAACCGGTGTCTCAACTTCGGTAAAATCTGCGTAGCCGTTAGCACAAGTAGTGTTCTCATCACGAAGCTGTACCCAGTTCGTGGAGCGAATTGCGCACTAGATGCGACACTCGACTACGGGTTCGCAGATTTGACGACAAAGATGGACGACGGAGGTCCAGATACCGGAAACGAGCCCTAAGCTCGTCGTTTGGCTAATGGTCGAAGTCCAGCATGAATCAACTCTTGGAATACTCGCGCGCACCAAAGTCCGTCCGCTCAATGGGAAAAACGGTAGATTGGCGTCGGCGGGGTTTAATAGGATATGTCGGTCGACGTGGACATCAATATCACCGGTCGGGCCCTAGAACAGATGGGTCAAAGTCGTGGACCGGCGGGGAACTCGCGAGGGGACTGACAGGTCGTCTGGCGGCTTGAGGCCGGGCAACGACCGTGCCTTCAATTAAGACAGCGGACTCGGTGGGAATGTCCGAAAGAGAGGATCGATCCGAAGAGTGATTGACCACCAGCTGTGTTGTGCCAAAAGAATCCTGAAGAGGATAGAAGGACAAGAGCTTGCCACCCTTGCTTGATGCGGCAGATGAGCAGAGCCTTATGATTCGACGGGAAGATATAATCACCGCTCAGGCAGGAGCCAACCAGTGAGAACGACACGAGAACCAACGTCTGCGGCGGTCAGCACGCCACAATTATGAGTGCGTGCGGGGAATGGCGCTAAGAAACTGAGCACGCGACCTTGCTGGCAGAAGGCGTGCATACCTGAATGAGGTTTGAGTGGTGTGCTCGAATAGGAGCGAAATCTCGGAACAGATTTGCAGTGCACGAGAACACGCATGTGCGAAGCAGACGGAGTGGAAGAGATAACCGTCGTGTTGATGACAGTTTGCGGGATCATTGAAGTGCATTTGACGTGTTCTCTCTCTATCACTCAACATGTATGTGCGATCCCATAAAAGACTGCACTGGATGTTACATCTCCATCTTTCCCCTCCCCCCCATGACCCGTGCGATTCCCGTCGAGCTTTGGGATAACGTCGCAAGCTGTCTTCGAGCTCATGACCTTGCCTCCTTGGCACTCGTTGACGCGCATCTGTCCTCGATCGCACTTCGCGCCCTGTACCGCGACATCGTCATCTCGCGCTCCAGACTCCCAGGGCACGCGTCGCTTTCGACCCTCATCCTCCTTTCCCGGCGCAGGGACCTCTCCAGCTATGTCCGGCACTTTTCCCTGAATCTATTTTCGGGAAAGGACGCGACACCGGGTCCTCTGGGCGCCTTCTACCGCCAACTGGCCATTGCGCTGTCGAGCATGCCCGGCCTCATCACCCTGGATCTCGCCGTAGATGAGACAGCGGGTTGGATCCTGCCAGGCAACCTCATGTATCCTCGGCTACAGTCCTTCTCTTCTTCGTTTCCATTGGATGCACGCGTTCTCCGTTGGCTAGCAAACGTCCCAGTTCTTCGCGCCCTCCAAGTCGGAGACTCCCCGTCTCTTTCCCCAACTCTGGCGGTTCCTCCCATGCCACGTCTAGCCGAAGTTACGGGATGTGCTGAAGCCGTCGCTGCGTTGGTTCCTGGGAACCCTGTCGAGAGCATATTTATCTCTGCAGGTGATTTCACGGAACTTACGGCAGCAGCTCTAGCCCAGTCCACGACGCCGATCGCCGCATTGAGCCTCGCGACCAGCTCGGCGCCACTTCCGTTGCTCGAAACTCTCGGCCGCTACCTTCCATCTATCATATATCTCCAAATAACATCCACGTGTAACTTACCTGCGCCTTCACTCAACGTGAGTAGCGATCTCTGTTCGCAGAGCGTGCCTGAACCCGACCAGATATTTTACGAGCAAATGGGCTCGGCCCTCACAGCCTTTCCTGATCTTCAATCATTCCAGTTGTCCGGCATGTACTGGATGTCTTCCAAGCATCCCAAGCACGACCACCGTGTTTGGCAATCGCATCTCTCCACTACTAATAATGCTACCGATATCTCCACGGCTCACCCATTAATGAACGAAGACCTCTATTCCGCAGATTTCTTCTTTTCCTAGTCAATGTACTTACTTTAATCTGAGTTGTATCGCTTACACTATTAATCCACATTACTTGTCATCGAAACGAATCAACTCCGCGGTGGAAACCTACGCGTGCGTGACCATACGTGACATTTCGCGCTTGACGTTTGCATCGATGACTGGCAAGGCTGGTCGTCGGCTGAAGGACGAGGAACTCAAACTCCACCAGGCTGCTCTTGCGGGACACAATCATGTAACCTATTCTTGACCGGACTAGACCCGGACCCTCAACACATGCTCGCAGGAAATCACGATCAAGCAAGCAGAGTCCATCGTCCCTGACTCGAAAACGAGGCAAAATGCGCTCAACTTCCTCTTGGGGATCGGGTTCTTCAAGTCTCTCAAGGATGCCAAGGGAAATCTCAGTTTTAGGGCCGTCACGAAGGGTGAACTCGAGCAGTGCGTGGTCATGTGTCCTTCCATCCTGGGCGACGGCTGAGTGCGTGCATCCAGAACGAAGGATCTCTCGGCGGACGAGACTCTCGTGCTGGGACAGATCAAGTCTGCTCACAACGAAGGTAGAGTTTGTTGTCATCCGGGTTTGAGCGGATCCGTTGGAGACACATGAACATGAACAGGCATCTGGATCAAGCACCTGAAGAACAAGACGAATTTGCATCAGACCGTGGTCGAGCGATGCCTGAAAACGCTCATTCAGAAGAAACTCATCAAGAGGGTGCAGTCTGTACAGGTCGGTTCGTCTTGAGCGGACGTTTAATGCTTCGATTGACCTCAGTTAGCATCCCATGCAAAAGATCTATATGCTCGAAGGTGTCGAACCCGCAGTCGCACTGACCGGCGGGCCGTGGTACACGGATAACGAATTGGACACGGTTTTCATCGAAACTATCAGCAAGGCATGTCTCAAGTTCATCCGTGATGTGGTGCGTGGTGATGTGCTATAGTTGGACAACCTCCGATTCTATTTTCCCAGAGCTTCCCCCCGCAGCGGAAAGCCGGAAATGAAAACGCTCTCTTCCCGATCTCCAATGCTCCGCAGTATCCGTCGGCAGCTCAGATACACAAATCTCTGCGGCAAGCACGTCTCACAGAAACCGACTTGTCCGTGGAGCACATCTCAATGCTCCTCGAAGTACTCGTTCTTGATGGAGAGATTGAGAAGGTCTATTGGACTCCAGTCTCGCGCTGATCTCCGACTCACCGTCGTCCAGATCCCTTCATTTGGTAACACACTCTGGGACTCCAGCGCCATCCCTGATGAAGTATCGGATGCGTCCGACGATGAAGGCTCTCTGGGTTCGAAGAAGAAGAAGGAAACAAAAGTCAAACGACGGCGAACCGATTCGTCCGAGGAGGATGAAATTCAGGAGAAAAAATCGCGCAAAAAGAAAAGACGGGATGACACAGAGAGCGACAATTCCGAGATTGCGGTCTCTCGCCGCAAAAAAAACGGTTCCAGGCGAAGGACCGCGGACGACAGTGATACAGAGTCGGATCCAGCTCCAAAGAAGAGAAAGAAGAAGACAGATGTCTTGGACGAGGACAGCGAAAACGATGAAAAACGTCGCAAGAAGAAGTCGAGAGGCGACTTAGAAGCCTCCGAAAGCTCGGACGAAGAGGAGAGACAATCTCGGAAAAAGAAGAAACGGATGAAGGAGGAGAGCAACGACGAGAATTCCGAGGACGAGGGCGAGCGACGCAGGCGCAAGAAATCGAGATCAATGAAGCGGTCGCCTTCGCCATTCGAATCTCAGCTGTTCGATGACCAGTTCTCTGCGGCGATGGTGTACCGGGCAATCCGACCCGAGCGAGTATCCCTAGGCTGGAGCGAGGCGCCATGCAGTAAATGTGCATCATTCGACTTCTGCAGACAGGGCGGTCCCGTCAATGCCGGCGAATGCGTTTACTATGGAGACTGGCTCGTGGCTGGCACTCTCGCTTTCGATGACGAGATGGAATTTTGACAATCAAGTGTTCAGATTCTGTAACGCATGATTTATGAATGTGTGAGCATCCATTACCGCGGGCAATTCGTCGCTCTCTCGCACTACCACCGGATCTGAGCATTCGGTGTGCCACTCGGCCACGACTCCGAAGTAGAGATCGTTGTCCTGGATGACCCTAAATTTGTCCACGGTCCATCCGAGGGGAGCAGCGCCGTCGACTCTTAAGGTGTTCGCCAATGGATCGAACTCGACGCGACTGAAATCGAAGCCTAACCCGAGGCCCAAAGCTTTGGTGTATGCTTCTTTCGCAGTCCACATCCAGAAAAAGCGTTCCAACCCATCTTGCTCCGTTGGCGCTGATGAAATGAGCCGCTTTTCGAGAGCGGACAACTGTCGAGCTAGCAGATGGGATCTAGGGACTGCATGAAAGACGGACGCACTTGATCACCCATCATTTCGACGAAGGAAGCCAATGTATCTCGAGGCGGTATGCGCACTTTCATAACGTCGATGCCGAGAGAGAATGCAGGGGGTCCGCGGCAGTTAGGCGAGGCTACGATGGCGATTAAGCCGTTGTCGTGAGAAACATTGTACGCCAAAGGAGGATCCAAAGTGGGGTTCGTCTATGGCTCTATGAGACGAACCGACGCGCGAGTCGAGGGTTGTTCACTCGCGATGAAAGGTTTACCAGTTGCAGTCGCACTAAAGCGCATCTGCGAGTGCTGTATCCCCCGTCTATGCAGAAGTATGCGGGGAAGAAAGCGTCCAATCAGAGTTCCTGCTGAAACTCAGAACAAGCGGCCATGAACGAGTCGCTGTATCGCACTGCACGCATCTTCACGTCGATAGAAGCGGCGGATTCGCGCTGAGCTTTCAGGATCGAGCACGAGCAAGGCGCGCTGGTAAAGCTAGAGATGTTGTCGAAAACACACTCCATCAAGGGTGTGGATGTGGTGCACCTCGTCAGAGAAGAGATCCGGATCGTACTTGACCACAAGTACTTCCATGGGAGTGGCAGACAACGCGACTCGGTAACTTCCGAACACTCTCAAATGGCAGCCGCTACCACCATGTCCAGTAACTACTTCGCTAAGCCGGAACTCGACACAGGCGTGTTGCATACGCTCGGTACAGAAGAATATCGACGCCACCTACTATGCGATTATCAAGATACCATCGAAGATCAAGAGCAAGCGACGCAGATTCTACTGAAAGCATTCGACCTCGATCTACACGACAGTCCTTTGCTTTCGAACCCTGCTTCTCGCCGCGAAACCCGCGAATTAAACACGCCGCCAGATTTATCTGAAACGCAACACACAGGCTCACAGAATCCTTTCTTGTCGACTCCGATGCGCATGAAGCATTTCTCCAAACTCAGCCCGTCCATCCTGCGTGACCTTCTTCGCTCACCCTCGCTTCGCAACTCTAGCTTTGACAACGAGAACAGTCTCGATAGCATCCCTCGTAGCACTCCGGAAGCGTCCGATCTCGCTGCCGCTGTCGCTTTCAATGCCCGCTCAACCGACACTATGCCTCTCACGCCCCCGCCCACCGCTCGCCTTCCGTTCACCGAAAGACTCGCTGATTCTAGCATCGATTTCATAGAAGAAATCGCAAGCATGTATCTGAACGATCTGCCTTCTCCATTAGCTTGCAAGCCCGCGCCGTGCCACATTCAGGTGTCACCGACGACAGTGCGGCATTTCCAGAAGGTCATCGATGAGATGAGAGGCGTTGATGTGCGTCAAGTCTTGCAGATTGAAGAGCAGGAAAGCGTGGTCGAGCAAACGTCGATTGCAGAAGAAGGCAAGATGGGCACATTGGAGAAGGAGTTCGTTGGTCTGTTGCATGAAAGAGCTATCGAAGACGAATCGGAAGCAATAACGTTGCGCTCGCTTGCTGATAGACTGGAACGGATGGCACACGCCAGACGGCGATTGGCTGGGACCATGGAAGCGCAAGTTTCTAATTGAAGCACAGGTGATGATTGGGCGTGGACTACGGATACAAATTGGTCGGATGCAATAGTACGAATACAACAACAATGGAATCAATGCAGGTGCTCAGACTCTTTGGCCCGATCTCCAACCACTTTCTCCATCCCATCCAGCCACACATTGACATCGGCGCCGGGAGTTTTTCTTCCAGAACCAGACTGCGTCAGTTGACCTATCCCAATATGACGAGCAAGAGCTAAAACAGGGAGCCGACGAAGTGAGCGCCCGGACATGCCTTGACTCTATCCCGACAGTCAAAAGCTTGATCATCGGAGATAACTAGACGAAACACACTCGGCATTGGGCGGCCAACGATAGCAAACGCAGAGCAACCTTCTTTGATTTCTCTCGTGTGGCATTGGCTGGATGTTCCGACGAATGCATTGCCGAGAGTTCGTACATCGAGGCTTGCTTCAGTGTGGGAACGCTCTGCGCATTTGAGATTAGAATCAACAGGCAGCGGTGCCTTGAACATCGACATACAATGGGCAAAACAATGCCTTTGGCGATAATCTCACACAAACAGGTCCGCAAGATATCGTAAACGGCTTCGCGAGATGGTAGGTCTATATACTGAACAATGTCAGCACGATCCACAAAAGCACTGTCTAAATCACTGTGTCAGTGGATGTGAAATGATGGGATAGGGCGGCCTACCAATGGCTTTGACGAGATTACTAGTGGACATGATCAAGACGTTTTTGCGATGTTTGAGCTTATCCAGCTGGGTTAGCAGGGCGTTGACGACCTGAATGAAAGCTCTAGGTTTCCCCTTATGCGCAGCCTTCCCGGATGACGCACCCTCAACCCATCAGATGGCTCGGTCCCGGCCATAGCCCCCGCTCTTGCAGCCGTTAAAGACTCAACCTCATCTTAGACTGTGTGTGAGAGCGGTACAGGAATGGACGAAGGGTGAACACAGACCTATCAAAACAACAAGAAATGTGTCTTCTTCGTCTACTAGCTCGGTGATGCTGGAGAACAATCGTTGCACGAGTTTTCCCGACTCGGAAAACCATTTAGAGAAGAGAGAATGGGAATTGATTTCGAGTAACCTCGCTTGTGAGTAACTACGCTGTGGTGTAAGCCGGACAATGCGTTACTTAAGGAATACACACCGATGCGAAAGACGAATGGAGAGTTTTTGGGCAAGAGCACGGCAGAGAGATGTCTTCCCAGTACCAGGGGGTCCGTGAAGAAGCACCACCCGATTCCACGAAACCAGATTAACTGTGTCAATTGAACCATACTGGAGGGCAAGAGGGAATAGTGAAACATACAGTCGACATTGGCGTCACTGAAAACAAGGGTAGCATGGATGTAGTCGAGCAGTTTCAGTTTGATGTCGTCCGCATATATCAACGAATCCCACAATCCTTCCCAGCTGCGGTTCGGTAGCTCGCATACACTGGCAGCCATCGTCTCATCGTCGTCCTCGCGCGTCCCACCACTGTTCGTAAACTCCTCGAATGAGTCGCCGTCTGATGGTTGATATACGTGGACTTGAAGCATCATCTCGGAAACATGCAGAGAATGAGTGGGACAGGCAGATTCAGCGACAAGGACGCGTTCGACAGAGGAAGCCAGCTCAGGAACATCCTCCCAGCCATCCAGAGTCGAGGAGAGGTTGATACGATCGAAAGACTGTACCCACTCCGTGATACGGTGACGGATCGTTTCGAAGCGTGCGGTCGCGCGGGGTTGAAGACGCACTTCGACATGCACAGACCATTGATTGACGGGTTGCGCGTCAGATCCAATGGAAGTATCGTGAGGATGGGGAGAGCTCATATCGGTGTCAGGATCGGTCATCCACGGAGTTCGGTTTCGACTCGATGGGCACAGACGAGAGTGGCAAGGATGTACGCGGTCACGTGGCGGAGTTCCTCAACCAAACGCGATTGGCTCGGTGTGCTCGGACGACGCAGCTCACGAGTCTACTTACAACGGTAGCCTCCGTATCTTTCGGATTTCGATGATTATCCCATCTGTCGCGAAGGTCATGCTCACCGCATTTCATTTTCTCTCTCTCTTCTCCAACTGCATGCGTCCGAATGTGCCGCAATCGTGCATATCGTGTCTCGTCATCAGGCGCATGGCTCGGGACTGGTTTTCGTGCGTGGGAGCTGCAAGTCACTTCTCGCATATATGTAAGTATGTGTCGTAGTCTCGGGCCTCTCGGCCAACAGCCAGTAAACTGCATCACATCGGGAAGCGGGCTCCCATTGGCCGGGTGCCGATCCAATCAAGCTTGGTCTAGGCCTACCGTTGGCTTATCGGGTTAAACTACCTCTGCTGCTCAAATGGCCTGCCTGAGGCCAAACAATCATGTCGATCCCCATTTCGAAGAGGGTTTCATTGGCCGGATAGCTTTCATGCCGCCGCAAATGTGCTTTCATTGGCCACGGTCGTTGGTGTAAGAGTTTTGTCAAATTTGATCACATGATGTGATGCTCTTTTGGAGAGAGTCTGGATCGCGAGGCTCTGAGTCTGGAATTGTACCCTCTGCACCGGCTTGCAATAAAACCTCAGTGAAGGGATCATGACCTTGATACGCACCCATGCCGCTCCGACTACCTACGCCGCCGTCTTCCGCTGCACCAGTGGTGAAGCCACGCAAACCTCGTGGATTATGGAAGGGCCGTGGGACTTCGAATAGTCTAGGCCCACCCTTGAACAACGACGACAATCCGCGACCGTCCAAGCGTCAGCGCTATCAGCCTTCCACCGATACCGACGGAGAGGAATCGTTCTTTGTCCAGGAAGACGATAACGACGCATATTACTTTGTCGAGTACTCCGAATCGCAAGACGCAGAGTCAGATTTGGAGATGGATAGCCCTCAGACGATAGAAACGGAGTCTGCCCATGCTCAGGATTGGGCGGATCTCAAAGAGCTCTTTTCTCGGGCAGCTGATCAGTATGAGAGTGCGTCCGACTTGCTCTCAACTCTCGCCTCACGGGACTCAAAAACATTCGCCAGGCGAACACGACATCAACGAAACACTCTCACTTATACGCGGCGTTATCCACGAATGTCACCGACTCCTTCTGTTGTACCCTGATCCTTCCGCGTTATATACCCGTCCGGCCCGCTCACGAAGCGCCTCCCCTGGTTTGATATCAGTATCACCATCGACAAGGCCACGTATCAAATGCCAGTTTAAAGAGTCTCCAACCGCCTTCCACGCCATACTGGGCACATCGCTATTCCTCTTTGGACACATCCTTGCTCAAGACCCATCCCTTGTGCTGCCTGACGAACCCAGTGATCCATCGATCTATTGGCTTGCGGCTCTCGACGTCTTCGAAACGGGAGAAAGCCTTCCATGTAGAACCAATGGCGGAAGCGATGCACCAGAGGACTGGCGCATGGCCCTTGTATGGGGACGGACCTTACTGTGTATCACCGATGAAGCGCTCACTTTGGCACAAAGACGTCAAAAAACGGGACTGCCTGCAGTGGCACCCCCCGAGCCAAAATGGCCCAGTGCGGCAGCCTCGCCATTTGCTGCGATAGCGATGCGTCGTCCGCCTGCTAGTCGACGAGTCCATCCTGCCACGTCAGATCCACACGAGCTGCTCCTTCTGGCCATGGATCAGTTCACGCGGGGGATCTTCCATATGCCACACCCTGCACACTCTTCCGACGAGATTCCCACGGATCAGTCGGCGCGGCCGTTCTCGCGGGCGAATGAGCTGTTCACTATTGCGTGTGAAGTGCTTGCACTGGCCGAGCGTCTGCCAGAGGCTTCGGAGCGAACTCGGTGGGCGACTTGGGCAGACAGCCTGCTGCAGCAGATGGACATGGAAGGCGACACAGCTCGTGATGAGTGGCGTGGACCTGTCACCCGCGCCAGAGGCCGTTGTTGGCTCGTCGTTGGCACCGCTCGCGTCGAGGATATCGAGGCCATGGCTGATGCTCAGGGCTGGGATGAATCGAGCATCTTCGAGACAGAAGATGTTGAGGAGGCCCGGGAGGGACTCTCGCGAGCAGTCGAATTCTTCGAACGCGCCGTCGGCAGCGCCAAGGGTGAATTCGGGTGTGAAGAGGACAGCTCGCATCTCAAGGAAGAGGAGGAGCAGACTCGCGCGTTCCTTGCTGAGGCATTGCTCACCTTGGCTAACTTGACTCCCGAGGAGGATAAACGAGAAGAGTTGTACCAGCGAGCTCAGCTTCTCGGTGGCGAGGTCTTAGATGGGATGGATTTAGATGATTGAATCTGACGCCTTTCCTCACGTATATACTCCAATGTATCCTATATCTCCAGCATCTTGCACCTGTAGAGTCTCATCAAAAGTTACGAGAAGTATAATACACAGTGGCTGTGTAATCAATCTGATCAGACAACCGCTAGTGTCAACTTGGACGCCATCCAGGATGGCTTCGGACGACTCCCGGCTGGAGTCTCTTGTAGGCCAATGCCGGAGCAACGGTTTGCCACCTGGCCATCGCATGAATGCTGCTCTGATATTCTTGTAGATGTTGACGTCAAAGTCGACGCTCTCACGAAACTCCAAGCCGAGTTTGAGGCTGGCATTGAGGTTCGCACTGTCTCCTTCCCGACGCGTCAAACTCTCAGATACATGTCATTGACTAGATAAACGACCCCGACGGCCTTATTCAAGTGCTCAAAGTATGTCTGCGGACGTCAAACCAGCATTTGACAACCGCGACATTATCTGCCCTGCCCCCGCTCCTTCCACTCCTCGTCGCGCCGTCCGCTAAAAACGATGAACAAAACGCGTCTTCTACAACATCCAACGGCTTGTTTGTCGACGCAGTGATCCTCCGTCAACTTTTGCTTGCGTTCCTCTCGCCCGGCGGGCTCATTGAACGCCTAGGTGACAAGGACAGGATGCAGGTCAAGGCTCGCGAGAGTATCGTCATACTTGGAGGATTCGCGTTTCGTGCCAACCCTCCGGCCTCTTCGGCCCATACCGCGACAGCGAAATCGAGAGACGGGAAAGCACATGAGACTCCTCTGATGATGTTTGAAAGGTTCTTACGCGAGCTAGGGCTTGCGAGCAAAGTATGGAAAGTGCGGGAACAGGTGCGGATCTTGGTGGTTTGGTTCCTGTACGATTGTTCTGACGTGTACATGCATGCAGTCCATCCTCACCCTGGTCCATATCCGCCGGGCCCAACCTCAATTTCCGATACGGACTTATCTCACGCAACTGGTCGAAGCGCTCGAAGACACCGACGCTCATGTCCGAGACTCTGCTCGTCAATCCGTTGTTGAGCTCTTTTCTGGACCGGGGGTATCTGATGGAGCTCGGGCTGACTTAAAGAAAGAGTTGACCAAAAAGAACGTGCGGAAGACGATCGCAGACGCTGTGCTCTCAAAGCTTCTCGGCGGTAGTGTAAACGGAAGCAGCCCCCACAGCAGAGAGGGTTCTGAGAACGGGGAAGGGGCGGCTGCCCCTGGCAAAGCTAAAGAATATGTTCCCCCGAGCATGGCACTGGCTAGTCGACGACCAACTGTAGGAAGCGCCACGACGGGAATCTCGCGGACCGCCAGTATCCAGTCGAGTAGCTCGAGACCTCCAAGTCGGGCCGCTGCTCTGGACTCGCCCAGTGCTCTTCCTACCCCAAGTAGCGAGAGTCCTGATATCCGCCCCGTCTATGTATGCGTGACCGGACTTTGTGCGACCCGCTTGGCCTTATTCTTGCTCAGATTGCGTCCAACAAAGATCTCGAGAACGAGTTCGCAGGGATGGAGAAGCCATTTGAGGTAATCAGTGCGCCTGGTCTTGTGCTCTTCATGAGCTGATGTTGCGGCAGGGGAAAGAGAATGAACACAACTGGGCAGACCGAGATCGTGCCATCCAAAGAGTCCGTGGAATGATCCTGGGAGACGTCCATGTACGATTCGCGGATACATTCATGGCACACATGAAAGAGTTCATCCAAATGTCGTTGAAAACTGTGAGAATCTGTCGCCGCGGCTATCTTTCTTTCTCATCGTCCACAGCTTGCCAGTCTGCGGACTACCGTGGCCACAAACACATGCGCGCTCTATCTGGAAATGTGCAATGCCCTTGGAGTCGCTTTGGACCCCTTTTGCGAAACACTGTTCACCAACCTGCTCAAGATGGCTGGATTCACGAAGAAGTTGACAGCTCAGCAGTCTCAAGCGTCGGTCACTGCTCTCATTGAACACACATCATCCCCACCGCGGATTCTTCTGCCGCTGCTTTGGCACGGTCTCCAGGAAAAGACAATGCAAACACGAGCCTATTGCACCGCTCACACCGAACAGTACTTGAGAGTGCATGGGAATCGTGCCAAACATTCCATTGAAGCCTCTGGAAGTTTGGAGGTGTTGGAAAAGCTGTTGAAGAAGGCACTGAGCGATGCGAGTCCTGCCGTGAAAGACAATGCTAGAACATGTTTCTGGGTCTTCCACAGCATTTGGCATGAACGAGGTGCGACTATCCTTGGGGCATTGGATCCTTCCGGTCGAAAACAACTCGAAAAAGCCTGCCCGGATCCAGAGCAGGTAGTTGTTTTGAAGGACTTTCAGACACCCAAACCTGCCAAGAAGAGCAGTGTTGCTGCAGCAATTGCGGCGAGCCGCGCCAAGGCTAAGGCGATCGCGAACGCACCTCCGACATTGCGGCACCAAGCTACCTCAACTTCGCATGCAAGTGCTGCACCCCCAAGGCGGACGCCGTCGCCGACTGTGTCGCCGAGGAGCTCGATAGCGGCGAGACCGTCATCGCCGTTACGCACGTCGTCCTCGCCATCCACACTCTCACCCAAGGCTCGGGTCGTGTCGAGTTCGATTGTTCGGTCGACCAGTGCCGAAGCCGTACCCTCTCACCACAGCCACTCTCCGCCATCTCCATCTGAGCAGTCTAGTATCCGCCGGCGGACGTCATCGCCGCTAGCGACGTCTACTGCCAATCGCGCTTCGACCATCCGCAAAGCACTCAAGCCCGACCCGACGTCACCTTCGCCTCGAGTGAAGAATGGCGCGGTGCCCATCAACATCCGGCATTCTACACTGTTCGACCCGATCGATCTGGATGACGAATCGCTTCTCCTCGCGCAGACTGTGCCGATTCCCCACAGCGACAGCGAGTCCGAGCATTCCGTCAATCTCATGTCATTTTCTGCTGCGTTCGAAAAGTACGGCGCACGCTCACCCCCTCCGCGGACGAAGTCCAAGTCACAAGCGCAGTCTTACTCGCCCGAAGTGTCGAATGCATTGTCATCGGGATCCATGGATACGATTCCGGGTCAGCCCGTCGTTGAAGATGCTTTGAGAGCTCGGGCCGAGCAAGCCGAGAGCGCTGCAGAGAGACTGCTCGAGCTCGTGGATGACGATGAGCTGCAGCATTCTACCATTCCTGTTTCTCTGTTGAACGGCAGCTCTTCCAACCCCATGCCACTCGCACCCCCGATCAAGCCGACTCACGCGCAGCCACCGGCAACGCCGGTCAACCGAGGAAACATTATGCGACAGGCTGCTTTATTCAAAAACAGCCCTGCGAGTAATGGACATGCCCCGGCGTCGTTGATGGATGTGCTCCAGAACCAGCGACATCAGACTGGATGGTGGTTAAAGCGAAAAAAGTGTAGGATCTTTTACCTTGCGCATGTGTGATCCCTGATTGATGGCATTGTAGTACTTGCGCAGAAGTCAACTGCAACTGAGAGAGTCGAGACTGACCGGGGAGAAGAACTGCTGTCCTACATCACAGCTCTCGAGGCTGGCGAGGCTGATGTTGGAACCCTGAAGAAATTGATTCTCCTAGCCATCGAGAACCCAGCAGCTGATGCGGTGTCGTCTCCGCTGAGCCCCGAGTTCAACTTTCCCTCGAGCCCGAGTCCATTTGGGAACACATCTCACCATGTTCCGCCGCTCCATAGTGATATCTGGGCTCAGAACAGAAGCTTTGACCGGCTCATCAATGCTCTCCTGGCTTTCATGCAACCAACCAAGGCATATCTTTTCTTCTGTCCTAGCAGCTGGTTTGGGGCTGACTACATTCCAGACTGAAGACGAGATCGAATATGGGCTGATTGCACTGTGGGAATTGAACGAAAATCAGGCCGCCTACTTGGAAGGCCGCGAAAGCGACTTGTTTTCCCTCCTGCTTCGGATCCGGTATTGTGATAATCACAACGTGCTGGAAGCTACCAACACCATCCGAGACGCCCTGACGACTCGCATCGAGCCTGTCTACGGGCTGACGACGATGCACGCCTCATTGAAAGCGTTCAATGCGCTGCCACACCCCGAATCGTCTAGCGAAAGCACCAAGTCGTCATCGTATGCGTTTGGCTTGATCGCTCTCGGCAAGTTTGTCCTCCGGCTCCCGGGAGAGATTGCCGAGGAGGAGCTGCCGCGGCTGAAGAGCACGCTGATCACCGCACTCAACGACAAAGGCTCGCTGGTCGTCCGCGAGGCAGCTGCCGCCGCGATCATTGCAGCGCAACTGGCCCTTCGCGACGAGACGCATCTTTTTGCGCTGCTCGATGGACTGGCCGACGAGAAGAAGAATCTGCTCACTTATTTGTTCGATAAGCATGGTGCAAGGCGGTCGGCGGGTTCTGGGCCATCGGGCATCGATAAACTGGAGAAGGAGATGCGTAGACTAGACACGAGGACGAGCACACCTCCTCGTCCGCAGGCTACTGTATGATTATGATCAGGCTTTTGTAGGTACCTTATGCTTTCGCACTGTATGATTATCCATCGAATTCGTTCAAGAAATCCATCGATACAATTTCTTCCATGCATTGTACATACAACTACAACCAGCCTCGTCTCGACAGAGATCATAGCGCTAGCTATGTCGAGTCGTCCGGAAGGCCATTCAAATCCACCCTCCCTTCGTCGATCCACTCTTTTCTCACCAACTTCGTTCGATACGACCAATATAGCCGATATACCAGTTTTATTGTATGCTCGCCGGCTTTGGTCACCTCAGCAATGTCGCGGATCGACTTGCCCGTGAGATTGCACGTGAAGTAGATCGCACCACCAGCGATCGACAACGGAGTCCGGCCTTCTGCAATACCAAACTTGCGGGCCCTCATGATAATCTCCTCACAGATCGACTGCACGTTCGGCGGCAGGTCTAGGTGGTTGCGATATCGAGCCAACAGCGCCTCAGCACCAGCCTGGGTGGTTGACGTCGATGAACCATTGTTCAAGTCCAGCGTCTTCTGGATAGCATTGCAGCACTGCCCGAGCAATTTCTTCGACGCCTTTGTCAACTCGCATATCTCGGAAAGCGGGGGACACCCGCGCTTGACGACACGCCAGGAAAATGCAGGCAGCCACCACGGCGTCGGCAGGCTTATTACGCAGCAGCTTCTCATCGTCAGCGCTCTTGTAAAGCTGTTTCGCGATATCGCTGATGGTTTTGGGGGGCGAGAACTGGTCGCACCATGTGCCGATTTGGCGAATGGCAGTCAGAACGCTGCGTTCCGAGCGCGCGTTCTGCGCACGGGATGCTGCGCGCTGCGACTCCTTCGCAAAACCCGGCCCGCAGTCCCAGAAGCTGACCATCGTGTCCAGGTCTTCGCCAAGCAGAGGGTCTGAGGCGGCACCGACACGCGATGGATCGTCACCCTCGTCGTTGGCGAAGGTCTACTGAAGGTCAGCCGAGGCAAACGGAGACACCGCAGCCAAAAGGGAGATTCGAGTGGAGCGAACCCGCCATTCTCTCCGCCGAGTCCACGATCCTGTCCCCCAATACTAGTCCACAGCCCGCACACACCGGGTCACCGCTGCTGAACTCGGGGATTTGGGGGTTCGGGTCTTTGCAGTCGGAGCAAATGAGCCGAAAATTTAAATCCCGTCGGAACGTAGGAGGCGTAGCTGGTTGGCCTAGCTGCTTTGCCAAAGAAAGGGCTGGGAGCACGCCATAGTAGGCTCAGCGGGACAATATGAGATAGCAGCCACCATGTAGAGACTAGCTCAAAACCTCAGAGCCACTAGGTAAGGAGAGGGTTTGAAGCCTGCCTCTCTGCAATGTATTAGGACCTGATCAAGAGAGGGAGAGGGAGAGACAGTACTTAGAAAGGAGCCGTCAAGTCCCAAGTGGCTGTGTATACCATCACTTCAGTAAAATGTCATGAAGATAAGATTAGATGCGCCTCAACTCTGACATGGCATCATGAAACGAAACCCATTGTGTGTGATAATGACATGAGAGATGTATGCAAACTACAAAAAGTGTGATTCCTGGTGAACCGACGTTCCGCCTGATGCAGAAAACCTCCAGGGACAATCTGGCATTGTCCTGGTCAACGGAGCGAGACCTTGGAGCTCTTGCGCTCGACGGTTTCAGTGGTCAACTGATATTCATCTTCCCCCTCCTTAAGCTCTTTCCCTCCACTGGCAGCCTGTATGCTGGCCAAAACCTCCTTGCAGTACTTCAGCTTGTCAATAAGCTTCGTAAGCAGTTTTGCCTTGTCCTTATCGAGACCGGCGTTCCCGCTCAATCCGTACCGCATAACTTGGCGGAGCGTCCATTTGGTCATCTCATAATTCTTGTCGATGTGTGTCACCAGCAGTCCATTCGAGGAGAGGACTACTTTCGAGTGGTCGTAAAAGTTGAACTATGTGATTGAACTTAAAAGAGTGCCACAAACAAATACAGAAGCACTCACTTGGAGCGCACCATGGCTCATCAAAAAGACAATCACATGCTTCATGCGCAGGTATTTGATGACCCAGGACATGCCCGTTTTCTTGTTCGTGTCTGAATATGTGTAAGGATACTCGGCGTAAAGGCGATCCATGATGTATCCTTCGAAGTGCTTGAGGAGATATACTTTGGACTTGAGGGACGTCGGATACGAGTCTACGGTGAAAGACTCGGTCTGTGCGATTGGGGCAGCCAGAGCAGACGTTCCAGCAGCTTCAGGGGATGGCGTGATATAGTCAAAGTGCCTGCAGATATCCGTCAGTATCACGCCCGAGAAAGTCTCCTGTGTCTCACATCTTATCTGCACTGAGAACCAGGCTCGTGCTATCGTTAAAGTGTACCCCGACACTTTTGTCTGTCAAAGCGTAGCCCATCCCATACTTGTTGCAGTAATCAACCCATGAGACGATGAAGACACGTTCGTCCTGCAAGCTGTCCTCGCCAGGCTGAGTTGGGAATGACCGGGCCCGAGAATAAGAGGCAAAAGCAGTCGTCAAGGTCTCGAACGTGGCGATAAATGGAGAGACCGCGTCTCTCTTGACAGGCAAAGTGGGAGCAACAACTGTCAATAGATCAGTACGAGCTGCACGTGATGGCGAACAGCACTCACAATCGGAGACCACTCGAGGCTTCTTCGCAACTGCGAAGGGTGCCATGTTCTCTTGTTGCTCCTTCGTGACAGTGCGCACACTCGCTTTAAAAGTCTGCTCTACCGGTTTGGCACGCGTTTCGACCTTTTCCTCTGAGGGGGCCATTTGCACAACAATCCGAGCCTTCTGACTCTCGAGTTCGGTCTCGTTCTTGCCCTTGCGCTTCTCCTTTAGCTTGGCGGCATCCGATCCGGCTAAATCTTCCTCGACGATATTACCCAAGCCTCGCCGAGAGCTGGTTGCTGTGCGTAAAGGAGACTTGGCCCCAGCCGCCTGCAGTTTCCGATACAATCCGTCCCCCGCCGGCCGCGCGCCGTTGGTGCTGTTGGACGAGTAGCCTGGAATAGGAGGACGTGTTTGGTGCGAGGGCCCAAGAGGACTGGCTCCGACACCGCGAACGAGGGGTTGCCGCGCAGAGCTCAGCAGGGCAGAGATTGGTGAACCAGGCTGCACCGCTTTCTGGAACTCGTATTCTTGACGAGCGATGGTTGACGCCGCCGTCTTGGGTTCGACATTCGTTGTCGCGGCTTCTTCTTGACCGTCGAGGCCGGCATATTTTTTCAGTTTTGCCAGGTTGTAGTCGCTGCGCTCTTTCGAGATATTGCCCCATTCGGGAGGGCTGTCGTGTGCACTGGTCGGGATGTAATGGGGAACGGGACCCATCGTGAACCATTCGTGAGCTACGATGGACAACAGCGTCGGTCGCATCTGTGGATCGGGGGTCAGGATGTCGCCGATCAGGTTACGACTGGGGACCGATGGGCTGGCGGGCGGAGGCGATGGGAAGGCATAATCGTTGTTCCGAATGCGTCTAAACGGCAATCAGTCCACGACCCGCGTCGACAATACCATTCACGCACTGATAGATGGCTTTGACGTCTTTGGTCTGGAATGGCGGCCGACCCACGACCAGTGTGTACAGAATAACACCGATACTCCACGTATCGACCTCGAAGCTGTGACCGCTGGCGGTATCAAATAGGACCTCCGGAGCAATATAGTTGGGCGTGCCGCAAATAGTCTTCTTGCGCTCGCCGGGACTTTCGATGAGGGCAGCCAACCCAAAATCTCCGACTTTGATGTTCATGTGACTGTCGAGGAAGAGGTTGCCGAGTTTTAGGTCGCGGTGAATGACGGACTGGTTGTGCATGTAGTGGCAAGCGCCGATGAGCTGAACCATAAAAAAACGGGCTTCAGGCTCGGTGAATCGCTTTCGCCGGCGGAGAAGATCCATGAGGGAACCAGATGGACAAAGTTCCATGGTCATGTATACATTGTCATCACCCTCGAAGCAGTCGATGAAGTGGACGATATTGGGATGTGAGAGTGAACGGTGAATCTTAATTTCCGCATAGAGCTGTGGGACATGGTCATGAGAGATGGGGCATCATCGGTCAGCTCAGTCGGCTCACTTTCGTTTTCGCTTTCTTGGTCTTGAGGGAACTCATAGTAACAACCTTGCATGCAAAGCGCTTGTTTTGGGAGTCCATGACTTCGTAAACTCGTGCAAAGCCACCCTCTCCCAGAAATCCGACACGCTGGAACTGATGTTTGCCTAGCTTGTCGGCGATGACCCTGGGCGGAGAGGGAGGTGTTGTCTTGCTGTTCTGGCGAGGAAGGGGTGGGGATTGTGGCGCAGCGGCATTGGTGTCGGTAGGAGCGAGAGGATAGCGCTTGTGAGCGGGGGCGGGTGCTGGTATCATGGCCTAACGCCTTAGAAATCGAAAATGGGGGACAAGTTTGAGGTTGCCTTGAGCCTCACCGCCACTGAGTCGTGTTTCCAAACATGCATCATGTGACCGTAACCGGGAATCAGCTTGGCTGCACAGCCACACGACCTCTGGTAGAAGCCATGTCGTCGGACACTACGACGTCAGAGTCGGAATCATTCTTCAGCAATATCCTCAAGCCTGGGTCCTCTTTGGATCCAAGACTCCTGCTAATACTGGATGCCGCATTTGTGGCCCTTCTTTTCGTCTTCACCACTCTCTTCGTCATCACATCCTGGAATTTGCACTTCCTCTCTCTCATCTTCATCGAACTAGGTCTATGGGGAAGCGTGAAATGGTATAGGGGATACGAAGAGGATTCTTCATCACAGCTAATGCTACAGTAGGTTCGTCTATGAACTCGGGCGTATTCCAATACAATCAGAGCAAGAAGCAAAAAAGGACTCTTGAATAGATCATTTACCACCGGATCTTGTCGTTTTCTTCGTACCATCGCTTCATTCTTTTGGCACCTTCTTGAGCGAGAGCAAATACTGTAAGGGCTATGAGTCTTTTCCCTCGCCGCACACCAGCCAACTCACGCTCACGCTCCGTTCCATCTAGTCCTTCTCGGAATAGTTGAGCGGCGTCGCCAGCCGGACCCGTGCCCCCAGCTTGGGCCAGGGCTCCGAAGTGTTGCGCCTGGTCGACGATCTCCACTAAGCGTACATTGAACGTCTGGCGGTGCGATCAGTTGTCGGCGGAATCAGTATGCTGTGAATCCGCACATTCGTGAGCAAGTCGGACAGTTCATCCTTTTTATCCAGCCTGTTCCGAGATGGAGACATCGTCGTTTAAGAGTCTGGTGATCACGCACAATTCCATGATTGCTTTCCCCAGTCCATACCATAGACCACCTGATCCCACCAAAGACGATAGCCGAACACTACGAGGTTCTGCTCTGAGTGCATTGCGGACTTTCCCGTTGAACGCGGGGGGAATGATCATATCTGCCCAGTCCCTACAAGACATTAGAGAAGTCTGAGATGTGCTGAGGCCCCACTTACGATAGAACGACGGCATAAACAAGCCACAAAGGAATCTGAACGATTGCTGACTTATGGATCTGAGCGAACGTGTAAGTCCTATAGACATTAACAATGTAAAGAGGATCCTTGCATCGCGTTCGGCGCCGCCTCCCAGGTGACCCATTTCAGCAATGTCGACCGTGAATTTGCAGGCAATTTTCTACGCGTTTCGTGAGCTGGGAATCCAGGGAAGTGGTTGAGTAAAGCTTCTCACTTGATTCTCAGCCAGAATCGCGTCGATAGAAAAGTAATCGTCCTCCATGATAAGATGAGCGGCCGCAGAGCCCGAACGCGCAGCGTCACGCGTAACTCACTTAGATCATAACATGTTCTCTCGAACTCTGATCACTTCAACTTTGCGTGGGCAGCGTCTGCGGAGTTCCCGAGCTGTTATTCCTCGGCGTACATTTTTTGGTCTAGGGGGCAACAAGGACTCATCCGCAATAGCCCCTGCAGCCACGGAGCAAACACTACGTGATTTCCAGACTGCGCTGCAAGGCAAGCCACAACTTCTTCAGGCACTCAAGAACTTTGCGGCACTCCTCGAGAATGAAGGTCCGGAGATATCTCTTTGTTTGCTTTGCTTGTTTACGGCTGTCAGGTATTTCGGTATCAAGCGGAAAGATGCCTGGCCCCCTGCAGCTCATGAAACTCGCGAAAAATCCCCAGTTTCTACAGTCGTATGGACAGTTGGAGGCCGAATTGAAATCGGCGGGGATAGATGTGCGCTCCAAGGTGAGCTACTCAGCCTGGTAATACTGATAGGCCTCATCTGGGTATAGGAATTCTTGAAGGTCGCACAGCAGATGATGAACTCAAAGTCAGGTTCCCAATAGACACCGTTCCATACACTCCTCTGTTTAGTACCCCGACTGAAATCCGACTTCGTGCTTGAGATAAGCAGCTGCCCAATCTGACCCAGACCGGCTTGGGGCCCCCGTGTTGAAACACGTTCTTGCTGATCGAAGCGCGCCTCGGGTCACACGCGCCTCGGTCACACCGCCATCAATCACGCCATCTCCCTAAAGGGAAGTTCAACTTGTTGATGCGACCTCTCGTCAATGAATTCGGTTGCCAAACAAACCTCAGACGTTTGTTTGTGTTCCTAAGTTTATCTGCGCGTGCAGCATTGTGCGGTTTCCTTTTAAAGGATTGCCTCGTTTCTGACTCGATCTTTCGCTCTCACCCTCACTTCAGTCATGTCCAACAAGCCTTTGCAAACTCTTCGCCTTTGTCTTATTCATCCTCCAAGCATACTCGTCAGAGCAGCTTTGATCCTCCTCCTCAATACTCATCTCAGCCATCACACTCGGCACCTTCGACACCATGGATTCAATGTGTGACCTTGCCGCCAACGTATGGCACAGTGTCTGGTCAGAGTGCGTTGTTTGCTCCCGCTGGGACCCAAACGGGCTCCTCGTCTTACAACATCCAGCTGCAGCCACCCGTGCCATTCCTCATACGCCCTCTTGGCCCGCCGTCCCATTGCCTTCTACCTATCCTATCCTCCATCCTTCATTAGATACAATTTCATTCCCGATTTCCCGCTCTAGCTTGTCTCGTGAAGATGTAAGACGCCACCTTCAAGACCTGCAGAATACGGCAGCATTCCGCCATCCTCAAGCTTTTGTTCTCCGGGTGGTCAGCTACAACGGGCTCGAGACCCGACCTGCGCAAGTTCCTGCAAGTTCAATGTCGATCAGAGATCTCGTGTTGCTTTTGCACAGACACATTTATTCTCCGCTTTCGCGGGACGAGTACTTTGGCCTCGACGAAGCGAGGCAGATGCTCGTCTCCCAGTCTTGCGCTCGTCGACGCGGAGGTGATGCGTCCGTTGCCAATTTTTGTGTTGTGGACGTGCTCGGCCTAGGAGCTGGGGAGATTGTTTTATTCGGCCTCAAGGGCGATACCGACAAGGGATGGACTGCAGTGTTATACAATCCGAGCCTTCAGTAGGGGCTGGTAGCTCAAGGCTACAGCGGAGCCACGTCCGTATCTAGACCCTTTCGATTCTTTTTCTGATCCCGGCATGTGCCAACATCTTCATATCTTATCGGACTTGTAAATGTCACTTGTGCATCGGAAGAATTGTAGTACCAGTACGTTTGTGTCATCATCCTCAGCGCGCGATGTCAGCTATAAGTTTCAGTATCTGGCTTATTTTCCACGTGATCGCGTCCGAAATCAGTGATCTAATCTCAGCTCTTGACCCTGATGCAGGCTGAGTCCGAAGACCGTTCTCTTGCTCCCGAGCATCCCATCCCCAACAGACACTTCTTTTCGGTTGAATATCCTGGCTATGTCCGTCAAGAATCCGTGCCTATCGCGATACAAAATCTTGGTGGGCAAGCCGCACTCGACAATGCTTTCAAACGCAGGGCGAAAACGGAACCCGCGACCTTGGAGCTGAAACTACGTCCTGGGAACCCTTTCGCGCACCCAATCCCCGGAGATGTTGTCTCGACGAATAACCTTGTCCTCAAAATCGTGAAACGCCGTCGGAAAAATCGAATGGACGACAGAGGCACGGTCGGGGAGTACACTGCCGAGATCGTCGGTGCGGCTTCCAAAACGGTGAGATTCAGAAGTACGTATACTATCCTTGGGAATCTTTTGGCAACTGAGACCATCAGGTATGGCTGACTACCAGTACCAGCCGGACGCCAACGATCCGGTGACTAAGCTACGGACGGCAATGGACATTATGGATGGTATCGGTACCTGTTCATTTTCGTCTCAAATTTGCTCATTCAGGACAGTCGAGACCCTCCGGAGTTATTCCATGCCAGCTGAACGTGCTGAGTACCTTGTTCCTGTAATGTCTCCCGAGTCCTCCAGTACGGACATGAACGCCATGACCAATCTCGATCCTGCTCTGGAACGAACGCCGGACGACGCAGAAGCTCAGCGCCAGCCTAGGCAAAGCAACTTGCGCCTGTTTCCGCCACCGCTGTTCAGTCGCCAGGCGCTTCCTCAGCCATACAAGTATGTAATATTTATAACTCGCTACTGTCTGCTCACAGTCTCAGTTTCAAGGCCAATCCGGCATCCATGGTAACGTCGATCGTCAACGAAGAAACTGGAGAGGAGAGGAAACGTCTCATCAATAAAATGCGCTGGAAAGGATTCGGTCCAATTTCGCTCTCGTTCAGCGATCGCCAGGTGACGCACGGTAATAACTTGGTCCTGTAATGAAACTAATGCCGTCAGATACCTGATAAACCATCGCAAAACATTCAGGGCGCGCGAGCTACGTTGAACGAGGCTCTGGTCAAAAAGCTCTTGGAGGTTTGCGATTTCTTCTCGCTGCAGAGGCCGCGATACTCAAAGAAGGCAAGATTTTCACGACACGACCAGTATGGACTAGGGCAGCTCTCCTCACTCAGTTGACGCCTTCAGAGGCCAGAGAAGCCACCAAGTACGTCGCACCTCGGTTACTGCGCGCGCAGCTCATATGGTTCTGCAGCACAAAAGCATTGCTGCCCACTGTATGTTACGTTTTCAGCGATGGACCATGGAGAGACACACTTGTTCGATTCGGTTACGATCCCAGGCAGAAAGCGGAATCCAGATTGTAGGTTATCCAACTTTTCCTTGTTGCTCGTCCTGATGTCATCCAGCTACCAACGAGTTTATTTCCGCAATGTGAATCACCCGATTGTCAAGCCATCTGTGATGACGCGGCGGCAAGATCGTTCCATTACTGGTGGGTCCGAATACAACAGCATTGTCGATGGATCGGAGAAGGATGCTGAACGCAAGTGGGTGTACAGTCCTTCAGCCCCGTCTACTGCTCATTCTGTGGAAGAAAGTCGCATATATATGACGGCAAAACTTTTCCAAGGGAAACAGCATCATTTCAGCTCTGTGACCTCCACGACTCTATGCTCCAAGAGATGATCGAAGACGAGTCCGAGCTGAGAGAAGAATGCGACGTTCGTTTCTCTCGATCGATCGATCTGTAGCATCTGAATGCTCAAGATCAAGTCAGGAACGTGACGGATGGTACACAACGTACGCCCTCGAGAGAATCAAGACCGTCCTTCGACACAAGTTCTTCACTACTCTGGAGGGTTATCCGGCAACAGACGAAGAATGCCGACAACTGCTCGTTGCGTCGGCGCAAATGCCGAGCAGAGGCAAAGAATTCTCGAATCTAAGGAACGTCCGTCTCAAACTGGGCAAGCATAACATGGCCAAGGGAGCATTAAGGCCGGAGGATGCTGCGGTGCGTCTATCTATTCATTCAGTCCACTCCCTTCCTTTTAACTTTATCAGGCCTTGAGATTGAGGGCTGCACTAGACAAGACCGCGCGCGATCGCACCGAACCGAAGGACTGATCGATGTCCATAGTTTCTTGATACCGTGTATTCAGCATTGCGGCACCGGAATTATGTGTTTTTGCCAGGTTTTGATTGATTTTGTAAAGCAAGGGCATAGCAAACAGCATACTGCATGGCATATCGAGCCTGTGCTCGGCGCGGCATCCGACCCTCAAACGCCTGAAACTCTCCCCTGAACTACTGCGCACAGATATCGTGTCGGGTAGAATCCCTATGCGGCTGCGGCGAGTTTTGCTTCCCTGCGCGCTTTGTGCTATTCCAGTTCATCAATAAGTGATATCTATCGAGCAGCAAGGGCACATACCGAGCCAACCAGTGCGAAGCGAGCGTTGCGGCGGAACTGGATAGATGTGAGCACAGGAGGCCCCAAAGGCAGGGCGTATATAGTCAGACCTTAGAGTCAACCTGTGATATGTGTGCGTGAGCGAACAAATTAAGAATTTTGTATTGACACGACTTACACCCTTCAAGGACCGTGTACGACCAGCAATGGGGCGCTTGATGCCATTCTTGTGCGCCTACGATCCTCCAATTAGCACCGCGTGATTCAGTTCGTTTCGTTTCGTTTGCGGACCTTCTTGTTCTGGTTGTGATTCGTGTGGCTGTAAGTTGCAGAGACATAAGTGTCGCATAGCACGTCACGACGACGAAACGCACTTCTTAGACTTGGCCATTGCTGAGGGTCGGAAAAGTGAGTCCTTGAGGGATTACGTGAACGGAATCGTACAGCCACCAACTGTGCAGTATGATGCCGAAATCGACCGCGAGCTGAGTCTAGAGCGTGACGTAATACAAATGTCACCTGACTGACGGCAAATTCCTTGATCCTCATTGGCTTTCGGGAACCGTCTCCGAAAGTCGACCCGAAAGACTGTATCGGCCGATCGGACATAACTTTCCTTCTGTTGCAGACTCGAGGTACTTAACCTCATTCTTACTTCTAACCACGCATCTTCTGACACGTTATCCTCAACTACAATGACGAACGCCCCTCGAACTCTCTACGATAAAATCTGGGACGACCATGTCGTGTAGAGCATTTTGTTCACAGCCGATCCCGTACCTGATCATCCTCTACAGCGACGTCCAGGACGACGGCCTCGCTCTCCTCTACATCGATCGGCACCTGGTGCACGAGGTCACCAGCCCGCAAGCTTTCGAGGGCTTGTCTGTGCTTTCTTTCTTCCTATCTCGTTCCTGGCTCTGATATGACGTAGGAGGAATGCGGGGCGACCTGTGCGGCGACCAGACTGCACGCTGGCTACGGTCGATCACAACATCCCGTGAGATATTTCCCTTCATACCGCACATCTCATTGGCTGACATGTTGAAAGGACTGTGTCACGCAAGAACTTTGTCTCTGTTTCGTCGTTCATCGAAGAGCCCGACTCGCGTGCCCAATGTGCTGCCTTGGAGGACAACATCAAGGAGTTTGGATTGACCTATTTCGGTATGACCGACAAGCGACAGGGCATCGTTCACGTTATCGGCCCCGAACAAGGATTCACTGTGAGCATATTACGAGCTTTCGATTTCACGCCTAATGCATGTTAGCTCCCCGGTATCACCTGCGTTTGTGGCGACTCTCACACGTCTAGTCCGTTCTTCCTTGCACCACGTCAAGTCCGTCTGATCTTTTCTTCCAGCACACGGAGCATTTGGGTCTCTCGCGTTTGGCATTGGCACGTCCGAAGTAGAGCACGTGCTCGCAACACAGACGTTGCTGCAGAAGAAAGCAAAGAACATGCGTATCACGGTCGACGGAGAACTGCTCGACGGGGTTAACTCGAAGGATGTTATTTTATACATCATCGGTCAGATTGGCACAGCCGGAGGGACAGGATGTGTGATCGAGTTCGCTGGCTCTGTCTTCCGCAACTTCTCCATGGAGGCAAGGATGAGCGTGTGCAACATGAGTATTGAAGGTGGTGCCCGGGCTGGCATGGTTGCACCGGACGAGATCACGTTTGAGTATCTCCGCAACCGACCGCTTGCACCGAAGGGAGAGGCCTGGGATCGCGCAGAGGCTTACTGGCGAACGTTGAAGACCGACGACGGCGCAAAATTCGATATCGAGGTCAACATTGCTGCGGCGGACATTATCCCGACCGTGACTTGGGGCACTTCGCCCGAGGACACTGTGCCCATCACAGGCTCTGTTCCCGACCCATCGACCTTTGCTGATCCCGTAAAACGCTCCTCTGTCGAGCGCTCCTTGGCCTACATGGGGCTCAAACCTAACACGCCCATCGAGCAAATCACAGTCGACAAGGTGTTCATCGGGTCGTGCACCAACAGTCGCATCGAGGATTTGCGTTCCGCCGCCAAGATCGTGCTTGCCGCTGGGCCGGATGCCAAAGTTGCTGCGAATGTCGATGCGATGGTCGTTCCCGGGTCTGGACTCATCAAGAAACAGGCTGAGGCGGAAGGTCTCGATGCCATCTTCAAACGTGCTGGCTTCGATTGGCGCGAAGCTGGCTGCTCGATGTGTCTTGGCATGAACCCTGATCAGCTCTCCCCCGGCCAGCGGTGTGCATCTACAAGCAACCGCAACTTCGAGGGTCGCCAGGGATCAGGCGGTCGCACTCATCTGTTGAGCCCGGCCATGGCAGCCGCTGCCGCCATGACCGGCAAGCTCACTGACGTCCGGAAATTTGTCGGAGCCAACATCGAGTCGGCCCCCAAACTCAAGGTGATGAGTGCCTCTGAATTCTTGGATGATCCCGTTCTTCCTCCTCCGGAGCCGCAAGTTTCGGCTGCCCCCCAAACGCCAGGGAAATTGCCACCCAGTGAGGCCCCGTCCACTGTCCAGAAGTTCACCACTGTCAAAGGCATCGCCGCTCCCATGTACATCGAAAACGTCGACACCGACATGATCATCCCGAAGCAGTTTTTGAAGACCTTGAAGCGCACAGGTCTCGCCGACGCCTTGTTCTTTACATTGCGCAAGGACCCGCACACAGGCAAGGACACGGACTTCGTTCTCAACCGGGCCCCGTACAACAAGGCCAAGATCCTCGTTTCGACTGGCAAGAATTTCGGATGCGGCAGTTCGCGGGAACACGCGCCTTGGAGTTTGTGAGTCGCATGTGCTCCACAACAAATCCAATGCTGACCAGCTTCAGAAACGATTTTGGCATACGATGTGTTATTGCGCCGAGTTTCGCCGATATCTTCAAAAACAATACGATGCAGAATGGCATGTTGCCTGTCGCCATCTCTCAAGAAGAGTGCAAAGCATTGGCGGAAGATGCCGAGGCCGGGCTGGAGCTCGAGGTTGATCTCGAAAAACAAGAGGTCCGCCGTCCAAACGGGCAAGCTGCCATCCCTTTCACGATCGATCCGTTCCGCCGCCACTGTCTTTTGAACGGTCTCGATGACATCGCTCTGACTATGCAGCGGGCGGAGACCATCACCACCTTTGAGAAGCGCAGAAGCGAGATTTGGCCGTGGTTGGACGGATTTGGTTTCAAGGGCGCTCGGATACCAGTGGCGTTGACGAAAACGGCCAAATCGACGATGGATTGGTGAAGACGTATTCCACTTACATGCTGTTGTTGAAATGTCAAATGTATACTGGTTCTGGACACAGTACTGGCGATACATGCACCAGTTTCACTCCAACACCCATCCACAACCAGACACAAATACAGGCATGGTCCGTGCGCATAATAGTAGTCATTGTGATCAATCTTCGTCGCGGTGCCGATGCCCATATCGACGAGTCACGCTTTAGATCCGCCATGGGGTGCGGATATTCGCATTCACCGACAGTGGGCTGATGGTACAGCAGATAGAGAGAGCAAGACAGTGATACAAACGACGCCTGTAATGAACACCGACTGAGTTACACGCGATAAACCATCCAGCTGCAGCCACCGACCTTCATACAACCAAGACCAGAACAAGACTGATACTATCGTACTGTTTCCAATGTTTCCATGGACGTGACGCTGTTCCCTCGGATGACCTGCAGGCAGCAATTCAGCAAGGGGCAGATTTAGATGAATGGTGCTGCTGCATACCACAGTGCCGATGGGATGCTTTTGGGCAGGAGTGGTCTCTTCGGTAGCATCGTCGATGACCAGATTTAAGAAGAGATCGTAGCCGCGCAATGTACCGCTGACTTTGCGTCCTCCTTGCAAATGGACGAACAATTTTTTGTCCATGAACTGTGAGCATCCGGACGTCAGAAAGACAGGGAGAGTGGATGGAGGTTATACCTTTTTCAACTCAGGCTGGGACGCTTTCGACATGGTGGCCAATACGAAGTGACTTTGTTTACATCAAAAATACATTTGATTGTTCACCTTCCAACAAGCCTCACCTCCTCCACGCTATCCCCACAACTCAGGATCTTATTGATCCTTGACGTCTACTTACAACAGGCTAGTCATCAAGTGCGTTCTCAAATTATGTCTTACAGTATCCTCATCCGCCTCCTTAGTTGATTTCCGAGTCCTGGGTCAAGCATGGCTGCTCCTGCTCCTCCACTTGCCACTCCATCTGGCAACTCTAGAGCCCGTGATTGGCCTCGAACAGAGCTGGGATCCTCTGCGTTCGGGGGAAACCCCAGAGGCGGTCGAGGTGGTGGTGGTGGAAGGGGAAGGAGCAGAGGCGGTCGTGGTCGAGGGCCGAACCCTAACTCCAACTCCACCGGCCACAGTAAGGACAATGGCGGTGCCGAGCCTTCGCATGCTTCGAAGAATGATAAATCAACGAACAACGAATCGTTGCCGCCCAAAGCGACACCGGCCAGTACGACATCAACACCGGATCCTAAACCTAAGCCATCTCCCAATCCTTCGATCTCGGCGCTGTCTAATACCACCACTCCTTCGTCGGGCTCGCGGCGTCACGGTCGTAAGCCATCGCGCTCCACACCATTGGTCGTTCCTGCGGTACTTGTGGGTGGACCATCTCCCTCGACCGTACTCCCTGCTACAGCGCCTGTCCCCCGACCTTCGAACCGCCGTCGCCGTTCACAGCAGAGTGCGAAGGGAGGAAATGGGGCTATCAGCACCGGCGGAAGTAATCTCAAAGTCAATGTACCGGCATCGGACGATAGCACCCTTCTCCGGCCGCAGAACAGACTCCTAGCGCCCCGCAGTGCTCCGCCTCCCTCAAAGGATACGCCTCCTCACTTGGCCGGATCATTCAGGCAGAATGACATTGATGCCTTTGTGGAACGAGTGCGAGCCTCTGCGATGGAAAGTAACCGCCCCAATACTCCAGGCAGTCACATCGATTGGGCTGGTGACGACGACGAAAGCTTGCCGGATCTTGATGATTGGGGTGTGAAGACTGTCACACAGGAGGAGAAGCCAGTGGAGCCCGAGCCCAAGGATAGCGTGCAAGCCCAAAAGGACATGATGATTTCTCCCATCATCGTCGATGGGCTGACTGCATTGCCGGATCCAGTTGCGCCCCCTGCAGATGTCAAAGAGGAGGCGGTGGTCCCTTTCAGTGCCGACGAGCAGCCGAGGATGGAAAGCACGCCTCCTCCGACGTCCCTCCAGCCGGCCGCTGAAAAATCCTCCGAGCCTGCCGTCCAGCCGGCGCCTCTTTCTGGGCTCGCTGCGTCCATCTACGCGCCGTCGAACTCTGATGATCCGGCAGAGACTTTCCATCCGACGCATCAAAGGGCCCATACCGTCGGCAGAACGTTTTCGAGGTCTGCGCACAACCTGAACCAGCGGGACACGAGGGGAACCAGGACGCCGGGAAACCAGCATGCCCGGACGCACTCGTCGCCCCCTGCTTCTGTGCGCAACCCACGGCCTCCGCACGCCAGACCCGTCATCACGGGAGCCGCAATTTCAAGGCTTGCGCGCACCATCGCCGCTCCAAGCAAGACCCCATGATGATAACCCCTCAATCTCAGCTCATCTTATCTTATCTCTGATTTCATGAACATGCTCTGCTCCTCTTCTCACCTCTGTGCCTATCATTATTTTTTGTGTACTTTATAGGATGGCTCGGGATATGATCACACAACAACAATGAATGCTTATTTTTCGTCTGAGCTGAAGTACGACAATTCCAGTCCGATTGCCTTGATCGGTTTCGCCGAGTTGGACAGGTCAGAAACAACACCCACGCTAACCAGCGTCTGCTGCACACGGCCTTCCCAGAGCAAGGCGACATCCTGCTCACACAAAAACGTCAGAAAAAGATATCCCAGAGAGAAGCCAGCCAGCCACTCACCCGGTTCGTTGAAGCACGTGCTTTGAGAACCCCTCGCACCTGCCCACTCTCTCTCGATGTCAGAGGTGATTCGTCTTCACTATCTGCGTCGGCTCTCGAGCGCATCCACCATTCAGCACCCATCGTCCATTCGCTCTCATAGCTGTACACATTGAAGTCGAACCGAGAAGCAAGAGAAAGATCTCGCGACACTCGGCTGGAATAAGCGCTCGATATGTGGCCCAGCATAGGGTTGAACAAGGCCGTTATCGTCGTCGGCGCCTGAGTGGGCGGACCCCTGGTTATCGTCGTCAACGGCGAAGAAGATGGTCCCGGGGCTTGGAACGATGGAGGACTTGATTCGGGTAATGTCGAGAATCGAAAACCAGTCGAAACTGAGGCAAAGATAGCGTATCAGTGCCTTTGAACATGTATGACGCAGGTGGGAAATTGTACCTCCACCGCTTTTCTCTCTTGCGCTGAAATAAAACTCGGCCCCGGCCGAAACGCGTCCCTTCAGACCCCCCTCGATCGCATCCTCCTCGTCGACCCGTTTCACCCCGGTCCGGGCAGCAGCCTTCTCCGGATCGTCTGAATTCTCCTGGGCCATTCCGAGCTTGCCGAAGTTATGCAGCACTCGCACACCCCACATGCTATCGTCTGCGCTCCAGGTGTATTCTGTGCACCACTTCCCCACGTCGTGTTGGATGTTGACGATCAGGTTGCTGACGTTCGAGTTACGCGGTGCAGGAGAGTTGATATTGGAAGGCGGATGAGAGATAGCGGCCACGAGAGCCTGGACGGTCGGTGATAAACGCGTCGAGTAGAGCGCGTCAAGACGGCCCGTGGGGAGATAAAACCGGCCATACATGAGGTAGTCTAGTGTTCCGGTTAATGACTGCTCCTCCCTCCTCTTGCATGAGGATAATTAGATCACACACCACGGTTGTTTACTAGCTCTCCATTTAAAAACTCCTCTTCCTTTGGTTCGGCACGGCGCGGCTGGTCGTAAACGCGGAATCGCTCAATCATATCCTTGAACCGGACATTCCCGGAATTCTTGACATCGAGATCGCAAGAAGTGAAGATGTAGCCGACAGAGCCACTGAGTGAGGGCATGGCAGTCATGGAATATGTTGTCTTGAAGAGAGAATTGGGTGACTTGGACACCGCGAGATGGAGCCCTCTGGGGACGGAGAAATCGAGGATCGCTGATTCACTGCATGAGTAAGAAGCAGAGCAAGAGTGGTGTCGAGCAAACCATTCGAAGACCGAGTGATGTTGGCGTATAGATTGTCCTCGTTCCAGCCTGTGGCCTTGTAGTAGCTGCGAAGGACGTATGAAGCAAAAGGGTGCATGTGCACGTGATCTGATATTGATACGCGCAGGCCAGGTCATACGTATGTAGTATACACGGAAATAGATACTTGAGGATAAACTTGAACGATACAGCGTTACAGAAGGAAGGGGACACAAGAAAAATCAGTGGGTAGGAAACGCTTCAATGACGGCACCAATGCTGGGTCTTTCCGCCGGATTGCTATTCCAACAGGTCAACATCAGAGACCACAGAGCGTCACTAAGCCCGCGTTCCAGCACACGTTCTGAGGTCGGACGCTTGGGCTGTATGCCTTGAGAAGACTTGATTACGACCTCGGCGGTGTGTTTGACCTCCTTGTAGGGATGTTCATGGGTGAACAGCTGATAAAACCTCAGCGTGAGTCCGTTTCCTGCACTACAGGCATCCAGACTCACCTCGAGCACAGTCATACCAAAAGCATAGATGTCTGAGCTGGCAGAGAGAACTCCTTGCCCCACACAGAGTTCAGGTGCAAACCAGCGATACGATTCACTGACGCCCCGACTCTGACTGAAAGGAATCCCGGTGATGTCTTCAACGATCTGACCGGCGGGTTTGAGCCAGACAATCCACAAGCAGAGGGATACGTACACAAGACAATCCAAAATCGGCGATTAGAGGGTTTCCTAGATTATTGATTGCGATGTTCATCTACAGAATGTGAAAACATGACAGGAATGGTCGATCTTTTGACCCACTGCTTTGATATCCCCATGCACAATGGGAGGTGTCATATTGTGCAAGATCTGAATGCCAAGGGCAATACCCTTGGCCTATCAAAAGGTCAAACACAACAATCGAAAGTCGCCTTAATAAAACTTGCCAATTTGAGGTAGTCCACCGATAGATCGTGCCGTTTAACATATTGGATCGCCGACCCGTTAGCTTGCCATGGGCTGACGATGTAACTTGGGTTGCAACATGAGCGTCCATTCGTATTGGAAAGAGTGGGAAGCCCTTACGGAAATGGCCCATCCGATTGGCTGAAACCATAAAACGGCAGGATGTATTTGCCTCCGTCACGCTTCCACAATTCTTTCCAAATTTCGCATTCACGTTCAAATCTCTATCACATCGTTGTTAAAAGAGGAATGATGCCGACAACAGACCAGCTCACACGTGCACTATCTGGACCGGCGTTGACAGCTCTGACAACCTTGATCGCCACTTTTTCGCGCTGCAAGTAAAGGCCCTCATAGATGTCCTGGAGAATGATGGGTGATCATGGAAACGAAGGAGCACGTGCGTGAAACTGACCATAGAACTGGTACCGCTCACCGGAAATATCCCGCTTCTTATCACTTCCCCAGAGCGCAGATTGAAGTCGGGTAAGAGCTCGCGACTCTGCAGCTGCAGATCGTACAGGTTGCTCGATAGCCCGATATGCGACTGGTCTTTGACTTTGGTTTCGCGCAAGAACTAGGTACATCCCGTCAGTGCTCAGATTCTCCAGGCAACATACAGAATAGACTCGCCTGCTGCATCATTTCCATTGTATGTCTAACATCGGAGGACTGCGACTACGAAAGACTGTCAGTAAGAGGTCCTGGAACATCGTCTCCAGCGCGCACCTGCCTCTCTGCAAGAGTGTTTTCGTGGATCTTCTCTAGAAGATCGTAGATGATCGTCTGTGAGTTCGTGATGTCCCCTAGATATCCCACGAGTTCTCGATGATCTTGTTTGGAAGATTCCTTAAACTGAGCTTGCCATTCGTGTAGCTCAGTGTGCGAAGCGATCTGTTCTTGAAGTAAGGATCCAATACCGAACCTGAGGACAACCCATGCCTGGAACGCATTGAAGCAGTCTGAGAGGATGCTGTGACACCTCGCTATCTCGACCGAGATATCGTATTGGTGGAGGAACGCCTTGAGTTTCGAGAGTTGTACACACTTCTCCATGATAACTTGCACGTCGCCCAGGCATCTGACGGCGATCCGTCAGTTCATCTTTATGGTCTCTGACCATCGCACGCACTTCGTGAACGATTTCAGGGCAGCATCGACATTTTCATTCATAGTATGCCTCTCGTTGATGACGAGGAGCATCCGATGGCATCTAGTGCTCAATTGTGCCGCCGTGGCCCTTGTAAGAGGAATCGGTTCAGATGAATGGTCTCGGGCGCGTCGCAGACGAAGACCGACTTGTTCTGAGACACATTCTGGCAGAGCGTGATGATATTGGACACGAGTTGTGCAACTGGTGCCAGGGCCGGGACCGGTGTGAACTGCGCTGTGGCTTGAATGGCAGCTTGGACCAGAGAGGAGGAGAGAGAAGGGAGTTGAGGAACAGACGGCCGATCCATGTTAGTGCTTGGGTTTAGTTCTGACGTTATGGCGGTGGGTGGGAGGTACAGTCGGTTGTCCCAAGGACTTTAAGAATAGCATGGGTGTAGCGAAGGCTGTAGAAGGCTGTTCGGAAGGATGCAGATCCATCAGACCTTGCATATAAGCATCAAACGCGCGTCAAGTAAGCTGTATGGAATTGGCATCTACTTGTGTATTCGTTTTGGATAAAGTGCCCTGTACTGTACTCCATGACAAAAGAGCAGTGTTGCAGTGGACGCGAACTGAGCGACTTCGCGCAAGCCTGTACAACAGCCTTTAACTGCCACTATTGCCGCTGATCCATCTGACGCAATCCCGAAAGCCATAACCAGAATTCATTTCCTGGCTGATATAGTGTTTTCATGCCGTCGCATGAAGATGTACGAAAGGATGGACGGTTCCATGATGCGAGAAGTATTGAGATGCTGAAGGAACAAACGATGATTGATGTTTAAATATGTAGTGCCAGTCCAATTGTGAGCAGCAGATCAATTCGAATTCACTGTCGACTCAAAGGATTCTGAAACGCCTGAGGAAGAAATACCCTGCTCCAGACAAGATCCCTCCAACATGCCCACTGGAATTAGAGGTTCCGGCCTTAATAGGACGGTTCAGGCTTGAGCGTGGAGAAATGGTAATGGACGAACCTTATCCCAAGCCGTGAGATACGTCTCATACGAGAAGAGGCCTGTGACCGTCAGCCAGATGGGAACAGGCACGATTCCATAGATAAGAAGTGTCATACGAGGCTCTGTGAAAGCAAGAAAAGAGAGGATGGAATAGATGGCACCTGGAGGATGGTCAGGGCAATCAATATTCAGAGCCTACCGAGAGGCTGACCACTAGCGCCCACAGAGTATCGATCTCTGCCCGTAGTTATCTGATCGTATGCAATCGAAAACAGCTCACTCAGTGCGCCGCCTGAGGAGTTTAGCCTTCCAGCCCAGGGCGAAGCCCGACAGACGCACCTCCGAGATAGAGGAACAGAAAACGACGACTTCCCTTACCGCAGTTTAGGACAATTAGGACAATTAAATCGAAATGAGAGATCTCACTAGTATCTGTAGAACCAACGGTGCCATAAAGTAAAAGGTGAAGCCGTTGAACAAGATGTGAGTAACATCCGAGTCGTTGTGAGTGAACATAGAAGTAAACAAGGTCCATCTAGAAGAAGAGCCAGTCAAAACTTCGGGGCATACAAGGCGCTGATCGGCTTACATGCGCCCGGACGAGATGTTATGCCAGTTGGCGTAGAAATGTTTGCGCATCATGGTGTATAGACGGGGGTCGCGTTCGACCGTCTAAGGCAAGTCAGACAGATAGAGATGGCAAGCGGTGGAGAATGGGACCAGCTTCTGTTTGGCCCACCAAGAAAGTCCGAAGATGGCACCATTCAAACCAATGATACCCCAGAAGATCGTATTTTCAGGAATGTCGTCTAAGAAGCGAAAGTAACCGCGACTATGGCGGTAATTCCGGTTACGACTCGTGGAGGAGAAAATCCTCTTGGAGTATTGGGTCCTCGCATTGGACAAATTCAGGGACTGATGGGTCCAAGCGCGTCGAAGTCCGATCCTGTGCACGTTGTGAAATAACATGCTTCAGTGGCTGTGACGCCACGCTTGTATATGATTGGTATAGTGACAAGTGACTGGTTAACGGCTTTTGCCTCCGCTTTCTTTCTATTTTACAGGCGAGTTGCAGTCTCGCGTTCTCGGTGACCACCAATCCATCTTGAACTCGGGACCACACATCGCCTCTTATTCTTCTCTTGTCTCTTTTATCTACCCTTCCACTTCTGCTCAAAGAAACGTCTGCGGCTCCCCGTTACATTCTCCCATAATCCTCATCTGAACGTAATCGACCTATCTATCGCTTACCATGACAAGCACCTCACCAAATCCGCGCGCTTCCCTTCTATCCGGACTCCGCACCGGAGGCGTCCGCTCTGCGTCTGCGACCATTCCACACACTGCTGCTCCCGGCGGGTCATTCAACGTCCCACGCTTAGCCCCTCAACTTCACGGGTCCAACTTTCCTGAAGAAGAGGAAGATCAGGTTCTTGAAGTGCCTGCAAGTTCCGTCTTCAACAACCATCGCGTACCCCGCGCTCCCATGACTGCCGCCGTAGATGGGCCTGACCACAGATTCCAACAACAACAACGGGGCATGAACCCTAACAGCGTTCCCTTCAGCCCGGCTTTCATGTCACAACAACAACAGCCCAATCCCAATCAGGCGCAAGCCTTTCAGATGCAAATGATGCAATTAGAGTTGATGAAGATGCAGGTGGGTGGCATCGTCATGCCCGATGACTGAACCTTGATGCATCTCCCTAGCACGCACAAACCCAGCAATATCAAGCCCAGCTTTTGGCCCAAGCTCAACTTCAGCTGCAGGCCCAGCAGCAGCAGCAGATGCAGATGCAAAGTCCCAGACGTGCCAGTTATAATCCTCCGGCGACTGCGGGTCCGCTCACGTCTTCCTTTGATTTGCGATCTGCAACGCTCAGCGCTCAGATGCGCCGCGCCTCGCAGGGCAGTGCTCTCGATGAACCGGTGCCGATGACGGCCGCTCTGGGAGGAAAGTTTGGTGCTCGACCTATCAATATGTCTGGTCGCCCTGGTGGAGACGAGTACGAGGATATCTCATCGGCGCCAAGTACTACTGTTATCAGTGGAGGCACCTCTTTGGGTGGTGGAGCCAGCGCCGGAACTACATCGAAATCCGATACAGCTTCGAATTGGCGGCGCGGAGGCAATAACAATTCTGTTCTCAGCGGGAACAACCGCTCGCCTAGTGTGAAGATCACACCACCGCCGATCGAGAAGCGGACCTCGCCGCCACCTCCAGCTGCTCTGCCCAGCAGCAAAGTCCGCCCGATGCCTTTGCGTCTTAATGCTGCAGTGTCCCAGCCGATGGCCAGTGTTTCGATCGATACCAACGAAGCTGCCGATAACGACGATGTCGATGCTGAATCAGTCAGCTCGCACAAGTCGTCCAACTCGAACCCGACGACGCCTCCGTCCGCTTCTTCGACGGGGATCCCTCTCTCACCCCGAGAGGAGGCAAGCCGGAAACTATATGAGGGGCTGGGGATCGAACGTTCTGCTCCAGTTCCGACGGTTGTGATCGAACAGCCGCCGATGACCGCTCCGCTGTCGAAAATGGGGAGTCAACCTGTTCGCCAGCCGCGAGGGCCTCCATCGGGTGCGGATGAACTGGGTCCGAAGAACTTTGCGGCTCGAATTCGACGGCAGGCGATCGGGGGCCTGATGAACTTGCGCGAGAAGCGAGACAGCGTGGTGGAGGCGTTCTGAAGAACATGCTGCTTGAATATTTAACATCGCGGCATCCTATACATTCATTCAGCTGAAGTCTGCTTTTGCAACTGTTTGTTTTGCGCTGACCCGCGCGCGAGCTGTGCTTGTCTGCCCGATTCTTGCAGAGTGCTTCCTGTGGCTTGCCTGTTTCAGTTTACATCTAGTGTATACAGAGCAGCATGTACGAGTTTTGTTGTTGTAATGAAACGCTTTGCGTCAGATACATACATATGTATTATACACCAAGAAAAAACAGCAGCAGTCATCTACTTGCATCGCTGGGCAACGATGGCTTTACCGTGTTCCTGGTGGACAGTCAGTCAGCTGCTGCCATTTCTACATGCGCGAATGCAACGCACCTTCCACTCCTCCTGGCTGATCCAAAGCTGGTGGAAGGTGCCCAGACTGCCTAGCACACTACCACCGAGCCAGCCACCGAAGCGTCGCTCTATCGGGTTACCTGGAGCATGGATTTTAACATGCGGGAAGGACCGGCCCAGCTCGCTGTGAAGTCGCTCGCTGAGTCCCGAGAAAAGGCTCCCGCCGCCTGTGAGAACCACATTGCCAACCAACACCGGGCGCAACTCGGGATCGCATGCCCTGAGAGAATCGGCGATCAACGCCGTGATCGTTTTCGGTAAGTGGGGATTGGTTGCCTAAGAGCGGGTCAATTTACATAGCCTGCGGGAAGCGAGAAGATACCGCACCGTCAAGTGAGGTGAGTGGTGGAAGAATTGCTCGCCCACTGTAAAACGTTCTGATCCGAACCAGGCAGTCTGCCCCGTCGGAAACTCATATTGACGAGCCGGTTTACTGGCAACAACCCTGAAGCGAGAAAATAAGGAGGAAGTCGAGATCCCAGCTTGGAGACATACTGATCGTTCCACCCTTGTTCGACCACACCTCCAACACTCTGAAGCCATTCTTCGACCTCCCGGTCCTCATACCAATGTTTCCAAGTCTGTGTGGTCCCCGGAAGACGATCCTGACGGAGAGTGTACTGTGGAGGAGCGCCAACTTCCACGGGCTGGCGAAACAGTCAAACGATTCAAAAGTAAACAACCGTCTCAGCTCACCTTCTTGTTTGCGATCAATTGGTGTGGGTACAGTTCGATTGCACTTCGTTGAGGTGTCGGCGAACTGAGGATGTGTCGAGCATTTGCTTGGACCAGTCCCGGCAACGGAGAATATGCGAGTCCTAGTGTCAAGTTGAGCAATGAGGAGTTGGTCGCTAGGCACATGAGATTGACCTTTGCGCAGAACAAAGCCGTCTACAATGGGTGTCACACTGGCCATGGATTTCCCTACATCAATGACAAGGGCAGATCCTTTTCCAGCCGCAAAGCTATGGACGAGACTTGAGCACCTCCATCGAGCCAAGCCAGCAAAACAGACTAACGCGTTGAGAACGCCTGTGTTGGCGATATAGAATGCTGGAACCTTGAAGTCTTCAAACATAATCTCCGCCATGCGTTCCCTGTTTGCCGGCGTGTTCCAGGCCGGTTCTGTGACCAATATTGGGTGTTCAGAGGGATTGCAGCGCATAACATGAGTGATAGCATGTCGAATCAAAGCAGCAGTCGCCTCAAAGTCATGTACTGATCAGGATTGTCGGTGCACCGTCGCTATGGAGAGCCAGGATAGACGCACTCAAACCATCCTGGACAGGATTAGAAATCTCCATGCCCTCCCTCCACACTGACGGCCCGAACTGTCCCATGAACATCTTCGCGATTTTTCTCGACGGTATGCTTGTATCAGGTTCATCCGAGGCGTCTGGCATCGCGGCGTCGCTCTCTGGTGGTGCATGCAGGAACCCAAATGTGGTAGGAATGACGGCTCTGGGTGTGTCGTCCCCAGCGTAGCCTACGCGTACAGAAGAGGCGCCGATGTCGACAACGAGCGCAGAAACTTCATCTGGAGGAGCAGACTGTGAGCGACAGCAGCGTCGGAGACGAGTTCGACGCGCCTCCACCGTAATTCACCATGGCACGAACCAGAGAGTTTCCTTTTTGGCACGTATAAACTCGTGACGTCGTGATGCCGCGTCTGTGACATGTCAAAATTTTGTTCAGTCTCGGACATCGCCCACCTATGGCTGTGGCCGACGCAAAATCGAGGACCAAGAAGCGGAAGCAAGACGCTCGTGATGAAGACGCTCCTGCTGAGACTGCGACTTTTTTCGCTCCGGAGTCGAATCTTGAAATGCTCAGTGAGGACGAAGGAGCCGAGGACGCTGAATCCGACGATGGGCATGTGGACGACTTTCCTGAGATAGATGCTGGTAGTGACTCCGAAGATGGATCCTATGAGGGGCTAGACGAAGATGAGGAGGAGGAGGGAAGCGAAGGATCAGAGGACGAAGACGAGGATGAGATCTTCGAAGCCGACGAGGATTCAGACGATTCTCTCAGCCGCGACATCTTTCCGAAACCAAAAACAATAATATCAGACATTACTGGGAAGCCAAAACGCGTCTACCCCGAAATCGAGCCTGATTACGACTCTGATTCCTCGACGGAGGACGTACGTCGATGCCTCAATGTCGCCTCTCACTTGTCTGAACGGATTCTAGACCCAGAATCGTGTCGGAGATGTGCCCATGCATTGGTATGATGACCTGCCTCATATTGGGTATGATATGAACGGAAAACAAGTCCTGCGTCCCGCGCGCGGAGATGAATTGGACAAGTTTCTGTCGACCGTGGAGGATCCTTCCGCTTGGTAGATTCATTTCCCGCTCTCGGATGCCGCGGCACCTCATCGCTTGTTTCTAGGACGTCCGCTTTCGACAAGACTGCTCAGATGGACAAGCCGTTGTCTTCTGAAGAGCTGGACATCATCCGTCGCTTGTACGCCAATGAAATGCCCGATGCGGATTACGATCCGTATGAGCCGACGGTGGAATGGTTTACTGGTAAAGGCAAAGAGGAAGTCATGCCGCTTTCTGCTGCGCCTGAACCGAAACGACGATGGGTTCCCAGTCGATGGGAAAAACAAAAGGTACACAAACCAGTTTTCTTTGGCTCGACTAACAATCGCGCAGGTCATGAAAATTGTTCGCGCAATTCGACAAGGCCGGATTCTCCCCTCCAAACCGAAAACGACTTCGAAATTGGAGTTCTACTCTATCTGGTCTGAACCCTCCAGCTCGCATGCTCCTCCTCTTCCAGCTCCCAAGCCCCGCCTACCGACCAACTCCGAATCTTATAATCCTCCAGAGGAGTATCTCCCAACTGAAACTGAAAAGACGGAGTGGGAGGCATTGGACCCTGAAGATCGAGAACGCGACTATCTACCCCAGAAGTACACGTCTCTGCGACTAGTACCTGCCTACGACCGCTTCATCAAGGAGCGGTTCAGTCGCCAGCTTGATCTGTATCTGGCACCCCGGATCCAACGCGTCAAACTCAATATCGATCCCAACTCTCTGATACCCAAGCTGCCCAGCCCACAGAGTTTGAAGCCGTTCCCGAACTACAAGTCTCTGAAATTTGCTCACTTGGCTCGGGTTCGATCGTTGAGCATCAGTCCAGATGGGGCCTGGGCTATCAGTGGTGACGAGAGCGGTGTAGTGAGCCTATGGGAGGTCAACGTCGGCCGACAGGTCAAGCGGTGGAAGTTCACCGGGAAGATCGGTGCGCTGGATTGGTGCCCACGAGTTGATGTCAGCTATTTCGTTGTCGGAGTGTGAGTGAATCATTCGACGGTGACTGCGTCTACGGCTTATGACGTCCTCAGCGAGGAGACGCTGCATTTCATCGTTCCCCCGAATGTTCCGTCGACAATACTGGCCTCGACACAAAACCTGTTGGCACCTGCTACTCTCCCCGCGGCTCCAGAGACGCCATCTCTTGTGAAATGGGTCACCGCGCCGACGAGCACGTGGTCGACCGATACACCCATCCTGACCGTGCACCTCCCCTCAGCGTCAGGACTGCCGAAACAAATCACATGGCACAGAAGGGGTGATTATGTAGCCACAGTCTGTTTGTCGTTTTTCTGGCCTGCCGGAATCTGTCTGACTGTCTTCCACAGCAAGTCAAGGCACGCAATCTAGTGTCTGGATGCACCAGATTGGCCGCCGACATTCTCAGGCTCCGTTCAAGAAGATCAGGGGTGCCGTTCAGCTGGTGCTTTTCCATCCAATGAAGCCCCACTTCTTTGTAGCAGTAAGTAAACGCCACGTGCTGCCGTTGTTGCCGACATCGCTGACCCGCGATCATCAGACGCAGCAATATGTCCGCGTTTACAATCTCGCCGAACAGACGCTCCTGAAAACATTGGTTCCTGGGATCAAATGGATATCGTCGATGGACGTTCATCCCTCCGGCGACCATCTTATCGTTGGCGGGTACGATCGCAAGCTGTGCTGGTTCGATCTCGAACTGAGTGACAAACCGTACAAGATCTTACGGTATGTCGTCTTCCGGTGCGAATCCAACGTGACTCAACAGGACCCAGGTATCATACTCGAGCCATCCGCTCGCTGGCCTTCCATCCATCGTACCCTCTATTTGCGTCTTCGTCGGACGACGGGGCGATACAAATTTTCCACGCCCGAGTCTTCAATGACTTGATGACTGATCCATTGATCGTCCCCTTGAAAATTCTCAGGGGACATTCCGTGAAAGACGGTCTGGGCGTCCTCCAGCTAAAATGGGTCCCTCGGCAGCCGTGGCTGGCCAGTGCTGGCGCGGATGGGACTGTGGGCGTTTGGTGTAGTTAGTTAGACATCTGATGCCATCATTGATCTCTATCTTCTCGACCACCTTGAGTCTAAACTGTGTTCATGGTGCAACGAGCGACGTAACAACGCTCCACTCCACTCACATCAGTTTGTATTTGAGGTCCATCGGGTTCTATCTTCCGGCCGACTGCCCTCTGGCTCTCACGGATTTTCTCGTACGGCAAACGGAGATCCATCAGACAAAACCTTGTTGTACGCAAGTGCTCTGTTCGTCTTCAAACGATTCTCGAGCAACAAATACATACCGCCAAACTCTGTCTACCCCTTCAGCTCACGTAAGGGAACTTTGCCCTCCGACTATTGACCGGAGTCGAGGCCCAGACTAAAGCTCGAAAGGCTGAACTTGCGTTTTACTTTCCATCGGTCGATCACATGTCGTCCATTCTCAAGCAGCTGCCGTATTTCGATGTAGAACACGGAACTCTCCCAGACAGATTGCGTCGTGTAACAGAAGTCTGCATGGAACCGAGCAAGCCCTTCATTATCGACGCCACAGTGTGGCGGGTAGCATCTTAAAATGTTCCGGTCGGATGTTACCTTTACTCAAAATCTTCTTCGAGCTAGGCCTCAGCGCGTCTGCTCTTCTCTCTACGCTCGCTCCCACCCTCGCTCGGCCATGGTCAATTGGTCTGACCCCTCTGAAATCGTCAAGGACTCCGGTGAGCGCTCTCTGATCACCCGCGATCAGGCTAATACGAGGGCGAAGATGCGTTCTCAAAGATCATTTTCGCGTTCTTTGGGGTCCAGGTCTGGGAGCTATTCATGACCTGGGGATTCGAGTGGTCCTTGCTCACTGGACGGAGAAAGTTCCGGTGGCCATTGGTTCGATTTCCTGCATCACCCGTTGAGAGTCATGTTGATGCAGCGCACTAGAGTACATCGACATTCCCTCCCACCGGAGACCGACTAACCCGTACTCAGTCTTCTTCTTTCTTTCCCGCTACTGCATCTTGTTCTCGATCATCGGATTGTGGGCGGTTTCCCCCATCGATTGCACTGGAGCTCACGGTTTGTTAGAATGATCGCTTTGACGAGCGACCATCCTGTGCGTCCTGCCATGCAATGCGCATTGACAGTACCGTGACACGCGAGCCAGATAAACTGCCAAGTATTGTTTACCTTCAATTCGGTGGGCCCACCAATTGAAAATGTGTCTTCCATTTTTCATGATTGGTTAGTGGAGCGGGAACATGGCCATCCTGAGTGCCTCGACGTCTCTCATGCTGCGCACGCGAGTACCTCCCGACTGACATTCCACGGCTGCGGCTAATCCCGAGTTCGCAGCATTGCGCTATGGGAGCGGAATCGGCGTGTTGTGATTCCCCTAGTTGCCTTGGCTCTCGGGCACTGGGGACTCTTATATCGCACAATCTTCGTCGTACAAGCCGTCTGGGATTCAGACTCGCAAGTCTGCGTTGTTGTCGGGACCAAGTCGTCGCTCCTCAACGTCACATTCTTCTTCACGATCGGCTTCGATTTCACCATCCTTGCCACCACGGCTGGCGCGGTCGGTCCAGCCCCTTCCATGCCCCGATTCGTTCAGCTCAGTCTTTTCTGCCAGCTGATCTCCCGGCATTCTGCGCGCACGGATCTATGGAGATTGCTGTTTACCGATGTAGGTTTGTGCGAGGACCGAGTGTTCCGGCTGAACGCTTCTAGGGATTGGTCTACTTTATTGTGACATTTTGCATGAACTGCGTTCCAGCAGTCCTCAACCTGTTGGATCTCAACTGTGCGTCGTGTCGTTTGTGTCTCCTGTCCCCGCTGTGCTCATCCAGCTGACCATAGCTCCAATGAATGTGTAAGTGGTCCCACGCCGCATCGATTTCTGACAAACGGCTGGTCTCAGCATTGCTACTGTGCGTTGTCGGACTTTCGCATATAACCACCGCCCTCAGCTGACACACTCCCCAGATTCCCGCTGGCACAGTCTCGTGAGTCATCCCAAACGGGAAAGCGTCGACTTTGCACTCAAATCCGGCAGCTCAATTGCGGCTTGCCGGGCTGTGATGCGCCTGCTCGACTTCAACTCTGACCTGTACGTTCAGTCGATGGCTGCTGTTCTGCCGTCGAGCGATCCCAGGCACAGCCACATGCCCTTTTCATTGCCCACAGCCCCGAGATTCGCTTTTTCGCGCCCAGACGGGGTTCTGGTCACGACCGAGCACATCACCATGGCGGAATTCGCCCAGTTCGTCTCGGCTCTCCGCGCATGTCCGTTTTGCCTAACCTGTCCGCAGGTCCCCGACGCTGCCTGATGCGGCATACAGCAAGAATGACCTCCCGCGGTACGATCTCGAGGCCGCTCGCCGACACGGAATCGACGGAGATGCGATTTCGGTGCGTGAGGACACCACCGAGTACTCCGAATCCACCGCCACTTCGCGGTAGTATGGCTGGATAAAAACTCGTAATATGTATCATGTCGTTCGTTTGCTTTTGGTTCAATGTACAATCTTTCCTTGGGGCGCAGCGCAGAGAGTCCTTGAGAGCAGCAGAATACAAATCGGAGTAGACAAGACAGAGAGAGACCAGCACACGACGGGCAGCTCAGCGCCTGCGCTTCGATCGGCCTGCTTTTCTGCGTGCAGAGACGCCGCCTTGCCGGTTCATTCCCTTTGTGGAGGGCCGCGCGGACATGCCCTTCGATAACCGCCATTCCTCTCTCCTGGAACCACGAGGGCCGTGCGTGGAGACCTTTTTCGAGCTTTCTCCGTCGACTTGCATATCTGCGTAATTGAGTTGAGAAACATGTCGGACAATGGAGCGAGATAGACGACGGACCAGCATCTGCAGTCGTTGGTTCTCCGTCAACTGGACATCGTTAGCTGCAGGTCGAGTCAAGGGCGCAAGTGAATGGACCTGGCATTTCTTCCTCCTCTTCATCCTCACCCTCTTGCTCCTCAGGTTCCGGAGCAGCCTTGTCGACGATCGCGCTCAGCTTGGCATGCAGTCTATCGAGGCGTGCAGCTTCAGTCACGGCGTAGACACTATCCGTCCGCTTTTTCGACCGGTAGGCACGCTTTATTTTGGATCGGGTGGACTTAGCCATCTTCTAGGTATAAATGAGGGCGGATGGAGGGCAGAGTGCAAGCGACAAAAAATATGATCTCGATCAAACACGACCAAACGGCTCTCAAGAAAAGCCCAACGCGGAGGGGGGACGCGCGCGCTGAACGCGTCTCGGTCAAGTAAGTTCTTGCCAGTTCTCAAAATAGAATGGATTGATACATCGGTGCTGAACAACAAAACAAAAAACGACTTGGGACAACGACTGCTCGGCGCGCAGGTGGTTTTGATCCAAGATAGATCTACTCAGACGGTGCCTCCCTGTGAAGGACGATGTGAGCTTGGATGGACGATGGCAGGTCGCGAGAGAGGACTTATGATGTAGAGAACGTTATTACAGCTATCGAGTTGAAGTCAGTGGCCTGTCGACGCGAGACAGTGCTGCGCGTACCGAATGAAAACCTCTCCCAATGTGCCATTCGATTTTCCATCTTGGTATTCTTCGGTGTTGGCCAGCTGTGGGAGCAGATGGTGATTAACAAGTGCAGTCGCGCATGTATTCTACGAACTTGTAGATTCATGAAGCCATCAGTGCTGACCAGGAAGCCCTTGTACTCAAGCCCCCATTTTAGACGGACGAAGACGGGCTTGCCTGTCAGCTCTTGGAGGAAAGGCTTGGGGTTGACGGGGTTTACCTGGAAAGACAGGTCATTAAACAAGAAACGCACAAAGTCGAGACGCGTGCATTAGACATGATGGTGGTTGAGCTCAAGAGTCAGCACGTGAATGCAGTGATCGTCGATGGAACAGTATTCTCATCTTTCACCTGGACGCGTCGTTTAGTCTTTCATGTCGGACCGCGAAGGGACCTCTGGAGGCGGAGATGACGACCTTTCACTACCAAAGGCGACTGTGGCCAAGATGATTTCGGGTGCGCGCGTGGATGCGTTCCAGATTCTGCGCGCGGTCTCATCATCGCCTTCTGTGCTACAGAGTTACTCCCCAGCGACATCGTTTGTGCGAAGGAAACGCGGGATCTGGTGATAGAGTGCTGCGTAGGTGAGCCCTCAGCTATTGTCTTCTCCCCGCTTGCTCGCAATTTCGATTCAAACACTACCCGCCCAGAATTCATACACCTCATCTCGTCGGAGGCAAATGAAATCTGCGAACAGGAGTCGAAGAAGACCATTGCCCCCGAGCATATTATTGGTGCTCTCAAGGTTCCACAGCTGCGGTATTTCCCGCATTATTTTTGAGCTGAACATACCACCCAGCGGCTCGGATTCGACTCATTTACTTCCGAGGTCGAGGACGTTCTGAAGGAGCACAAGCAGCAACAGAAGGTATTTCATGATCCCAAAACTATTCATGTACGCTCCCGAGTAACCCAATTTCCAGGACCGAGAAAAGAAGGTCTCGAAATTCGAGCAGTCCGGAATGACACCCGAGGAGCTTCAGGCCGCCCAAGAAGAGTTGTTCGCGGCTAGCCGCGCCAAGTTCCAGTCTACTGGACCCCAGCCCCCCGCAGCATAAGACCGATGGACCGCCTAAATGTATAGTGTATGTGAGACCACTGTAATTCTAATTGACTCGGACATCTCGCGTTCTCGCTCTCAGCTCTTCTAAACGGCGGATAGGGATGTCGCCATTCCACATATTGTCCACGGAAATGAGCGGGAGCCCTTCTTGTTGGATTATGAAGGAGCTGGACACGGACCCGTATCGTGTGGCTACAAGCTTAGGAGTTGGCAACTTGCGCAAGAACGTTTGACGATATGCTTGCCTTCATAGACGTCCCCGCCAGTCAAGATGAGTCCGGCAGCGAAGCCACCCAAGAAGCTGTTTCCTGCACCTTAGAAGCAGATTCAGTGAGCTGAGCACAAGCGCAGCCTCAAGCTTACCCGTCACATCGACAATTTTGTCCAGATCTTGGGCAGTCCAGTAAGCAGGAATCCATTGACCCGGGGAGTTCCTTTTGAGAGCATAGGCTCCCATTTCGCCACTTCTGATTATTACAGAGCCAGAGCCAGCCGGGCCTACACCGAGTTCGAGGAACTTGGAAGCAGCCTGTTCGATGCGTTCTTTGGATGGCGGTAGGGGCATTGCTAAGAGGGACAACGCTTCTTCGGCATTTGGACTGCTCGAAAATGAATAATTGCTGAAGACTCAAGCGTCAAATGACCTAAGAATGTCGATCCGACGCAAGACTTGCACCAAAGAGTCCAGTTCTTCTGGAATACATCTGTCCTTGGAAAATACCCACTCAGCAACCCACATAAAAGGCTGAGGTAGGATCAACAAACTGGTATAGGCTCGTAGAGCACAATGGGCTTCCAATCTGGAATCTCCTGGACCTCGTCCATGATTGCAATGGCGCGTGACGGAGAGCAAATGAAATGGAGCGTCTTCGGTCTGTCTAAACGTGTATCTGATGTAGCAAATAGTCGATCGGTCGTTTGGATAGGTCGGACTTGTTCTTACCGATAAGATCTCTTGGGGTCAAACGGACGCGGGGGGTCAAGTAGTTGAAACTGGGGGCAAAAGACGTCAGCCGGAAGGAGTCGGACACAGAGGTGTGGATTCAACCCTCTGTGATCTCCTTGATACGAGTTTATCGCCCGAGTGGTTCCTTGCGGCTGAGCACGATAGAACCACATATCTCCATATGTGGCGAGCTGCGCCTCCATTGCGGCAGGAAAGTCAGGACCTTTGTCGACAATCATTCCAATCTCATCCGCAGGTATCCAGACTCGAGCACCGACTGCAGCATAAGTCCCTCCTCCACCGATCTGACGAGCAAGGTCTCAGCAGGAAGTTGGTCATCGCGCAATAATTACTTGAGGCTCAATTTGACGCGGCTGAGGATTCAGAGGCTTTCCATCTTCATCCAGATACTCAAACTCGTCGATTATGAACATTCCCAGGGTAACGAAAAGCATTGTGGGTGGATAACAAGATAGCGGTCGAGGGCAAGGTTGATTGATGATGTGATCTTATCACTTATCGCCTTTGCTTGCGTGTGCTTGGCTCACACAACAATTTTGGCATTCGACACCGCGAAATGAGAGTTGGTTTTCTATGAGCGGCGTCGCGTTTCCCTTTCCCCGACTTAAAGGGTCTCGGACTCTCAGACGAATCTTCCAGCCGAAAAGGAATTCCTCCGCCACCGCCTCCGCCTCCGTCTCTGACCTATCCCTCGCTGTCTTCGCTCCCTCGGCCGACTCTCTCCGCCAACGAAACTTCGAACTCTTGTTGGAGTCATTGGACATCAATGGAAACCCTTCACGCGTTTGGAACAACTATACCAATGCTATTTCCACGCTAGGTTACGAGCGCCTCCCTGTCGAACTCCATCAGGAGGTCCTGCGGAAATGTACACCCACCAGCACACTTCTCCGCGCGAATGTTGCTCGCCGTATGTACGAGGGGAAGGCACCACCATCTCACAAGTACGAAGACCGGTTTAAGACCATCATCCGCAACATGCGGCTGTCTGGCTACAAAGCGACGGTGGGGGATTACAACTTCATCCTGGAGCAGTTCGCGGCGGTGGGCCATCATACGGGTGCCATGAAGGTCTACTCGGAGATGAATACGGCTGGAATCGCACCACGCACGCGAACGTTCGGACTGCTGTTGCAAGCCATAGCTCATCGCCTGACCATGCCCGTGGCCGAAGCGCTAAGAGCAGAACGGACTCTCGTCACGCGGCGGATGGTGTCCGACCTCGTGAATGACATGAAAACGCATCGCATACCTTTCACGTCTGTAAACCTGGACTTGACGATGCGGATATTGAAGGAGACGACGGACTTGGCCGGATTTGAGGCGTTGATGAGATGGGGATATGGAATCGACCTCGCAAATCCCGACTGTCCTCCTCTGGAATACATTCAGGGCTCGGGTACCTTGTCCAATCCACAACCTTTTTCCACTGCGGCCCTCAATATGACGCTCGACACCCTGGGACGTTTGAAGAACATTCCTCGGATGGTCCAAGCGTTTGAGGTTCTGACAGCGCCACTACCAAAGCGACCACCATTGGAAGACGACGAGGAGGAACAATACAGCGTTCTCGCCAACGCTTCGTTCGTGACGCCGCATGCTTTGCCCAACACCACAACGTACAATATCCTCATTCGGCATTTGTCTCAGGCTGGACACGGGGTTTTCGCTCGGCATTATCTTCTCTGCGCGATGGAACTAGAGCGTACCACGAGATACTCTCTGCGATTAAACATCGAAAACCTCCAATTCGAGGAAATCCCAGCCCCACATTTCGCCATCAACCGAGGGACGTTGCTTTCCGTCTTTGGACACAGCAACCGTGATAGAAACATCGGGCTGATGCGCTGGCTTCATACCAAGATGCCCGATATCATTTCCAGAAAGCGGGGTGAGTTGCTCTTTCTGTCTCCCCTGCGGGAAAGGAGGAGGAGACTGGGTCAATTCCCGTACGACGACCCAAACTACATCCCGGTACATCTGCCCCCAAAGCAGACGCCATCCCGCGCTGACCCGAACATATTTGACCTCGACATTGACGACGAGCGCGGCCCCCCTCCTGCTCCGTCGAAACTGTTCAACCTCGATCTGCACATGACTCTCCTCCAACGCGACCTGGGTGAGATCGAGGCTTTGTACGAGCACGTGACAGACATCCTACACAAGAGAAGCATGCAACAAAAGGATCGGCTGGGCCGCAGGGTTTCTCGTGGAAAGGATTTGTACTTCCGGTCGACCGAGGGGCGGAAGCGAATCAGTGGATCTCAGTGGCAGGAGGTTGCTGGCTATCACAGACACGGGCAAGCTCGCCCCAAGCGGTTTGAGCACTATGTTATCGCTGAGGACCCCTCCCCGGCAGTAGACGAGAAACCATAGCATCTACGTAGGGGGCGGAATTCGACTAATTCGGAATACAGCTTCCGCAAACTAATAAGGGTCGCGTGTGTGTGAGTAGGCAAAGTACACAGAGTCACATGGATGCCATAAACCGCTCACCAGTGTCACTCCGTTATTCTGGCGCGAAGTTGATTGCGATCGACTGAGCCCTCATAGCCACCATGAACATGTCTCCCTCATCCACAACAACGTCCCCCACCAGCAAAACCAAGAGCCTCGACAAAGCTCCTGGTTCAGACGCTCCCGTCGCTATTGTGCGGACAGAGCCTCTGCCGCCGCCGTCGCTGCCTGCGAAGCGCGGGGTCTCTCTGTCTAAAGCGGCGACTTCGGCAGAGCAGAAGAAGGCCGCGCACCGGCCAGGGAAACCCATCATCAACTGGTTCCAACGCAAGCTCGGTGCTGGGAGCTCGCTCGTCAAGCCGAAGCGTGCAGAAAACCAGCCTTTGGTTGGCCAAGGACGGGTACCCTCAACGATCCCTCTCCGGGTCTCCAACCGCATTTCCTCTGCACCTTTACCTCATGGCGGTAACAAGCATCTTTCGAAGCTAGATGCGGCAAAGAGGAAGACGATATCTTTGAACGAGGATGACGACGGGGAACTATACGTGAATGACATCGCCTCTGAACGTTCGTCGCTTGCAGGCTGGTCTCCAACGAGTGCACTCGAGGCAGACGAGGACGCTTCGGTGCGGCCGCTGCCTCCCAGTGTTCCCCCGTCACCATCTCCCTCATCGTCATCGTTCGCTTCGGACCCACGGACGTTCCGGAGCCTCGCAGCGAGCACGAAGCCGACGACGCTCCTCAGCATCGATCTCAACGGGAACGGCATGGCGCACATCGCACAAGCGCCGCCCGCGCCTATCAGCCGGCTGCACGTCCGCTCGCCGTCGACAAGCACGTCGCTCATCGGCGCGGGCGTGACCTTCTCGGCGCTCCCGCCCTCGCCGACCAGCCGCGCACACCACTCCCACAGCAACTCGGGTTCGTCGCAGAGTGTCGGCGGCGGCGGTGGCGGGGGACTGTCGTCCGTGCAGGCGCCACTGCACACATCGCACCATCCGCGAAACAACCCGCGCCCGTCATCGCCGCCGCAGGACAACGCGTCGGTGCTGACACTCGCATCGTCTGCCTTCGGGATCCCTGTGCGCGCGGCGGTGGCGCAACATGCGAACACGGCGTGGAGCTCGGGCCCACCGTCCGCGCTGGCGGATTCGATCTCGCACTTTGGTGGGAGCATCACGTATGCTGATGCGGAGAGCACGAGCCAGTATCTGCTCGGGGACGACGATGTCGATGCGAGTGTGCGGGCGCTTCGGCCCCGGAGCTCTCGTCGAGGGAGCTGGGAGAGTGAAGCCAGTCGCTGGAGTGCACGAGGCGTAGGAGCAGGCACACCTTCGCTCGCTCGGGACGGAAGGAGTATATGGACATCACAGAGCACCCGGACCGGAGGTGTTGGTGATATGTATGAGAAGTCGGATGCGGGAGGCGACGAAAACGAGGAGGATGAGGCCCCTGAGAACGACGCCCACAGTGATTCTGGCTCCCAGACCACGCCTGCTAAAGAAGCTGCCCATCCTTTGACTGTTCCCCTTCCTCCCAGCACTGATGACCTGACATCTTGAAAACATTCCTTTACTTACAGTACTGTACATTTGTAACTTTTCTTAACCGAGAAATTCGGGATGCATCATGCTCTACTGTATAAAGTGCGCTAACTATACATACATTGGGAGCAGAGAAATATAACATGCTAGATTCATGGTCCGGCAGGAGCCGATGCGTGCAGCTCAACCGGAAGCGCATTCGCAGCCGCACGCTGCCCGTTCTGCCGCCGGCGTCGTCTGCTGCGCACAATGAATATATGCGCGTGAATGCACAGGGAAACTACTGACCGAGGGAACATGGGCCCCTTTGGCATGACCCGCTCGTCCAAATCGAGGGCGATATTCGAGGCACTGTGGAAAGCCTATGGTGTGGCCTGCTTGGTCACATGCTCTTTGGAGGGCTGTAAAGTGAACGAACCTCGATCCAGTCGACGACATCGGCGACATCCCGGGCCTGCAACAGAAACTGCTCGCCCTCCATCCGGACGCGTATCACGTGCTTCCGCTTCAGGTAGTCGTTGGCCAGTCCGCTTTCCGCATTCTGCAGCGTGTATGCGCGTATCAGGTCAGCGCGGTTGGGCTCAGGCAGCGAGCCCTCCGTCGGCGATTTCTTCTTCGTGGGCGAGGCCTTTGACGGCGAGGGGGTGGTATTTGTGGAAAGAGATGCCACGGTCGTGCTCGACGAGATCAACCCACTCAACGACGGCCGCGGGACCGACAACGACGCCCTCGGTGGCGGCGAAGTGGGTTGCACATCACTCTTGGATCGGCCATGTGATCGGGGTTTGAGCAGACTACCCAGGTTCAGTCGAGAGCGCGAAGCGGCGGGAGGATCCGCGTTCGTCTGAGATCCAGTAGTCGCCGACGACGAGGTCCTGCTGCGGGAAGACGAGATACTAGTTCGATGAGGAATGACCACCTCCGTCGTTTCAGGCGCAGCGTCGGGCATCGAAGCCTCCTCGCTCGCAATCTTCACGGCAACTGCACTCTGGGCAGCCGCCGCCCGCGCCTTGACGGCTGCCGAAGCATATGCCGCAGCGGGCCCAACGGCAGTCGAAGCCACATCACCAACGCCCACTTGCCGCTCCCACCATCCTTCGTCGTGGCACTTGTACATCCGGAACGCCGTGCCCTCCAGCTCGCACAGCACTCTCCGCCATTTACGGTCACGTGCCTGCTGTCCGGGTGCTGAAAATTCCATTTTGCGCGGCATGATCGCCCGAACGAGAATCGAGTTGGAGTAAGCCGGGAGGGTCTCCCTGCCTTCGTCGTCGCGTGGGACGACGCGTGCTTGGGCGAGCGGATGGGGACCCGTGACACCGGCCAGCGGGAGCAGTGGTAATGTGTACGGCGGGGGAACGGCCATGATCTCCGGCATCGAGCGTCTCCGCTTCATCGTGCTCAGCCGACGGGTTGCCATCGACTGGCTGTCGTAAGCAGGGGCATCACCCAACGATTCTTCCAAGGGTGGATCACCGCTTATCGTTGAGCCCAGCAGATGGACCATGCTCCGGGACGCATGCTTGTAGATTCCGGGTCGATCTGGAGCACCCGGCATGGGTGGCATGGGCATGGTCCGAGCGATTGGCGAAGAAACACCAGGGGTAGAGGGCATCCCAAGAGGGGTTCGGGCTTCCGATGTTGGTGTGCGCATGGCGAAGTAGTCTGAATGTAGCACATGTTGCGGCACCGGTGTTTTAGTCCCGAAGACTTGTGCCGGGAAACCTGGCTGCTGCGCGACTGTCCCGCTTTCGCGTTCCTTTCCTTTGCCCTTCAGCCCCAACCCGGCCAAGTCCAGCGACAGAGGGATCCTCTCCAATGGCACAAACGGAGACTCGGCCGCGCCGCTTTCCCGGGATTCATCCATCGACGGGCCATGCGAGACACCATCGTCCTCGTCCTCATCCTCGTCCTCGTCTCCATCCTCATTTTCCGAGTCCGACTCTCCGGCCGCCAGTCCATCGTCATCCGAACCGCCCTCCATAGCCAGCGCAGGCATGGCCTTGACCGCCGCGCGACTCGACTGCCGATCATGCGAAGATCCAAAAATGACACTCGATCGTCGGCCAACGCCGCCACTCGCGAGGTTATCATCGGTCCCTGTGGCAGACCCATTGAGGACACTCGGCAATTTGATAACCGGAATAGCCAGCGGGGGCTGGCGCACAATTATGCTGGGACTGAGCCTCCCAATTTCGCTGCCGGGAGAGAGCGGCCCGCTCCCCGATGCGTTGAAGGTCATACTGAATCGATTCATCGTCATCGGAATTGACGGCGGCCGCCTCGAGGGTAGTGTGCCACGCAGCGAAGACGCAGGTGAAGATGGAGTGTAACTGTATCCTGACGATGCAGTCCGGTTCCGTGGGAAAGATGCGAATCCATTCGGTCCCCACGGTGGATTGGTGGACGTGGGAGAAGTTGATGTCGGTGGTGAGCTGGAAGACGCCGGTTGGGAGACAGGCTGTCCAACCGGAATCACAAGCGGAATGGTCGTCAGCGGAGGAAGAGGAGCCGCCCGCGAGGGTGATACTGGAGCAGGTAGGTTGGCAGTCGCTACGGGTATATTGGCAGAAGATCCAATCATCGACGGTTTCGGTGTGATTATTTGTCTTTCTGCTGACGGTGGCGTCATCGGTGTCGTTGTAGGTATGAGATCTCGTGCCGAATTCGAGGTAGCGCCTAGTCCCGCGGTGGGTGCAATCAGCACAGTTTCGTCGCCGTCCTCGTCCGATCCATTTCCTGCATCGCTAGCCCCGCTCAACGCCGTAGCAAACGAGTCCACAGAGGTGCCCGATGCAAACGAGGCAACAGAAGCCCGCCTCGAGTCTTGGGGTGGAGGTGAGGTCGCGGCTGTTATCTTCGATCCCGGAGAATACGTATGTGGATTCCGAGCTTTCGCTGCACCCGGCGGAAGATCGGGAACAGTCCCTCTCACGTGCACTGACGTTTCGCTTTGTGATGCGGGATAAGGAAAGCCATCGTCGCCGCCGAGATATCCCGGGGCGCCGTGCGGCACAAAATCAGCGTCAGAAACGTAAGGCAAGCCTGAGACATGAGCCCGCGGCGTTCTGTCGGCAGGATTGCGGGAGAGTACGGGCATGCCGCTTAAACCCATGGGCAAGCTGTTCAAGGACGGAGATGGAGAAAGGTCGTTACGCGCTGTCGCGTATGACGTCGTGGATGACAGCGTTGAAAGTGTGGTTGTCGAACTAGAGTTGAGAGTGCCATTGGGATCTGTAACGGGGAGTATGACATGAGATTGCTTGCGGTCACAGGGGGTGTATATGGGAATCAACGCACTAAGGGTGACTGTATGCGCCTGCATCGCGTTGTCGGAATCTCCACACTCCAATGCATTGACGGAGGGCCCAAAAACGTCGCTACTCGGCCGACTCCAGTTACGTCCGTCGGAATGCGTTTGTGAGCGTGCTCTGCGAAGTTGTGGACCCGCAGCAGGAAAAGAGGGTTCGGAGTCTCGTTGAACGAGATTGGTGGGAGTCGGCGGAGTAACTGTCGGAAGACCAACCTTGGTACTTGACGTTGAGGGGGGATCTAAATCCCGTCGTGCATGCGATTCCGGTGCCGCGTCACGTGTCATATCGTAACTTGGACCGCGTTTCGACGGCGAAGACGAGGGTGCCGCGGTCACGATGGTGATTGACGACATGGATCCGGAAGAGCTGGAGTACGGGAACGACCTCGTGGATAATGGCGTCGAAGCGGAAGACAGTGAATCGGACCGAGGTCCTTGGAGGAGCACGTTGTCGAGCGACGCGAGCTTAGCTTCTTGGTGCAATATGGAATGCCTGCACGTGGAACGCTGCATTTCGCTGTTTAGTCATGGGGAACACGGCCGACGTGCGGCAACGACAGACCTGGCTGGAAACATCGACTTTGGAGGCGGTGCCGGACATTAGTAAGGATCTTCGGCCATGTCTGCACTGGGAGTAACTCACCTGGATCGTCTACTGGGAAAGCGGGACTGGGCGCGCAGCTGGATGGCCACTTGGGGGTGACGGGGGAACGCGACGGAGGCTGTTCGCGATTCGAAGTGGTGAGATTCGAGCTTGAGATAAAGCTTGATGACATGCAGACTGCAGGCTCGGCAGCCTCGAGACGCGATGGGAAAGTCGGAAAACAATCTGTGTTCCGTCAAGCCAAGGTGAAAACCGGTCGAAAAACCTACTGGGTCCGAATGCGAGCCTTGGCTGGCTCCACCCAAACCTCCGTGAGGTCTGACGTCAAACTGATAGATCGAAAAGTGTGACACAACGCGATCTCGGTGTCACGGGCATTCAATATTCAATGTTCACGCGTCGCCATGATCATGTGGAAATGCCCCCGCGATGATCAGGATAGACGAGGACAAAAAGCTTTCTGTTCAAAGTGAGGCTCGCATCTCTTCACTTCATCGCATGATGTCATCTAAACCCGAGCTCTACAATTGCTTCTCCACACCCATAGTACTAGGATTTAGCATAATTCATGCCTGTAGCCATAGAAAATCCATGATAATGTATGGCTGTAGCCATGGCATGGCTGGGGCCATGGTGTTAGGCTACAGATATTTGATGCAATCACCACAGCACGTGACTCGGCTGACAATCTAGGAACTTCTGTGATGGGCAGGCACAGGCGGGCGCCTCTGCGGCCCGCTAGTTAGCCGGTTAGGGTTTGGGTTAGGGTTCGTGTCTAGGGTTAGTGCTAAGGATTAGGGACATATATCGTCATTTTCAAAGGTTAAGTTTGGGTTAGAGATAGGTTCTGGTTTGGTTAGGCTTGGTTTGGTTGGGAGGTTAGGTGGTAAGGGTAGTTCACCTGGCTCTGTGCCCAAAGCATTTCAAGTGCCCGACCTATTAGGGAAAATGACAAGAGATTGAACAGATGCATGGTGCAGTGGTTATGCATCAGATGTGTTTGAGATTTTTGAAGGGCAACCGTTCAATTCACGCTCAAGTAATTTCCTTATTTGGGCTCTGTGGCACGTGCATTGATGGCCATGTCACATGGAGCGGCCATGGCTACAGCCAGACGTTATCATGGATTTCCTATGGCTAGAGCCATGGTTCATTATCCTAAATCTTAGTGCTATGGCTCTTCTCCAGGACTATAAAATACAAGTCGTCTCGGAGGACATGACTTGTGACTATCTGATCGTACGGGAAGGACCGAGTTTCGCCTGTTCGAGTGTATCCTCTGCGGCCATACCTGGGCGAGCGGTTGACTCGGTCACGCTGATACGTCTCCGGGAAACGACTTACCAAGCTATAAGCGCATCCCTTTGTGCAACAACGGTCAACTCTATCTTGCGCACGCCCCATAACTCAACCGCCTGCTGCTCAGCGTGGAGAAGAATTTGGTGGCTGTTGAGCACTGGGGAGAGCGTCTAGCAACCCACCTGTGTGAGTTGAGAGCTTTAGTGTGGGCACTATGCGGGAGTAGTCAAGAGACTTATTATTAAAGGGTAATAGAGCCCTCCTTATATACAATACAGGGGGCTATTTGTGTCTATTTAGGACGAGTCGACATGACTCTAGATGACACGTGATGGAGTCATAAGATGTGTATCACGACATCCGTGGCAGATGATAAGATCATCATTTGATCAACACTCCCCCACGCTGAAAACCACAGGATAGTGTTTGAAAGCGAAATCTTCATCGGCCATTCCTTCAGGACGAGTTGAACTCAAGTCCTAGTTGGGACCTGAACTTCTCGAACTTGACGCGTCCTAGGTTCTTGGTGAACATATCTGCAGGATTCTCACTGCCCGGAATAAAGAACAGTTCAACCTCTTCTTCCTCGACTCGCTCACGAATGTAGTGATAGCGGATGTCTATGTGTTTCATCCTGCGGTCTCGGTAGGCATTGCTGCCACTGAAGAGTGCACCCTGATTGTCACCGCAAATGGGTACTGGGATGGTGAGTTTGAACTGGAGTTCCGAAAGGACGCTCTTCAGCCACATCACCTGGCGACTACAATCTGAAATCGCCATGTACTCTGCTTCGGTAGAAGACTGCGCGACTGTGCGCTGAAGTCTAGACTGCCAGCAAATAATCCCATCTGCCAATTTCGTGAAGAAACCAGTGGTAGACCTCCTCTTGATCGGATCAGCAGCCCAGTCTGAATCGCTAAATGCAATGAGCCCTCTATCCGTCGCACCATTGAAAATGAGCGAATAATTCCTAGTACCAGCCAAATAGCGGCAGATATACAGCGCTTTATGGAGGTGGTCTTGGGACGGATTGGCAGCAAATTGTGACAATTTGGTCACAGCAAATGCAATGTCAGGACGTGTGCCTAGCATGATGAAGAGAAGAGATCCAATGACTGATTGGAATTTCTTCCTGAGCTCTGGATCGACTTCATCCTTATTTGGCATTGGAACATATCCAGCCGGTAGAGGGGTCGCTGCGAACTTGGCGTTCTGCATCCCAAAGCGCTCTAGCACCTTGTCGAGATAAGGAATCTGATCAATCTTGATCGAAGATCCTACTCTACTGAGGCGCACGCGCAAGAACTCTGGAGTATCTTCAGAATTGCGGCATTCCCATCGCTTGTTGAACTCAGCCTTGAGAAAGGCGAGGAGCTTCTTGTTCTTGGAGAAGAACAGTGCATCATCCACATAGACTATTATGACGGCTATGCTGCCATCAGAGTCCTTGTAGAAGAACACGCCAGCATCCGATGTCAGTCGGATCCAGCCCATGGCTTTCGTGGACTTGGTCAGCGCTTTCCACCATGCTAAAGCAGCTTGTTTGAGTCCATAGATTGCCTTGTGCAAGCGCATGACTTTGCGCTCTTGGCCTCTTGCCACAAAGCCTTCGGGTTGTTCCATGTAGACCTCTTCGTCAAGCTCTCCGTAGAGAAAAGCCTTACTGACATCGAGTCCAGACCAATGCCAATCATTGAGCGCTGCAAGCGCCATGACCAACCGGAACGTCTTATACCTGACAACAGGAGAGAATATCTCGTCATAGTCAACACCTTCGACTTGACTGAAACCCTTGGCAACTAGGCGGGCACGTTTTCGGCCATCAGATTTTTGGTCAAAGACCCAGCGACATCTGATAACCTTCCGTCCTTTCGGGCGGTCCACAAGGGAATAGACCTTGCGCTGACGAAGTGCCTCTAACTCGTCGCGACAAGCATCAATCCAACCTTTCTGTTGTTCAGAAGGCAACCGCTTGATATTGCGGAACGTCCAATCGCGAATTTTGGACGTATCAGGTAGGTTCTCATTTGGAACCGCTTTTGACAGCAGTGCCGTGATGAGCTCTACTCCCCCTTCCCGGCATAGCTTCTCCATGCGTGCATCCTCGTCTAGATCATCAGAAGCACCCGCGTTTGAGGAATCTGGTTGCGAGCTAGGGCCGGGAACCCCTGCATCAGCACCGGTTGATGGTTGAGATTGGGAGCTACCCTTATCTTCACCAACATACCGCTTCCATCCTCTGCTGTTCTGAATGTCACGGACTATATCCGTAGGGGTACGCTTTTCCCCATAGACGTTTCCTGGACGTGTAGGCACATTCCGCTGGCGTGAAGACCTTCGAGGCTCAGGAGCTGGTGAAGCTTCCCGACTTGGTCGTGGAATTCTACTTCTACGAGTCCTCTGAGGTTCATCCCGACGCTCTGGCGGTGTGTAAGGGCAACTCCTGCCAGCCCGAAGGAAGAGAGCACACAGCACACAACAACCTCACATGAGTCTGAGCACAGAGGGGGATCCTTAGAGAACGGTTCAAGGATCCATGTGCCCAGGTGTCACACTATATAGTCAGCTGTGACAAGTGACTGATGATGATGGGATATCACTGCCATGGAACAATGGCAGATGACAAGTAGATAATGACAAACCCAGATAAGATAGTGAGTGGCTCAGAGGGGCCAGTGATGGCCAGCTCCTGAGACACCAACAGTGGAAGGCCACACTGGAGGAGCCCAGTGGCCAGGCCAGTGCCGGGCCGGCCAGTGGAGGCATCGGAGGCGAGGACCAATGCCTGACTGGGAAGAGGGGTGGTACGGATGAGCGCAAGGCATCTGGTACGAGCCTGTACGGCAGTAGACCACATCCGCGGGAAGAAGGCCGAAGTAGAGGGGGAGGAGTGCGTACGGCAGTAGCACTCCCTGGTGCAAGGAATCGGGCTTGGCTAGAACGCTTGCGGGGATTCGAGGGAGATGGCCAGGGGAAGAAGGGAGAGGGCGGATGTCGGCATGGATGGAGGTGAGGATCGGAGGAGGAGGAGGAGGCTGGGTGATCGACAGGTGAGCAGGCACGGGTCGGCAGAGAGGGCGCAGCGGGTCACGTGCATGGTCACGTGCCCAAGGAGCGCGGCGTCCCCTGACACGGTGGGTCCCAACGATTATGACCGTCGTCACTATCATCATTTCCCTGTACGGGAGGTGGTGGAGCCGGATCAGATGGCATGGGAAATGGAAAAGGATTATCTCCATATAGCCAATCTTCTCCGTCTACCTGTGGTGGATCTTGTGGATTCACTGGGTCATCACGTTCTGGAAATTCCTCTCCAACAGGAACGTGGGGTGGTCGATTGCTGTCAGGACAGCGGGGGAACAACTCCTCGTCGAACAATGCCTTGGTGGCGACGAACGTGGAATTGTTTGTGCGCATGAACAAAAATCCTTTCACACCATCAGGAATGCCCAAGTAGGTCATCAGCTCCGATTTGGGCGATAACTTGTTGGCGCGCTTCTCATCAGGGATAAAGACATATGCAGCGCAACCAAAGACTCGGAGTTCGGAAACATCCGGTTTTTCCTTGTGAAGAGCTTCAAATGGAGTTTTCCATTTTAGACGCCTGATAGGTGTCAAATTGTAGATCCGTGTCGCATGTTTGATAGCGAATTCCCAATATGAATTAGGAAGACAGGCAGTGAAGCGCATGGCTTCTGCCTTATCCATGATCGTACGATTGAAGCGCTCGGCATGCCCATTCTGCTGGTGAGCATATGGAGCACCCTTCTCCACTAGAATTCCTTGTTCCGCGAGAAATTCTTCCATTCCCATCCCCATGAATTCTCCCCCATTGTCAATATGCCACTTTTTGATGGTGACATTGAACTGGTTCTTGACCATCGCAATGAAATTGCGCATAGCCTGCTTGGCATCGGATTTCTGCGCAAGGCATACTGTCCAGCCATAGGAGAGTGCTTCGTCGAAGAAGCTCATGAAGTAGCGGTACTTGTGATAAGACACCGTGGGAAATTGTTTGAGATCCGAGTGGATCAAATCAAACGGATTCTCCGCTCGTTTTTCGGAAGGCGGGAAGGCACGTTGGTGCATTTTCCCTTGCGCGCATCCTTTACACGGTCGGGTTTCCTCGGGAAATACTAGGTCTTCTGGAAAGCCCTTGGTATTCTTCTTTGCCTGACGTAAAACGTCTTTCGACGGATGTGCAAATCGTCGGTGCATGATCTCATAATCCACCTTGTAAACAGTGGACATGGATCGCACTGTCTCAGCCGTGCTAGGCTTTGACATCAGGAAGTACAAGGCAATGTCCTTCCCTAGAGTTCTAAACTCCATGATCGAGAGTGGGGACTTCCCTCGATGTAAGCTGATCCGCGATTCGTCTCCACAAACGCGAGATCCTCCTTTGAGTAAGGAGCCCAAAGACATGAGACGACCATGTAATCCTGGCACTAGGTACACTGGATATATTTGAGAAGTCACCATTGTCTTTTCTCCATGCCTTGTGACGTAATGATCGATGAAGGCTGTTCCTCGACCAATAAGGGCAACACGTGTGTTCTTATCAGCGGTCTGAGCAACAATAGGATCTGAGAGCTTCTCATATCCGACCAGATCACTAATCTCCGATGTCACATGGAGAGATGCACCTGAATCAAGAAGCCATAGAGGCCCTAATTCATGATGATGATGTTTCCCCTTACACTTAGAGCAGGCAGCAAAATCGGAGTGCACACAGAATAGATTGGTACAAAAATCATGCGAACGAATCATCAACGAATTAAGTACAGAACCCGGGGCGGCGGTGATTACGCGCTCTGGCTGTGAGCAACAATCAGAATTGTGCATGTGCCCAAGAAGGCAGGGTACTTGCCTTTCGGCGGAAGGAGCGTCCATCTCCTCCAGAAGGGTGTTGAAGTCGACGACTTCATCCCAATTGACCGGTTCAGCCTGGGCGAACTCGCTATCTCCAAACAGAAGATCCAGATCGTTCTGCTGGCCGGTGGCCATCTCAACGTCGGGGATCTCCTCGATACGACTGCGTTTGGCAGGAGGACCACCATCCAGCGTGTGATTCGAGCCGGAAGCAACCGGAGATGGAGAACGCATTATTGCGTCCTCACGGAGCATTCCTTTCTCATTGGCGATCTTGTCGAGAGTCCGGAAGCGTTCTGCGGTCACAGTCACATCCATCTTCTTGGCCAGCTCGAAGACCTTACGAGTAGGCTTCTGGAACTCGGTGTCAATAATCCCATTGTTGTTAACGGGAGACTTCTCTTGAACCGCGCGGATTTTGGGTCCATCGCGAGAGATGTGCGTGATATGCGAGATCGTCGGCGCAGGGATAGATGGAGTGAGCGAGGCGATCGAACCAATAGTGAGGGAGCCAGTGATCTCGGAGACTCCATGGACATGACTGTGATCAGCCTTGCCCTTGCCCTTGTTGTCCTTGTTCTTCCCACTGCGCTTGCCTCGACGGTTCTTCTTCTTTCCATCAGCCTTATCACCCTTATCGGGTGCAGAGCCAGAGCCCTGTTGCTGATTGGTGAACGAAGGATCATCGCGCTTGCGCTTGGTATTGAACTTGGCCACATGATTCTGGCTTTGAGACTGCTTCTGAGCGAAATGCGTCAAGAGAGCGTCACGAACCGCCGAGACTTTGATCTTGTCCTTTTCATAGGTCTGGAGAACAGTCTCTGTGACGGAGGGAATCCGGGCTATGTTGAGAATGATCATCGCTCTGAGGAACTCAGGGATGCTCAAAGACTCATTCTCCAGGCGAGCGAACGCCGTAGTGATCACCAGCAGCTGTGGATCCGGGTGCAACCCCACGTTGTACTTGGCGTTCAACGCGGTTTGGAAGTACGCATATAGGTCGGCGCACTGAGCACCACCGTATTGGGTCTTCAGATGCGCCCAGATCTTGGCAGCTGACACTATATCCGCAGGAGGAATGTTAGCAATGACTCCCTCAGTCAGGCGCAACTTAATGCTGCCTTTGGCTCTGAGATCATCATGCTTCCATTGTTTGATCTCCGATGCGTTGGTCACAGAGCCATTGGTAGCTTTGACTTCGGTCGGCGCCGTTTCGGTCAGCACATATGAGATCCCCTGATGTTCCAGGTAGGACTCCATAGTTCCGGACCATACGAGCCAGTGCTTTCCATCAAAGATGGAGACAGCATTGAAGATGTTGTTGGAGTTGGACGACATATTGATCTGTGTGAGTTAATCAGCATCAATCTAATCTGATAGATAAAATCAAAGATAAAGATGATCAGATCCTCATAGATCATAATCTCCTTCAGAGATCGATGCATCTGGATCAAGCGATGTAATCGCGATCCGGCATGGTTTCACCAGCGCTATGCAGCAGCTGAAGTGATGACAGATAGGCTAAAGACGCTGCTCATCGTTGCAGCCAGTGACGGCGCATACAATGAATGTCGCGGCCATTGAGGCGCAGACATAGCTCTCGGGGCCCATAACCTGTTGAGCACTGGGGAGAGCGTCTAGCAGCTCACCTGTGTGAGTGAGAGCTTAGTGTGGGCACTATGCGGGAGTAGTCAAGAGACTTGGATTATAGGGTAATAGAGCCCTCCTTATATACAATACAGGGGGCTATTTGTGTCTATTTAGGACGAGTCGACATGACTCTAGATGACACGTGATGGAGTCATAAGATGTGTATCACGACATCCATCTGGCAGATGATAAGATCATCATTTGATCAACATTATATACAATACAGGGGGCTATTTGTGTCTATTTAGGACGAGTCGACATGACTCTAGATGACACGTGATGGAGTCATAAGATGTGTATCACGACATCCGTGGCAGATGATAAGATCATCATTTGATCAACAGTGGCCGATGCCAGCCGCTTGCAGTAACGGGTCGACGGCGAACATTCCGAAGTAGACTCTGTCTTGACGATGCTCGATCTCGCAACACCCCAGTATCTTCTGGTACTCATCGGTAGCCACGTGTATTCGTATTTCTGCGGTTTCCATCTTCTTGAGGACGCCGATCGTGTTGATTCTTTCGTCGTTGCGAATGCCACCTATGACCGACCATCCTTCAACTCCTAGGTATGCGCGCTGGACGAGGTCTGCGATTGCAGGCGCGTCGCTGGGAGTGGCCAATCTGACTTGGATGTGCAGAGTCATTGAAAGAGACAAGTTCTGATTGCCGTCACTTAGGTTGAATAAGCCTTAAGAACCTAGCTCTGAAACCGAGTCATATGTACCATTTCCACACCAGACAAATTCACTGACTCAGATCGACACGAATTGTGACTCAGATTTACGGGAAATGGTGCCAGGTTAGCTTGACAAGTCCAGTGGATGTTTTTTTCGAATGTCGGAAGACTAGTCCGGGGTTAGTTGGCCACATTGGCGCAAACAAACGCAGGAGGGAGAATCCTCCCGTAAGGATCGTCCGATTTCCTCCGCCGCAGTCAAATTCAATCGCGGAAGAGATAGAAACCAGACAATGATGCAGGCTGCCCTCGACTTTTGGACTCACAGTCCGATCGTGTTGACAGCTTTGACGCAACGTTCATCTGAATGCTAACTTTCAGGTGGAACATCAGACTCTAATCCGTTTGGTCCCCTTTCTTTGACGACTTGGTTAATTTGGCACTGGTGGTAAACTTGTTCGTCCCCCGGTAGTGATATCATTAACTGATGTTACCCAGATGTCATGGTAATACTTATCTAGAGGCCTGATAGTTTTCCAGAATTAGATCGTTCTCTATGATCCATCAGTACAGAGCGAACCTGAAGGCCTTGAACTATGAAATCATGTAGGTTCCAAGATGACTCGATTGAACCAATTTGGCAACTGATATGCCAAATGGGGAATTGATACTTATGTATATTTTATTTATTTATCACGTGATAATCGAAGATAGCCGATAATCCCGCAGGACATTGGAACCACATTCTCAAGCTGTTTCTGGCTCTAGTCCATTAACGCAAGCTCTCGATTTCTAAAAATCATCTCCATAACTATGAAATAAATATCATCCCGCAAGGCAAAGCCGTTCACTAGCTGATCATATTGAAAAGGTCGCGTTTCCTCTGTTTAGACGCATTCTCTAAGCTCGTACCTGGGCCAGCGGTCGTCTGAGCCAGCGTGGCTAAAATTCCTCGGATAATGACCCACCGGGATACAAGCATATCTCTCTGAGCGACCGCCGTCCTCTCCATCTTGCGCACACCCCGAAACTCGAGCGCCTGCTGAGCGTGGAGAAGGATCTGGCGGCTGGGACCTGCTGCTTGCAGCGCAGGCTTAACAGTGAACATCCCGAAGTAAGTATTGTCCTGGCTGTTCTCGATCTCGCAGCATCCCAAAGTGTTATCGTCCCCGTCGGTCGCGATGTAGACACCGTGACGCATCTCTAAGGTGTCTATCATCTTCAGGACGCCGTCCGTATTGATTCTCTCGTCGTCGAGGAGAGCCGACTCGGTGGTCCATCCTTGGTTGCCCCTACATGCGCGCCTGATGAGTTCTGCGAGTGTAGGGGCATCACTGGGAGTGGCTACCCGGAATTCGATGTGGATCATGGAGAGACAAAAATGTGATCGTGTAATGTGCTTGATTCATATTATCGGGATGCAGTCAAATAAATATACGCCTACGAGGTGAGATTGATACCTATTCAAGTTTCATCGGCCCAATTCCATCACTATGCTGCATTTCATGGAGTTATGTTGCCTGCAAGGCACTTCAGCACTTGACATAAACGCTTTTGGCAAGTGATCTGCCGAATATGGAAATGATGATATTGACGTCACGCGCTCTCATCTCTTGCCTCTTTCCGCCACGGTACACCAGACTCATGATGGTCGTACAGGCTCTTTTTCGACTAGGGATGGCCTGGATGGGGCTGAACTCGACTTGGTCACCTCTGGCGGACAGACCTGTATCTTCATGCCCAGATTACACGACGTATTCGGCTTCCGCACAGGGCAACCCGTCGAATGGTGTCCTTGCATTGCCTTACATGCGGCCTGCGCCTGGTCTGTACACAAAATTGATATCTGCACTCCGAAATCCTCACTCGTTGCCATGGTAGCTTGTAGGACCTTCAACAGTACATCTGTCGAGGTTTGTGGCAACCTTCCCATTCATTCCGAGAGTCGCTTCCCTTCTCATTCGACCCAGCGCGTGATAGAAGATATGAACCTGCTCTTGAGAGATCCGGACCTTGCTAGACTATTCGAAAACACTTTTGCGAATACGCTTGGTAAGGCCTTTGGGGCATCGTCATAAATGTTTCGTTGACGCGCGCAGACACGACCGTGAAATATTTAAATGTTTCGTTGACGCGCGCAGACACGACCGTGAAATATTTCAACAAGGTCCGTCGTCTGCAACATCTTTTCCATGTCCTGCTCATGCATCACCTTTCAGTCGGAGAACATTGCATTCATCATCACTGGGGTGATTATGCCCATTCCACCTACACCTCGCATCTTATCCACCATTCCAGGATATCACGTTCGCCCGTCTTGACCTGCTTCTCGATTAGCGATCTCATACGCATCTTCTTCAAGTGCTCAGTGGTTGAGAGACACGGCCAACCAGGTTGGTCTGACAACTCGCTGCAAGAACGACTGGTTCACTAGTGACAGTTTTCTCAATATCGAACCCTCTTGTCCTCAGACGACGACTTGGCTGCTCTGGTCCGCGCGGTGATCAACACCGAAGCTGGCTTCATTTCTCAGTTCCCTTATTGTCGTGTGCCTCCCTACGTCTCTTGTCTGCCCCTGATTGTGGACAGGTGGGGCTTTCCAACCGCCTACTCAGACAGGGCTTTCGCCCAGCCATAACGACTGGGCAGACCATGTGGTTGTTAATCCGTGCGCTTCTTCCGTCGGTTAAGCGATGTGCGCAGAACTGAAGACGTGCACAGGCCCATCGATGACAACGTCGTGTTCGAATGCAAAGTACTGCCTATTCCGCTCTCTGTGTTGATCCTGCCAACTCAGCGCTGTGCAGTATGAGCTAGACTCCCTGGCCGGCTTTCTGAAGCTTTCGCGGCAGTATTACGAGGGCACCCGTGACTCAACATTCATGGACGAAGAATGTCGGTTGAGCCGCTACGGTTTCCGCTGATCTGACGCAGGGATACAGGGTTCAGCGCTATCGAGGCGATATTCCGTGTAATAGAAGAACAATCTCGGGCTACCTTTGACGAAGATGGGAAACTCGTTTCGTTCTACAACTGGACAGGAACGGCTGGTTCACTCTCTCCCCGCGTTCCCAACGGGGGCAACGGCGAGCCCAAGGGCTACACCGGTGCGTCTCGTGCAGGAACTCTCACTCTCGTCCCTGCGTCTCATCCTATTAGGTATGGTTGGCACGCACCATCGTCCCAGCGACGACCTGAGCACTTTTGGTCAGCTGCAGTCATACCTGATTCCAATATGACCCCTGACCATCTGCTAGCGTTTCTAACACCCGCCAATGCGATGCTGAGCGTCGAGCTGGACGGCTTGGCCCACATGTTAGACTCAGTCGCACTTCGACCGGACCTCAGCTCCACTGCGAAACTCGTCGCAGGGCGAATACGAGATTCGATCTGGTCGAAAACAGTGCGTTTGCCGATCTCGTCATACACTAGATCGTTTAATATGCTAGGTCCTGGACGGGATATTTGCTTATGAAAGCAACGGTACCAGTGGGCTTGGCTCTTTCTTGTTCTGCTGACTTGACGCCCGATAGGTCTGGGCAGTGTATACATGATGGACGATGCGAATGTGCCGGTGGGTGGTGCGGACTGGATCATGCGCTGACTAAACTAATAGTGCCAAGTCGCTGCTTTCCTTACCATATCTCGGATTTGTGGACAAGCACGATCCTACGTATAGATCAACACGCCGTTTCTTGCTATCGCGGCAAAATCCGTATTTTGCATCCGGATCCAACTTCTCAGGCATTGGGTACGTCCACCAACATCGGATCTACCGCAGCTGACTTTTGATAGCGGTCCGCATTCTGACGCATGGCACCCTTGGTCAGTTAAGCATTGAACGGGGCTTCTGTGTTGGACGTTGATGAGTGTGCCCTCCAGGCCCATGTCGCTGATCTCCGGTATCTTCGGGACCAATGACGACCAAGAGATATCCGAGATGCTTTATCTGATCGCGAATGTGGGCAACCCCCGGAGATGGTCCACTGCAGTTGATCTCATTCTCGTCAGAACACCGCTGGCCTCGGTCTGATCCACGAGTCGCAGTCGATCTACGACCAGTCAGATTACACGAGATCTTGGTTTGCATGGGTATGGTGTGACCACTGGGAAGCATTCTTCCAGATCTGATCTGTTCACGTAGGCAAATAGCTACTTTGCGGAGTAAGTGGACACGCTGAGAAGCGACCCTGAGATTGGTTGACTGCCACACCAGAATGATCCTCGATCTGGCGCACCGTAAGCCCCAACTGATCCTAAAAGGAAACGGGCCTTACATGCCGAGCCAAATCTGCTGAGAGAGTCAATAAACCCTCAGGCGGTCCGTCTGTCCAGCCCCTTCCAGCCTTTCCTTAGTCCCCTCGCCTCAATGATATGTGCAGGCATGCAGTACACAGGGTCGAGATCCACCAGCCCAGGGTACCCCAGAAGCGATAGTCCGGCGATGCCAAATTGCGTGTGGAAGACATCCACCATGTTGCCGGGCCGATCGGCGATTCCCCCGGATTCGTGGTCCTGTTTCAGAACTCATCGTGTGCTGCACATCTCCCGGGAAAACCCTACCTGCGCCGAGAGGATGAATGATATGAGCTTGTCTGCGTCTATCCACGAGACGCGTTTTAGAATAGCCAGGGCCGACAGAACCCAAAAACTGTAGCACACCTGTCGAAGATCAGTTGAAAGTCGATCGTTCTGATAACTCGTAAATACGACGCACGTCTTCTAGTTTCTCAGGCCTGCCGTTCAGACCACCGTTGGGGAGCTGCCTCTCAGCCATCCACCAAGACAAGGTTTCAGTGTCCACTTCGTCTAATCGATCCAATATCGTCAGAGCAGCAACGCACACAAACACTGCATGACATCAGTCCAGTCCCCTTCAAGATCGATCACTACCTACCTTGAGCAGCGTGGCTTTCTGCACCAATGGAGCTCCCGAAGCCGCCGTCAAAGTTTCGGCACTGCTTGATGTAATCCACCGTCTTCTCCTTGTCCAACTGTTCGATAGTGCCGAGCAGGGAGAGCGCGTTGACGGCGATGTACGAGAAGCGGGTATCTATCTCCCCAAACGAGTCCCCAGCAAACACTCCGGAGGGTTGCTGCAGAGATAAGATAACTGGGCAGACGATCAGTCTCATCAATCTCGTCGCGTTTGTTTCGAGAGAGAGAGCGCACAGTGCGTGACGCGCGCGACGTCCAGCCGGTCGAGAGCGTCGTACGTGACCAGGATCTGTATCGCACTCAGCGTCGGGTGGATGTGCGCGTCGTGCCTTGGGTGAGCGCCGAACCCGCCTGTGTGCGAGCGTGATAGATTAATTGAGCCATTGATTGTGCGGTCGAGGCGAGTAGCGAGGTGAGTGCGGCAACGCACCAGCTGATTCATCCCAGCAGCTCATCACAAAATCGATCACCTCATCCTTATCTAGGGCATCCTCACTTCCTAGGACACACAGTGCGGTAAGGCCCCAGTAGATGGCACTCAAGCGCAAGTGCGCGGTGAGATGGTACATCAAGTCATCTGTGCTCTGTGTGCTGATAGCACCGTACGCTCGTAGACGCAACGCGACGTATGTACCTTGCCCAGGTTCTGTATATACGAGACGTGCAACGGCTTTAGAAGCTCGTCCGACATGGTGGTTTTGGGACAAGCCAGTGGGTGATTGATCGGAGGTGCACGATCACGTGCGTCGTGTGAGGCAACGCGGTCCACGCGATTATCTCATGTAGCTATTTGGAGCCAAGTCTCGTATATACACCAGGGAGAAGTCCAGTTTGAGCTGAGTTTTATCCGGAGATATCTCGCAGGAAGCCCGCTTGTGAAATGGCATTCCACGATCCCAGCGCCCGAAGCAAGACAATTTGGCGTGATGGGCGTCGTGGTCTTATGGGAAAATCAGCAGAAAGAGACGGGCTGGGAGATGTCTCACCCATTCCAATCCATTTTTTGATACAGACAAAGGTGTGCTCTGAATGGCAAGGGCCGTTGATGGATCGACCATCCAGACCCAGTCGACCATCGTGGAAACAACATCCAGATTATCCAGTAGGATCGAGTCACCCGCGCGAGCATCTAGCAAGTACAGCAGTGTCATCAGAGACGGACATCATATCAGGCATCTTTCTGAATCGTACCCCCCGCGCTTCTGAAGAAAGTGGCCATGTCAGAATCCACAGCTTGAGAGAACGGCGAGATGTCGGATCCGGCAGCAGCAGACAACGACGTGAGCTCGGCTTCGCGCTTGAAAATGTCCTGGGCGAGCGGATATTTGGAAACCGTTTCTGGTAGCGATCGGATGGTGGTCTCAACCACGCATGTCCCGGTTTGACAGGGGGTGTGCACGAGTGTGCGGGGTTCTGGTGTCGTGAACGACAAAGAGAAGTAGGGTCTCTCTGTGCGATTGGCCACCAAGGTGTCCAGATATCTGACCGCTCTATTCTGCGTCGACGTGATCACTGGGCGGGCAGGCAGCAGCCGGAAGGAAGCATACAATGTGATCTCGATTCCTGGCCTGGCCTTCTTCACCGACGGTAAAGGCACTCTCGTTCGTCAAAGGGTGAGCGCTTCCAACCCATATCTCCGGCATCCGGTTCCGCAGGATCGTGTAATAGTTGTCCGCCATTTTCCGTTCCTCATCCGGCATCTGCAGATCGTCCATGAGCTGGAGAAAGGCCGCGGCGTGGCGCCTCAGAAGCATGCTCCCGTATCCCAGCCAAGAGAAGCCAAAGGTTGTAGGTGGTGACATGATAGAGAGCCATTGGCTTGACAGCCTTTCCTCGGGAGGGTTTAGAAAGATATCCTGGTCAGCTATGCGCGAGCTGACAGCCCGTATGATTTCTGGCTTGACAATGTAGTCGTCATCCTAGCCTCTTTATGAGAACAACACAATGCGACTTAAGATAAAGAATCCACCTGGATAAAACAAAAGACCGTAGAAGCCTTTGAACAAGCGATGAATCGTGCTTGGAAATACAAGTTCTCCGGGGAGTTGTAAACTCTTAACTTCCGGGCCGGACAAGGCGCGAATTCCTCTACCTCAACGGTGTGGTTGGGATTATTATTCCACACGAAGATCTCCTTGACGACATCGTCCAGCGACGGCCCGCACAACCCCGCAACAATCGTTTGCACATTAGCGAATCGCGCCCAGTTGAGCAGCACTACAGTGACGTCCGGCTCGCGAAGCGGTGCGCTATACGATGCGTATTTCCTGTATGATAACGCGCAGAAAGCTCCCAGGAGGGCACAAAGAGCGAGATTGAGCGTGTTGTGGGGTATAAAGCGAGACGACATGTCGCAATCAAAATGGTCCTCGATCGGGGCTCGGCAACGACAACTCCAAACACTGTCACTCTGAGCCCTTCCTCCTGCCAAGAACCTGGTCTCCGCAGTTCATGTCGTCCGTAGGGCGCGAAATAGGTACCCTGGTTGTAGTCGTTCTGAAAGCCGTACGCGATCCCACTGCTTCAGCCTGCAACTCTCGTCTGACGGTATAGCATTAGCAACATCTACCCAACAAAAGGTGTCCCTGATGTAATCGATCCACTCGCTGTCTGACTCAAGCCAGGAATATCGGAAAGCAAGACCCGTACTGCTCTGTCTCGGTGAATGGCGAGAAACAGCGCACTAAGGTTGTGAAACGCGGTGGACAGCATCCGGAATGGGACGAGGAGCTGCGGTTTACGATATACGAGGACGCCCCTCCATCCACAGGGCCCGATGGCGCCCCGCCTCCACTTCCGCCCAAGGGCGGCAAAAGAAACATCAAAGGGGGGGCCATCATGAAGCTTTCGTGTTTCGCGGATGACCCACGGGAGCCTGATCTCATCGGGCAAACCGATGTCGACTTGACGGAGGTGCTAACAAAGGGCGAAACAGATGGTTTGTTTCTTTGATATCTTGGATTCTAAACTCACTTGACACGCAGAGTGGTTTGACCTGTCCAATAAAGACAAATTCGCCGGGAAGGTGTACCTGGAGTTGACTTTCTGGTCCAACGTGCGTCATGTTCGGAAGACGGTTGTGATTCAGGACTGAATCCAAACTTAGGAACCTCCGCCGGAAAAGAAAGTGGCCCCAGCCGCTCGGGTCAACGGCGAGTACAGTGGGCCGGGATCGTTTGTTACAACAGACGATGTCCGGCGGCCGCCCGACTCCACGCTCTCGCCCAACCGAATCCCATCCATGAACGCGTCATATAATCACTCAGGGCGACAGTCTGATGCAGCATCATCAACCATGAGGCCAGCCACCTCTATGGCGCAGGTCGATACTTACCGGTCACCCTATGAACAGCCTCCACCAGCTCATCGTGGTCGCGTCTCTTCGTTTACTGCAGTAACAAATGGACTTGCAGATATGGCAATTGGACCAGCAGGTCGACGACGAGAGAGTTTACCGGTCAGTGGATACTGATGTGATTCAATTGCGAGATCTAAGCCACTGCCTTAGCCTACTCATCACTCAACCATGTATACACCCAGGCACTCGTCTGCGACTTATCCTCCGCCGCAGCAAGGCTACGAACCCTCCTTGTACGAAGCGTCGGTATACGAACCATCGGCTTACGCACGATCTACGTACGAGCAGCCGTACGAGCAACAGCAGCCGTACGAACAGCGGCCTTACGAACAGCAGCCTTACGAACAGCAGCAGCCTTATGAACATCACCAGCAGTATGAGCCACAGCCGTCGTATGATCGCCCCAGAACACCTCCTGGACCACCGCACGAGGCACTGCCAAACCCATACGGATCTCAACCACCGTATCGACCGACATACGAAACAAATGTTGGTGCTGGCTATAGCACACCCCCTGCTCGCGGCCGATACAGTCTTCCGACGACATCATCCGGGTTCGTGCTGTCCAGCTCCAACAACGATGCCGGGTTCTCTCGGGCTCCTCCCCCGGCGAACTATTCTTCTCACATGACTCCGTCTGCATCGTATGGGCCAATTTCCTCCCAACCAACCGGCCAGTATCCGCCGTCGCTGCCACCTTCCAGCTCATTCCACGTCCAGCAGACCTTCCCACCCCAGGGCATTCCGCCGTCGCATTCATTCCCATACTCACAATTCCAAACGCCGCAAACAACAGGCTACAATGGAACGAATCATAGCCACATCCCCAACAATGGGCATTCGTCTCCGGGGCATCCGTCTGCTGGCCACACATCTCCACCTAGCCCCGGGCCTCCGTTGAACTTATCTTCAGGGCCCGGATCACGGCCTCTCCCGCCACAGCCACAGTTGCATTCCGGACCCCCTCACGTGTCATATGGTTTGCCACAGTCGGCGAGCCAGTCGTCGCTGGGACCTCCTCTTCCAGGAGCGTACAGTCCCACTCTACCCAGCAACGCGTCTTTCCATCAACTGCCGCCGCCACCGCCGCCGCCACCATTGCCGCAAAGCGGGACATTCAACGATGGTCTGCCGTCTCCTCATCGCCAGTCAAGTCTTCCGCCACCGCCTTCATCGTACTTGCCCTTGCCGCCGCCGCCACCACCACCACCGTTGGATTACGACTATCAGCCGCAGCCACAACCGCAACCACAGCCATATTATCCCGGACCACCACCCCGACCGCCAGTGGCGTGGAATTACGAATAATGTCGTCGCATATATTCACTAGCCCTACTAATAGATCTGTCTCGTAAAAATGAAACAATGTCTTTGGCACACACGCGCGCACCTTGTTCTCCTCTTTCCATTTTCGCAACGCCGTCTCAGTAGGGATGATGCCCTGTCGCGCGAGGTCCAACCGCGCCCGGTTGCGGATCTCGTTCTCCTCGTGCCGTCGCACGGCTTCGAACTCCTGCAGCGCAGCCTCTGCACTGATGACCATGCCGAAGAGCGTCGAGGTGCATACGAGAAACCCTGTGCGTGTGTGAGTCGCAGGTGACGCAATAGATAGTCTAGAAGTGGAACCTTTGAATGGGAATGTCTGGCGTCTAGAGTTGATGGGAGTGAGTTCATTTGTGCTATCCCCGTCCGCTCCTCTCTCCCACACACCTGAACCAGGGCCAAGAGTAGTGTGCGATGATCGTCAGTCCCAAACCCGTCGACAGACCGCGGAAGGCACCCTAAAAAGCGATGTATCATAAGAACCACCAGGTGCGAGTCTGGGAAGCCGCGGACCTGAAGACCGGATTTGATCTGGAGCGTATACGCCTGTTCGACGTCGTCTCTCGTTCGAGAGCTCATCTTTCCTTGCTCACTGCTCAAGCATCCACGGTCGGAAGTGAGAAGCAGAAAATGGCGATCACACACGACATCGTGATGACGTAGAACTACACAAAGCTATCTAATCTTATCGGAATAAGCTACATGGCGCTGATCACACGGAATTGCTTGTGCTCTGAACATGCGACGAAGCGCGACGATGAATGGATGAACACCTGCACGATTTTCTGGCCCTCGAAACAGTTGATCTGCGTAGTTTCATACATGTTAGTATAAGTTTCGGCAAGATAGAAGACCTGCTCGTCGCTCACCGTCTCTCGAGGTTCATCCGGCCGACGCAGGTCCCAGACACGAACCACGCCGTCTCGACTGCCGGACACGAAACAATTCTCGAGCGATGCACTTTTCGCATAGCGCCCTGCGAGCTGAGCTTCAGTGTGTCCGAATCGCTGCACCGGAACGGTCGGAACGCAGCGGTGATCGCGGACTTCGAATTGGAGCTCGCGGTGTGCGACCTGGATAGCCTCATGAATATATGCCGGTCGAATAACGCGGCTACTGGCCTCTAGCAACGTGCAGAATGAGGAGAGGGTCCTGTGAGCGTGGTACACCGAATTCGATGTCTTGAGCGTGTGAGCCACCCTCTCAGAGGACAGATCCCAGAAATTCACGCTGCATGCGGGTTGGAGAAGCAGTCTCCATCACATGCTATACACACCTGCAATCGGCGCTGGCAGACACCAGCTTGTGGCTGGTGTCCTGGATGGCAAGCAATGACTGGATCTGCGAAGTGTGTTTCATGTTCAGGACCTGCGGCGCCGCTGAAGCAAAATCTCGAGTCGCCGTCCACAAATGGACCATGTGATCATATCCGCCAGTGGCGAACATGCGAGGGGCCATCATGTGAGCCACCGCACTCACGCCACCCTTCTTGGAAGACGACCATGGACGATTGAGATGCGCCACCTCGGCCTGGACAAACATCAACACATATTATTGGCGACCGGGCAATATACTCACCATGCGCCCCGATTGGTCGAAACGCACGAGCGAAAGTTGCTTGACGTCTCGATTATGTCCGAGCACAACAGCGGCCCGGCCCGCCTGCTCCAGCAGACATGCATCATCGACAACATCTCGACTCGGGGAAGGCACCTGAGCGACTTGAAAATGTCTGGGAGATCGATAAAGAGAGTCTGTGAAAAGTAAAAACACCGAATCGCACCCACCTTCTCGTCACCGGATCTACACGTTCCAGAGTTCCATACATCGACACCACGACGGGCAAAGAACTCGTGGCCGACCCGCACAGATACCGCCGTAGTTTGTCGTACTGCTGGCGGGCCGGAATCCGAAACTCCGCTCCCTCAGTGCTGTAGGTGGGCACGACCGTGGCAGCCGCTATGGACGGAATCACAAGTTTGTCTCCGTCGTCGTCGTCGCGAACATTCGGCCCGGGATAGGGATCTGGATCTATCTCAGGCAGATCCGAAGATGAGGATGCGATCGACAACGGCTGCAGAAATTCCGGAGTTGCAGTCCGCCGGTGAGATGAGGAGTGGACCCTTGGTCTTGGAGATCTTCGCGCCGATTCCTGATCGACGACAAGAATCTTGGAAGATGAAGTATGAGGAACGTTGTCTGGAACGGCCACTTGCTTGCGCGTAGATTCGCCCGGAGAAATCAAATCCGACAGCTTGAATACAAGTCTGCCGGAGCTGAAACACCGAAACGACGACGCAGCTGGCAGTGGAGGAGGGGACTGCAAATGCGGCGCCAGCTCCTTCGCCCATGCACTTTCGTCCTGGAGCAACTTGTAAAGAAATATGATCACGGTGGACTTGATAGAGATACAGCACTTTTTCAGCATGTCTCGCCTCTCGTACAGGATCTGGCAAGGGGGCGAGTGAACAGTTGATGAGATCATCTTGTTCGCAGGAGAACACGACGTGGTCGCCCGCCACCGTATATCCCACGACCTGCAACCCCAGACCCGACTCTTTTAGACTTTCGATCTCGCGTGCAAGGAATTGCTTGCGTTCACGATGACAGCCAGGCACTCCTTTCCTACACGCCTGGGGCAGTGTTTTGATGATTTCTTTTTGTCGAAGGTTGTTCAGACGGCGCCGTTTTACGGGTGAACTCGGTGTCAGTGCGTCAGGGCGCCGCTTAGACGACCCAGGTACGGAGAAGCGAGTGTTAAGGTTGGACTGGAACAGTGAACGGGACGTGCGGATTGACGGTATGGGATTGTGCATATGGCTCCTGCCCCGCAGATCATTGGGTTGTGCATCCTCTACGCTCATGGGGTTATAGGACGAAGCAGACAGTGGCTGTGTTTACTGATCAGAATGTAAATAAATACATGGCATTATCTATCTACTTGGAGACACTTCCCAATTCGACGGCGAACGCAACGGCGAGCTTCGAGAACTCTTTCATGTGTGAGAAGCTGAATTCATCGGAAACATCAATGCGGCTGCAACTCGGTCAAAAGAAAGCCGGATGGAGAAAAAATGTCTCACTCGTTCAGTGAGTGGATATTCTTGTTCGAGTTGGGGAAGCTGCTTTCTGTGGGAAGCGTCAGTCGCACGAAGATGTGACGCGTGCAGAGTCACTCACCAATCGTGAAAGAGCTGGGGTATCCGGCTTTGGCCCAAGAAGCGCTAGAACAAGATAAGGATAGTGACACCAACATAAATCAGGACAGACTGGTCACTGCAAGCGTAGCCACACTCGGTCTGAAAGGCGATTGACGTTCATGTTTCGGACTCTATAGAAATGCACTCACGCCGACCCAAGGAATGTCGAGATAGAGTTCAACGAGTTGTTTGTTGAATTCAGTGACCCTTGAAGCAGGAATAGATGAGACGGAGATCGTAAAACACCAACAAACCACAAACCCAGGATCAACAAAGTCCGTGATAATGCCAACTTCCTCGCGGGTTCCGGCCTGGCTCAGAATTAGGCTTGCGAACGTCGCAGACAGCCTGACATACCTTGACCCAAGCTGTCATGTCGAACTAGACCCCAGTCAGCTGGCGTGCGAGCATTCGGCCATGGAAATCTAACCTGACTCATGGCGAGAACATTGACACCCTTCTGCTGATACGATTGAGCTACAGCTTGAGATCCTAGAAGACCGCCCTCCTATGTGTCGGATTAATGATCGCGCCGACGCAATCTTCCAAGACTGCAGTACTGACCTCCGCAGAGTACCAGTGAAACTCTGAAGGGACCTGTTTCAGCGAAGAACGGGCATTGAAGCACGCACATACCAATGGCACGCTTCGGATGAAAGTCGGCAGCAAGAAGAGCGCGGTAGCTCTCAAGAATCGTCACAGAACCAGAGCCATCATCTGCGGCAGTTAATATCGATCACGGGAGCCAGAAAGAACCGACCGTCAGCGCCAGGGGCAGGAAGGAAAGGCCAAAGGTTGCTGTCATGAAATGAGATAATGCACGGAGGTTCAACAAGCCACCAACGTGCTATCCTGATGAGCACCGATGATGATAACCGCATCGTCGCTTGTGGAGGAGCCGTTGATTCTGGCAATCTGTCGCGCATATTCATTGCCTCGCGAAGCACTGCTCAGGGCGAACACATACAACAGAGTGCTGACCCCAGCTATGCGAGAATTCGGAGACTGAGATGAGATCTTGGAGGGACTTGGAGCCCCACTTGGAAGTGGTCTGGAGCGCGTGAGCGATAATACAAGAGCCACATGGTTCCACATTGACACACCTCTTTGATCTTCTCCTTGAGCCACTGCTGGCTCTGCTTTCCTGTCTACCACGCAGTGAGAAACCAGACATTCAGAAGATGGAATGAATTTTACGTCACTGCGGTAGTCTAGAAGCGAGTAAGAAGCGGCGAAGTGAAGAGAAATGAACAAGGCGGCCTACATCTCGTGCGGAAACTAGTGAATGTGCGGAGATTCTCTTCAGGGCCCTCGGTAGAGAGCTTCTTGATAATCGGCCAGACCTATTGCAGCGACGTGAGACCCGCTACAATCTGTGAACAGCAAAGCCGACCTTCTCAGTGGCGTTAGGTGCGGGAAAAGAAGCTGGAGAATTGACATGCTGTAGCCTCCGGATTATTGGGGGTAGAGATAAATGCTCCCACCTTGAGTTTGGAATCTATTCCCGGCGGTCAAGTGCTCCGTGTCAGTTCTAAAACCCAAGTTAGTTTGGCTGCCGGATTTTGTGCTGTTGAATAGAGCACATGTCGAAGAACTTGATGCCTCGTGCTTTCGCTTGGATCTGAACATTGCGTTAGGCGAAAGTGACCAAGGAGCATATAATAGAACGAGGGGCTTTCCTTTTCCAGCTCGGACATCCATACCGGAGGTTGGCCTTCCATTTCGACGAGACGTTTGGCACTAAGATCAAATCCGGGGAAGTCTGGGTGCTGGTAATCATGGTCGAAGATGAATGGCGTCTGGTCCTCAGTGAGAGGCACGGCTAGAGCAGCACAGGCACAAGCGAGAGCGATGAGGGAGGTCTTCATCATGGTAGAGAACAAGGAACAACCGCGTCAGCGCAACTGACTGATTCGCGTGCACGCGCATCACGCGGTGATTGCTCGCTTCTATCCCGATTGCTCGCCTACATCTCGATTACGAAAGGGCTAATCGTCAGCGAGAGACAGGAACTTTTGGATGGCGCCGCCAGCAGCGGAGAGGCGATTAAGCGCCCTCAACTACATGCGTTTTGTTTACGAGGATACATCTATACTGAGTGCAAGTTTCGAGGGTCAAACTAAGAGCAGAGCGCGTGCCGTGGCCTGCATCTGTGAAATTCAACTTGTATCCATGTGCGTCCGTCGATTCTCTTCCAAAATTGACGAGGTCGTGAATTGGCGCGGATGCAAGCTTTTCTTCGGTGCTTGAAGTCACAGACAGAGATCTGGACGAATATTAGCCAAGTGACAAGTCTGCTGCCAGAAACCTGTGTCTCAGTCTAACCTTAACCTTGGCGCTATGTCCATTCTAATCACGTGACCGTAAAGGTGACATTGTCACTGAAAGTCGTCGATCAAAATGAATTTCAACTCTTTTTGTCGACGCCGAACACAGAACACTTTCTGGAAGCATGTCTAAGGCAGCGTTGAAAGGTCGAGCGCAACTAGTGGTACGTCCAGTCTTCTCCCCATGCGTCGCCTTAACCTCTAATGTGTCACCTAGCGACTGCTCATTCCTGCGGGCAAGGCAGCTCCCACTCCGCCTGTCGGTCCCGCACTCGGTGCTCGCGGTGTTAAGTCAATGGACTTTTGCAAGGAATTCAACGCCAAGACGGCTCATGTCGAACCTGGTGTACCAATACCAACAATGATCACGGTTCAGCCCGACCGCACCTTCACCTTCGTCACCAAATCGCCACCCTCCTCATATTTTCTCAAAAAAGCCGCCGGTATAACTAAAGGCGCGGGGAAGCCTGGGCAGGAGACCACCGGAACGATAAGTCTCAAACACGTGTACGAAATTGCGAAAATCAAAGCCTTGGATGAACATATGCAACATATCCCATTGGAGTCGGTGGCGAGGATGATAGTGGGGAGTGCACGATCACTCGGAGTGCAGGTTGTACCATGATGATGCCCGAGGCGCGTATTCTGCCGGATATAATCGCAGTGTGGTTATTGACGTAGTGGCCACAAGACTGTGTGAAGGAATCGATGGCGTGTTCCCATGCCTGTTTTGCGTTTGCATCAGCTGGGCCCAGATCCATGGCTCATATCCCGATACCCGAGTTAGAGTGCGGCGTAATGAAATCACCCTTCCTAATCTGATGCGAGATCGTGCGCACTGGCCGACCTCGCCACCTTGCAGCGCCAAAGTTGCTGTTTACGACTTTGTTTCCGTTAGCGGGTTCCTAAGATTCCTTTTTAGTCCTTCATATCACTTGCTTGGACCGGCAAGCTTGGATGTGGGCTGGGCTGCCTGTGGTTCCGCCGTTGGGATTCGGGCTGATATCACGACTGCATCGACACGCCTCAGATGCATGCAAACTCCTGTGAATCCCCGGATGCTGGGCACGCTTCCGATCGCACGAGCCAGACTGCTGCTTCCCAGCTGCCTAATCCGTTAAGCCTCGTGGGGTCCGTAGATCAGATTCGAACACAACTATATGTGCCCAACAAATGTTTTCTGCGTGTCCTCTTGCTCTGGTCTGGATGTCAAAGGCAAATCTCGGGGTCTGCCGCAACATATTCCTCTCGCTTCTCGGCGGCTGGTGATGTTCTTCGACCGTGCTTCGATCGAATGGCATGTCCTGCGCCTTGTATTTGTCCAGGGCTGACAGCAGGCCCTTCAAAAATGTTCCTCCCCGCCATGCTTTATCTATCGCCAACACGTTTCCGATCGGGCCACTGAGCCGTTCTTGCAAGACATGTAGATCTCCAAATCGCACTGGTTCTGCTATAAAATGGACTCCAAAACCATGGGGAGTGGACCCATCCACTCCTCGTCTCTGCATACACCCACTCCTCCAGCCCGCCGGTGATGACTTCTACTTCGAACGATGTCCTCTCTTGGACCAACCAGGATCCTCGCGAAAGCATCCTCTTCAATTCCTGGGGTGTCATCTACCGCTTCTCGGTTCGTCGCTTCTTTGTTCGTGGCCCGGCCTCCATTGACCGTGCGAGCAGACCGTGGTCAGCGCGACCGGCCAGAGCGTGACCACTCTCTATCGCACGATCCGGCCCAACAAAGAAGACCGGGTCGCGAAGCTCGAATGGGCGCAGAACGGTGGTCTTGGCCGGGTCGTCATCGGCAAGGCAAGCCGCCCTGCTACTAGCCTCACTCACCATTGACACCGCTCTCCAGAACACCCTCCCCATGGCTGACCTCGTCCGAGCGGATCCGCGCATACAAGTGTGTGGTCATCGTCTACGATTCCCCATCCCCGTGTCTGACCTGCCGCAGGACTCGCGAGTGTTTTATGGGCCGGATGGACTGCAGTATCGTTGGCGGCCCAGCTCGAACAACACCGACATCGTGGTACGCCCGACGGCTCTTTCGGGGCAAGTGGCGTGGCTCATGCGTTCGCAGCTGCAAGACCATAACGGAGTCATCGTCGCATTCTTCAGGCCAATGCGTCTGACTCGGTACCAAATCGGGGATGTGTACGGCGAGCTACATTTCATTCGCACCGCGGGATCTGGGACGGTGGTGCGTCCGAAGCCCTCTTTCTCCGTCCCCGAGCTGACTTTTTGCCAAGACGCATCCACCGATCATGGACATGGTGACTGTCACCGCGATGCTCTATCGGTTTTGCGCAGCGTGGAACTTGCAGTGAAGGATGAGGGGACCTCGGGCTTGTATTTTATTCCAAACACTGTACATGTAAATCAGTAATCTCCAACTCGTGTCATGATTATCCGAATTCATTGGAAATTCAAACTACAAGCAGCCAGTCTCTGTTTGCGCCCAGCCTCGCCATCTTGATGAAACAGGCCACGATGCAATCTGATGAAAGCGAATATCTTGACCTTAACTCTAATTCATAGAAATATCGAGGGGGGACACACCGCTCTTCACAATTTCACCCGGACCTCTTCCTGTTCCGCCTTTAGTACGTCCACAATCTCATCAACTGTCCGGATAACCCATTCCGCGCCCTCGTCGCTGGCGAGCCAAGCATCTTCGGCCGACTGATCCTCGATAGTTCTCGCCTTAAGCAGCCCGAACACATGGCTCGTCAGCTGAGGAATCACTCGCTCTTCCGCCCGCAAGCAGGCCACCCCAACCACCGAACCCATAACCCGGCTAAGGTTGCCTTGATCCGGATCAACCGCGCTGCTAATGTCCGAGAACGACTTGGTTTTTCCCGGCAACGGAGAGAGCACGGTGCCGTAACTCTGGATAATGAACGCTGGGAGTAAATGAGCAATCGGGGAGCAGAAAGGACCGCAATCGGGATCAGATTGGCAAAAGGGAAAGGCGCGCTCTCAGGCATGCCACATGTGGCTGACACGTGGTTCTCTCGGAAAGATCAAGGCTCACAAATAAAGTCCGGATGGTATAAGCCCAGCTTGTCGTGGAGTTTTTCGGCATGCGGAGAATATATAGAACTCCACAACGCCCTTCCCCGCTCGACGGTTGATTCGGCGGCCTCGGGCTTCGCGTCTCTGGTATAAATAAATCATCATCAGCAGTTGCGGGCAAAAGATGAACAGCCCGAGAAAGTGTTCCCACCGGCGAGAGATGGTTCTGAGCGCGTCCCTCACTTCGGGCTCCAGTGCATCATGTAATGCAGCGAACGAAAGGATGACCTGCTCTGAGTCGAACACATGAAGGTCCAATAAGCGTGTCACGCACTCTGGGAACTCCGATGAAGATGACGCTCTTCAAGATCGCCTCGCGAGCTAGAGCCGCTCTGTTGACGGCTTCTTGCAGGGGGGTTTGACTTGGTCGAATGAACTGATAGAGTTGTGACATTGAAGCAGGTCGATTGGTCGTAGCCAAACTGCAGGCCTAGGAACAGTTCCGTAAACACCAAGCGTGGGTGTATGCTGGGCGCGTGAACGTTACCGTCAGCACGAGCCAAGCAGTTTCAGCATGGCGCTTTCTAGCGTCCTGGTAGGTCTTGGTCAAGACTGACTGCAATTTCGCGACTGGCGGTCCGGGAAGTGGATGTGGATTGCGCAGAGTCAACAGATGCTTGATTGCGGGAGGGAGATGCTTGACCATAGCGCACGCAGTGTTCCAAGACTGCCAGGACGCGTTTGAGTTGACTTGTAATGACGGTTGTCAGTACAACGAGTGTTGTTCGAGATGGTGATGGAGAGCGGTCATAGCTCCCACGGGACGGACCGGAGACCTATTTCCAGGCAGGCCAATATACCTAACAAGCATTCATTCATTGCTAGTGCTCTACACTGCCATACAAAAGTAGTGACTAATGGCCCACTGGGCCGCACGATTGAATGGCCACAGCTGCACAACAGTTGTGGCACGTATGAGTGGCAAGGCTAGCTTGCCATTGGTATCGAGACAAGATCACGGCGATCGTAGATATCTTGGACAATCTAGTTGTTGATAAACCAGTTTCCGAGGGCGTTGGGACCGGATCCGTCTGTCGGGCCTGATGAGCGAGCATTTATTACAGAGGACAGGCACGAACCAGAAACCATCAACGTGTTGAGAGTGTTGACGTTGGTCATATCCTTCATCGCACCGAACCAGCAGTGGGCATGAATCCAGTCGTTCTCATTGGCGAACTGAGTCGCCGCCTGTAAGAACGCCCAGATCTGGCCCATATCCGCCTGAGGCCCGTTGTTGAAGTCCTAGATTAAAAGTTAACGCAACGACAGGGAACACAAAGCATAACACTTACTTGGTCAGCATACTCGGTGATGTAAACCGGCAAGTTGTACGTGGTGTGCCAGTAGGTCACGTAGTTCTTGAAATCTTCGATGTCCGTCCCGTAGTAATGGACGGCGATACCTCCGACCTACAATGCTTCTAAGAACGAAACAATTTGAGACGCCAAAAACCGAACCTTGCAATCACCACAGTTGTCGAAGAAAGTCTTCATCCAAACTTTGCCGTTCGGGTTGGAAGACGTCGCACACGAAATGAGCGTGTAGCCCTCGTTGGCAAGCGGGAGCATGTACTGCTGCCAGAGAGAAATGCCACTGTAAGGGTCCATGTTACTCTGGCCAGCTTCATTCGGCCTGTAGAGTCATCAGAGATGCGATTACGTAGCCGAGAAGCGCGGCCTTACTCGTTGCAACCAAGGGCAATGTTAGAATAGCCTTTGACAGCCTTGGCCTTGAAGTCTTCCGCATTTTTCCAACCCCAGAGCATGGGCGCGTAAGTCAAACCGAGCTCTTCAGCGCCCGGGACTTTCGTGGCATCCCAGCTGTAGATCCTAGAGCAAAATGTCAAAAAACTACGGAATCAATAACTGCCAAGACTCACAAGCCAACAGTGCTGCCGATCCAGGGTGCGAGAGGGTTGAAGTTGGAGTTGGGCCAAGCAAGACAAGCTTTGCCACGAAGACCGCTTCCGCCAGTGCTCTTGCCGGGCGACTGGGTAGCAACAGCTTGCTTAGAAGTCGTGGGAGACGGAGGCGGCTTCGCAGTGGTGGGAGCCGCGTGCGTAGTGGTCGTTGTAGGAGCCACATGCGTCGTAGTCGTAGTAGGAGCCGCATGTGTCGTGGTGGTAGCATGTGTCGACGTCGAAGTCTCCGTCGAACTAGTCGAAGTCTGCGAGGAGGAACTGTGCAGAGAGGACGACTTGGGCTTGCAGCGACTGGCGTTAGTCCGCTTGCGCACACCGCTGTGTTTGTGTTGAGCGATGGCATGGTGGCTCCTGACCACATGAGGAGGTTCAAGAGCGATTGCGTTAACAGGAGTGATCGTCGAGACTGAGAGCAAGCCGGCCACAACAAGTGTGACCGCGGTGAGGAAGCGAGTGGGAGCCATCTGAGGGTATAGAAAAGAGTGTCGGGGCCAAGTGAATGGCGATGGTGGTGGTTGAAGGGAAGAAGGGTTGGGAAAAGATTAAACTCAACGGCATCATCATTTTGACGACTGAGCAATCAAATCTCCACTCAATTTACGTGCCCGCTCCGAATCTAGACATAAGCTCGAAAAAAGAAACCTCCTGTAGAGAGAACGATATTGCACCAAATTTCTGCTCTTCTGTGTTGGTGAAGAGTATGTAGCACTCGGTCCCGAACGTTGAATCTAGTCGAAAACGAGGCCAACTACCATGGAAACCGCGTGATGATGCAAACAGGACAAATAAAATGCAGGTGCCATCACACGACAGACGATTCTCTAACCCTCAAGTTTCTTTCACCAAACCGGTTCAAGAGTTCATCGACATCGTTCATCCCACTCTCAAGCACACAGTTCATCCTCATCATGTCCGAAGCCCCTGCCGCCGTGGTCCCCGAAACTGGCGCGCCCGTCACGCAAGAAAAGGTCGAAGTCCCTGGCTTTAAGGTACATCCATCGCTCTCAGTCCTTTGTCACCTGTTCTCATTCCTTGCCCTCTGCAGGTCTTCGCAGGCAACCTTGCGTATTCTACTTCGGATGAGGGGCTGAAGGCTTTCTTTGCCCCCGTGCAGAGCGACGTGTACGTGTCGCCACGCGCACAGCATTTGCTGGCAGCCGGTGTACTCGTGTTGATCTGTGTGTAGTCTTTCCGTGCAAGTCATCCAGAGGGGCACCCGCTCCGCTGGCTATGGCTTCGTCGCTCTCTCGACTGCAGAGGCCGCTCAAAAGGCTGTCGAGCTCTTGGACAAGAAGGAGCTCGATGGCCGTCAGGTCATCATCGAGGTCGCAAAGCCCGCCGATCAAAAGGACCAAGAGAAGAAAGAGAAGAAGGCTAAGAGGAGATCCGGCAGGCGTGGCAGCAAGGCTGTTCCCGGTGAAGTCTCCGAGGCTGAGGCGAACGGCGAAGCGGCTCCCAAGACTGATGAGCCTGCTGAGGCCACCGAGACGGGTGATGCGGCTAAGCCTAAGAAGAAGAAGAAGAAGTCTGCTGTGTGTTTTCTTCTATCTTTTCTCTTGTCACTGCTCATGTTTCCGATTCAATCAGCGTAAGCCCAAGGCAAAGGAAGGCGAGACGACTGATGCTCCTGCTGACGCCACCGCCACGGATGCCGATGCTGCTGCTCCCGGTGCTGCAAAGAAGGCTCCTCGTCAGAAGAAGCCCAAGGTGCCCCGTCCTGTCCGTCCCGCTGGCGAAGATCCTGTTGGCGAGCCCTCGAAGACTGTGCTCTTCGTGGCAAACCTTGGCTTCAACATTGATGACGCTGGTCTCTCCGCCCTCTTCACTGAGGCCGGCATCGCTGTTATCTCTGCTCGCATCGTTCGTCGCCGCTGGGGTCAGCCCAGGAAGAGCAAGGGCTACGGATTCGTCGACGTCGGTGGTGAAGCGGAACAGAAGAAGGCTATTGAAGCCCTTCAGGGCAAAGAGCTCGGTGGTCGTGCTATCGCCGTCAAGATCGCTGTCAACACTCCCCATGATGACGACGAGGCTGAGGCTGAGGCCGCCCCTGCCGCCCCTGCTGCCTCTGCTGCCCCCGCCCCTGCTGAAGTTGTCCCCGCCCCTGCTGCGTAATGATTATGCTCTGCCTTAAACGCGTCCCCTTCCATGTTCGTTCATGCTTGTTACTGCTTTCATGTTATAGTGGGTTGTCGATATTTGACCACACTAACGTCTTCCCTTTTAACTTGTGATCCCTACTCAGTACTCAGTGACCACACTTAACGTATCGTTAGTCAGTCGCGATCTTTCTGTTTTCCCGTACTTGAACAGAACGTCGACGATTTTCTCTCCGTGACTATGCCCGATGATGTGATTGCATTCCCGATCAAGATGTCTGCTTCAGACGACGATGACTACTTGGCTGACCTGGACAAATTCCTTGTTCCACCGCCTGCTTCGAAATCAAGCTCGACGACCTACTCTCAGCGTCGCAAGGAGGCAGAGAAGCGATCCGCCGCCAAAAATGAGCAAAACCGAATGAAAGGTCGACGTCAACGTGAACTCGAATCTCGTACAGAGGGACTGAGCAAGAGTCTGTTCGAGCGTGCCAAAGAGGAAGAAGAGGCTGGGCTGACAGGAAACAGCAAAGCGCTCTCCATGATGATGAAGATGGGTTTCAAACCTGGGCAAGCGCTGGGTCAACAGATCGACGTGCCGCCGTCTCCCACTTCTTCGAGCGTTGCTGCAGGCTCGTCTGCACCTACGCCCGCTACAGGCAGCTCTTCTGGCCACAAATCTGAGCCACTGAAAATCAAAGAATGGGCAGGTCAGATTCAGTTTGACTCGGTATGCGGTCAACAATGACACCATGGCTGTAGGCAAGAAGGGTATCGGACTGGGGCAGAAGCGGCCACCATCTCCCTTGTCTGCAGAGCGCATGGCGAAAATGGCGAAAATGGCAGAAGCGAGCGATCACAATGACTTCCGAGATCGTGCGCGTAGAGAGTATGAAGAAAGACGTGCTGAAGGTCGCCTGGGTGTGTTCTAGATTCTGAAACTCCTGAACACGGGACATGTATGTTGAAGCATGTTCTTAGGACCGGCGCAACGAACATGTGTAACTCTAGACGATAAAATGGGGAAGACGGTAAGTGCCTTGAAGCGCGAGCACCACTGACTTCACTGAATCCGACCTGCAGTTCAGTGTGCTATGGCTTGACCCTCGTAACCCTGGCTCGTTTCCGTCTGGGCTTCTGGAAGCCTTGGAGTTGAATACTACGCTTCCTATTTCCGGAGGAGAGCAACAAGACGGTGATGACGAAGGACCGCTTTGTTGCAGCGAAACAACGCGAGCTGCGGAAGCTCGATTGAGGCGGAAGATGGCAGCTGAATCATTGCAGCCGCTGGCCGCACTGGAAGACGATGTGGATCCGACTGCCTCTGAGCCGATTCAATTTTCGCCTGAACAGTTGGCGGAAGCGGCACAGTTTCTTCGTCTACAAGTAAGCAGTGTATAGTGGTCTGACATGGGTCCTGATTTGTCCTTTGCAGGCATCCGATCGCCTGAAGATTGTGCTCTCTTACCTGCGTACCAGCTACTCGTATTGCTTCTGGTGCGGATGCCAATATGAGAATGCGGAGGATTTAGCCAGCTCGTGCCCAGGGGAGGACGAAGACGCACACGATTGATGGTCAGAGCAACAGGCCAAAGCGATGGTATAAACGGGAGCAAGGATATAAGATGATACGACAGTGAGTGTGAGTGAGTGCTAGAGATTGTCCAGCGATGCTTATAATACAGCTACAAGTACAAGTGATGGATGCCCTGGAATTCAAGAGTTTCTTCATCAAGCTGTTTGCACCTGTCGTCGATCAATTGGGGGTGAGGAGAGACGGACTCCGGTGTGGTAAATTCGATGCGCATGCACGCTAGCCGAGTGCACCTCAGGGAGGACTTTGGCCATGGAAGCCGGCGAGCTGCCAGTCAACGATTCGACGTTGGGATTGGGTGTGATGGGGAACGACTCGACACTGGCAGAATGAGGGAAGAATGAGGGCAGAGTCGGCAACGTGAGAGGCCCCGTTGATGCTGCCACAGGCGAACTTGACGTAGCGCGGGAAAAAGTGGGCGACGTCGGTGAAGCGCCTGGCGTTTTACGGCGCACATAGGTCGAGATCGGCGTGTTGGCTGGCAGGTCGCAATTCGAATCGTAGACATTCACAGTAAGAGTTCCCCGGAGTCGTCGTGAGCGAGGCGAGGACGGCGGATGGGGTGAGGTCGAGCCGGGCTGTTAACTGCATGAGCCTGTTATCCATTTGTGCTGGAAGGCGACATACACGGCGCTCGTGCTCTGACGACGAAGACGACGAGCTACTGCCCCGCCGCCGAGACGCCGGAAACACGGGCGAATACGGAGAATATCTCGCGCGTCGGTTTTGTGAGATTCCATAGTCGCGAGGAGGAGGGGGACTAGAGCGCGACCGATCCGGAGAGGGCGGGGTGATGTTCGGCATTGAAGGTGAAGAGTGTGGGGATGATAAAGAATGAGACGCTGCAGTCTGCTCCAAGCCCAGAGAAGACATGAGCTCGACGAAGGAAGGGAGTGTGGTGGCCATGGGCTCGAAAATTAGGCGGAGAAGGGCATGTAAACAAGAAGGCGGTCCTTAAGGAGACCGTGTCCCTCTCGACCATATATAACGGCTTGTCCCTGGAAACGCCCCCACGTCCAGTTGCTAAGAAGATCGTCCACAATTATCATCGCGTTGAGGACACGTCCGGAACAGAACATCTGCAACTTGTCGGCAGGGCGATGGTCTGATACAAGTTGATCCCCCCGCTTAGCTTTCCTAGGGTCTGGCTGGGTACCTGCATGAAAAGGTCCGACCGCTCCTCAGACGTCGGGTGCACCGGTGACTTGACACAATATTGTCTCCGAATTTTTTTAGCCGGCTATGCGGCGCTGTGCGACGTATGATGTTTGGACAATGTGGCTTCCTCTGGCTTCCTCCAGCGTGATTATATACTGCCGACGGAGGTAATCCACAAGACGCGGACCGATGAGGCGCTGTCAAGTCGCATCTCACGGTACTGTCTATGGAGATACTTACTCGAAATGGTTTCAGAGACTACAGTTGCCACAGCCCCATCCTGTACCATAATAATGATACAGCAGCCCATATGCGCGTTTATGCCGTCAAACGTCAGACGCCGCGCTCAAACAGATTGCACGGAGCTCGAAGCCAGGGTTCCAGCTCGAGAATACAAGAGTAGCAGTTCCTTTTTTACGGACACGTGATCGCATTGGGATTTGATCATGAACTCCCAACAAGACCCAGGTCCTGCAGCAGGCACCCGTTACGGTACTTCGTTCTCGCAACCGCCAAAGGAGATCATGGAATACAGCTGCGCGGGTTTGTGGAGACCTAGTGACTGTCGCTCGTTTGATGACATGGGCAGATTGTGGGGCTACCAACGAGATCAAAGCCCGGGAACCTATACGGTGTCGCGAATGTGGGCATCGCATCATGTATAAGAAAAGGACGAAACGAAGTGCGTGCACCATGCTTCGTGCTTCTCAAGAAACACATTGTTGCTCACGATTTTTGGCACCAGTGGTACAATTTGAAGCACGGTAACCACCGCTCGCGGAGGCTGCGCGTAGCGCCCATCTCAGGTTATCTGTATCATAGGATTCATAGCACAATCGCTGGCATTGATCATGTCTCGAATTACATCTCATGTCACCAGAGCCCCAAGTGTCTAACCCACAAGTTCAGCACACATGTCACAACCATCCGATCCAACACCTGTTCAGCCGAGGCCGTCACGCGCAACGTCGTCTCTTTGTCTGTCCAGGTCGCCACCGTCTTCTTGCTGCTTGCTTCGACACACTGCTAATGGTGATGGGTCACCGCGCGCTCACTGCAGGCGGAATCTCGTACGTATAGATCGTCCCCCTCCGCGATCTTCCACTTGTATTCCACACCGCCTGCCTTGAACCTGCGAGATCTGTGACATGGACATCAGCTTCTGTCTCCGGACACTCCGAGACGAACTGCTTAACTGGCTGGTCGACTTTTTCATTTTTCTCAGGTCCTTCAGGGAGATCTGCGCAAGTTCCGGCAGTCGTCACAAGGATCCCAAGCAGATGCGCAATTTTACATGCCTCATGAACCCCGAAATGGACTGTCGCAGTTGTGTTTCCTGGTCAAGTTAGAGTCCAAGTACTAAATACTTGCAGCGCCCCAACCTTGCCAGGCGATCTCCCCCGCTGGTTCAAAGACTGAGGTTGCGCGGTTCCTACGTTGGAAGGTGGTGACCGCAGAGCCGTAGCCATACGAGGCATGATAGAACTGGCCATGGACGGTATGAGACGGACGATCTACGAGGCGAACAAAGTCTGACCTCGTATAGCTCTACCGCCTCGTCGCCTTCTTGCAGTCTCTGGAAGGCTTTGAACGTCCGGATCTCGTCCTCTTTGGAGTAAACGAAGTGCAAGACGGTATCCATTGGGCAGGAGGTGAGTTCCAGTGAAAGCTTTGTCTCCGTGCTTTTAAGGATGAGCAGGGATCGTTCGTCTTTGAATTAATCCGAGATTACGATGTGGAGCGCAACATCTGCTGCGATCCCATCGTGACCTCAGAGCTCTTTGCGTCTTGCTATCTGCGCTCATCCGCACGTGGGCCAGGGCCTGCTCTGGCGGTATTGCGCATGAACTGTTGAAATCCCTGGATTCGATTTGATGCTGGGACTCTGAGAGCATATACGGGTCGTGGATCACAATCCTACTCTCCACTGTCGTATTTCGATCTGCAGAACCACACTTTCGGTGCGGCATGAAGTCATCGGTCGGACCTGGGCGAACCTGGCCCGGGAGAGTAGAAAATGCAAAGACGATATGGTCCAGATCTTTGGGCGCTGACGGCTCGTTCCCAGCTCTCCCGCTACTCTCCAAGCGTCTGTTTGTCTTGGCTCTAGGAATGCGCCGACAATCTCTTTGACTCGCTGCAAACGATCATCAAAGATTGGATACAGTGGGGAACATACTAACATTAGGATGCTCGCTACTGGAGGACAAGTTCGTGGTTTCTGGTGCCTGAAGGTGGAGACAGGTACGTGGAACATGAATTTTAGATGATCAAGGCAAACAGTTATCTTCCATTGAGGTCTAGTGCTGTGCTGAGCCTGGATGCACCCTGGTCCCGCGGTGCCACTGCTAACAGTGCTACCACTACAATCATCCAAAGCTGTCTTAGTCGCTCACTGTCTTCGCGTCTTGGTTTCAACGTATATATCATGCAGAGGCATAGAGAGCCATGTGAAGCCAGGACGTCCAACAGTTGGGTGAGGTCGTTCCCACGATAACAGAAAACGAAGATCTGAAATAGAGCGGGCCGATGCCTTGAGTCGTGACCGACGATCTCTGCTGCCGAGTAAATGCCAGGAAGCCTGATGCATACAGATAGCGAGGGGGCCAGGTAAAATATCGCCACGGACCGGGAGCCGCAGGTAGATAATCTACATAGGTCCGCGGAGACTGGTTGGGTCCCTCAACGCCATCGTGCGCATGATGACGATCAGGTGCGCAGGAGCGAGCAACAATGAGCGACTAGAGCAGACACACGACAGAGGGGAAGCAAATGGGGCTGCACGCGCCCTCAGTACGAATAGTTGCGGGAGCCGGAGCTTGGGCAGTTTTAGATGCCCTTGGGGCGATAAAGACCTCAATCATCGTGGATTCGGATGCGCTGTGTCGACCTCAAGGCCTTGAATCTTCTCTTGCGGGCGTTTCGGCGATCAGATTTCGTTTCATTGAGATGAATATACTGTAAGTTGATCAAGGTCGTGTCTATCTAGAAGTCGCCGCTTACATCTGATAAGCAAATGCCTGAGATCTTGACAGGAAAGGTGGCTGCGACGCTTTTTGATCTTGAACTCCCAAGAAGAAGCAGGTACCCGTTACGGTCATTCGTTCTCGCAACCGCCAAAGGAGGTCATGGAATACAGCTGCGCGGGTTTGTGGAGATCCGGTGACTGTCGTTCATCTGATGACATGAGCATATTTTAGCGCAACCAACGAGATCAACGCTCGGGAACCTATACGGTGTCGCGGATGTGGGCATCGCATCATGTATAAGAAAAGGACGAAACGAAGTGCGCGTCCCATGCCCCGTGCAGCTGGAAAACACATAGACGCTGACGATTTCTGACACCAGTGGTACAATTTGAAACACGGTGACCGTCGCTTGCGGAGGCTGCGCGTAGCGGCCATCTCAAGTTATCTGTATCATAACACAAGCACTGGCATTGATCATGTCTCGAATCTTATCTCGTATCACCAAAGCCCCAAGTGTCTAATCCACAAATTCAGCACACATGTCACAACCATCCGATCCAACACCTGCTCAGCCGAAGCCATCACGCGCAACGTCGTCTCTTTGTCTGTCCAGGTCGCCACCGTCTTCTTGCTGCTTGCTTCGACACACTGAAAATGGTCACTGGTCATTGTGCGCTCACTGCAGGAGAAATCTCTCACGTATAGATCGTTCCCATCCGCGATCTTCCACTTGTATTCCACACCGCCTGCCTTGAATCTGCGAGATCTTCGATACGGAAATCAGTTTCTGTCGCGAGACACTCCAGGAATGGAATGCTCAACTGGCTGGTTGCCTTGTTCATCTTTCTCAGGTCCTTCAGGGAGATCTGCGCAAGTTCCGGCAGTCGTCACAAGGATCCCAAGCAGATGCGCAATTTTACATGCCTCATGAACCCCGAAATGGACTGTCGCAGTTGTGTTTCCTGGTCAAGTTAGAGTCCAAGTACTAAATACTTGCAGCGCCCCAACCTTGCCAGGCGATCTCCCCCGCTGGTTCAAAGACTGAGGTTGCGCGGTTCCTACGTTGGAAGGTGGTGACCGCAGAGCCGTAGCCATACGAGGCATGATAGAACTGGCCATGGACGGTATGAGACGGACGATCTACGAGGCGAACAAAGTCTGACCTCGTATAGCTCTACCGCCTCGTCGCCTTCTTGCAGTCTCTGGAAGGCTTTGAACGTCCGGATCTCGTCCTCTTTGGAGTAAACGAAGTGCAAGACGGTATCCATTGGGCAGGAGGTGAGTTCCAGTGAAAGCTTTGTCTCCGTGCTTTTAAGGATGAGCAGGGATCGTTCGTCTTTGAATTAATCCGAGATTACGATGTGGAGCGCACCATCTACAGCCATTCCATCGTGACCTCAGCGCTCTTTGCGTGTTGCTATCTGCGCTCATCTGCACGTGGGCTAGGCCCTGCTCTGGGCGTATTGCCCATGAACTGTTGAAATCCCTGGATTCGATCTGATGCTGGGACTGAGAGCGTAGACGGGTCGTAGATCACAGTTCTGCTCTCCACTGTCCCATTTCGATCTTCAGAGCCACACTTTCGGTGCGGCATGAAGTCATCGGTCGAGGCTAGGTCAATCTGGCCTGCAGAGTATTGGACTCTAAGGCCGCATCGTCAAAAAAAAAAATGACGGCGTCTTCCAAACTCCCCCAGTCCTTTGCCAGTATCTCTTTCTTATCGTCGTGGACTGCGCCGACGAGGACTTTTATCAACTGCAAACGACACCATCAAGAATCGGATACCAGGGGGACATACTAACATTAAGATGCTCGCTACTGGAGGACAAGTTCGTGGTTGGTGTTGCCTGAAGTTGGAGACAGGTGCGTGAAACGTGATTTTCAGAAGATCAACACAAACAGGTATTTTCTGCTTAGAGTTGGTGATGTACTGAGCCTCGATATAGCCCGGTGTTGCGGTCCCACTGCCACTACCCCTGCTATCATCCTACAAGGCCGTCCTCGCTCACTGTCTGCGTCTTGCTTTCATCCTATATACCGTACGGAGTCATGGAGAGTCACGCGAAGCCAGGAGGATTAAAATTGTGTCAGGTCGTTCACACGATTACAGAAAACGAAGTTCTCAAGTAGAGCAGGCCGAGGCCTTCTGCCGCAACTGGCGATCTTTGAAGCCGAGCAGATGCCAGGAAGCCTGATGGACGCAGATAGCCTGAGAAATGTGAGCGGAGCAAGGCAAAATTTCGCCGCCGACCGGCAGCCGTAGGGTATCTACATATGTTCGCGAAGCTGGTTGTGTCGTGCGACGTCATCCCCGGGTGTGCGGGCGATGATACCGGACATTGACAAGCAACAATGAGCGAATAGGGCAAGCACACGACGAAGGGGAGGCAAACAGGGTACCACGCGTTCCCTGCACGAATGGTTCCTGGAGTTCGACATTGCTGGAGTTCGGCATTGCTGGAGTTCTGATTGCCCTTGCGGCGATACAGACCCTAAGTTCCGTGGATTCGGATGCGCTCTGTCGACCACAAGACCTTGGTCTTCTCTTGCGGGTGTCCCCGGGATCAGCTTTCGTTTGTGAAAGACGCGCATGAGTTGATAAAGATCAGGTACCTCTGGAGCCTGGCGACCTCTAGTCTAGAGGTCGCCGCGAACATCTGATAAGCTAAGATCTGGCCAGGAAAGGGGGGGCTGTGGAGGTTGATTGTGCTGTATTAGCATTTCTCGTGGTCTCTTTCACTCATCACGAAATGCTGGGCATCCCGCGAAGCGATCTCTGGAAAGCGCGGCAAGGGCTTGCAACTCTTCCAAGCATTTGTTACCTCCTCTGAACACTTCCATGTCCTGCCCGACGCATAAATGTGACAAAGGCGTCACTGAGCTTTGACATTCTTCCAAGCGATCAGGACACTGCCAAGTCTGGTCGAATTCGGACACCCTCAGCAGACAGCTCAGGCTGCGACACGCTTCAAAGGCGATTCGGAGCCTGAGAAGACTTCGAAGCACTCAAGGAGATCAACCAAATTGTCTAAGTCGTCGACACAGCTTATGCCATGACCAGATTTTAAACCTTTTATGAGGGTGCGGGCTCTGCTAGTAGTACCTTGGCACTAGCTCCTTTTCACGGGCATGTGATCGCATTGTGATTTGATCATGAACTCCCAACAAGACCCAGGTCCTGCAGCCGGCACCCGCCACGGTAATTCGTTCTCGTTACCGCCAAAGGAAATCATGGAATACAGCTGCACGCGGGTTCGTGGAGATCTAGTGACTGTCGTTCGTCTAATGACATGGGCATACTTTAGGGCAGCCGGCCAGATCAAAGCCTGGGAACCTATACGGTGTCGCGAATGTGGGCATCGCGTCACGTATAAGGAGAGGACGAAACGCAGTGTGTGCACCATGCTTCGTGCCTCTGAAGACATATTGTCGCTGACGATTTCTGACACCAGTGGTACAATTTGAAGCACGGTGACCACCCCTCACGAAGGCTGCGCGTAGCGCCCATCTCAGGTTATCTGTATCATAGGATTCATAGCACAATCGCTGGCATTGATCATGTCTCGAATTACATCTCATGTCACCAGAGCCCCAAGTGTCTAACCCACAAGTTCAGCACACATGTCACAACCATCCGATCCAACACCTGTTCAGCCGAGGCCGTCACGCGCAACGTCGTCTCTTTGTCTGTCCAGGTCGCCACCGTCTTCTTGCTGCTTGCTTCGACACACTGCTAATGGTGATGGGGCACCGCGCGCTCACTGCAGGCGGAATCTCGCACGTATAGATCGTCCCCCTCCGCGATCTTCCACTTGTATTCCACACCACCTGCCTTGAACCTGCGAGATCTGTGACATGGACATCAGCTTCTGTCTCCGGACACTCCGGGACGGACTGCTTAACTGGCTGGTCGACTTTTTCATTTTTCTCAGGTCCTTCAGGGAGATCTGCGCAAATTCCGGCATGTATCACACAAAGACGCAATTTCACATGCCTCATGAATCCCGAAATGGACCGTCGCAGTCGTGTTTCCTGGTCAAATCAGAGTCCGGTAGCTGATCTTTGCAGAACTCGAACCTTGCCAGTCGATCTCCCCCGCTGGTTCGAAGACCGAGGTTGCGCGGTTCCTACGTTGGAAGGTGGTGACCGCAGAGCCGTGGCCGTACGAGGCATGATAGAACTGACCACGGACGGTATGAGACGGACGATCTACGAGGCGAACAAAGTCTGACCTCGTATAGCTCTACCGCCTCGTCGCCTTCTTGCAGTCTCTGGAAGGCTTTGAACGTCCGGATCTCGTCCTCTTTGGAGTAAACGAAGTGCAAGACGGTATCCATTGAGCAGGAGGCGAGTTTCAGCGATGTCCATGTCTGCGTGCTTTTAAGGATGGGCCCAGCCCGCTCGTCCTTGAGATAATCTGAGATCACGATGTGGAGCGCACCATCCACAGCGATCCTATGACGGCCTCACAGTCCACTGCATGTTACTATCTGCACTCATCTGCACGTGGACCAAGGCCTGCCCTGGCGGAAAACCGCATAATCTGTTGAAATCTCTGCATTCGATTTGATGCTGAGACTCTCAGAGCAGACACGGGTCGTGGATCAAAGTGTTGCTCTCCGCCGTCGCAATTTGATCTACAGAACCGCACTGCTGGTGTTGTATGAAGTCATTGTTCAGGGCTGAATGGAGGAATCGGTTACAAGTTCATACGCGACTTGGTCTGAGACATCGGACACCGTGTTGCCAAAATTCTGCTGCCGGGTTACAAGCCTCTCTCCGCCTTGTCCTCTGCATTATTCTGGCGAGCTATCTGACTGGGTACAAATGACTGCCGAGGATGCGAGAGGGGGATCAAACCACTACCACGGCGGCCAAGAGTTTTTCACTGGAGGACACGTTCATGGCCACCGGTTCCCAAAGGTGGAGACGAGTACGGCACAGTAAATCGTGCATTCTAGATGATCAAGGCGAACAGCTGGCTTCGTTACTCGTCTAGAACTTGTGATCTGTTGAGGGTACAGTAAGGCGCATAGATACTATCAGTACCACCAGTACAATCGTATAGCCCTGTCGTCGTCTTCCCGTCTTGGTTTAGCCATATCATAGAGTGTCATAGAGAGCCATACGAAACCATCAGGACCGATCGTTGCGTCAAGCCATTCCCACGATAACATAATGCGAAGCTCAGGCGAAGGGGGCCGAGACCTTGGGCCATAAACGACGATCTTTGGAGCCGGGCAATTGCCAGAAGTCTGATAAAGATAGATCGCCTGAGAATTGCGGGCGGAACATGACAACACCTCACTGCCGACCAGGGGGTGGCCAGGTTGTGTCGCTCAGCGGTCATCCCCGGGCTTGTAGCCGACGATGCTCAGGTGGGCAGAAACAGGCAGCAGCGAGTCGATGGAGGGATTAGACGCAAGAGGGGGGGCGAGTGAGTTGCATGCGTCCCCACTGCGAATAGATGCAGGAGTGGGAGCTAGGGCAGTCATGGTCGTCCTGGCGGTGATAGGCTCTTAGCATCGTATTTTCAGGACATGCCGCGTTGACCACAAGAACTTGTTCTCTTCCTTCGGGTGCCACGGGGATCAAATTGTTTTTCTTTGAGATGGGCATGGATTGATGCGGGCGGTCGTCGATCTAGTCTCGTGGTAAATGTTAATGGATCTTGGCAGGTAAGGGTGGCTGTGACATTTTGTCGTCATGTGTTGGCATTGCTCGTAATCTCTTTCACTAAACACCATGTCAGCAACGGAACGCAGTGTCTCTGTGGAAAATGTGCGGTCCTGACACACCGTCTTTATGAAGATCTCATGGCCCGTTCCAGGACTCTGACCGTGGGGACTCCCCCGCCCAGCCCGGCAAGCCAGGGCGCAAGAAAAACCCCAAGTATGTAATGCTCTCCTCGTCATGTCCGAGTCAACATGCTTACGTTCATGCCCGCTCAAGCTCCCAGGCCGCCAGACGCGACCAGAATCGCATTGCTCAACGCGAGTTTCGTCTCCGAAAGCAGCAGAAGGTGCACATTGTCGTGTCGGTCGTTCCTGCGACTCTGTCTGACTCGACCAGATACGCGATCTTGAGACCCGAGTTGAGATCCTCTCCGGCGGGACGGACAAGGCTGTAGGCGAGATGAAAAACATGCTGCAAGGTGCGTTCTGGGCCTTTGAAGACTGCGGTTATCTCTCAAGTATCGCAGACCTCATGGAGGAAAATCAGACTTTGCGCACCTTGCTTCGCAGTCTGTCTGCTTTCATCGGTGAAGGGGCTGGAGGGCTACTTCCCAAACTCGGTTGGGATCTGTCAGAGTTCAACAACTTCGTGAACAGGACAGAGACGGACACTGCTTGGGCTGGATATCAGCGACGCAAGAAGACTTCTGATGTTGCTTCGGGATCCGGCCAGAAACGGGGTGCAGAAGATGATGTGTCGAATGCACACAAGAAGAGTCGGACGGACGATAGCGACGCTGCTCAGAACGGTTATCCTGTGCTCATGAACATGGGTGCATCCATGACGAACAGTAACGTGTACGACCGGACTCACTTTGCCGATCTCATGCGAGGCGGAAACAATCCACCCATGTTCCCCAGTCCCGGGTCTGGTGCCAATCCTCCACCAGCTTTCGCAAATAGCCCGCAACCTAATTATTCGCCTACCTACATGTCCGGTGTGAATATGGCTGTCGACCCATCACTTCCTCCTCTGTCTTTCTCTCCTGCAATTGTCCAACCGGCGTCTGTTCCCCCGTCCTCGGCTGCTCAATTGAACACCGATCAAGCGGAAGAGGATGACGATCCGAACAAGAGCGAAGCATACAAACTCATTCAGTCGGTGTTCTCGTATTCTCACTGTCCCGGTCCTCATTCCCAGTGCAGTTATCATCTCGACAATTACAAGCGAAACACGGCATATTGCTTACCCTCTTCGCTTCGTCCCACTCTTGTCCAGAGGTACTTCCATCTGCATCGCCACTCTTCTCTCCTACTGACTGCTTGCGTAGAACTGTTCCTCATGGTTTGTGCCGGCCTGTCATCATGCTTGTCATCTGATCATTCCGCAGAGAGCGTTATAGATCGTATTCTTCACCCTGAACTCAGAGATCGAATGATTCTCTTGCGAGGCAAGTGGTTTTGGCTGTGCAATGTCGGATTGAATCTCATTCACATTCTAGGTCGATTTGATCTGGTCGATTGCCTGCTGGACTACCGGAACGCAGTCAACATACATGGCGATGATGTCCTTGCCCACAGCAATTGGGAAATCAGCGAAAAATGGCTGCGCCAGTATCAGTGAGTGTTTCTCAGTCCAACTCTCTCCGGTCTGTCAATTCATTCGCTTTCAAGCTTCTTGGTTGACCCAGCGACTCTCAACATCGTCAATCGCTGGAGGAGAGAGAGAGGTGAACCTGAGATTCGTCTAGCCGAACTCAACAGTGCAGAAAATACGCCCAAGACTACTTGAAGGTGGTGGTGTACGATAGCAGTATTAGTACTATATCTCTTGGACCGGCAAGCTTTATTCACCCTAGGACCGAGGTCAGGCATGGATCAAACGATAAGAGACGGACGCTAAGAACGCACACATGGCTTTTCGGACGCCATTGAGTTGACCGTGCAAAGCCTGGAGGCGGAATTGATGCTATGCAAAGTCAAGTAATGAACGGAAGCCCAGTGTGCAATGCAAGCACGTACCCTGCACAGCGCAAATTCACCGATGATACCCCTCCCCCGTCCAGTCTCTGCACAGCGGTTTTTCACAGTCGTAGGGCGTGAATATTTGTCGAAGCTATTAAGCTGCAGTTGCGCCTGGTGGCGGACTTGGGCCGGAAGCGTGGTGTTCCGAGCAACATAGAGGTACGCGCGACGAGTGACTTCGTTTGCAAGCACGCCCTTGCGCGCCTTCACATCGCGCATGACGCGTGCGTTGCGCATGGCGTTGACCGCATAGGATCCTCCAGCAGAGGACATCACGGCCGAGAGAAAGTTGTCGGTGACAGCCGTCACAATTTGCCCCAACTTTGATCCGACCACATCCATTTGTTTCTCTGCCTCTCCTGGCATGCCCGTCCGCTTGGTGAGTTCACTGTAGGAGGCTCGATGGACTGGAGACGAGGGAGCTGATTGTTTTCGCTCTCCCCTTTTCCTCCAGACATGAATCGCGCGTTTCGAATTTCACAACAACGCGAATTCGTATCCTCCCTCTTTGGCTTCACCTTCCTTGCCGCCATCGTCACCGTATCAGCGTCTAATATCTTACCGTGCCCTGTGCGGCCTCAGAAGGCAAGATTTTCGGATGACGAGGAGAAGGACGGTGGCCAGCTGGAGGGTGTGAATCGGGTCACTGTTGCGAAACGACCAGCAAGGCGGTGGATAGAGGAAGTGCATCCTCCCCCAAAACCTCAATCATGAGGTGCGCTCCATCTCCCTTCCCTCTCCCCTCTGGCTTTCTACGACCGAGCCTCATTGTATTTTACCCGTCAGGCTAGTCCGACCGTGATATGGACTACTGTACGGCCCCGGTCTTCGCGGCGGCGCTCAATCGGACCGAGTCTACCGTAGAATAAACGACGGAGAGCATAACCCAGGAGTGAAGACTAAATAATCTATCCTTACGGAATCCCAGGCAGTTTCGTTGATATAGACGCCCTCATCCATCACCCTCTGAACTGAATAAGCAATTACTCTGATTCTGAATCTTGCTAGCGGCTCTCGGAACGTTCTTCCTGCTCTCGTCGCGCTCCGCTATGAAAGGGCCCGTAGTGATCAGTGCAGAGGTTAAACGTTAAACTCCGACAAGGCAGCTTACGGCAAGGGACTTTCTTGGATCGGGATCGACGACAGAAAAGCCAAAAAGGACATCGCCGCCTGGAATATGAAGACGACGCGAAGTGCGTCAGCGTATGAATCAACCGCTGCTTTTCGTGTGACGGGGTCCAGATGACCAATGCTATCCGTCGCATGTCTGGAGGCGAATGAATCGGGCGCGAACCCGTAAGCAAGTTACACTCACTGGATTTGATGTATCAGCTGGGATGACAACAATGAATATCAGAAACAAGTGTTGGGTGGAGATGACAAGAGCCGACCTCTGCGGAGCCTGGGCCCTGGATGCGCTCCCGGAGTTTCTGGACCAAGACAGCTTGCAGGATTGCCCCACTGAGACTGACCCCAAGGACCTGACCGGTCGTGCGGAAAAGATAGGTAACTGGAAAATCAATCAGGTTGGGATCACAGCGTGGATTTGCGCATTCACTGCCGGTGGCGACGGCCATTTCCTCTCGTATTACGCCCGCGATCATGGCCTGAATAGCTCAGTCACAAGGGGAGCTGGGGGAGATGGGCGAGCAGACTTGCGATCAGAGTGGTGGTGATGAAACTTGCCATCCCGAAGCCGTGGGGAACGATATCGAGCCAAAGATGCCACTGAGATGTCTTTTCGTCCCAAAGTATCACAAGGATGTTGGCGAAAATGCTGGCGGCCGATGCCACGAGCGTGAGTACGTACAACTTGCCTGTCCGACGCATTGCCCTGTAACGTGTGGGTGCGGTGATCGAGACTCGGAGTTCCAATTGGACTGACCATCCGGCAAAGACGCTGCCAAAGGAAATAGCTATCTGGGCGAAATCTCGGCTGAGGATGTCCAACTCCGCAAGACAAGGCCGAGTGCTCACTGAATGGGGTAACAAGTGGGATCCTTATCGAATGAGGTGTGGGATCAGCGCTCTGCCGCGACATAACGGAGAACAATCTCACCCGTATTGGCCGCCGAATACAGTCGCACAGCCGAGAAGTACTAGCACGCGGTTGGTCCTGTAACCGGCCATCGGGAATTCAAAAACTGACCAGCGGGACATTGTATATCTGGAGAATCGATGGGGAAGATTGAACGGGGCCGGGAGCCGGAAACGCACCATCGAGAATGCAGCCATACTGGCAAACAGATTGGCGACAGATACCGCCAGAGGCGTTCTCCGGGTGATGAGACCAAGTGGCATCACCGGGAAAGGCGCCCAGTATTTCTCCACCAACACAAAAGACACGCAACATACTGCAGAAGCCGAGAACAAAGAGACGATCGAAGGGTGTGACCACGGGATCTCTTCGGTGGTCTTGAGACTGAATCCGAGAAGAAGCGTGCCCACAGTTCCGACTAAGGTGGCAGATCCCAGTGCGTCAACGCGACGCAATTTCTCGTGTAGCGACTGTGATTCGACTTCGGAGGGAAGCCTGATGTTTACCTTCCAAGCCACTAGTACCGCACTGACAATGAGCAATGGGGCTTGAAATAAGAAAGCCGATCGCCTGGCAAATGAGACACACCAACAACGATCACAGCGGAAACTCACCATCCAAACTTGTCATTGACCCAGCCACCCAAAGGTCCGCCGATCCCTGCCCCCAGACCGTACAAACTGCGGAGCCGTTAGACGATGTGAACCCACCACGAGCGCGACATGATTACATATTCGCCATTCCTTGGTATAATCCTCGTTGGTTCCTGCGGATCTCTAAGGGCCGACAACCGAATGCAAGAGGAAAACGCACAACGGTATGAAATCTGTGACAATAATGGTTGCAACTGTGCGACATATGAGCTTGGCGGGATTTCACGGGGGCGGAAATATATGCACCGGTCATTACTCTGCACCGAACGTGTCATTTTCAGGGCGATTGATGTCGAAACACGGGCTCACCCTCCACCGCCCATTCCAGCCAGCGTTCTCGCCATGATCAGAGTTTTCATAGAAGGACAAAATCCGCAAAGAAGGGTTCCAGTGCCTACAGAAAGCTGATCGGGTTGCCCGTGAAAGATGATCTGCCCGCACCGAAAAGGAACAAGGCAGTAAGCATAGCGCCCTTGCGGCCCAGGATATCCGACATACGGCCTGCAGATCGCGGTAAGAATAAGAGTCATGAAGGTTATTGAACGAGGCGTACTTACCATATAGAGGTGTGAAACAGCACAACGATAAGAGGTAGGAAGTCCCGATGTAGGACGCTTGATTGGACTTGTTAAAGTCGCTGCCGATGGGCGTCAGGAGCGTGGCGACGACAGTCCCTGGACGGGATCAAACATCTCGTCTCCACTGAAGGAACAGACAAACCATCTGCGCAAGAATAACCATGACATCAGCGCGCTGAAGCGTGATCGCGTCACTTACCAAGAGCCCCGAGGAACACCGCCGACCAAAGTCCAGCTAGAATCCAAACAGTGTCGGACTTGCTGAAGTTGTTCAATAGAGGGGGCGGAGAGTCTTGCTCGGAGACGGGTCCATCGTCGACGCTGTGATACGAGGGCGGGGGTTTGGAGAGGAGGCGCTGTGACTCTGGAGCCGATGAGGAGGAGGAGGAGACAGCGTCTGGCATCGGGGGGATGCGTTGAAACCGGTCAAGGCCGTTGTTCTTTATAGTCCGGTTACGCGCCTGGGAGGGCAATAAATTCCTGGGATCCGTAACAAATCAAGCGGTGGTATTTCTTGAGCCAGGAAGAGGCGAGATTGGGAATCTAATTCCTGGCACATCCGTGCGCATTTGAGGCACGGGCACATGTTAGAGCGATTTGACGAGGGACGTAGAAATCGTAATTTCCGTCATCAGCGGTGTGTTGGCCGGCTAACGGTGATCCAACATCTTCGGTCCGAAACTCGGTTCGCTCCAGTCTCTGCGCAAAACATCTTCCAAGGAACACCGTCGATATCAGTCACTGCGTCAGGGCTCGAGGGGAATGGAGATTGACGACACGATCCACCATAGTCGGGCCACCAAGAAAACGAGATCTCCGCATCACCGGCCCCGGGGGCAGTCCAGGCGTCACGGACTGGCCAAGTGCGTAGACGCGGAGGCGCCCCCGAGGATTACATCCTTCTCTTGCGACCGTCTGACGAATCCGTATTGTAAGTCCCGCGACCACGTTTTGTTCCGGCGATTTTCCTCGGGAGGACACGTCAACGAAGTCGACGCATAGAAGGAGAGGATATGAGAGGCATGAGTTGGTGCTGCTCGATGTTTGCCTTGGCGTCTGAAGGCTTGCCATCCAAGTGCGACGTGCTTGGACTACGGGCTTGATCGTTCGCTCTCCGGGCCCTATGAGAACGGACGAAAATCCGTGGGAAGCTGTCGGACCGTGAACGGCCGAAGATGGCCGAAGTGAGATGGTGATCCTCGAAGACCTGGCATATCCTTCAGGTGTCCACTATTCTCCATGGTCCCACCTCAACCTTTCGCGTGCATTACCTGCGCTGCAGTGCCTACAGGCCGTCGTTCCCTTCAGTTTTAGGAGCAGCACACTATTCACATTGTCCCGTTCGAGACCGCTTACTACACTATTGTGTCCGAAGCATTCGGTAATGTTGGACATCGAGAGACTCTCAGAACGCGAACCCATTTGGTCGAAGGTGGCGGGGAGGCCCGGAACCGCGCGTGGCTGGGGTTCTCTCCTGCATTTAAGCTGTAATTATTGAGCTGTTCAAGCGAAGTAGATCATGTAGTGCACATAGTGAAATCTGAAATCACGGTTTCCTTCTGACAAACCTACCCCACC